CGATGAATAATTAGGAAATTAAAAAATTAAATTTGATTATATTTTTATAAATCAACATTCAAATGTTCACTTTTCTTAACCCAAAAACGTAGCTTTTATCAAATCTCAATCAAATTGATTAGCAGTCATTAATTTCAATCGAGAGGCTTGAACAATTAGCTTTTATTAGTTTATTAATTTGCCTGATCTAATTGTTGGTTACAAGAAATGGTTACAAAATGAAAACCTTGAAATGCTGATTGTAACAATTAACACTTGCAATGCTTAATTCCTGTTGTAAATTGTTGGTTGAATTTGCCTCTAAATGTATTTGTTGATATTTTTTCCAGTTGAATGTTTGATTTCAATGAAACTGTTGATTAATTTGATTGTTTCATTAGCATTAAATAACACTTGAAAAGCTACTCATTATGTTTAAATAGTTTTAATTAACTTTGAAAGCAAAATTAATCCGGAAACATTTACCATTAAATTGTGGGCAAAAGTGAAACAAAACAAAAACTGGTCTTCATAACAAGATCAACATTATCACGCTTTTACCTGTTGAGTACAAGGTAACACTTTAACTGACCATAGTAATCATAATTTCATCTCTACATTGATTTCAATCTAAAATGATCCAAATTTGTAGTTTACTCAAGCAAATTTATTCATCATTTAACTTTGATCGTTCATTGTTTTTCCCATCTCTTGGTCATCCGCACAAAATAAACATGAAAATGTCTGCTTCAATTTGATGCAATCTGAATAATTCTGACCCAGAATTTGTCTGTTACCTTCCATTGTTGCCTTATCTTTTACCTTTTTTTACACTTTCTAAACCCTTTATTTCCTTGACTTGATCACATGAAAACCTTTTTGTTTGTTCAAATTGATACCTTTATTTGAACAACTACAAGGTAACATTTAAGGGCCGATCCGATGAACTAAAAAATGTTTAAAATGTTGTTTAAATCTTTGTTAGTAGGCAATGTTTGTTTGATTTTGTTACGTCATCAACATTAACACTGTCCGATCAAAAAATTAACAATCATTTTATTCATGCGCCTTTACATTTTTTCAGATTGCATTTCTTATCTTTTTGATTATAAATTATTTTTAGTTATCTTTTAAAATCATTAAAAAACAAAAGATGGCGCTTTCTAATTAAGATTTAAAATGACATTAATCAAAATTGATTAATTTTAACAAACATTGCCAATAAACAAACATTTTGACAAACATTTTAGTTCATCGGATCGGCCCTAAATGTATTAAAATTCATATTTATATCAACTATTGTTTCCTATTAACATTGAACTTATACTTTTAGTCTCATCAATATCGCATTACAATAATAATGATAACTTGAGTGCAACTTTACATGAGCCAAGTTGAACTTTATTCAACTAATGAACAGGAACTTTAAGTATGAAATAAACTCTTGAAAGTTTTATCAATTTCTTGTTACAATAATAATGCAAAATAGTTTGATGCAATGTTGTGTCAGTCAATGATTTCAACCCTGTGTGCTTCAATTGAAGAATGATCATTAATTTAAATTCAGCCAATCTTTCAACACTTCACCTGCAACTGAATCATTTTGTAAATTGAGTTATGCTGTAATTGCTAAGCAGCCAATAATTGATTAAGATTCTGTGCTTTCCCATCAAGGTATCCTCTTGACGTGAAGGTATGAAAGTTAATGTTGTGTTGAGAAGCCAAAATTTTGTTACTTTTCAGTGATTACACAAAAAAACAGGCAAAGGTAAACAAATGTAAAGGATATTTGCATTTTACCCTTGATTTGTAAACCATTTTTGCTCTCACATAATCTGTTTCAACAATTGTTGTCAACAAAAGTAAAAACTAATTCCAACCCGAATTCAGCATTTTGACAATTATTACCATGAAGATGAATAGTTACAAGGAATGTTAAATGGTGTTGCTTCTGTTGCTGCTGTAGGTAAGAGTCAAAGTGATGTGCATTGTGATTCATTTCAACTCTTTTTTCTTCTTCTTCCCTTTTTTATTGTTGAAAGTCATAACTGTTTACTAAGTGTAACATCATTGAATCTATGAAAGTTAATTTTCACCCTCAAGGGTAATGATGTTGATGATGATGTTGATGGTGATAAAGCAAAGGAAATACTTATCCGTGCGTAAATTGTCAGTCTGATGGAGGTTATAATGATATTTTGGTATTAAGGAACCAACGGGTTAACAAGGGGCCATTGCCTTCTCACAAGAATGTAAATTGTTTCACTGATTGTCTTTTCATGATTAACGCTGTAAAATTATTCAAACTCAAATTCCTATTCACCTTAATCTTCTTCCTCATTTTTGTTCACCATTCCAGTTCATTGTAGTCCATCATTTTTCATTCCGATACAATTTTCCCATTCAATCCCAATGAGTCCAATAAATTGTGTGAATTGATCAATATCGTTGCTGGCTTTTTATCATAATCAGATTATCTAGATTGGTCCAAATCTCCCTGAAGCAAGGTGAAAGTTACTCTCAATTGTGTATTGTTATTGGCTTATCTTTATTACATATGATTAAATGGAGTAACAAAGATTGCTTTCATTGATTTGCCTTAGGTGTTTACAAGGCAAATCTGAAGGGAAAAATGGATTGATTTATTGTTTCTCATTGGTTTCAAGATATTGTAGACTACTTAATATCATCATTAATTACTTTGAGTTAATATTTTTTCATGGGAGAATGGTAAAATTATAAATAAAAAGATGTGTTTTCCTTGCTAAAGAGTTGACTATCAATCAAAACATTGAATAAGAGTCGATATTTTCAGCCCTTTTTAGCAACTAAACATTTGCCAAATCGGAATTAATTATTTCTACTTTTCTCACTGATTAACTGTTTCTGGTTTCAAATATTTCTCACAATTGATTGCTTTACTGAACATCTTCGCTTCATCAACTGTGTGTGTTGCATTGAAATCATCGTTAAGATCGTTAAAGAAAATAACATGTTTGTTGTTCACAATCAAATCAATTACAATCGTCAGATTAATCATTGTAATGAATAAAATTGTTACATTTGGTATCGTTTAAGCTTCTGTTTGATTATGACTTTAAGCTAATTGTAATTTCAACGAATCATAAATTTTCAAATATTATTTTTCCTCAACATGTTGATCAAGATCACAGTCCAAAGATGTAAATCATAGAGCTATAAGGTTATGTATTATGAGGCAAAATGATGCGTAGCTTTGCCTCCAAGTCGGTTAAACTTTGACTTAACCTTTACTAATGGCAAGCAGCCTTTGAAATTGTAATTAGCTTTACTCAAATTGGTTGAAATTTTATTAGCTTTAGTCGCTGAAACATCGCTTCTGTAAATCTATTCAATTTGTTGTCAACAATCACAGTGAGTTAAACTGTTCACATTGAAATCAAGAGTGAACTGATTATTTGAATGCCTCAAATTGAGATAAGGGGCTAGCTCCTCAATCGGTTGATAGATGGGTCTGATTGAAAGAGAAAAGAAAGGGGAAAAGAAAGTAAAAATTAACCTCTTTGAATTATCTCTTCAAATTAAAAGTTAATTTTTTTATAATTTTTCACAATTCTTATTTCTTGTCTTTCTTTAATTAGAGCCATCTATCAACCGATTGTTAACTTATTTTTATCTCAATTTGAGGTCATTTGTTGTCAACAATCACAGTGAGTTAAACTGTTCACATTGAAATCAAGAGTGAACTGATTATTTGAATGCTTACCTAATGACATGTATTAATAATTGAAGTTAATGCAACTTTGATCTCTTTTTTGATAAAAAAACTTGAAGAGTCGCTGTAAATTATTATCAAGAGTCTTGATAAGAGGATGATAAGCCATGTTGAAGGAGGTTAAAGATTAAGTTTTAACCGTTTCTACCTACAATCAGTAGCATGAAGCAGCTGAAAGTTGCTGGTTAAAATATTAATCAAATGGTTGCCGTTGTTGATTAGCATGATTGTGAGATTGCATTTAATTGATTTAACCTGATAAACATTGACAGGGTACACCAATTAACAATGCAACAAAAAAGCAAGTGTGAACAGTTGAAGAGGAAAAGATGATTAAGGTTAAAAGCTAAAGGTTAAGATGAAAAATGAAGTTGAAAAGGTTGATGTTGAGGGAGAGAGAAAGGTAACCAAAGAAAGAGCAAGAATTAATTAAAAGAAAGAGCTTCTTGGTTGAGAAGAAACAGGATGATAAGAGAGAGAGAAAGATGATGATGATGATGATGATGGACTCGTAAGACTAGGTATAAACGAGGGAGTTGAATGTTGTGAAGTGAGTTAACCAAAAAATGACATAACAAACTCACTCATTCTCACCCTATCATCATAAGAAGTTACTTTTTGCTCTTTCTTTATCTTCATCTCCCTCTCTCATTGAAACTGCTCACTCAAGAGTTTTCAGTTGTTATTCAGACTCTCGAGTGGGAACTCAAATCGCGTCTCTTCAATCCAAGTAAATAACAACACATTACCAGTAAACCATTGAACCTTAGTTGTTGTTAATTTTATCAGAAAAAAAACTGAGAGTCACTTTTGTTCAACTTCAATTTTTGTGTGTTGCCAAAAAAAAGATGTTTTCACAAAATGTTCACTCCAAGTTATCCAGTTGATCCTCTTTTTTGTCTCTTATTTATTTCATCGTTAATCCTTTCTCTCATATGTAAATTAATTTGGTTTGATGACTTTTAACTTTCATTCACCAGTCATTCACATTTTACACCAAAACCAGATTCCACTTTATATTCACACAACAAAAAAGACAAACTTCCCATTCTTGATGCCAAAAAAGTTCAATTATTGTAAACATCTTCAGTGGTGACATTAAATTGCTTTTCATGTTAATGTCAATCAAGTGTTTCTTAACCATCTTTCAGTGTCTTTAATCCAATTGGAATAAACATGTTTAATTGTGCCCCAAAAATTAGTAGATTAATGTGATCACCTTTCAACAATTGTTCAATATTTAATGTTAAATAATTTTCTCTTCAAGGATTATTTGATATTCAAGTTATCTGTTACCGCACATGTTAACCCTGAAACTTTGAACAACTGAAACTTTATGGAATCACCAAAAACACCAAACAAATCTCGGTCATCCAACATATTCAATCGGGTTTACAAGTTGACCAATGAAACCAATATGTTTGCCAAACTATTGTCACCCAAATCATCCAAACTATCAAGGTAATTTTACCAAATTGAATGAATTTTATCAAACAAAATTTCCATTTTTCGGCTAAAATTGATCTCAACACTCAGGTTGATTCAAATGAACAATAATGAATTGTTTAAAATGTGTATTAACAATAATCTGGTAAAGTTGCCGTTCGTGATGTTTTATCAACAACTAAAGTATAAAAGTTGCGATCTATTAAATGAAAATTATTTTGCCATCTTTAATTGTAATTATCAGACAGCTTGGAAAGATGAAAATGAAGATGAAAGAGGATGAAGTAAAGGAAAACAAAATAACCTAAACTTACCTGTTCAATTACAGTTTTATTATTTACAACCAAACCTTAGAAGCGTGATTCAGTTTCTTGGCATCATTCAAAAGCTAAAGGTTATTGCATCAGTATATAAATACATATATGTTTACCTAGGAACCTGTTTAACTTTCATCATCATCATCATCATTTCCCTCTTTTTCCTTCTTCTAATGTAATTAAGTTAAAACTGTGATTACCTGTGACTTTTATAACTTATATTTAGCTCTCTCTCTCTCTACCTAACCCATAGTTATTTAACCAAAAAAAATACAAAAGCTTTAAAAAGCGGAGCAACACCAAGAAACACTTTCTTAAAGTGACTGACAAAAGTGGAATGATGATAATGATGATAAAGTCTCTTCTTGCTGTATCATCATTAACACCCACAAAAACAACAACAAAACATCCTTGTCCATTGAAGATGAAGTATCACCAAACTGATGATATAACAACTAAATTATCATCACTTTGGGTTCCCTCAAGTTTCATCAGGTTAAGTTACCTTAAGACACCTTTTTGTTAACCTTAAGTTACATTGAATTATTTTTCAACCGCTTTACCAAACTCATTATCTGGACCTTTTTTGAGCCCAAAATTTTCACCTAATTAGTTTCAATAGTTGATCAAATTGCTCGCTTAAATGTTGATCATCATTTTTCCAGGGTTTCATCAACCTCCCAAAGGATCATTTCAATTGAACATTTTTTTTAGACTTGAAATGCTCTCTTTTTTTGTTACCATTTTGCCTCAGCTTTCCAAATGTCTTCAACAAAAAACTTATTTAATGGGTTGAGATGTATTTAGTTGCATCCTCAGCATCCTCAGCATCCTCTGCATCATCTTCATTATCTTCATTCTCTTGTTCTCAATGAATTTTTTTCCTCTTCTCGTTGAATGTCTAATGGTGCTTCTGGAATTAAATTACCATGAGAAGGAATCATTCAGTCCAGATCTTCTCTCATGGCTTACTTGTTCAGAATCTTCTTATTTCTCTTCTTATTTTCCTCCTTCTTACATTGAGATTATTTTTCCAACTTCAAATTGTCTTTATTTTGTGTCTTCCTTAATCATCAAATTAATTGGACTCAACATTCACAATCAATTTCAACATTAAACGTTTCACCAAACTCATTGTTTCATCACTCATCATCTTACATGTCATAATCATGATCATCTTAATGCTCTTGTAAATCAACTGAAGTGTCTTTGAAGACTTTCATATTAATTATCATAAATTAATTCAACTTTTAATCAAATTCATATTTTTGTCTCAATATCATGCAATATTGAAGGAATGCTGGAAAATGACAAAATATGATTTAGTTGGTTAACTTGATTTATGAGAATGATTAACGTCTAACTTTGATTTGGTTCAATCATTTGCCTTGTCTAATTGAAAATAGTAATCTAATTTATTGCAATGAAATCAATTTTGTTACTCATTCATTTATTAGCCATAAATTATAATCAAATCAAGGTTACCTTTAATTCAATCTAAATAGCCAAAATGAAGTGAGCCAAGAAATCGCAAGATTGAAACACTTGAAATGAAATAAAACTTTGACTGATTAACATTTTGCATGAGAAGAAGCAAAAGGATGGCAAAAAAAACTGAACTCAAATGTTAATCTAATACAATATTCATGGTAAACCCGGAATTAATTGTTGATCAAATCACGACCAATAAACAAATTGTCTATTGACTTTACAATTAAACAATGAAAAAAACTGAAAAGCCAAAAGAGAAGCAAAAAAATGTTGAGAAAAAAAAGTTTCAAAAATGTTCAACTTGATTTCATCTCATCATTTCAAGTCAAACCTAATCATCAACTTAGGTTATTGCTACTGATTTATCTGAATCATTTCATCGTTACTTCAATTAAATAACCTTTCAACGTCCATCATGATTATCATGATGATAATTTGAGTAAAATATTGCATGAAAGAGAAAATGTTTTTTCACTTTCAACTGCTACTTAAAGTTGATCATCATCTTGAACATTGTTGACCATTAAAACATTTCAACATTTTCCATTCAAATTACACTTCTCCAGGTAAGGAAGAAGTGAAAAAAAAGAAGAACCAAAAATCTCAATTGAAACCTCTTCCTTTCCATCATGATAATCATTTCATGATTCAACCCAAACTTCCTCACTCCCAAGTTTCTTGTTGAATTTTCATTCTTTATGCAAAACCTCAACATTGAAATCAACTGTTATTTTCAATTGTACTTGCGGTTGAAAACAGCTAAAACCATGTAAAACCATATCATTTGTAATTCATATCAATCAACAAACACACCTAAAGTAAATAATGTTATCACTGTTTCCCTTACCTTCATATTAATCATGGCAACTAAGGTCATATCAGCAGTTTTTTTATCATGAATCCAATCATCAGTAATTGATTGATCCACTTGACAACTTGAAAAGCTCCTTGACCAGAATAAAGCAAGATGGTCAAACAGCAATTGATTTGCAACTTGAAAAGGCACCTTTGCCTTTGTTTGAAAAACTTTCCCATTGATTAACATCAAAGTAACCATCATGTTGCGTTGCTCATGCGATACGCTTTATGAGCAACGAAACAACAAAAAATGACTTATCATTGAAATTGGAGTATCATACGACGTGTTTCAATCTTCCTCATCTTCCTTCTCTTCCCTTCTCACATCCTTTCGGTCTTGTTTTCCCTTAAAATTTTCCGCTTTCTCTCTCCCTCTCTCATTCACTTCCTACTATCTTTAAAAGTCTTTCTTCTTCTCTTCATTATCTTCTTCCTCTCGCCTCTCAACAACAAACATTTTGCCTTCAATGACTCTATTGGCATGCTTCCGATTTTTACGATTTTTCAGTTGTCCTCAGATTAGCTTGATGCAGACACAAGCCAACGATCTTGCTCTATCATCTTACCTTCATTTGTCTCATCTTTTCATGATATTTCCTCTTTATAATGATACTTACTGAATCGCTTTTTTCGCCGCACACATTTCTTTGTTCATACAAAACACTTATCAACCTAATTCAAAGCTAATTGTTTCTTAATTGTTTACATTGATTGTTGGCTTTCATCAAATGTTACTTTACTCGATAAATCACCTTGTTTTCAATCATGATAAGAGATGAAAAATTGATCGGTCAAAACATACAGTAAAGCTCATAATTTGAGGCTTAAATAATTTTTGTGTTTACAACCTTGTTGTTCATCATGATCTTGGTGATGAAGGAAAAGACAATATTTCTTTTCCTTGTCTCCTTCCTCCTCTTTAACCTCCTATTCTGATCGCTTTCTCAGTTCCTGTAATGTTCATGATTAAAATCAACACCAATTTAGCTAATCTATTATTCAACTGATTCTTGTGTATCACATACAAGGCCAGAAAGTGTAAACAATTTAGTTCAATGTTAAAGCTTTCTAGTTAATCAGCAATTGTTTCTCATAATTGAAGAGTCAAACTGATTCAGGTTCAACCTGATACATTAACTAAATTGACCATCTTAACCTTGACCATTTCAAGAAATAGGACAAAAATATGGACAAAAACATTGTTATTTTTTTGGCACAGTTTTGTTAATCACTTTTCAAGTAATCAAGTCAAAATAAATAGTCCATCAACAATTTTTATTGACATTTTTTTTTCGTCAAACCAATTAATCAACATTTTCCCTTCAATTCCTTACCTTTCATTATTTTCCTCATTACTTTCATCATTCACCTAAACATGATGATGAACATGATCAGTAAATAGACATTAATGAGGATATCCTTTCATTGGATGAACCAGTTAAATCTGATGCAAAAAACAAACATTTGTTGTGGTCATCATTTGTTCACTTATAATGACTATTTCAATTTATCTGTCCAGCTAAATTGCTCATTTTAGATGCTGTTCAATGTTTCCTTGAAATGGCTAACAATTGGTTCAATTGCCAGTTGATTGATGTTTATCCTTAACTTAATCAGGCTGATTATGAACATGGTCAAGATCAAACAGTCAATCATAAATAATAATGATATTTCACTCATAATAAACATTATCAACTGTCTCATTAAAATGCATCACATTGGGATTCATTCATTCAACAAATTGAAGCAACTTCAACATTAATCCAATGTCCAATTAAATATAAAAATATACTAATTATTATTGATGATTTAAAGCCACTGAGACAAAATAATTCATTGACTTATATTTTGTGAGACTTGTTAACCTTTTTTTTTGTTTGAAGATTAATTTTCATAAATTTCATGTTAACCCATTAAAACGACTGAACACAAACAACTTGAAACCTCATTTGAGCCATTATGTTCAATTGGAATCATTAAGAATCAACTTTTTGTTCAGTTAATTAATGGCGAAACTTAGCCAATTAGTTTAGCTTATAATGATTACCAAAATTATTACGATTATTATAAATATTCAATTCGCTTCTTCACTTAACAGTTGTGGCATTTAATGATGACATGATTAATGTATTTGTATTTGATTATCATTTCAACTTTAATATCAAACCTTTTCCCAACAACTGTTGGAAACTCAAAATTAACGGCAAAAAACAATGTAAATGTAACAATTAACCTTGTTAAGCTTTCCAATTGTTTTATATCATCAATTTACGATTAATTAATTTCTACCGTTTCAACAATTGTTTAACCTGGATTGAACAATCCGTAATGATGTAAAGAATCATTAATCATGATTCAAATGGACAATCGTTGACAGACTTATTCTGATTAATCTGATCTAAACTGATTTCCATCTCAATTGTTTTACCTCTTGAAGATGATATTAAATTTGGGAAAGTTCAATTTCTGCCAATTATGTTTCAAAGCCAATGAACTTTCCTTGTTAATTAAATGACAACTGACTTTCAGGTGTTCAACTTTTCCCATATTTTGTTGCTGACTTTAATCATAATCATTAAAATCATCGATATAATGTTACATTAATTGTGACAACACTTGTCTTATCAATAGTAATTATTGCAATCAACAATTATTGATGTTAAAGATGATCAACTTATATTTAATCTTGAATACAACTTTGTTAACCTTCATAAAATCATAAATCTTAATCATTAATTAAATATTGTAAAGTGAAACCTGAAAAAAGGTTTACTAACAGATTATTGTTGATAAGATTAACATTGAATTTTGTGAAAATTGAATCACTTTTACCTTCAATGGCCACAAAATTAAGTCACCCTTAAATCATCAATATTATAATCTTTACCATCTTCATGATGATCATCTTAACCTGCCCTTGATCTCAATAGACTATCTTATTAATTAATGCCTTAAGGTAGGTTTACCTTAAAAGTCTGGGAAAAAAGATGAAAACAAAAAATGGCGTTATTTATGTGTTGCTAATCTCAATATTTTTTAAACATTTTACCTGTAAGCTTGATATTGATTGATCTTTAATTTCCGGCGACACTATTAATTAGTGTGACATGTTTTTGAACAAAGATAATGATAATCCAATTTGAAACTTCTCAATACATTAATCTTTACTCTTCCAATCACCAAACTTGTTGATGAAAATCTTGAAATACAAAATGATTTTAATATCAATAATGATTATCGCTAATCATGATCACCTTAGGGTGCAATTGGTGTTTAATTACCAAAGAGTTGTTATTCAATTGCTCAAAGGTAAAACAATCAGAAAAGTTGATAAATCTTTAATATTCATGTCTTGTATCAGACTATTTATGGAGACAGTAAAGTCTCAAGATTTAAAGCAATCTAACCCACTGACTAATTCAGAGTTCAAATACATGATCAAATTCATGATCAGATGTGAAAAGTGATCAGTATTGACTGACAATAGATTTGAAATTTATGATCAGGTTGAACGGTGCATAAGTTTCAACGTTTAAAGGATTTGATTTTCATGCTCAAGCATCGGGTTATCAAGTGAGACAAGAAATTACTGAAATCTGAAAACTTGAATTGCTTCATGACTTTTTTATGATTTTATTTTCCAATCATTTCGTGTTAAATTATGCAATTTTAACTGATGAATCGTTGAAGGCAGCTGTAGGTTTCAAGGTTCAACCAGTTAGGCTTGCTTTACTGGATAACCAGAAAGGTTGTCCAAGTGGATGAAAAGCTCAATGAAAACAGTTAATAATGATTTTGATTAATTTGACGTTGATTTGATTCCGTTAAAGTAAAGTGGTGAGAAAAGTTTAGGTTTTCAAAGTCACCCAACTTTGATACAATTAAGGGAATTGTACTATTTAGAGCAAGATATTTTCTGATGCTTTAGTTTGATTGTTTCCAGGTAAACAAGTTTAATCATCAGCTATTATCATTATCCTCTTTCTCTCTTTACCTTTCCCATTTCCGTTTGTTTGCTCATTTAATTTTCAATGCAAACTTCATGGTCACTCCAGTGTTATTCAATCAAATTGTTGATTCACATGATTAACGTTGGATTAATGTTCAACTCTATTAACTTTACTATAAGAGTCAAAACATGAAATGTTCTGTTATCATTGTTGTCCTCTTAATTCATTCTTGCCCATCATCACCATCATAACAACCAGCATCATCATGATGATAATCTTATTCATCTCCGCCTAATAATTCATGGTTAAACATTTACATCTCACTTATTGTTTTAATGTTTTTGCTGTGTGTTGCTTTCAATTGACAACCATTGGGAGGAGATTGAAATGATAATAGCATTTATAAATAATGATTATTCTGATTCAATGGCAATTGGACAAGTTCATTCATCTTGATGGTTGAAGAGCAGTGAGGAAAAATTGAAATCAACATTTACATTAATAAAAGTGTTGGCAACAATTTTGAAAACAATTTTTGACCGACAATAAATTACATTGAAAAAGTTGACATTTCCATTACAAAATGAACCAATAAATTGTAACTTTATTATCATGATCGTCCTCCAACTTTTGTCACCTAAATCATCCTAATCGTAAGCTCTTCACTTATTTATCGAGTATCAAAAGGTTCATATATTTATCCTTTTGTTAAACTTACCAAGCAAAATGAAGGAAAGTTGTTCAAAGTTGTTCAAAGCTTAAGACGGAAGAACCCAAAAAATCTCATCTTCCTAGATCTTCTTGTTTCCAGGTTCAGGTAAAGATGAGAAATACTTGATTCTCATCTTCTTTCCCATCATCCTAAGAAACAAAATAATAACCTTAACAATAGCAATTTTTATTTACTATTTTTTCATCATCATTATTACTTTCACTTTTCCTGATCAACCAATTTTTCATTGCTGCCATTTTGGGTTGTAATTTTTTTTACCCACACTTACACTTTCAACCTTAATAACACATTAATATCCTCCTTCATCTTTATAATCATCTTGATTCAATATCTCGACATCTAACACTATTAAAGGTCAATCGTAAAAATTTCAGAGAAAAAAGTAAACCATTGAAGAGTTTCATTCATCGAGAAGTGAGATTCATCTAATGACTATTAACCATTTAAGTTCAATTTAAGACCAGTTTGGGTCACTTTGGGTTTACAAATGGTTAAAGCTGTTTCATGCAAATGTTGTGATTACAATTTTAGCCGACTTTGTTTGTGTTCATTTAAACATCACTTAATCTAAACAATCATTTTAACAGCTTTTTTTCATCTTCTCTTCCTCTTGTTGCTCTAGAAATGGCCTGTCCCGTCGTAATAAACGCAAAGATGATATTGATGACCAAAGTCATAACCCAATTGAAGTTAGTAATGCCAGTAACTTATCATCCTGCTATTTACCAATTGATTCAAAGTTAACCGATGAGAGTCAAGTTATCCAAACCAATTGTCCTGTTAAGTTGGGTCAGTGTAAAAATAATCGCAACAGTAACCGTCAAGTGAAAAATAACAACAATTATAATAAAAACAACAATAACAAGAATCAGTCAAATAATGAAAATGAAAATGAAAGTCACTCTGGTCATCATTGTTCATCTTCAGTGTTAATTGGTAAACGGGAAAATGTTCATCATGAACATGAGGATGAGGTTCACCTTATTGAAGATGGCAATAGGAAAAGTGAACTTGATTCACAGAATGAAACTCATCTGGTTAATGCAAGTGAAGCAAATGGTGTTGAAGGAAATGATCAACCCAATGATTGTTGTCCAATTGACAGTCCCGATAACCTGTTAACATCAACGCTAGTCAATCAGGTATGTAACCATTTTTGCGTTTTTATTAAACTTGTCGATTCGATATTAATGATGGTAATGATAATGTTTTTGTTAAATGATTTTCACCTTTTTCTTCTTCTTCCATGAGTAGTTAGTGAAGAGTAAAATTTCAATTCAAATGTTGTTGCTTTTGATTAAGATGAGTATCTTTGATAAAGGGTCATTTGGATGTGAAATCCGTATTTTTGAGGTTCCTTGGATGAATGGAAATTGAGTTCAATCTTTTTGCTTCCCGTACATTGTTTATTGAAAGGTTCATTTGGTTTGCTGTAAGATGATCATGATAGACATTTTGAAATGGGATTAATGAGGAAATATCAGATGGAGACAGAAGATGATGAGAGGAAAATTTGAAGACAAATGAAGAGTAAAAACAAACAAATGTTGAGAAGATGATTGAGACAGAAATGTAAAGATGTCAATTTGTCCTCGCCATTATCATTACAATTGGCAGAGATATTTTTCAACTTTAAATATCTTGTGCTCTGAAACTCTAGAATTAAAATGAATCAAAACTAAATCAAGTTGAATGAACCATTAGCTTAGATGATTAAATTTGACCATCAAATGACCCGATCAAATGGTTTGATGTTACATTTGAGTTTCAATTGCACCAAATAATATCCAATGTAATGGTTGCTCTGTAATCATTGAAACATTGAATCTTATGTCAGTCAGCTTTCAATATGAAATTGATTAAACTGGTTCTATGGTGAATCTGATTTTTTAGGTTAGCATGAATTGTAAGATTCAATGATTACTTGATTGTTGGAAAATTAATTTTCAATATTGAACATTTCGGGTTCAAGACCTTTAGTCTGGTTTACTTGAAATTTGACTTTTTCTGGTTTCTTCAACCATTTCAACAAATCTTTGGTTTCCATCCAAGTACCAGTTTATGCCAAATAATAATAATCATCATAATGATAATGATTGGTTGAAAGTCATTAGTAAAGTTACAAAAAATAAAGCTCAATCCTAAAAATTGATATTTAGTTACTTATTATAATATTACATGTGAATCCCATAGGAAAATAGCTTCTCACGCCTGTTAAGGGCAAGTTAAACATTTTCATGTGGATTTAACATGATGATGAAAATAAATTATTAATTTAACGCTAATTCACACTCAACTTGAATTGATTACTCAGTTAATTATGTTGATTGAATATTACTGAAACACACACATAAATGGTTAATTCAATTTTCATGTATTCAATATTTCACCAGTAAACCAGAGACGAAAATATAAAACTCTTGCCAGAATCGTCTTATTGATATTGATATTGATTTAAATTTTGAAGAATCAAGTTTTTGAATGAAATCAAGGTAAATTGTAAACATATTGGTTGGTTATCAACGTAATCAGAGTAAAATCAGATTGAAGACAGCTGATACAATTTAAAACAGAATCAACATTTTGATACTTTCCTTGGTCAAGAAAATGAACTGATTATCAATTAATCATCATAACAATTATATTAATCTTGATTTTGAACATTGGATGAAGGAAAAGAATTGAAAATTAACAATAAATTATAATCAAGTTAGTTTATTATTTTGATCATTGGGTTTAACTTTAACCAGATTTAGTTTTCAGCTGACAACATCAGCTGACAAATAATCAATCATCAGCTTCTCAGTTTTACTTTGACTTAGGTTTTTATTTCAAATCATTTTGAAGCTGATTTAGCTTTGAAAATATCTAAATCCTAATTACAATCATAATATCCATCTAGTAATCATTATCCCAACATTGGACTCAATTTCATATCTTTCAATACAATCAATTGTTTCTGCTTTTATGCATTTATGAAAGTGTTTGTCGCTTTTTTTGTAACTTTAGTTCATCGTTTAACTCATTTTACTCTTAATCATTGACTAATTGCTTGATTGTTGACTGGAATCTACATCTGAATCCAAAATTGAGCTTAAAACGAAGCAATTTGCCTTAAAATTTACATCTTTCAGCTTTCAAATGTGATGGATTAGTTTCAATGTTCATTATTATGTGATTGTTTCATTCTGGTTCACTCAATTGTACACTAAGCAGCCCACAGGCAATTAAGTTACGTCCAACTAACCAATATAATTGATTTATTGTTGCCTATTTGAAGCATTTTACAATTTTTTTTGCCTTTTTTGCCCAAAAAATCAATGCTTTATATGCAGAATCATCCAGACTGATAAATTGTTAATATCATTTGATTCAACTGTTTCCCTGGTAACATCAGATTGAAAGTGTAAATTGGTGAATGAGTTCAACTTGAAACAATTTATCAATAATTAAAGTCGCCAACCAGTCTCAATGTTTTCACTCATCAAAGTAAAACCTGTTTCTTACAGAGCTGATGATTATTTTTTTTGCTTTAATTACTTTCAACACATAATCATTAGTAACATCAAATTGTTGAACAATCAACTTGACTATCATGATATTTTGCTCAGGATAATGTGAATTGACATGCAAACTTGAATGTAACTTAAAAACATTTTAATGTGAAGGCGTTTGTTAATATGGTCAAGGTTGAAATACATATTAAAGCCAAGTTGATAAACCATTTGACTGACCAGTAAATTGATTATTCAAGTAGTTGTTTTGTTTTTGTATGGTTAACTCCTTATTATAACGCATTTATTTTTGCTTGTTAATCATGTTTAACCTTAACTTTACATTCATACAAATCAAAGGAAAGTTAAAATGTGATCCTTAAAATCGTTAATCTTTCCTTAAAACTTCCTACGATTTTCACTTTTAATCCACAATTAATCATTGACATTGTTGAACATTTAATTTTAGTCTCTTTTTGGTTTCAATCAAACAGTTTAGCACAATTAACACCAAACTGTTAGTTGGGTCAGCAAAGATTGACAACCAAGATAAGGTTGAAATGAAAAACTGGTGAAATTGAAGGAAAAAAACATCATTAAAACTGGTTTAGAAAGTGAATTACAATTAGACTTTTTTTCACTAAAATTATGTATCAATTATTTAAATAATAGATGATTGAAGGGGCAGCATCGAAAGGTTGGTTGCTGCTGTAATACAAAGGCTAGGTCAAGTTTAGGTTAAAGCCTAACACACCTTACAGTCAAATATTGGCTGAAATTTTCAATTAACCAGAATCAGAAGATTGTAATCTAACAATCTTTGGTTGGAAAACAATTTATCACAATTTCTTGTAACAGTGATGTTTAATGAGAACAACAATCAATTTGTATCATCAATGAATTTTAAGGCATCTTCACAAGCCTTCAATATTTCCTTCGTTTCTCTAGCTTTCATCATTACAAGTTGTATCTTTATCTTGTACCATTAATAAAATTGATTGTTGTCCTGTTGTTTTTATTGCATCTTTTTAATCATTACTATTTACTATCATCAGTATGATTATCATTACCATTCCAAGTCAATCTATTATAAATATATTCACCAATGATTGGCATTAATAGTTTATTTCTAACTGATATTTTCTTTCTCTTCTTTTGCTCCGCCATTTTCTGGTTCGCCATCATTTGTCAGGTTACTTTTAAACAATACGAATCTCTATTGCCGAAAAAAGCCATGAAAAATGAAAATAATGGCCCACTTAATAATAATCAGCTTGATCACCTTCAATCTTCAAACAGTTGCAACCACAATAGCAGCAATTTGGTAAGTTGTACTTGTAATTGTGTATTATTTTGATGTTTAACAATTTTGTGATTTGAATGTACATATTAATTCATAGTCTATCACTATTAGCCATTTTTTACACACTTTATCGTCAGAATTTTGATGATATTGGAAAGTGTTCATGTTTCAAGTGAACAGCTCTTGAAACCACCAATCATTCACAATTACGGGTTGACCAGTTAAGGTTAGTTTTCGTAGCTTGCCATTTGTTATAAAATCTGTCCAACATTTACAATTCCGTGATAAATTCAATCGGTAGTCAGGTTTTAATGCTGTCATTTTGAAATGGTCGACCTCCAATAGCATCCAGTTTTTAGGGTGATAAATGTTTAGAGATAAAACGGAGAACAATGGTTGACAGAATTGAACAATTTTCAGCCAAATGGGTCTTTGAAACAATAAAAATCAAGCTTTGCTTCTTGTTTTTTGTCCAACCACATTACTAGCATCATTTAACTTGATGATGATCGGACATCAGTTCCTAAAGGTAAATAACATGGCTTTGACCGAAAGGATGGAAATGTTGTTGATCTTTTCGTTAACCGCTTAATTAAATCCTTTTTCACAGCTTTTTGTTTCATCATCTCAAATGTAATTTAAGGCAATTGTATTAGGTTTTATGTTAGCAGCCAACTTCCATTTGTATTGAATGAACCTAAGTAAACATAAAAGAACAAAAAAACTGTATTAGGTTTAAATTGATTGAGTATCAATGAAGCTTAATGTTAAATTATTGAATTGATATGGACAAGTTGAATGACTTTTCAATCCATTGACTTGAATCACTTTATGGTTTATCCTTTGTGATAATAATCATGATTCTTTCTTCTCGATGATTACATCCGTTTTTCTGTAAATTCAACGATCAAAAAATGCTTTCAAGATGATAATGTATCTCCATTTCAAGATAAAAATGAAACATTTAATGCACCAGAAAAATTTGAATATAAAAAAAACAGAAACATAGGCAGACTGATAAAGACAATCAAGTTTATCTACTGTCAACTTTTAAATGATTGATTTAGATTGATCTTTCTGATCAATATAACGTTGTTTGCCTTCGAGAGAAAGTTCAAAATATGATGATGATAATAAGTGGTGAAAAGGACTCAAATTTTAATACTCAACAAAAATAATGATCCAATGATTCCTTATACCATGAAGAGATAGACTGGATAAAAAAGGATATTAACTGGTCCATATTTCCGTACACTTAAGTTAAATAACATTGATTGTTTCCAAGCATTTTAGTGGTCACGAGAAGTGGAATTAAATAAAAGATGAGTTCCGAATCCAGAATGTGAATATTGGTAAAAATATAAAAACCAGATTAATTTCGTTCAAGTAGAGATCTCTTCTTTGTCAGCCATGTTTAAAAAACTTGATATAATCCACTGCCAGCTTGAACTGCAACACGAAACAAGACACACAGTTGAAGGTAAATTACGTAAAATTGTTTACTGATGAATCTATCTCATTTCGTGGTCATTATTGTTCACAAGATGAAATATGATCATGTTTACTTGATTCTCCTTTTACCAGTTTCTTTGGTTGCTAACAAATAGCTGATAGAAATAAAAAAAGTAACTAGAATCTTCTTTATTCCCGCTTTAAGTTGACTTGATTATTCATCCAAACTGTTTACTCATAGTTTACTGCAAGGGTTAGTCAAGTGACTAAATCTTATTGGTTAAACCGATTCTTCTTTGTTTCCAATGGCTATTCTATTCTTTATTTCATTTTATTTTTTCTGTTATCAACTTGCAAATGGTTGCTAACTTTATTATAATCATCAGTTCAACTTGTTTGCTGTGTATATTTTGTTGAACATCAAAATCAACACTTCTTGATATATTAGGTTGTCCCGATCAAAGCGGGAGCGACTAAAATTGGAATATTTTCTGATCTAGATCGTGATCATTTATAATTTTGAGTTTATTCGAAAGGTAATTTTGTCCACTTTAAGATAACATAATTTAAAACTCTCTAGGTCAGTGCCGATTAAATAGAAAATTCATAATTCATTAAAGAGGAAAATTTGAATAGGGAAAATTAACATGGGAAAATTGAAAAAAATGAAAATTTTTCACGAAATCGAAGGGTACTCATGACTTCAAAATCATTTGCCGCCTGTTTTGGTGCAAATTGTGGACTTTTGATATTGATAAATTTATATTTGGACTTTATGCACACCGAAAAATCTGAATTTCGGCCTCAGAACACATGTTTAAAAAAAATAATACAGAATAAAAAGGCCACTTTTTCGATTTGACCTTTTCGCTCTTATTCACGTTTCTCTAACAATTCGAATTTTATTTGAAAAAAATGAATTGAATTTTCGGTGTCTGAGTAAATGGCCTTTTGAATGAGCTAAAGCATATGATTATGTACCATATATGTCGAAAGATATTTCACTTTTAGTGTCTCCCGCTTTGATCGGGACACCGTAATAATATTACGCCAAAAACCAGATTATGTTTACTCAAGTTTCGGATTGTTCATCATAATGATTTGGCAACTGAGTCAATCTTTCAATATGCTTTGTCTTTGGTTAGTAAACTGGTGATGATAAAATTATTATATTTAGACACTAAACTACCATTGTAATCATCTAACCAGCCGATCGCCTTAACTCAATCCAACATTTTGTTTCTAGTGATTCAAGGGTTTAAAATGGACATTCAGTGTTTTCATCTCACATCGGATTGTTGACTTGATTTTGCATTTTTTGCTTGCTAACAAATTAGACTCACATTGGATTGTTATCTCAAACCTAAAACTGGCAAACAAACAGTTATATTGTTGGTTGATTACCCACTCAAGGTTACCCGATAGATTCATTCATTTATTATCTGGTAGACTGGTGAGATTGATAAAACCTTACATATGGTTTAATCACTGAACAGAGATCATTTACCTTAGTTTGATTGTACACGAAAGGAAAAGTGATTTCCTTTTATAGATTATAATAATCAATGGAACAATTAGATTTTCCAGTCTTTCTTTTTATATATTCAATCTCTAGTTGTGATTAAAAGTTGAACTAATCACTGATCCAGTAAAGCTGTGAGTTTCCTTAGGCAACCTTGAAGCCTTTGGTTTATTCATAGTTACCATTGTGATTATCATAGCCATTGCTTGAATACATAAGAAGCATATGGTTATTTGTTAACAGCTTTGCTCATTGATTCCTGGCCGTTTTAATTGTTACATCCTTGATTATCTTTATTGTTTCTCTTGTGATTAATGTGGTTATTTATATACTCTGTGGATCGTGTAACCCAGGTGATTACATTAAACATTTAGGACATCATCATGATCATCATCATCCTCATTACATTGGATACATCTATGTTGATGGATTGACCATTGTCATCAAAAACGTTCCTTCCAATTTAGTGAATCCATTCTCTTGTTTTTTTCACTTTTCGTTAACAAAACGTGATTTCATTACATTTAAAAAGTGAAAACAATTTCTTCTCTATTGTTAGATTGTGTGTGAAAAGTGATTCTGATTTACCTGTCCTTGATTTGAGGAGCAAAATCCAAAATTTTGAACTGTATCATTGTTTTTAACAAACATTTTCATGTTAACGAAGACTTTTCCATGGCATGCAAGTTGAAATATATTGATTGTTTTCTGCCGTCATTTTAAGTAACATTGACCCAATGTGAGTAAAAAAAGTGGTTAGTAGCAATTCTCATGTTAAATATCAATGATTTATTGACCATTACTGTTAAATATATACAAGTTTCTTACATTAATTTTCAGGAAATTGTTATTTGAATTGTATATCTTTACGTTCAACTTTTTCCCTCAAACCTATTAGTTTTGTTTAGTCTCAAGTTACTCTTGCAAGATGTTGATGATGGAAAAGTGAAAATAAATAAAACAATCAAATTGACTGAGGAAAAAATATGATTTTGTTACTCATGATCATGATGACTTTAAATATTGTTTGTTGAATCTGTTATTTTTGTAATTGTTTTCCCGATTGTTATCATTGGATCAAATTGACCTGCCTTCAGATGGAACATCAATGATGATGATCAAAAGGAGAATGAATTTATCATGAGAAACCTTGAGTTTTTCTGTGATCATGATAATGATAAGTCGATCAATAATCAATCAGTTTTTCTCAACCTTATTACAATATTTTCCTTTCTTCTCAAAATGGACAAAGTTATCATTGATTGATAGACAATTTTGATTGATTTAATTCAAACAGATTTTATCATCTGTTTTTTATTCGGTACCAAACAAGAAATGATAACAGTTCAGTTGAGATGAAAAATATCAATAGTTGAACAGTCATGCAAAAAAATGGGAATAAAATGTTATTTTGAAACAAATAAAAAATGGTGAGATAATGCTGAGTTTTTTCAAACTCAGATTCTGCTGCTACAATTTGCGTCACTTTAACAATTTATTTTGCAATTTAGCTTTTCATGTAAAAAGGTTTACTCTCACGTAATTTTTCCTTGTGAATTTATCGTTAAATCTGACAGGAAAGAAAACTCTGGATATAAACAGAATTGGCAGTCACATCATCATCATCTTTTTTTGCAAAATCATAGCAATGAACATAATAGTAATCATTATGATGAAAATAAGCTAACAATTGTACGCTGTTGATGAAAATAATTTTTCCCTAATATTTCTTTATTACCATCAAATTGCCATTTATTTTAGGTGCTCTTTTCAATCAGACTTTTTATAGTCATGGGTCTGAGAAATTCAAAGAAAATCTTGTATCTCAAGTCTAAATGTTTAAATGCTAACGTAAGTTTACCTCGAGGACATTGCTCATAATTTATTGTACTTCTTTCACTTCGTTTCAAGTAGTAAATTCACAATTTTGTTCATTTCCCTGTTGAGTAATTAGTCTTTTTAAATGATTCCAGGATAACTCGAGATGTTTCGCCTTCTTCATTATAAAAGCATGATTTCTGATGGAATTGAAGATAATATCTGTAACTGATTAAGTGTGAATTGATTCCTTTGATTTCCATCCAAGGATAAAACTTGTCATTTTCATCAATTGATATCATTTTTTCACTAATCATTCAACCTTTTTCTCTCTCGTTTTGATCGTTTGATGATGAAGCAAAAAAAGTTGTTTTGATGGTTTTCTTCCTCATTTTTCTCCACGTTTCTTCATCGATTTTTCAATGATGTTGACTTTCAGGGTTATCAGGGTAAAATGGCTTTAGCTGTTTACTCCATTGAAAAACGCTACTAATCAGAACACGAATTGCTAGAATGGGATAAAAGAAAAAGTATTATTAGCAAAAAATGATAGATTTTTTTGAATAACGTGAAATAGTCAGCTATGAAACTTGAATGACGGAAAGATAATTTGTTAGATTGAAATGAAATGAGTTTGCTAAGGACAACTCATTTGTTACTACAACACAGAATAATGATGATGGTGATGATGATGATATTAATAATAATAATGCTGTAATAACAATTGCATGATTATTAAATGTATTACTATCATTGTATTTTGTCTCTCTTATATCATGTTTTTTTTTCTCTTGGCTCTGTTCATCATTAAGAAATGAAAATCAGGATATAAGAAACTAAATTGAATTGATAAGAGTCAGATATCGTCAGATGTTAACGCACTGAAGAGGAAGGAAAATGAACGATAATTATGAGAATTTGAAAAGAAGATTTGCCCAGAATTGTCAAAATCTTGACGGATATCTAAAGTCAAAGTTGGATCAAGAGTCAATCAGTTTCTGGTTACTAAAATGTACTGTTGAAGTTAAAAACATCTCTTTTGGTGGGCAAAAGATTTTTGTTAAGGGTCACTCGTGTGTCTCTCTGCTTTTGTGGGACCTTGACGGGCTTGGTTGTTGTTAATGGGAAATCCATTGAATGCACTTCTTCTTGTTTCCTTCTTTTCACCATTACTTAATCTGCAACAAAATTAACTTACAAAGCTTAAGTGTTCATACACGATTAGGTTATTTGTTTGCAAGCTTTGGTCTTTTTTGGCCAGATTCAATTGTCGATTGTATTGATTGAATGGTTTTTTCTTTCCTTTTATCATTTGTAAAAGCTCGTGTAACTCAATAGACTCATGACAACAGGAACAATAACTGTTTAGTTAAATAATCGTACGGCATGGTTGAAGAATCAGCTCAAAGGATTATCACTTAAATTAACCAAAAAGAACAGCTTTATCTTTTTTCATGTGATCCTGTAAAAAGATTTCACCATAATTCTTGGGTAGCTTTTACTGCTCATAAAAAAAACTTCAGGCAACCAAATGAGCTTATCACAGTCAGCTTACTTCATGGTTTTTGGTCATGTTCATTTCTGTTTCCTGTTTAGGTCTTGACTTATCACTATTTTGCTTTATGGTTTCAAGTTAATAATTGTATTGTAGCTGTTTATTATGAAAACAGTGGACAACAGCCGACAGACTTGAACACAAGGTTGTCATCCTCTTTTACATCTCCTTTTTCATGTGTATAACTTGAGTGTGTGTGAACTGATGAAAAGGACTATCAAAACATCAAATCAAGTTTGTCCCAACGTCACGTTAGCACGCAATTATTGACCTTGTGAAGATTCAGATGTGAATTAAGGTCGTGATAGGATTCTTCTTTCTCAGTGTTTTGGAATTGAGTTCCTTACTTCATCTTAATCAATTCTCTTTTCCATCTCTCTCTCCTAATTGTTCATTGATTCAACATTCTGATTGCTAGTTTCTTGTTATCCAATTACCGAGACGTTATCAGATCTTATTTTCTTTCTTCCTTTCTGCTCACTTGGTCATTTAATTGCCAACTTTATTAGTCTGTTAGGAACATGATGGAAACAATAAATCACTGGACAATGTTATTTCTCATTTGAACGTATTCTGCTTTATAATGTTATTCCCACCTTACATAACAATAGTAACCTGTATGGAGAGAAAAGAGGAAGAGTAAATTATTAAGTTTGAGATTAACGATGCATCAAAAAAGCGAGTGAAAATTGAAATATAAAATTTAGTTATTTATGGTAGAATCAACAAATAGAAATTCAAAAAATAAAACTTGATGGAAGTTAATTTCATCTCTAGGATAGAGAAAGACAGAGACAGAGAGCAAGTGAATTCAATTTAAAATGGGTCAACTTAATCAGTCACATAAAGCTTATTCAATTGGCCTCAAAGTTTGCCTCAATAGATTGACCATGAAAACAAAATGGTTCAATAAAAACAGTTGAAAAAGAATGTGAATTATTACCATTGATCACCACGAGAGTTTAAATTAAGTCGTCATTCTGTTTTATCACGTTGCCATCGTTAATGGTCAAGAAGAGAGTCACATTTACACTGGTCATTTTGAAATTTGGGGAAGAAAATTAATGGTCATTTTAGTGGTTCAATGATGAAAAATATCAGCAAAAAAAGATAAAATAAAGGTGGATTTGATATGATTTACAACTTACATGGTTATTTTTTTCAAAGATCTGTATGATCCATATGATCTATGAACCATAACGGTGAAGCCCATTTTTGCCAATAAAATTCAAATCCATACAACCATGATAAATCCATGAACTGTAGATCATAAATCACAAATATTGATGTTGAAAAACTTGATGAGAAAAAAAGGAAAAACCAAGCTAAAAAATTCAATAAGATAAACTGAATAAATTAGTTAACGATTATTTAAAAAAACAAAGAAGAGTTTCATAGCTTTTCCGTTGCGAGTCTCTTCTTGCTTACTCAACTTTCTTTAATCCTTTGTTAAGGAGGGAAAAGATAAAGAGAGACAAAAGATTTTGATGATAAACTATGATTAATATTTTGCTGTTAACTGTTGGAAGCACGTTTAATTGCTGTAAAGACACCAACGCCTAAAATATCTTATGATCACAAGTTCACATTTTAAATTGACCGTTAAAAGTGTCCTTTTTACGTCTTGATACAAAAGAAATACATTTCTCTTTGTCTTTTAGTCCTGTTTGTTTACAATTTAATTCCCGGTCCTATTGAAAATTTGAATCCTGTGAAAAAACGTTTACTTCAACATTTCATTGCTGCTAAAAACAAAACCATGTACATTTCAATCACAAACAGTTAACACTTTCAAAATTTGTCTTTTGAATTCAATCTTGATTAACTTGACGTTCTTTTTCTCAACAGAAATCACAAAACGACCATATGAACTTGGAGACATCTTTAGACAATAGGATTCACTCTTTTGATCATCATGAAACCTCTACTGGTGATTTTAATGATCCATTGAGTATTCTTCTTTTAGAAAGGATTCGGTTACTGGAAGAAGAAAATTCAAACTTAATTGCTGAAAGTGAACAACAACGTATTCAATATGAAAAATGTCTCGATGATGTTGCTGCCAGTGTTGTTAATGCATTGTTATCACAAAAGGTAAGCACAACGTTTTTTCATTTCTTAATTATGCTGGTTGAGTTACCTATTATATTGGAAAAACCTTTTTGTTTGATATTTTTATAAGACTAGACTTGTGTTTGCTAAAGAAAACAATTGAAAATTAATCATATTGCAATAAAGATTAGTTAGTTTCAACAATGAAAGCAACTCTTTGTGTATTTCAATGATTAATCTGCCTGATTGGATAAATTTTCACCCTTTGTATAACCTATTTAAAATTTGAATGATTCTCTAACAGTTTGACGCTAATTGTGTCTTATTACGTTTTTAGCAGATCGCAAGGCTTAATTTGGTGAATTGAAGCCACCAAATTTTTCTAATCAAACCATTAAATTTTAATAACAAGGATTAATCCTTTTATTCAGCTGCTTTTTTTGTGTTTGTCGAAACAATTGCTACATTTTTTTTATCTTTTTTTTATTTACAGAATCTTCGTCAAGAATGTGTTCAATTGCGACGACGTGTGCGAGAATTGGAGCAACAGAATCAATTGATAACCCTTGTCCTAGAAGAGCAATTAGTGACTTCAAGCAATAAAAGTAAATCGGATGCAACATTGATAAATAATTTCAACAATAATCACTTGATTAATATCAAAAACAAAGATACATTAAACAATGTTAAGACATGTTCAAAAGATTCATCGATTGTTAACAATCATCAAATATATTTAACAACAAACGGATCATCGTTTTTGCCACTTTCATCATTAGGCGTTGGAAAGCTTAGTTCTGATAAATTGGATGACAATGGAATAACAAATGGTGATGATGATTCTAATAGACCTGCCAGAAATGATAATTTAAATTATACTGATAGTCAAACAAACGCAATCATCAACAGTGAATATATTTCACCATGTTCATATCTTTCATCAACTTCCTCCTCCAACTCACTTCCAACATCATCCTCTTCCGGACTCTCTGAAATGGCTCGACAATTTGAGCAAGCCTTATCCTCCTTGTTAACTGATTCAACTTCACCCAAAGAAATGGCATATCAACCAACAAAGGCACTATCATCATCATCGTCATCCTCAACCTCTTCACCATCTTCCTCGTCAAACAAATTACCCAAAGATTCTACTGTATTGTATTCCAATGAGGCCAACTTTTCAATAAATACCGCAAATGAAGTTCAATCAATAACATTTGTGAAACCAGTTAACACCAGAGAAACCATTAAAACTCGGAAATCATCGGTTGAGCAAATCAAGATGAAAATGGACCAAGAAGCTGGCTTAAAAGGAAAGGAGAAATACGTTCTTGTTAACGATGAAGCCGGTTATTGTTGGCGAACCTCATCTGATCGAAATGAAGTTGATAAAGAAATTGATGATGTTGATGGTGTCTCAGGGCCTATTAACTGTTCAAACGGGTCATCAACCGGATTGAGACAATTAACCAGACCATCAAGAGAAAGTTTTTTAACCTCCCTCAAAATGGAAAAAGATTCATCTCTTTATCCAACCTCAAGGTAATTATTTTCTTTCTCTTTCATCTTGATCATATTTTATGATGAAAAATCGCCTCGTGCCTCTTTCTTCTTCTTTTTAGACGATAACTCTTTCGCTAATATCTTCAAGTCATTGTTGATTAATCACACTTCGTTTAGTTGATAACGTTGATGATGACTTCTTCCTAAATTAGACTCTAATTGTGCATTCGTAGGCGAGACTCAAGTCTCGACAATTTATTTTCATTTTTGATTGTGATGATAATTTACCTTCTGGGCTGGGTCCATCTTACTGTTTTATTTTGATTGTTATTATTATTATTATATCATCATCCACAATCAAGGTCATTAATCAAGTGTTTGTTTCAAACGTTTCAAGCTATATTTTTGAATTTATTTCAATCAACTCTAAAGGATTGGCCTTTTATAATTATAATTTAGTGTCTCTATTTGTAATCAAAGTATATTCATTTATTCAATCATCTTTCAATTTGTATCATTATTAGTTTGTTGATTACTTGATCAGTTATGCTGTTGGGTGCAAAAATTTTGTCTCCAATCTTATGGTTACAATAGCCTCTAGTTTGTTGAACGCATCCATTATTATAATTGTATTTAATTTTGCAAAGGGTTAAAAAGGGTTTAACCATTCATTTATAATAATATCATCATCAACCATTATCATTGTTACCATCAAAATAATCATGATTATTCAAATATTGTTTTTCCTCATCATCTTGTCGTTTCATGTATAAATCCCAAATTGATAGGTAAAAGTTCAACCATGTTTTGGTAGTAATTAACTTGTTAATTGAAATTATCTTCTGGCTTAAAAACATTTACATTTTGATGAAGCCAGCAACAGAAAACCCATTGACTAACAACAACAAACTAATTATGATTACAAATTGGTTGCAAATTAGTCCACCTCTAACCAACCTCCATAAGCTTTTCTAAATGTTAAGTGTAAATTAACCCTTTACTGTAAATAGTTATTCACACATTTTTTTACCTCTCATATTAATTGTTTTGCTAGAGTTAATTGATGAATTTATGGTCAATTGATTAGTTACCCATTTCTGAATTGCCGTAAGCTTTTTTTAACACACTTTCACCTTTAATTATTTATACAAAAACAGTTCACTAATCAACCTTAATTATCAACACAATGGGCTAACCCTATTTTAGCAACAATCAATTACAACCTGGGTTTTAGGGTTAAAAAAACATGTCAATATAACTGTAACTTTGATTCTGTAGATTCTGAGATTTATTAATTTTCATGTTTTTTATTGTGAGAAAAAAATGTGGAACGGAAATTTAGATAATTTTCAAAGTGACTTCTAATGCGCCTTAATTTGGGTTTACATTGATTGTTGAATTGTTGGAAATTGTTTTGTTGATTGAATTCATAACAATCAATCAATCATAAACAACTTACAGGAAAAAATGATTAAATTGTTCAGTTAAGATTAAGTTAATAATGACGATGAAATCATAATCATCTTCTTCCTTCCAAAAAAGCTTCTTGAGTTTACAAATTTCAAGCTAAATCAACCTTTGATAATAGTGATATTTATATCATCATTATGTTATAAATTAAACAACAGTAAAAATTACGAATCATGTTAGGACTTAATGTTAGACACATTTGTATACCTTTTTTACCCTTGACTATTATTGCCATTGATTAGGTTCCTTTGCTTTGTGTTAATCATGAGCAATTTTGTTGCCTCAAAGTAACTTTCTGGTAACTGAGTTATCTATTGTTATGGTGAGAGATGAACATGAAAAAAGGATGAACGACTAAAGTTACTTGAGCAACTTACATTGTAAAGGTCATTCTTCTATCAGTCCATTTTACTATTTCTCACAATAATATTGACCATGATTTTGACCTGAAATTTTGATCTAAAATTCTGCTGCACATTATCATTACAATGTGGTGTACTTAATAAGCTAAAATAAATTTAACTTTACTATTCATTTGTATTTAATAATATCCATTAACAATGCTATTGATGTCAAAAGATTCCATGATTTTTAGTCATCATCATTGTCTAAAAGATCCTTATTTAGGTTGAGCTCGGCAAGATTTGATTGTTGATTAGCTTGTTTATCAATATTGGATGTAAATAAAACATTTTCACTGTGATTCTGTTTTATGCTTTCAGCTTTAGTTTCAAGTTTTTTCCATGAATATTTAAAACCTTGTCCGTTTCAACTCACCTTTATATTGTTATTTTATCAACATGAGCTTCTTCATAATTAGGGAATTTTTTGCACGTAAATGATAGGAGTTATTTGTAGTACCAATTGAAGTTACTCAGAGCTTTATCAACTTTCGTGCTCAAGTGTACAAATTTTTTTGTTTCCAATATTAATTTTGTGCTAAACTTCACATTAAAACCATGTAAAGGCAATTAAATACTTGGCAATAATAAGCAATTATCATGGTTTGATTAAATATTTTCTCATTTTTTGTTCTATGAAAATTGCTACTGTTTAGAGTCTGTCATTTGCTGAACCCATTTTCCTGTAATTAAGTTTCACTTTACTTCAAAGACTAACATTTTGTTCTCTCTTTTTCAGTGATTTTCATTCTTTATCGGTTAATTCCAATGGAGCTTCCATTCTGCCTTCATCTTCACCATCAATGTTTCCATCATCATTAGGTCAAGGTCAATCTATTTCATCACCAACAACAACAACAACAGAAACCGTCACATCGAATGAACCTGAAAAGTTATCCAGAAAAATTAGGGAGTCTTTTGAGTCTGATTGTTGTCGATCAATGAAAAGACCTCACTATTCATTCAATAATAGGAATCACAATGTTGAAAGTTATAAAGAAACAAGGTCTTCGCAATATTCCGGAAACTGTTTGCCCATACAGAGCATGAGCGAGATAAACTCGAAGCTTGGTTACCAGTCCAATATAATCGATCGAAGTGGAGAGCAAATCAGAAGAGATGATTTGATATCAAGTAAACCAAGAACAACAATAACAGAAACATCAACATCAACAGCAGTAGCAATAAAAACAATATCACCTTCAACTTCAGTTTCATTATTTGATGATAAGTTAAAATTATCCTCAACCAATTTAATTGATTTAACCAAATTAAAGTCATCACCATCTAATCAAATTTGTTCACTTGTTAACACTTCTCAAAAGAAGTCATCTTCTAATATCAATCTGGTTCATAATCTTACATCAATCCATTCTTCCTCTTCATCCTCTTCCTCCTCCTCATCCTCTCTGCCTCCTTCTTCGTCTTTAATCCATTCCTCTACTTCATCGTCACTTTCATCAGCCTTGGCTGGATCTCCGTTATCATCATCATCATCATGTTCATCGCCCAAGAAAATATTGTTTGACCGTAATGCCGATAATGCTGAGACATCAAACCTTGATTCTAGTCTATTTCAAGTTAATGCGAGATCAAATCAACAAGAAAAACGGATTCTTTTCATTTTGGCCTCCAATCAGCCTAATCCTTCCTCCATCTCATCGTCGTTGTCATCTTTTTCTTCCGCCTCATCATCCTCGTCCTCATTTTCAATAGAGAAAAGCAGCTGTGATAACAAGTCGATTAATAAACCAATCAATTTGGAACTACGAGCATTATCGAGTTCATCAAGTGATTCTAAATCAATTCCATCACTGGATAAAGATAGTCCAATATCAGGTGAAATTTCATCTGATGCTAATGGAGAGCTTGGCAGTAAGGATGAAGGTTATTCAACAATGTCCAGTGATGTTCAAAGTGATGCAACCTTATCTGGGTCATCGTTTATTTCAAACAATAACGCAAACGTCACCATCAACAGCACAAACACCATTTTCCCTGTTAATCCATCAATCACTAAACAATCAACTGAAAGCAACTCTGGTAAAACTATTTTGATTGAAAAGCAAAATTTTACCACGAGTAAACCTTTACCATTATCAGCTCTCGTTTCAAAGCAATCCTGTGAAACGGTTGAAATAAGATCAACAATGGGAGTAAACGGATCGACAACGCCAATCCCAATGAAATTATCAGCTGTTAACCCGATTGTCGTAGGATCTTGTCGACTTACAACTTTCAAGGATCTTCCAGAAGATTGTTTAATTAAATCAACAATATCAACCCAAAATACCTCATTCACCTCTTCCAATGATAATTGTAATAATAATAACACTAAAATGGATGTTTTACGAGAAGAAGAGGATTGTATAGAGAAAGACAAGAATAAATCCACCGAAGATTATAATTTGAACAGTAATTGTTCAAAAACAGCTACAAATGGTAACAAATCATCTTGGTCAGATAATTGTGAGACGCATAACCTAAACAGTTCACAATTAACAAGACAACCTTATATGGATATTATGCGTAAGTCAAAAAAGAGTAATCATCCTCATAGATATACATTTCCACCTACATCAAAAGCCGTTACAGTTGATGGTATTGAATGTACACCTTGTGTTGTCAGTGACTTTAAACCTTCATTGCGAGCTGATTTTAAATCCATAGGCTTTCTGTGTAACTCATTAACCAAAAAATCAACACAATCCATTGATTCGAATGGTTGGCCAAAGTCAAGGTTAATTGATACAACTGAGAAAGTTACTGATTTTTGTGATAAAGATGGATCAATCTATTTGAACCATTGCATTGTTACAAACAATGATGGTGTTGATGATGTAAAGATGAATAGTGAGAAAAGTTTAAATGCAGTTGATACTAATGGTGATAAATTTGATGATAAAATTGGTCAAACAAATATTAAGGCTGAACCTGTTCGAAGTAGAAGATTAACATCATTCAAAGGTGAAATGATTAAAACGGATGACAAGGAATCTGATTTAGAAACAGATGAAAAGGGTTACAATGAAAATGGAATAGTAACCTTTAAAGTTGGTAAACCTGGATTCAAAAGGAAATCGATAATAGTGGCTCATTGTAATCATGTTAACAAACCTGGAAGCTCAACATCATTGTCATCATCTGCTGGATCTCATTCACTAAGTCGATCTTATTCAGATTCACAATTGTATTCAGACTCTAAAGATAAAATAGCCTCCATTGGAAAGAAACGGGCCACTCATGAAACCACTTCTACCTGTAAACCATCTGTTTTAATACGTCGACGAGTTAAACGTGAGACAAGAGCTTGTAATCAGTCTCTTCGATGGTCAACTTTATCAACTTCGAGCTCGGCTTTATCTGATGGTTTAGAAGCTCCTATTTGTTATGAAAGAAGGCGATGTCGTCCTCGACCAACTGATTTACCTGTTAAATATATTTCCAGTGATGAAAATCATTCGGCTGATGATGAAGATAGCCATGAAAAATTTGTTTCTCGATGGCTTCGTAATGGAACTGGTGGACTTCGATGGGACGATTCAGAGGTTACTTGGAAATTAAATGAATCACTTGACTGGCCTGAATCTATGGATTACATTTCTTCAAAGAAAGATGACAACTTTGAAGAGATTCCCCTGTTGGATGATGAATCAGATAAAATTGAAATTGTAACCAGTGTCTTACCCTGTTCTTCAAAAGCTGAGATAGGTGATAATTCATCTGACATGGCTTCATCTGTTCTAGATGATAATTTGGTGCCTGAAACTAATTTCAATGGAGATTTTTATCGTCTTTGCTCTGTTGGATCTAAAACGAGTTTACCTGAAGTGCCAGGTCTTTTATCGTCAACATCATTCCCATTAACAGATGTTAAAGAACAAGAGAGTGTCCCTGAAAATGATAATTTATCATCTTATTCTGTGGTTAAAGAAAGTACTGATGATATTGGTTTGAATGAAATTAAAATCATTCAAAAACAATGCCTAGATGCTAATCAAGATGATGAAGAAATTTTAGTTATTACGACTGATGTTGTTGATCATTCAGTTGAATCAAGTGATCAACAAAAAGAGTCAATGAAACCTTCATCAGAATCAACATCATTAACATCTCAGCTTCCAGTCAAGTCTTTACACCATTCATTGGCCATAAAAACGGAATCAAAGGAACAAGAAAAACCTAACAATGAATTGTTAGAAAGTAAAACTGATGATAAAATTGTCATCATAAATCATATTCCAATCAATCCTTCAACGACAAAAAGCTCATCCTGCACTTCAACTACAACTTCAATCACCTCACCAACCAAAAGTCTTTCTCCCTGTTCATCAAATTTCTCTCTCAAATCAAGCAATTCTGGACAATCTTCTTCTACTGATAAATGCAGACAAACAAAATCTACAATCAATCCAAGTACGGGCTTAAAGGAAAAGAAACCTCTGAAGACGTTTAAATCGCCGGTCAAAGAATCAACAGCGATAATTGTTACTAACAAAAACAAGGAAAACCAAGAAGAAAATGTTAAAGAGCGATCAACTCTTCGTGACTGCAATAGAACTGAACGAAGCTCAGAAAAGGGTTCAGAAAATGCTTCTCTCTCTTCATCGTCTCAAACGCGACCAATCCCATCTTTAATCAAATCTCATTCATCCAATTACGCAAAATTATCTTCAGCAACACGAATTCCATTACCTAAACAAAGTAACTCTTTGGATCAGATTAAAACAGTTAAGGATGTTAAATTAAGGCATGACACAACTGAAATCGGTGAACGTATGAGTACAAAAAATTTAATCGCTAAATTTTCCGCAAACTCTAAAAAACCAACCAAACAAGAGCTAACCAAAAGCTCAATCAATAATAGTAAAATAAATAATTCTGATTCAAATTCAACTGGACTGATTTCTGCAAATAGCAGCAAAAATGAGGAAAAGTCTGAAAAAGTCAAAGAATATATTAAAACTGTGGAAACTAAAAGACTAAGGAGTGAAAAGAGTTATAATGCATCACGAAAAGCAACCGATGTTCCTGCAAACGAATTGAAATCACCAACAGCTCCAAGTGTCGAAGAATTTGAAAGGCGACTTTCCGAGGATAAACAGATGGCTGAAAAGATTAAGGAATTTTATTCTCTATTTGAAGAAAGACAATCATTTAATGTTGAATGCTCATCAAATAAGAGTAAGGTTAATAATAGTGATAAGCCAATATTGGAAAGTATTCAATGTAAATTAAATTATCCGAAAGCTATTTTAAGACGTCCTAAAGGAGAACCTTCAAAGACTTCGAAAGAAGGTCATGAAACATCCTGGGTTCATGTAAGTGGTTTCAGTGTTGGTAAATCGGAAAATTATGTGGAAAAGCCAACGTCATCATCATCAACAGTCATCAATGTTAATAAAAATTCGACTAGTAAATTGAGTTCAGACTCATGCTCAAGTGAGGATGAAGCTAATTTCAATTTTAATGGGAAGAGAAGATCATCTTTTCATCAGCGTCTTTTAGCTCTTCACCGGTCTAGAAGACAACGAAAACGAGGTAATTATCTCTTACTATTTCAATTTAATTTAAATTTATTGTCAGTTCATTTTTTAATTTTCATCTTTTTTTCTTTCAAAAGCATCTGGTCGTTATATGGGTATGGGATTTTTGCCCAGGATAAGAGCATCTATCGTGGACAGGCTTGATTTTTACCACAGATTCGGTGAAAAAGAGCAAAAAGCTTTATCATCATTCAACTTTCTCAATGAATTCTCGATTTCGCCTTTATCTTCATCGTCATCTTCACCAGTCATTGAATGTTTTGAGAAATTTGCTGAAGAACAGAAACTATTGATTCGTTGTTATTTAAATTCATTTTCACAATTATCTCAATCATCATCACTACCAGCATCATGTTCACCACCATTCACATCTAAATGGCCTCAATCACCCTCATCATCATCATTGAAATGTTCACCTTCTCGGCATCAACCATCTGTAGCTGAACACACAAATTATATCAATGATTCTGACTTGAACAGGAAGACCATTGGAACTGATTATGTTGATCTAATTACTCCAAATAGTTTTGTCTAAAGCCAGAAATGGATTATTATTGTAGCCATGAAGACGATTATTTTTTTTCTCTGTTATTAACCGCAACAGATAATCAACATTTACTGAAAAATGGTTTCTTTTAGTTTTATTATGAAGAAACTCATTGTAAAAGAATCAAAGCAAAGTTAGAATTGATAATCACCAAAGGAAATTGGTACCAATAGAAAGATGCTTAGAATGAAATATCATTGTCTGAATTTGATAACAGACTAATGTTATTCCAATCGATATATATCATGATGAATCATATTTTAAATTAATTGGAGGCAAAAGCGAAAAAAAATTGTAACAAAATTACTTTTTTGGTTGAAAAAAATCAATTGTATCGAAACTGGTAACATATTTATCATGTGCGTTCCTATTTGTGATGTATTATTAGGAGTTGATGATGAAAGTAACCCAAGTAAATTGTACATTTATAGCCTTCTCATTTCAATCTCATCATCCTAATAAGCTATCCAATGAATTATTACTAGATGGTGATAAAAAGCTGGACAAAATCTATAAATTGAAATGAAATAAATATAAATATTTAATTGTTTATTCAAGTATTTAATTATTTAACTTATCGAGATTCATCTACATATACTATAATGGGACAAAGAAGTTGCAATTTAATTTCTTCAATTTATCTTTCAATTTCCTTTCAGACTAACCAAAAAGTAATCAAGAATAATCAAGGATTGGACTTTCTTTCCCCACTGACTGTATTCAACAGTAAAATCTCTCATAATATCTGACATGAATATCTGGGATTATAATTTTTATCATAAATAATATTCACGAAATTGATTTCCATGACAAAGTCGATCTCGATCTTAATTTTGTGATTTTGGGTATTCGAGGCAACAATTCTTCAGACAATCTCTTTTAGCTCATTGGTTTAACTCAACATGTAAAAATCGCTGATTGTTAACTTGGTAAAATGAGATATGTTAATCCATCATTCAATCAGTTTGTTGAACAATCTAATTCGTTCTCATTTTTGATGAATTTCGTACTTCCTAATTGATTTCAATATTTTTGTTCAAGCTTCCAGGAGGTAATGAATAAGACATTGATATTTTGATTATAATTATTTGCCCTTATATCATTTTCCTCAAAGTTTAGTTCTAAGTTTGTTTTGGAAGTAGGTGATTTGTAGAGGCTAATTGTTTATCTAGTTTGATTTAGATAAGTTAGTTAGAAAAGACAAAGGGTTAAATTGTAAATTGTGTTGAAATGTACTATTGTTTTCATCTTATTATCAGTTGTTTTCTTGTCGAACTGTTGAGTGCACAAAGTGAGGATGAAGTAAGGCCAATCAATCCTGATGTCTTCATACCGTGTTTCAAAGTAAAATGTTACGGAGATGATTTGGGTTGCTTTAGGCCTTTAATATCAGGATTAATCATTTTATTTCCACCGATAAGTATATGTGCTGAAGATCCCAAGATTGTTAACCTGACCTTTCACATTGCCAATAGAGATGATCCCTCCATGTTTATTGACACAACTTCATTGTCTGCTCTTAAACCAGGACGTAGTTTGGCCTTTTACAGCCATGGATGCTTCGGAAGTTATGCAGATAAAAATGCCCTTTACCCGGGATTCGGGTTACTCCGACATTACTACCAAGTAGTTCTGTCTGATTGGGTTAGAGGAGCAAATCCATACGTTTTTGGTAGAATGCCTGCAATCATCAATTTATTTCTATGTACAGCCAATTGTGAAGTTGTTGGACGCCGAGTGGCTAATGTTTATGCTTATGCAGTCCAACGATTGGGCATCAGCCCTTCAGATATAGTTGTAGTAGGTCACAGTGCTGGTTCACAGGCAACACATTTCACGAGTACCTGGTTACAGGAAAAATATAACATGAAACCCTATGAAACAATTGGTAAGCGAAGAGTCTCAGCTTATTTCAAGAGTAGTTGCTGGTGTGAATGAAGCTATGTTGATATGTTTTAACTTTGAATTATTTTGTGAATTAATTCATTTATTTATTGAAATACCAGGTTTGGATGTGGTTTCTGACCCTTATATCCCATCTACTGTACTCCCAGTCAATCGCATGGACGCTTCTTATGTAACTGCAGTTCATACAACGTTCAACTTTCCCATTCCCCTGATATCTCATCTTCCGGCTGCAACCGTATTAAAAGTCGGCTCGCCTTTTCCCTTATCACATACGGATTTATATGTTAATGGACCTTACGGAGTGTTGATTCTTCAACCACCCTGTGGACTCTTGCCATATTGTAGTCACTTTTATTCGATCAATGTCTATGTGGGATCGTTGTTTGGCTGTCGATATAAATCATGTTACTTCAATGATGATCGAACTGGTGTTGCTAGTTCAGTTTTTGGCAAACGAGGTGCATTATGTATAACAGCTCCTAAATATCCATTAACAGAATGTGAATGCGAGTCAGGATCGAAGACACAATCTGTTGAATTTAGTAAAGTAAAAAAGTCTCATAGAATGGAAAGTGTGAAACACTTGAATGTCAGTTGTTGAAGTCGTTAAAACGATTCTTCAACCATTTATTTAATCAACATAATGAAAAAATTAAAAGATTTCAAAAATCAGACCAAGTTTAGCAACTTTTTGCATTTTTTATTGATGCTACCAGAAAACCAAAAATTGGGTTAACCTTTACTCAGCTGTTTGTTCAGCAAAAACTTGTCAAAACCAGAAAAGTTTAAATAAATCCGCGAAATTTAATTCATAAGTCAATGGTAATATTATTAGACAGCCAAGCTAGTCGGATGATCGAGAGACTGACTTACAACTTGTTAGAGACAAAGAAGCAACTCGTAAAGTTATCTTAACCAAAGAGTATGTATTAATAACTAATAATAATAACTAAATGTATGACTCTTTGGTTACGGTTAAAAAAAGTTGCTTTAAATAAATATATTTAGACTTGACTTTCCGATTCTAATTTAAGGAAACAAATGATGTTGGATTATATCTAAAAGATGATCTCAAAAGTATCTATTCGAGTTTATGGATGCACAAGTAATAAGGAATTCAATGCGAATCTTTGGCTCGACAAAACTTGGCGAGGAACTGAAAAATCAATTACAGATTCTGATGAAATCTGATGAAATACAATAAAGAATAGGAATCAAGTCTGATCGAGTTATTGTAGTTAACAGCTAACAGCTTTAACCTTGACTGCTGACTGACTTGAAATGTATAACTTCGTTATTTAATACGAACTTTAGCCTCACCTGTTCAGAATCTTGTGATTAAAACACCTTTAGTTGATTCAGTATCGCAATCACAGTTGAAATGTGTTTTATTACATAGCAAACATATGTTAATGAACATTCATTGAAATAATTGTTTTTGTTATTGAAACAGATTGTTGTTGCTTAAATTTATGTTTAATTGTGTTTATAAATGAAGGTTTTGTGAATGAGAAACAACAAGTTGAGTTTTCAATTTTCAATGATGACAATTTTGGTTTGCTTGAAACTAATTAGTTTATGGATTATTTTTTTTAAAAAATCTACCCAAATGGGAAACAAGAATTCACTTTGAATAATGAAAAGGTCGACAGTAGAGTGGATTAATAAATTGATTGTAAAATGATGTCAAACTATAAAAGCTTTTTTACCAAGGCAGAGTTTTGTCCAGATCAAAAATTTCGTCAAATCTAAAAGGTTGACAAAATGATCCAGATTCCTCTTTGTTTATCAATTAGGTAAATTTTTTGATTAAAGGTGAAGGTTAACAATTTTGAAAGTCAGCATCACTCGTTTACAATTGTAACACAATTTTGGCAGAGAAGTCAGAAAACGTTGTCATCAACATCAGTTTTCCTGATTAAAATCAAGATGTTAACATAGAAGAGTTGAAAAATAATATATACATATGTAAATATATATATTTATGTATTTATATATATTTATATATAGATATTTATAAGTCTTGTTATGGTTAGTATTAAATATTAATCACGACAAAATTGAGCATTTCTCTTGGTCTTGTCCTCAGAATTTTTCCTTTGTATCCAGGTTCCAAGTTTTGATAAAAAATCAATCAAATATTTTTGTCTTGTTTTTCTTCACGGTGATTTCACTTTGATCACCGAAGTTCAATCCTTCCTTGAATTTTCTTCCGCATTCCTTTTACACTTTCCATACAAGGCAAGCCTCGGATGAGTTGTATAGATAGATGAGTGAAGGTGGAAATGAGAAAGAGCTAAACAAGTGATTACAAAGAAAGAAGAGAGAGAAAAATGGGAAATGAGACTAGCTTTCTCTAGTAGACAGAGAAATATTATTGATGGTGAATCTTGAGGAGCGAGACTTTTCAATTTGATTGGAAAAGTCATGATATTTAGGTTGCAAATTGGAGATTTGCTTAGCACCTGGTTATATAAAGAAATGAATCCAATCATTTTCCATTATATAAAAAATCTTAGGTTAATAAACCCAATTTTTGTCCATTTCCTTGCTTCAGAAGACATTTCTGTTCAATTATTCCAGACGTCTCTTGTTCATGTGACTTTGGATCGATGCAAATTAAGGTCATACCAATGACCATTTCTATGATTAGTCTCGTCCTTTTTTTGATGTTATTATTATTTTCTTGCGCTTAGTCAACTTGCTCTCCATGAATGAAGTTCAATTTAGGGTGATAATAATGGATGAATGAGATGCAAATGAGCAATCCAAAAGTATGAGTGAGTGGAAGAAAATGAAACACAATTAACCAACTTAAAAACAAATTTTTTGTTAGCTGGTGGCTCCTTTTTTATATATATAGTAATGTAACTTGATTGATTCATCACCAGTGTGGGTTAATGTCTTCTGAAATCCATGAATCTCTTAAAGCTTCCAGTGAAGATAATCGATCATTTTGATTAACAACTAATAATTTAGAGATGAAATCTTTAGCCTCATCTGATACAGTTGACCAGTATTGATGAAGAAATTCAAACGATCCTTTCAGGATAAGGTCAAATAATTCATCATTGTTGTTATCCATGCTAACAAAAGGTGGATAGCCACAAAGTAAGATGTAAGCAATTACTCCAGTTGCCCAGACATCAACCTTAAAATCGTAACCAGTTTCAGCGAGGATTTCGGGTGCAACGTAAATCGGAGTACCACAAACTTCGAATAGCTTTTGTCCTGGGAGTATTTTAACTGCTAAACCAAAATCAGCTAGTTTAATAAACATTTTACCATCCTTTTTAGATGAAACTAGTAAATTTTCAGGCTTAATATCACGATGACAGATATTCATTGAATGGAGGTAGGCAAGAGCTTGAAGAAGATTGGTAACCATTCCTCTGGCTTCTTTTTCACTGTACCTATTGAAAGGATGGAAAAAATTAAACAATTAGTGAAATGATAAACAATCATGATTGGAATCATTAGTTTTGAAATGACAGTTAAAGGTCAATTATTCCAACTATACTTTCAATGGTGAAAGAAATACGAAAACAATGTTTATTTGTTTTTTTAATGTCATTGAAAAATTTAAAGATTGATGTTCTAAGGCTAAATTATTATCAAACAAGAATTAATGAAATTCAGAATATGCTGATTAGACGATTATTAGCGGTTAACAATGATGAAATAATTTCAATCATCAACAATGAGTTAATCAATTTTCATTTCTCACAGTTTGAATTGGATTTAAAGTGAATATTAAATAGTTAACCTTGATGGTTTGAAGATTATGATAAACTGACTCACATAAACACTGTAAAGTGATCTGTTTGTTTGTATAATTTAATTGGTTTACTATTGGAATAGTAGTTTTAAATAGAAGAAAAATATAAACTTATTTGAGGTTAATTAAAATGGTTAAGCTAAATTAGGAGGTAATAATGCTCCTACGCTAAGCAAGAGGTAAACTTATGCCTTATGTTACCAGATATACTGAGAAGATACTGATACAAAAAGGGGAAAATTGATGCTGATGATTCAATAATCAACACAAATCAAGTTTAAACATTTTTTTCATGGACATCATCATGGTTGTCATCAAACGATTTAACTGAGAAACATTCAGACACTAAAATGGGTCAATAAAGACAAATTTTTCGTTGACTTCAGACCAAGATTGAATTAAGATTATGACTATTTACTGGACCCAGTTAGCTTGGTAACAAATCAGCAAAGATGATGATTTATTCAGTGGATAATCAGTTGATTAGCTCATTTATCCGCATAATGTATAAGCATAACCTTTCATGTCAAGGTTAATGCCAATAAGTTGTGATTAAGAAATGGTGACTAAAAGTTCAGTAAGAATTGGAAGAAAAATATTCACAAATTAAATTAACAATCAACAGATAGTTAACATTTGGATCATTTTTTGTTACATTTTAAATGACTAACTGTTCAAGATTACTATTGTTTGCTTTAGTTGTTGTCCTCAAGTTGATTGATAATGTAATTAAAAGACTCAAACTAATTGGAAGAGACAATAGAGAGTGAAAAAATCAAATATAATAAATCGACAGTTTGATGAATCTCAAACAATGAATTTGATTCATCAAATTAAGACAATTTCAGCATTAACTCATCTAAACAATAGTTGGAGCAAAAAGCTTGATTGTCTAACAAGGAAATCGTATTCGCATGTTTTCTAAGCTGTTTAGTAAATTGTTAACAGATTCAGCCTTTTTTATCATATTCCCAATGAGTATGGATTAATAAGTTCTTTGCGGTTGCATGATTTACCTATTTTTAGAGGTTATTGCATCAAATAAATCACCACCGGCTACCAATTCCATGACTAGATACATTTCATTAGGAAAATCATAATCTTCAATTAGCTGGATTATAAATGGATGGTTAATTTTCCGTAAAATTGAAACTTCTGACTTGGATACTTCATTTCCACGGCATTTTTTCTTATTGATAATTTTCATGGCGAATTTAAGATTATTAACACGATTGACACACTCATGAACAACAGCGAAATTGCCATCTCCAATTATATTGCCAACAGAGTATTTACGACAGATTTCTCGAGGAAACAATAAACTCATTGTCGAATAATTTGAGTGTTGATTGTTGAAAGATGATGTAATCTTATTATTTGAAGCTTTTGCACAATTTATTGTTGAATTAATTCGTCTGGGAAGTTGAGTGAGTCCTTGAAGAATCGGTATTCGACTGTATTTAACTGATGAAGACGTCTTTCTCTTGTTAGTTTTATCATGATGATGATGATGATGATGATTGTTATTGTTATTATTAATATTATTATTGTTGTTAATATTATTGATATTATGGCTATTATTTGAACTGTTGCTATTATTGTTGTTGTTCTTCCTATGACTTGACTTCAACGGATCTTGATAAACAATATTACCGTCACTAGCTCTTAAAGTATTGTTATGGATTTTACGGTTAGCTTTATCTTTGGATGGAGTATTGCGAGGTGCATTGTAACCATACACATTTTCACCACAATTAATGTTATTAATTCCACTGCTACTGCTTATACCACCAATGCTATTACGGTTTAGGTTACGTTTCACTGGATAATCACGGTTGTTGTTGTATTCGTTAAGAGAAATTCGAGACGAACTCATTGGAATTGATGAATTGACCAGATATTTCCGCTGATTAGAAAGACTTGAGTTACTATTGTTATGATTGTGGTTTGGGTTGCTTTTGTAAGTGTTGTAATTAGTGTTAATCACTGTTGATGAGACTGGATCATAAACTTCAGGAGTGAAAACATCATTTTCCAAACTTAAATCGCGCAAATTTACATTCTCTAACCAAACAGATGAACTTGAACTTGAGGATAGTGATGAATCAGAATCAATTTCCCGTGAGGTTGAAACAGAAGTTTTGATGATGGAAGTTGATGGTGAGGTAACTGAATTTACTGATGTGGGAACTACATTTGATGTTCTTGATGATCTTGGTGATGCTATTGTTGTCTCATTGATGTCGTATTTTTTACAGCCCGGAGTTGATGTTGTTGTTGACGATGATAAACTGACAGCTGCTTTACCTAGTAAAAAGCGTCCAAAATGAATGTTATTACACTCTTCCGGATGAATCTCAAAGTCTTGATTGTTACGTTTATCACTAGTTGAGACAATAAATATATCTTGATCACTGAAAAAATCTTTCAATTTGGTTACTTTTTTACCATTTAAGTGGTAAACGCGTCTTATTGGGGTAAACAAGGTTTTACTTTTAGCTTGAATATCAGTGAGAAGCTGATCGTAGGAGTGAACTGATCGTTTGTTCAGCAACAACTTAATCACTTCTCGAGGTTTAGGACCATTAATAATAATATTAACCAATTTAGGTCGAATGAATTCGTTAGTTGGCGGTCCTGGTTGATTGCTTGCAAAGGGAGAGGCCATTGTTTTTATGCGTTGATCAGCGGCTGTGCATGAGGTTGACTTTGAAAGTTGATTAAAACCATGTGAATCAAATCCTTGGCTAATAGACCCATAGTCAAGATCAACATAATTATCCAGGGAGGAACATATGTAAATATGATTATCTTTGAATTCTTCAAGAGACTCTAATTTAACTCGAGGTTTGGAACCACTATATGAGTAAATGTACTGCACTCCTTTTGGTAAGTTGACATCTTTGATTAGTCGGTTAAGATCTTCTAGAAGAACATCGAAAGATCGGATTCTTTCGGTACACAAACAATAACGTATTCCTCTGAAAAAACGATTTCCATTGATCATAAATTTGAGCCTTTTGCCTTTTCTTTCAATGCTTAACAACTCAATCCGCTTGGTCCGGTTGGTAACAGCTGATTCACTTTTAACAGGCATCAATAGGTTACCAGAGCTTGTTGAATTTTCCAAGGAAGAATCCTCTGTCTCTCTGTCGGTTTCAATCAAAGTTTTCATGATTAGCAGTTAGTTTGAACAGACAGGTACTGGTAACAAAGAAGAAAAAGTAGACGATGATAGAAATATTTTATATATGTATAAAGTTGTGTATCGAATGGTTGTAAAAACAATTATCAAAGATGTTGAAATGTAATCAGCACAAGGTTGTGAGCTGTGTAAATTAAAGCCAGCTAGACATGGGCTGAACTGGTTACTAAGATGACGGTGATGATAACAGACGAGAATCCTTTTTCACCTTCATCCAAGAGAGGAAAAGAATGGTAAAAAGGCAAATAGGCAAATGCAGAATTGATTAAAAGGGTTGAAGCAGCATTTACAATAAAGAAACTAGCAAAGTCCAAAAACAATGTAACCAAAATTGATTTAATAAAGATATACTTTACTAACTCAATTGAAGGTAACCATAGACAACACAGACACTTTTATTGTTGATTATGGTGATGATGATGATAATAATGTCGATGATGACGATGGAAATAGAGTTGGAAAAAAATAATAAATCTGATGGTTATTTAGTCGTTGGTTGCTTTTTCACAGGTTGTTTATATTCACAGAATAAATCAACGCACAATCCAATGGTACGGTTTTTACCAAGGACAGCATTCCTACACATCATATAAGTACTTTGCCATTAATTTAATTAGCAAAAGAGCCCCAATCTCTTTAGGGTTTCATCTTTCTATCCACTGCTCATGGTGTTCATCGACATCATCCTAGTGGTTGCTCATCAGCATTTCTTGCTCAATTCTCCACAATCCTTATTTTGACTTCTTTTTCTTATGTTGCTCTTTCTTCCTCCTCCTTTTCTTCCAAAGACCGCCTAAGTCCTGGTCGACTTGCTTGATAATCAAGGATAAATTTATGTAAACTTTCACTTTGATTCTTGATTAATTTACTTTGAATTAGTAAATGAAATGACTTGAAAGATGAGGCTTCGGAGCAAAATTGTAAGAAAACATGAAGAGTAAACAAACAGGTTACCAGAAAAAAAACTTAATGACCGGCAACAGCTTTACAGTAAACCTAAAGTGGATAAAAATATAAAGAAAAGTAAGGTTAGAAAATTATATTACAACAATTGCGTAGATAAAACAATTAAAAAAATAACAAACAGTTATATCAGTTATATAACCTTATGATGATGGTAAGGTTGAGAAGATAATCATATGTTGTTGCTAATTATAAGAGAGGAAAACCAGGAAATATTAAAATTGGTTAAGAGTAAAGGTTAATCATTGACCAATCTTACTAATGGTGATTAACATAATTAATTAAAGTTTGATTTTATAACAATTACATTAGCAAACCTAAAAATAATAGGAGGCAAACAATCAAGCAGTGACTTTGAAGTATCAACAGCAACAGTAACAACAAAGATTGTAAGGATAAGGACACCGCTCTCTATACAAGCTTCTCTCCTCAGCGCTCTTCTTCATGCTCAACGGTTCATACAAGCATGAAACATGGTTATTGGGCAAGTTGATGATGTTTTAATGGTCACATACAAATAAATCTCAGCCTTATTTAAAATGAAAAAGATGATGATGCTATATTCAGATAAGCTCGACAATTAATTACATTACTATCTGTAGAAATAGAAAGAAGAAGAAGAGGAAAAGAAGCATAATGCATTGAGAGTCATGTTTATGTATGTGTATATAAACCATCATCACTAGTGAATGTTGTGACCTAAGGGGTCTGATATTCTTAAATAGTTGAACAATTTGATGGCCCAATTTTAAATCTTGTCATCATAATAATCGTCAGCTTGATTTCCAATTTAAATTCAGGTATCATACCATTGCTACCATAAATGTAAGTTGGTTTATAGTATCACTAACACCTTGTTCACAAATCAAGTAGTCAGCAATTTAGCATGAAATATTAGCAAACATGTGATGAGCTGAAAGACACTGAGTGGTAGATGAGAGAAACAGAATTGAATTAGATGAAAAAAGTAAACCAACAGTTCTCAACTTAGATCTATCAGCTTTTGGCTAAAATCCACAAGAAGAGGAAACAAATAATCAGGTTAGGCTAAACAGAATGATAATGAAGATAGATTGATGCGAATTTGGTTATTTCAATCTGTATTCTGTTTTTGATTCATGAAATAATCACATATTATCGGCTTTTAAAACCAATAATAGCTATTAAAGGTGATTACAGACTTACTATTTGATTGGTCTTCTTGTTTTTTGGTTTTACAAGTATATGCTTACATGTTTCATGTCAACTTAATGAGCTTGTAAACACCAATCGTGTTAATGTTATTTACATTTGTTGTATTATATCTCCTTCTTTAACAAATTTATATTTAGAGGCAATCTTATTTGGTTGCAAATAAATTCACTTTAAACCCGGGAGGTTAATCAAGGTTGTCTTACTCTTGAAGATTATCATCATCATCACCACCATTATCATTATTAAGAAAAGGTTGTTAATTAACTAACCATCAAGATGAAAGTATTGGACAATGTTACACCATAAGAAGAGTGAAATGTGATGTAGAAGAAAAAAAAGGTCACCCATTAATGTTGGTAAATAAGCATTAGGTATTTTGTTGTTGAAGTTATGAATAAAACGTTGTTTATGTTGTTATTGGTTTAACTGTTTATATTTAATAATAATTTCGATGATTAAGATTATTGAGATGAACATGTGAATGTTAATGAAACAAAAGAAATATTATAAAAAAACATGATCCATTCAATAAAATAAAAGGTAAATTCTGAGCACACAAAAGATAAACACATCAACATCTACAAAAAATGACAATTTCTCTTCCTATATCGTTCACTCTTGCAATCTCATTTTTTCAGTCCTCTCTTTCTTCTCTCCATCCTTTTCTCTCTCGCTCTCTTATCTCCCCTTTTGATTATCTTTTCATGTACAGTAATTTTATTTGAATCATCTTAAATCGTGCTTATTCAGTTTCGAAAAATGATTCGAGCAAAAACCAAATCAGCAATTACATTTGTCATGAAATCTTTGCTGGTCAAATTTTCATTTTAGAATCCTTTGAGTGAATTGAAATCAACAGATGGCGATGCAATGTTTTATCAGAAATAGTTGCAATGAATAAAATCAGCAAATAAAATCTACATTATTAATGAATTTATTTATTAATTACAATTTTTGATTACCAGAATGATGCAAGTTTGACAAAATGAAAGGTAATTTGAAGAGATAGTTTTTTTTGGATGGAAATTAATAAATTGATTTTAATGGAAAATTTTTAAACAACGATACGAGGAGCGATGGACATGGACATTAATTCTTGGAATAATAGTTTACAAGCATAAGGGAGACGAACTTGTGATATCTGTGTCTTATTTCGACAGCCTTTACATTCAAAGGTATTGTTTCGTAAATTGGCAATACAAATAAGTCCACATAAATTACAAACATGAACTCTATAAGGATCAGAAACTTCGAAAAGTCTTTCCCTCAAGAATTGAGCAGCTCCGTGAGCAATTTGACAATCACGTTCCATTTCACCGAAACGTAAACCTCCATCTCTAGCTCGACCTTCCATAGGTTGTCTAACCAAGATTTGCACAGGACCACGGGCTCTAGAGTGAATCTTGTCATCTACCATGTGTTTAAGACGTTGATAATAAGTGGGTCCTAAAAAGATTTGAGCATTTACTTTACGTCCAGTGTGTCCATTATACATTACTTCATAACCTCTTAAGTGGTAACCATATTCCTATAAAAGTACAATAAAGTAAATATAAATATTCAAAAGTTAAATTATGAAAATATAAGCAATAAAATAGCAGCAATTCAAACTTACAGCAAGAAGCTCGGAAATTTTTTGAACGTTTACAGTATCGTTGAAAGGAGTAGCATCACCAATTTCTCCTTTGTTTGCGGAAACTTTTCCTTGAAGACATTCGATTAAATGACCAATGGTCATACGAGATGGAATGGCGTGTGGATTAATGATAATATCAGGTGTGATACCTTCACTTGTAAATGGCATATCTTCTTGTCTGTAATGAAGAAAATAGAAGGTGAGAAATTTGTTTTGATTTTTTGTTGTTGAAGAAATATAAAAAACATCTTACCTGTATGGTATACCACAAGTACCTTTCTGTCCATGACGAGATGCAAATTTGTCACCAATTTGCGGTATTCTAACTGATCTTACTCTTATTTTACAAAATTTATAACCATCATTGTTGATGGTGATCATTACTTGGTCAACTATACCAGTTTCACTGTTTCTAAGGAAGGTTGAAGCATCACGTTTAACGAATTTTTTGGTTGTTGCTTCGAGTTCATCTTCGTTCTCAGGCAATAAAACTGTTTTACCGATGATAACATCATCACCAGACACTCTACTACCAGGAGCAATAATACCGTCGTCCTCAAGTTTGTCGTAAATTGCATTACGCATATTTTGACAAGTATCTCGACTAGGTCTTTCAAATTGTTCTTCTTGGTCTCCAATCCTTTTGAGCTCAGCATCTTTATAAGATCGATAGAAGACAGATCTGAAGAAACCTCGATCTATAGCAGATGAATTTAAAATGACAGAATCTTCTTGATTGTATCCCGTGTAAGACATAATGGCAACAATTGAATTGATACCAGCTGGTAATTCTCTGAAACGTAAATATTCCATAGATCGAGTTGTAACCAATGGCTTTTGGGGATAATAAAGGACGTGAGCCAGAGTATCCATGCGAACATGAAAATTGGTAATATAAACACCCATGGCTTGTTTACCCATAGCAGATTGGTAGGTATTACGAGGTGATTGATTGTGATCAGGGAAGGGGATAATAGATGCACAAACACCTAATATCATGGACGGATGAATTTCACAGTGAGTATAAGTTGAACAATAAGCCATTTCAGTATCTTGCAAATCATCAGGTGTCATTGCAATCATGACGGTTTCTTCTTCTGAAGTGTCAATGTATTCAACGACACCGCTACCAACTAAATCACCCCAACTGTAATTGTTATATTCTCTTTCTTTCAACATATCGATATGTGACTTTTTAAGTAACAGTTTCTGATTTTCCACGATCAATAGTGGTCGACAAATACGACCTGCATCGGTAAAGATTCGAATTTCTCTGTCACGAATATCACGAACCATTGATACTTCAGATACAACGATATCCATTTGACGACGTAGTTTTCTTAAAGTAGCCATGAGTAAATCAGGTTCTCGATGAATACCAACCCAACATCCATTGACAAAAATTTTAGTTGCATCGGCAATAGTTGAAGGAGCTGTTTCCTCCAAGTTTTCCATACTCCATTCTTCCAAGAACTCCAGAATAGGAGATGGATTCGAACCAACTGAGATGTAAGCCATGAGAGCTAAATTTTTGACCAAACCTACAGCATGGCCTTCAGGAGTTTCGGCGGGACAAATCATACCCCACAAAGTATTATGAAGCTGACGAGGTTTAGCCAATTTACCATCACGACCAATAGGAGAGTTTACACGTCTAAGATGAGATAAAGTTGAGGCATATGTGAGTCTATTTAACACTTGTGAGACACCAGCTCGAGCTGTGTGAGCTTTCTTTTGATCTCCCCAATTTCCAGTAGCAAGAGAATATCGTAATCCATCAGATATAATTCTAGTTTTGATGGCAAGGTCTAAATTGAAATCTTTTCCACTGTCAATGAATTTTTGAGCATACATCCGTACTTCTTTCGTCAAGTTTCTGAAGAGTCCACGAAATAGGTAGGCCATTAAAGGACCAGCTAAATCAAGTCTTTTGTTGCCGTAATGATCTCTGTCATCCAACTCTCGACGACCTAAAGCTGCGACTAAAAGACGATGGACCATATATCCGAGATAATATGCTTTCTTGGTCTCACAATAATCACTAATACCCACATGTGGTAACATTTCTTTCTGTAAAATTTCTTTGGCATACTTTATTCTTTTTTCTTTCGTAACACCTGGTCTTGCACCACGAACACCGATAAAGTTTAAAGCAACGTTTTGTTCTTGGACCACAAAGGCTTCGTCTAAGGATGGTTTAACCATTTCCATGATTTCAGGATCCTCGAAATCGTAAACAATATGTTCCAAGATATCTCTATCGGCAACAAAACCTAAAGCTCTGAATACAATCATGATGGGAATTTCTTGTTTAATATATGGAATAATAGCTATTATACGTTGTCCGATAGCAGTTTTTTTAGTACCATGGCTACCTCTTGAAAGCATATTGACCCATAAAGTACTTGTTGGACGAGATGAATGCTCGATACAAGAACGACATTCTGCTTTGTAAGCGTATTTAGAATCTTTCATACTGAAAACGTAGACAGAATTAGTTGCCATCTTTTCTTGGGCAATCAATACTTTTTCAGATCCGTTGATGATGAAGTATCCACCAGGGTCAAGTGGGCATTCATTTAATTCAGTTAAATCACGATCAGTCAAACCATATAGGTAACAACTTTTGGATCTTAACATGACTGGAATTTTACCAATAAAAGTTTTCTGATGTTGAGTTTCGACTGGCTCTTGGCCTTCTTTAATTACCGTTTTAGTGACATCAACGTAAAGAGGAGCTGCATAAGTTAAATTACGTAGTCTAGCTTCATTGGGTAACATAGGAGCCGGTGCACCATCTTTTTCCCAATGTGTAGGTTTGGAAAGATAGAGTTGTTCAAATTTTAAAACATATCTTGGTGGATTTTCGACTTCACCAGAAGTATGCTGAGCTTCAGCCTGAAAACAAAAAAATGAAAGAAAATAATGATTAAAATAAAACGCAAAACATAAATTGAGTAAAAAAACAGTAATGCACGGCTAATTGAAAAGTAAAGAAGCAAACCTGTAATTCAATGAGAGCAGAGTCTTCAACAATTTTTTGTACGGACATATCAATAAATTCATCAAAAGAGTCCAATTGTTGTCGAACTAAACCTTTTTCATCAAAATAAGAACTAATTACGACCCAGCAAGCTTCTTGCCAAAGATCTGGTGCAATCTCGGCATTATCCTCTTCACCAAACAGATCACCCTCGTCGTCCATCATGATGAAACCGGTTATAACAGTTAATTCTAACCAATTTAATGGAAGCCAAGGATGTTGTGTAGAATAAACACTGAAACTTTAGATGACAACAAATTAAAAATTAATAATAAAAATGAATTGACTGAATTTAAGAGATGACATGAAAACAATCATCTAAAAAATCACATATGAACCGGAAAGCTGAAAGACAGCCTCTAAAGTGAAAGCATTGCATCAAATAAGCTCATTTTGCCGCCATTTTTAAAAATGTAGTCACATTGCTAAACTCAAACAAAACCTAATCTATCTTTTGGATAAATGCAGTTTCATTGTATTCATTAACTATCAAATTACTGATTTTTAAAATAACTTTTCTAAATCAAAACCTGTACTAATTATGCGTAAATCTCACGTAATTTAAATGCTTTTTTGGTCTTAGGCCGAAAGTAGGAAAGCGAAAGCAAGCAGACGGTTACTTCTACAGCCTTACCCTTTACCCTTAAATGATTCAATACTGACAATACTGAGTGACTCAGAACAGAGATGAATTTGTCAAATTATACAAATTTTGATATGAATTGTAAAAAATTTTCAAGTTTGTCTATGAGAAAATTCCTGCACCAAATCGATTTTTCCGGATTTCTGATCGATTCACAGTCGATTTACAATTGATTCAAACACAGCACAAAAACAATTGTGGTTTGTTTTTATCCACAACATGAACCTAAAATCTATAAAAATAGCATTGAAACAGAGAAAGCTCTAAAATATAAATGAACAGTAGGAAAAACTACAACATCCAACACTTTATTAAATGAACACTTTCGGATTTCATCAATCCATTTATCGAATCTCAATTTTTTCTGACCATGGCTCACACTATGTGTCACCCAGAATCCAGTCAAAACTGTCATAGAAGTCATATTGTAACACTTCCACTGAACTTCTATCCAGGGTACAATGCATCCAAAAGATTCAAAATGCACAGTAAAATTGATTTTATGGTTTGATTTTATTCACTAAACTTAAAGAGAAGTAGGAAAAATCGTTAATATTTTCTCCAATAATCTTTCCACTCAATGAGCATCAGTTTTCTCATTCACTTTGCCTCTTGTTGACGTTACCATCATCTTGCTCTTGACTGTTCTACAGCTTACTGTAAGTTTGTTGTGTTTTTTTTCAATAATATTTTATCAATCGTGTTCAATTTTCAGCAAGATATTTGGATTATTAATCAACCATGGGTAAAGCAACAATTGGTTGGGACAATTTATTTACCTATGACAGTTTGGTTCATGCTATGGCTGGATCGGCTGGTGGTGTTACAGCTATGACTACCTTTTACCCTTTGGATATTGTGAGATCTAGACTTCAAGTTGATGATTTAGCCAAAGGAAAGAATACTTGGGCTTTGATTAAGGAAATTCTTGACTCTGAAGGACTGTAAGTTGATATGCAATTAAAGATATTGCAAAACAATGTTTAATGTTTACTATATTAAAATTGTCTATCTCATCATCTGTTCATTTCTAGGGAAGGATTGTACAGAGGATTGGAACCAGTGCTTATATCTTTGTGTGCCTCTAATTTTGTTTATTTTTATTCATTCCATGGATTACGAGCTATGTTTAAAAATAGTGAACCCTCTGCTTTGCGTGATTTATTCCTCGGTTCAATCGCTGGGACATTCAATGTGCTCTTAACAACACCGTTATGGGTTGTCAATATGAGAATGAAGATGCAAGGTGCAAAGGTATCTTAATCCCTTCATTCTAATACATTCTGTATTATTTTCACTGTTTTGTAAATTGCAAATTCTTGTAATTTAGTATTAGGAGTTCAATATATAATTGCTGAAGAATCGATCAAAATTGCTATTTACAGGAAAATTTGGCAATTTAAAGCACGAAAACTTCCTTGTTTAGTCCAAATTTATTGATCTTGAATTATAAATAATTTGACTGTAAAGTTTGAAATTCTTCGCAAATGAATGTAAGGACAATGGATTTTTCAGAGTTAATTGCATCAGCAAGAACATCAAGATATCTATGTTAATATCAGTTTTCATTCAGATTCTTATCGACTTGAACTCTTAAATAATGAGCATCATTTATTTTCATCACAGTTTTTTCCTTATTGTGACCCAAATCATGAATACATGTTTAATGGCTTTTATTTCCTTTAATAGCTAAAGAATGGCGGGGAAATGACAAGAAATACTCCAAGGTATAAGAATATTTTCCATGGTATCTACAAGATCGCTTCGACTGAAGGTGTCCCGGCTTTGTGGGCTGGTGCAATTCCATCTCTTGTTTTGGTAACAAATCCGGCAATTCAATTCATGATTTACGAAAATTTAAAACGTCGAACCCAATTATGGACTGGAAAGGAGCAGATTAAAGGTTCAAACGCTCTTCTTCTTGGGGCAATATCCAAAAGTTTAAGCACTATTCTTACCTACCCACTACAACTTGTCCAATCTAAATTAAGAGTATGTAGCTCTGCATATGCATTTCGCTGTCTATCAAACAATCTATTATATTTTGATTTTGATCTAATTTGTCTTTTCTTTCTCGTTTCCTCATAGTATGGTAGTGAAGACGTAAAGAACAAGAATATGATGCAAGTTATCCGTATGATTTTACTGCGAAATGGTCCTGGAGGTCTTTACAAAGGAATGGAAGCCAAGCTGTACCAAACAGTGCTTGCAACTGCATTGATGTTTTTCACCTATGAAAAGATTGCTGCTTTTGTATTCACCATAATGAAAGGTTCAAGAAAAATGAAAAAATGAAATTCATGTGTTAACTGTGGACAGTTTTCAACAATCAATTGGCATGCTTTATAAGGCCAGGGTTGACCAGTTTTCCGTATAATGAAATAGCATTTACAAGAATCAAGTCACAAATTGAAAAAAAAATTACACACCATTTATTGATTTAAAGAGAATCAAAGATACTCCTTTTGTATATTACAGTTATGATAACGATATTTTTTACCACTACAATTTTTTGTTGTCCTTTTTAATGCATCACAATCGTTTGCATAAATGAAATGGTAATTCACTTAATATATCAACGCAATTTATTTAGATATTATCACTTTTAGTGATTAATTACTTAACTTTCATGGGATTAAAGTGCGATATTCAAACGATGTCATTTACTCAATTCATTTTGTCCTAACATACGTACACTAAACTACCAGTAATTGTCAGTAACTTGAAATAGCTTTATTACAGAGCAACTAAGTTATTTACTTGTATTAGGCAAAAAATATAATAAACTGAATGATGAATGAATAATCTATTGACAATTTTTGGTAGTTTACTATAAATGAAATTTTAAGGCATACATTTTTAATGATTAGATTAAAGAGGATAAAGATTTTACATTTCTCGATCAATGAATAAACTAAAATTCAATATACATTAAATTGTATACAATAAAGTATCTGATTAAACTAGAAATGAAAAAAAGGAATGAGGATGTTGCCGAAGCGTGAAGTACTCCATTAAGATGAAATTAAAGATTCAGATGTGAAGTAATATGTTATTACAAATACTAGACCAACGAAATATGGAAGAAAAATAATTGATATGCACGAGAAATGCTAAATAAGAAAACAATTTCTCGATTTGTGGATGTATTTTATTGAAAATTTGGTTGCGAAAAAAGTGAACTCTTGATGTGAGTTTCTTGTCATTTGTAGGTGCAAAATTGGCTGTAATGATAATTTGATTAGATACAGTTGGATGGAAGCTCGCAATTTTGTCAAAAATTTTGTTGTCGCTTTCTTTTGGTATCAATAGCATCGAGAATAGGTTGTCTTTTGGCTGCATATCGTCGTCTTAATTCTTCAATTTCATTTTCCATTTCATAGTCAAGATTAGCCATTCGTTTACGAAGCTCGTCAAGAGGTAAATATCGAAGAAATTCAAAATCACTTTCTAACATAATTGCACGCGACATTGGTTGATATTGTGGAGGTTGTTGTTGGTGGTGTTGCTGTTGATGTTGTGCTTGTTGAGATTGTAATGTTTGATTTGAATGGGTCGAAGGTAAGTTTTGTTGCGATTGAGATTGTTGAATCTGAGCTGTTGCTGGCATTGTCTGAGCTTGTACCTGGTGGTGTTGTAAAAGCGAATCGTGGATTGAAAAGGCAGAGGTTGTAGTTTCCGCCAATCTTTTATTTAAATCTTGTTCTTTGATATCTGTTTTGTTCGCAGAGTCACTATGATTGCTATATTCTTTCTCTAATTCTCGAGTCCTTTCAAAATGTTGCATAAATGCTGGTTTTAAGGTTCGATCACCGTCCTCATCATCCGACTCATCATTAATTATGAGCGTTCCAAGGTCTGATTCTACATCTGATACTGTATTCATCGTTTTCACAGTTCCTGATTTGGTACTACCACTCTGACTGGTTGCTGTTCCATTGGCTCCATCTGAGGAAGATGGCTTAAGTGTTTGACTGTTTGAGCTAGGAACTATTGTTGAGGAGTCAACATCCTCATCACCAGTCCAGTCTTGCTTATAGTGTTCTTGTTGAATCATTTTGGCTTCTTGGATTATGCCAGTTAACGTGCTAACTGGTAAAGCTCTATTAATAAACTCATGTTTAAGTAGACTGCTAGCTGAAGCTCGGTGTTCAGGATTTTTGACAAGACAGCGAGATACAAAATCTATAAACTCAGTTGACCAGCGATCAGGATCTCTGAATGATGGTGGTGGTTTGGTAGGTATCATGAAAATTGCTCTCATGGGATGTATATCACCGTAAGGTGGTTTACCCTCAGCCATTTCCAATGCTGTTATACCTAAACTCCAGATATCAGCCAAACAATCATAACCAATTTCCTGTATAACCTCTGGAGCCATCCAAAAAGGTGTCCCTATAACAGTATTTCTTTTAGCCATAGTATCAGTTAGTTGACCGGCAACACCAAAATCAGCTAATTTGGCATGACCTTCACTGTTTAATAAAATATTTCCTGCTTTAATGTCTCTGTGAATCTTGCGACGAGCATGGAGATACTCCAAGCCGAGTAGGGTATCTTTCAGTATGGTTGCAATTTCATCTTCAGTGAGTGTTTTCTTCCTTAACCTCATGATATCACTGACACTTCCACCTCCACAATACTCCATTACGATCCATAAATCACTTCCTAGAGTTTTACCTTTAAAATAGCTTCCATAATATTTAACTACATAAGGCGAATCACACTGTTGCATGATTGATATTTCTTTAATTATTTCTCCAAGGTCACTTTCAACTGGCACTTGTTTGATTGCTAAGATTTGTCCGGATTCCTTGTGTAATGCTTTAAATACAGATCCATAAGAGCCTTCGCCTAATTTACAAATCATATCGAAAACCTCTTCCGGTGGACGAGTCAAAGCTTCCTCACTTAGTTTTTTAAGTGTCGCCATGATTATCGATTAATCTTTAATAGTTGACGCTTAACAAATTAGCCTTTGATTAAACCATTTGATTAAAAATAAATACACAAAAGAAAACGATTAAACACACTCATTGCTTTAAAAACAATTTAAACAAAAGAAGAGAGAGATTTTACATTTTCTGTAAATGAATAAACTATACACTGGATAACAGCTACAGTAAAGTACCAGATAATGTCAGTAACTTGAAATAGCTTATTTACACAGCAAGAGCTATTCATTGAGCGAAAATAGTTTAATTAATCGAAATAAATTTAACCAACATAAATTAATCGTCGGAAAAGCTTACAAATTAAAATTACCAAGCTTCAAGAGTAATAATTAAAATAAAATTTGTCAAAATATTCCATTTTCTTAATAATATCTTTATAATTTAAACCAAAACTTTCCATAAAAACAAGTAAACAAAGGGTTTGAGGGACTATTGATTAATTTACTGACAATTACTGGTAGTTTACTGAATTTAGGAAAGTAAAAAGTACAGAAATGAAAGAATTGCGAGGAGCTGCCGACATCTTATGACGAATTGCTCTGAAATGAAAAGATCTGGTGAAGAAGTGTTTTAATCGAGAAGTCAGAATGATTGATAAAAATCCAAATGAATTATATTTAGACTCAATTTGATTCTCGGAATGGGCTGATGGAAACTCTGGTCCTGACCAGAAAAACAAAAGATACACAAAATCAGCTGAGATTGAACCCGGAAACAAAATGAATGGAGTAAACGGAATCAGAAGATTTCTTTGAGAACTGGGAATGGAATATACGATAAATATGAGCAACTCTTAGAGAAATAAAGGTCACAGGGAAAAAACACAAAGTAACTGTCAGGAAAATATCTAAACAAAATATCCTTTGACATGGAAATATGTAGTTTGCACACAAAGTTCAGTCTTGAAATCTTAAGATGCGTAATCACTCAAAGATTTCATGTATTTTGTATCAATTGAAAGGCCGTAATTGTTTTAATTTATTGCGAATAATTCGCCTGGCCAAGCCTAGTAAGGTACACAGAGGGTGACCACCAAATCACTCAGCCATACCAAGGCTCAAAACTCTGCTTAAACATGTATTACTTGACGTAAATAAATTCATTAACCTTTTCTTTTTTTTTCTTCCTTTCCTTCAAAACAATCATATGATTGAACTTGAATCCAACTAAGATTCGAGTAAATTATCTAGTCCTGTATAATTATCCGGATTCGCACAAAAGCTTAACTTTAAAGGTAGAACGATTTCGCAATAACAAGAAACATGCTATTATCGAATCTTATCATCGATTCTTTCGGATCTAAATACTTGACAGAAATTCAATAGATGGCAGTTTGTGTAATTTTTGAGTAAAGTCAGTTTTGAACAGCACTTGCAGTAAAGTGAACCAGCAACTCAATTGAATAAGAAAGATCTATAGAAAACAGTAAATTATGGCTTGTTTGATCACACTAAAAAAAGATTTAAGACGTTTAGAGACCATTTTTCCTAAAGATCATGAGCGTTTTCAGTTGATTAGTGCCACTGTTGATGAATTAACATGTACTTTTATCGGCAGAAATGGTAAAAAATACGAGATTCACGCAAATTTCACGGTAAGCCTTTTTTCCTTTGTTTGTCCACTTGTGCTTCTTTTTTATATTTCCTTTCCTTTCCTCTCTTTCTTCTTTCTCTTTTTTCTTTTTTTTCTCTATCTATCTTTCTTTCTTTGCTTTTTTTATTTCTGCTCTTTCTCTTTCTGTGCTTCTCTTTCTTCCACTATCCTTTTTCAGCTTTTCGGAAGCTTCTTCGGATGCTTCTTCGGATGCTGTTTCTTTGGTTCTCCTTACACCTTGTTCATTTTTTTCACTTGATAGTCGTAAAACCCTTTCTTCTGTCTCTTTTTTCTTCTGTCACAGGAAACTTATCCAGAGGCACCTCCAGTTTGGTTCTCCGAGGTTGAAGATGAAAGTATCAGTAATATCGTTCAATATCTGAGCAACACAAGTGGTGTTGAAAATTATGTATGTTATCGCATGCTCTTTGTGTGTGTACTTGTGTGTATCTTTCAACCTCCTCTTAAATTTTATTCGCTCTCGTTCTCTTTTTTTCTCTATCCTCTTTCTTTTACTTTCTCTCTTTCCCTATCTCTCTTTTTCTCTAACTCTCTTTCTCACTCACTCACTCGCTCTTTAGATTCTACAACAGGTAAAAGTCCTGGTTCGTGAATTATGCAAAGACCACAATCTTCCAGAGCCACCCGAGTTAGGTCAACTTTGTGATGTATCAACACCTCTTCTTAACGGTGCTTTACAATGTTCAAATTCACGTTCTTCTTTCGCCACCGAAAACAGTGGTGATTCGGGTTACATCAATGACAATGATGAGGTAAACCAAGCTAATGTTAATAATCATCAATCATCAGACACTGAAGAAGACTCAGATATGGAAGATGAAGATTTACCCATTGAAATGGAAGAAGATGCCAGCAATGCAGATAAGTCAAAAGATGACGGGTTAAGCCATGAACACACAGCCACTCTCGAAAGGCTTAAACAAAACCAACGAGAAGGCTATCTGAGAGGATCTGTCAGTGGCTCTGTTCAAGCCTCCGATAGGCTAATGAAAGAGTTGAGAGAAGTTTATCGATCAGAAAGCTTCAAAAAAGGAGTATTTTGTGTTGAATTGATCAACGATTCTCTATATGAATGGAACGTGAAATTATTAGTTGTAGATCCAGATAGTCCATTGCACAATGATCTGAGAATACTAAAGGAAAAGGAGGGAAAAGATCATATTCTATTGAACATTTTATTCAAAGAAACCTACCCTTTCGAGCCACCATTTGTTCGTGTCGTACATCCTATGATCCAAGGTGGATATGTGCTGTGTGGTGGAGCCATTTGTATGGAACTACTAACCAAGCAGGGATGGAGCAGTGCGTATACAGTTGAAGCTATCATTTTACAAATAGCTGCTACCTTAGTTAAGGGCAAAGCTCGTATACAATTCCATGGAAATAAGGGCCAATATAGTCTCGCTCGGGCACAACAAACTTACAGATCTCTTGTACAAATACACGAGAAAAATGGTTGGTTCACACCTCCCAAAGAAGATGGTTAACCTTAGATTTATTCTTATATTCATCATTTTCATTTCTTTCTTTTTCCTTAATCATAATTTGATTCTGTTGACTCTCAATCTTCTGAACCTACAATAATAGCTTTTTTGTTCCATTGAATCACATATAAATAAACTCTAATTGTTTTACTGATCTAACTTATTTTAAATTTGTATTATTCTATATGCCTATTAACCAATGATCAGGTGAGAAATAGAACAACTCACCAATTTGATAATTTGATTCAAATGTAACGAAAAATCTCTACATAAAAAGACATTATTCCGAATATTCGATTATAAATTAATTAATATTTATAACAACTGAAAAAATAGATAGAATCGTGAAAATTTATATTTCAAATTAATTCAAATCCATGCAAATCAAATGCTTAGCTTCTTCGAGGATTTTCAATGTCAAATTTCAAATATAATTCCGTTTAGATTAATATCTTCACTTATTTCCTGACAAAATAACTTTTTTGCACCATTTAAATCATTGAAACGAAAATTAGTCTCGTATAGCAGAAAAAAATTACAATCGGTTCAAAATCTTAGTGACTCAATATTTATTTTCAATTGTCTCCTTAAACAATTAATTTCCAACAATCATCATCTATATTCTGTTAAAATTACGTCAGTTTTTAGAAGGTAACTATTAATTTGTTAAAGGTGATTAAACGTTAAAAGCTAAATATTTAAAAAATGGCAACTTTCATCAACTTGATGATGAAGATTAATTTAATTTATTAATTAACCATTAGTCTAAGGTGGAGGCCATCATTTTACACATGCCCACTGTATAGGACTTTTGTAACATTTTTTCAGAGATACTTTTATCTTGCTAACATCCAAAGACCCAGATAGGAAAAATTAAGACTCCTCACCAAGATGCATGTAAATGAGTAAAGACTGAATTTACAATAGAGTTCACAACTCAGGTTAGGAAATTACCGAGAGTTTCACAATAATTTGCTTTGATAACATTTAGAGTGCAATAATGACTTCATGGGGCACGGTTATTCCGATGATCAGGCCATCAAGGTTGAGAATACAAAATGAACCAAAGATGCTTCCAGCTTCTTCAAGTTTCTTCAACTTTTTCCTGATGATTCTATCCAATCAGATAATTTTGAAGGTTTCATGTTTTAGAATAATAAAATAACTCCAGATAATTTCATTTTTATTTCATTTTCCTACATCAATCATTTGAAAACGTGAAACAGCAATTCCCTTCTAGTCCCCCAATCCTAGATGTCGACAATCCTTCGCAATTCATCCGCCAAAAAGTTGCCTCAAGCAATTCCGAGTAACGTCCATCCTTTTTGAAAATAAGCGTCATCAGTGTCCATATCGTCAATGCTCGATGTTGTTAGTGAATTGTCTTTGAAGGTGCGATTATTTGGTCCTATTTATATATTTTTGTTATGTTTGTTCAGTTTGTTTTCATTGATTTAGTAACTGTACAGCAATTACGTTTTTTTAATGATTTAAAGTGAAGGTAACTATTGATAGATGGCGTTTATCATCTAATAAAGAAAGGAGAGAGAAGAGAGGAAGAGTTTTGTGTTGTGATACGTAAAAATATTGTTATTTTTGTTTATTTTGTATTCAAGCATCTTAGTCAATCAAATTTTTATTATGTATTAATTGTATTTTTAATTAACCAAAGTTTTACTTTGCAATGAGCAAGTTATTTAATTCATTGTACTCGCTGTGATTCGCTTTGTTTGAAAGCGTACAAAGTGAAACAATTAATGTTTTCATCTTCTAAACGTGTGTGTCTTTCCCTGCTTATGTTGTTGCTTTCAACTTTATGAGGAAGAAGATTGAAAAGGGCGATGATCTTTTTGCCTTCTTTTCTTGCTTATCTTACGGTAACTCTGTTAATATTTGGTTTTGTTCAATCAACTAACAAGGTCCATCCGATTGAAGAGTTTACCTTCCACCAGATTATCGAGCCAAATTTTTACAACTCTCAAGGTGCCCATTTGTCAAGCGATTCATTAAAAGTAAGGTCATCTTAATCAGCTAACCAGATAACCCCTTTTTTGTCCTTCTTCATGCCCAAAATCTTGGACCCCCTTTTCATTTTGTAGCATTAAATCAGCAGACTTGTTTTTGCATTAAGGTTAACCAGTCTTTAAATTGGACTCTTTTTCCTATTCATTGCCCTGACCATTTTGTTATTTTACCATTTAATTCTTCGAAAATTTCCCTCATTTACATTCCATTATTCAAACCTTAATCTAATTTTAATAACATTTTATTTCTATTTTCTTTTGCTCCTCTCTTTACTGTCAAATGTTTTCTTTCTCTTATCTTAGATATTACCTTGCTCCGAGTTCGCTCGCTTACAATTTTTATTGCATAATGTTACCCTCTCTTTAGATCTTAAAGAAAATCATAATCTCATTCCTGATAACTATTTTGAGCAAATTCATCTTAATGGTTCACTAGTTACTCATCAGAAACATCAATTAAAGGTGAGCTATGTTCGTTTTCTTTGAATTAGTTGCACCTTACTTGCGAACGCTATTTTTTCATTTCCCGTTCTACTATGCAATCTACTTTTTTTCAAATTTTTTCCTATTCATCTGATTTTTTGCATATCCAACTAATTTGGTTTTTTATTTTTAACCTTCCAATTCTGTTAAATATAGCCGTCAAATCATTGTCATTTCCAAGGCTCTCTATCTTCCGATCCAGATTCCTTTGCTGCTCTCAGTATTTTTCGAGGAACACTCTCTGGGATAATTTATAGCACCAATGAATCTTATCATATTCATTATGATGATTCAGCTTCAAAAACTTTACTTTTTATGTCTAGCCATTACAAAAACATCAAAAATTTCAAATGCGGTAATTATCTTTTCTGGTCATTCAACTTGAATCTCTCACCATTTATGTTACTTCATTCTTCTTCACATTTTATTCAATAACTGAAAAATTTGGTGTAATTTTCTTATTCCGTTTATCTTTTTTTCATTCTTTTTCTGACATTTTAGGAGTTGAAGATGCATCTACTGATCAAAGCAAACAATCATTTCATTCTTTTAGACCAAAAAGGTCAACTGACCGGAAAGAACCTTACCGTAACAATGCAAAAACGCGTTACGTAGAACTTGTTCTCGTCAATGACAATAAAGAGGTATGTTCAAGTATACAAGTTTTCCTGACAATTATCTCTAATTAATGCTTTTGTTTTATTTTGAACTCATTTATTTTGTTTTCATTCTTACACTAGTACATTGAATGTGGAAGAGATAGAGAAACTGTGATCGAAAAAAATAAACAAATAGCAAACATCGTCAATGCGGTAAGCTCTTTTGTTTTTTAAAAACAGCTTTATTATCAATTAATCAGTAGAAAATGAACCAATTTGATTTCGTCACTTCCGATCATTTTTTTAATGTATCTTCTTTTTGTTCCTTTGTTATTTACAATTTTAGCTTTATAATCAATTAAATATATTTGTCGCTCTTGTTGGAGTTATAATTTGGTCTGATCATGATGAGATTACGTTATCAACTAATGGTGATACCACACTTAACAATTTCCTTCGTTACCGAAAAGAGCGTTTGGTTCCAAAGCATCCTAATGATAATGCTCAACTCATAACTGGAACAACCTTCGATGCTGGCGTTGTTGGTAAAGCGCTTAAAGGACCAATATGTACCTATGAGTTTTCAGGGGGAGTCAACACCGATCATAGTCATCTGATCAGTCTTGTAGCAACAACTGTTGCTCATGAGTTGGGTCACAATTTTGGTATGGAACATGACACACCCGAATGTGTGTGCAAAGATGCAGAAAAATGTATCATGTCTCATTCATCGGGTGCTTATAGTCCACGCAAATGGTCCTCTTGCTCTGTGAAATATTTAGATGATGCATTTTCTCGTGGAATGGATTTTTGCCTTAAAAACCAACCTAGAATGATAATTGGGCCTGTTTGTGGAAACGGTTTCACTGAGGAAGGCGAAGAATGCGATTGTGGTCTAAAAGATTTCTGTGACAATCCATGCTGTGACCCTTCAACTTGCAAATTAAAGACAGGCGCCAAATGTGCTATAGGTATTTGTTGTGATCTATCTACATGTTCTGTTGTCAAAGCGTCTAGCCATCAGACCTGTCGTCCAGCCAGTGGTGAATGTGATTTTCCTGAATATTGTGATGGTAGTTCTGAGTTATGCCCTGAAGATCGTTATGTCCAAGATGGAACTGAATGTGGATCTGAAGAAGCATTTTGTTTGAATGGTACTTGCTCATCTTATAACTCGCAGTGTAAACTTCTTTGGGGAGACTCCGGTGCTGTTTCATCTACAGCATGTTATGACCAAAATAGATTCGGTAAACCAAGTGGTAATTGTGGATTCAATCGTATTAATAAAACTTACATCCCGTGCAGTGTATCAGACACTCTTTGTGGAATGCTACATTGTACTCATACCAATGAGCGTTTAGAATTTGGAATGTATTCTGCCGCTATTCTTCACAAAACGTTCATAACGCAAAAAGAAGGTGACTCTAAGTCCGTTTTAGCCTGTCATTCTGCTGTTATTGATTTAGGTCTTGAAACTGTTGACCCAGGACTAGTACCGAATGGGGCCAAATGTGGAGAGAACAAAATGTGTCTTAATCAGCGATGTACTCCGGTTGAAAAAATACGAGGACGAATCAGTTGTCCCAATGATTGTTCAGGAAATGGTTTATGTGATAACAAAGGAATGTGTCATTGTATGGATGGTTTTGCTGAACCTGATTGTGAACAACCATTACCTCGTTGGTATCATCTAACATTAGCGATGTACATTATTTTCCTTTGCATCCTTCCATTAACTGCATTTGCTGCCTTTATCGCCTACTATTTTCATTCAAATATTAAAACTTGGTGGATTTTACGAACTCGTAAAGCTAACATTAAATCAAGAGCCAAACAATCATCAATCTCAAAAGTTCAGCATTTAACTCCTCGCATGGATCTCAAGTCTTTGAAGATTTCCGGACCACTTTCAGCTGACCAAGTGGAACAAAAGTTAGTTACATCGACGACAGGTTTAACTACAACAACTCCAGCACCTTCAACAACAGCAACAACAGTCCTAACCACAATAGGTAACGGAAATTCTGTACCATGGGCTACAGTCGTATCTCCACCAGTTCAAGTAGTCAAACCATTGCGTTCAACAAATCATGTTGGTCCTGTTTCCTATCCTAAGCCACCTCGACCCACTGCTCCTCCACTTTCAGCTGTCGCCCCGGCTCGTCCAGCTCCTCCTCCGCCTCCTTTGCCTTCTCAGAGATCATCGCCTTCATCGAAAACAGCTTCAGGCCGTCCAAATCAACCAGCACCCAATAGATTAACAGCTGGTAATTTATCTCGCTCTACAAGCCTTCGTTCATCAACACGAACCCATCTTGAAAGACCAAAGCATCCTCCACCCAAACCCCCTCCTATAGATCAAAATGAGGATAACTCATCCAGTGATTCATCTTCTGATCCTCCTCCCTCATCTAATAATAGTAAAGACCTTCAACGTCCCCTCATGAATAATCGAGAAGAGGATGATAGGAAAGCTTCCTCCAATGATAGTATCGGACAAGCCAGTTTCGCTGCACGGCTGGCTGCTTTGCAAGCTAGTTTTAATGCATCAAACAAATCTTCATCCCATCCTCCTTCATCCTTATCAAATCAACCCCAAATCAAGTCCAAAGTAGGTTTAGTCAAAGACTCAGATGAACAAAGTACTGGAAACGATAAACATTTAAGATGATGATAAATTATGATTAAACTAGTCAATCTAAATATTAGACATAAATATTATATTTGTATACAAATTCAAAATTTAAATGTATTTTAGTGTATATTTCGTTTATTTGATCACTTTAAAAAACAAAAAGCATGCGCTCATATTGAAACAGTTTTGTATCAATGGCAATTTGACTGACAAAAACTGCACAATTTAGTCAAATTCATATCATGTAATTCGTCAGAAAATTGTGAAGGAAGATTTCTTTTATACTGTCAACATCGATCAATAATAAAGTTGCTTTATAAAATAGACTTAAGAAATTAATTTTTGTCTTAAGATGGCGTTTTCTGGATAAAAAAGGGTTGCTAACTGACAATTATGAGAAACAATTTTATACCTGTAAATGGATAAATGGCTTAACTCGAAGGCACTTATTTAGAGATGAATTTCAACTCAAAAGTATCGCTACCAACATCGCTATCAACAAAATGACTCTTTAATAGACGTCCATAGATTACTTGCAAGAAGCCTTTGAACAAACATGTTATTTCGTAAACCTTTTGACTCATACATAATGTTTCTTGAATATTTCAAGGTTTTCATCGGTGATTGAAAGGCTAATTGAGATGATTAAAAAAGTAAAGATAGTTTCACTGAAATGATTAACAGTTTCAACAAAAAAGCATAATAATGAGAATTAATTTTAGGGGAAATAATTGTTTTTTAAATTTCTAAACAGAGTCAGTTGATGAAGATGAAATTTTAGGTTTCCACATATTCATTATGGTATTAGGGTGTTCGATAATGTGTTGACCTCAATATGAAAAATAAATTATTTTTTCGAACTAAAGAGTTAAATCACTTCCTTGGGAAGTGTATAGAGGCCATCTAAAAGGATTTTTAAAAATTCCGTCGGCATACCTATTTTTTGGATTCTCTCTGAAAAGTACCTAAATTTTAGCCTTTTTCTCTTTTATTGGTGCAATAACCCGTTCTGTGCGTAGTTTATGAAGTTTTAAAGCGTTTTATTAATCAACAGGGCTACATTAGTTGAATTGGAAAGTGACATCGCATAATCGTAAATTTTTCGCGAAATTTTTCTATTCAACATCTTCACCTTCATCAAACTCCTTTGCTTGCTAAACACAAATCTTAATGGATACATCTTATGAGAAGATTTCAGCGGATAAAATCGCGGATTAAAGGCTGAAACATTTTATGATTTCAAAGGTCAGATAATGAGGAATGTTTAGCATTAGAAATTTCGCACGGCAGCATTGTCATTTGATTTTTGCGGCCAATCAAAAAGAAATCACCGCTTTTAAGTAACGCATCCGCAAAATGACCATAAACGGCTGGCCTTTAGATAAAGTTGGACTTTTTGGTAAGGAGGTAGAAACATCCGTATGGCTATTCTTCGAGCTAAGCCAATGCATCTGGTTCGGCTTAAGACTGGTGGAAGCTTCGGCAAACTCACAGACAACTTAGCTGAGTCGACAATTAGCTTAATTTAAACATTGGATTAACTTAAATTAACAAGAGAAATATATAAAGGGCACAATTGGCATCTTAGAATTCATTTTACTTCGAGTTTTTGTAGATCTAGTTTCTATCTATCGAAATGTCTCAACTAACCAAACTCAATTTTACTAAATTTGATTCAGTAATTGTTTCCTTAAATGATTCAGTTCCCGGCTTGCAATACATCATCGATTCCGGACTTATTCCCGATGAACATCCAAAAAAGTGTATTAAGCCTGGTTGTGATGGTTGTGATGGAATGATGGTTTTGAGTGCGATTAAACTTTCAATACTAGAGAAAGGTTTCGTTTGCAGAAAGTGTAGGAAACAAATAAATTGGACCAAAGGAACTATCTTCGAAAGCTGTAAATTGACCATTTTGACGTACCTAAAACTCATTTTTTGTTGGTGTCAAAACAAATCAATCAAAATGACATCAATGGATCTAGGGCTTAATGAGAAAACCGTTTCACATCATTTTCGAATGCTAAGAATGGTAAGTAAATGATATTAATTATTGGAAATATTTTCTAACTTTTTTCTCTGCTTTTGCTAGGTTTGCTACAATATATTGAATAAAGATAAGCAAATGATTGGAGGTACAGGTAAAGTGGTAGAAATTGACGAGACAATGATATTTAAGCGCAAATACAACCGTGGACGATTATCGTCGAATCAAAAAAGACAAGTTTGGGTCTTTGGTGGCATAGAACGGGAATCGAAAGCAACTTTCGCAGAAATTGTTGAGAAAAGGGATGAAAAGACTCTAATTGATGTAATTCAAAATAACATTTTGCCCGGAACAACAATTTACTCTGACTGTTGGAAAAGCTACAACAATTTAGACCAATATAATTTCTACTCTCATGACACGGTTAATCATTCAAAAAATTTTCTTAACCCTAGTAACAAAAATGTCCATACCCAAAACATCGAGAGGAATTGGAGATCGCTGAAAGATCACATACCTAAGTCTTCTAACGGACCAAATAGAGATGATCATTTGATCGAATTTTTATACAAGTCAAAGTACAGAAAGATCCCAGATAATGAGAGTCCCACATAATGAGATAAATTTATCAACGATCCCTAAGTTAACTCAATTTGAATTTCATCAAATTTCATTTTGATTTCTTTAATTATCAATTGACTTAATTCAGTTTTCTTTCGTATAATATTAATCAAAAAACTCCCAAAATCATCCTAAATTAAAATTTACGATTAGATTCGATCTATTAAGAAGGATTGAAAATCATATAATAAGCTGCCCGATGAATAGTGAAAATAAGCTTTTCCACAGTAGTCTCATTATCTGGGATCTTTCTGTATCACAACAAAAATGAGCCGACTCTCAATTTTGAAATAACATTGAAACATCTTCAAAATAATCCATTTTCTATGGATCAACTCGATGTATTTGATTATTCTGACTAACCATGTTTTTCTCTTGTTAATTAAAGTTAATCCAAGGTTTAAATTAAGCTAACTGTCGACTCAGCTAAGTTGTCTGTGAGTTTGCCGAAGCTTCCACCAGTCTTAAGCCGAACCAGATGCATTGGCTTAGCTCGAAGAATAGCCATACGGATGTTTCTACCTCCTTATCGACTTTTTTTACCTCATTGAATACCTGAATGCTTGGAGATTTTGCATGTTTGCACAATAAGCCGATTCTTAATACAGGAAGGTCATATTTGACCTTTGAGTTACTAGTATTCAGCCGTAAATCGATTTCAAAACGCAATTTGACCTGATAACTCGATCAAGTGTTGATCGATGCTGACCAAACTCAGTAGATATTTGTTATTAAGTACGGAGAATCATATCAAAATGTTAATATTTACCAGAATTCAGAGAAACTACCTCAGGTCAAAGCATTATCGAACACCCCTATTATTATGGTAATCAACTTTGGTTTCTGGTTATTCTGGTTTCACTCAATAAAATCTGGTTAATTAGACAATTGACATTCACTTTTTATTTACTCATCGTTACTCAACCAAATTGGCCTTCAGTTCAAATCAAAACATCTTAGGAAACGTAAATTGTGAATAATAGGAAACCAGAAAAGTATTGGACGAAATATTGTTTTACTGTAAGAAAATAATCAAAAAATGATTCAAAATAAAGTTCACTTAATATTGGGATTCAAGTAATCGAAGGGTAATCAACCTTGGTTCACCAAAAAGACATGATTTTTACCTTGAAAACATTTTATTGAAATCAAATTGACAGCCATTTTACAGATGAATTTTGATTAATCTCAATCCAGAAACTTATCAAAATTGAACAATCGAAACAATAAGATTATTGTCAATGTAATGAAAACTTCATCTCCATCATTTCAATCAATTTTAATCCTTTTTGATTGAATCAGTTCATTTCATGCTGAAACTATAAAAGATCGTAAGATCAATTCAGATATTAAACTAATTTTCAACGATTAAATGTCAATGAATAAACCGAATGGACTGAACATTTGCCAGAGAATCAGAAGGATTCATAAAGAGATTTTCCGTTCTGATGATTAGAATTGATTCTAATTACATGAGGAGAAGAGACCAGATTATTCACGTTGATAGCGTTAATTGGGGCTTATTAAAAGTATGGTAATTTACTCTTTTGAATTCTGGTTTTGTTCATATGAAAGTTGGTTCTAAACAAACGAGAATGATTGTATTAACGTTGAAATTTTACATTTGGTTCAGTCAAGAAGTTGGATTCAATGTACTGGCAAACGCAAGTGTTTGATGCGTTCAGAACTTGAGAAATAACATATTGAAACAGATAAACAAATAGGGTTCTGTAGATGATTAAAGATAATTTGAGCACTTAAAAATGATTATGGAAATGCACATCTTCCATTGCAAGCGATATTGACTTGGAAAAAATGAAACCTTGTGACAAAGGGACAAAGGTGAAAATAATACCTTTAAAAGTGTCAATTTGAATTAACAAATCCATGTATATAAAGCTGACGGTTTTTTAAAGGAAAACATATTCCAATTTAATTTATCGGCAATCATAAGTGAATTATTTCAATTCTGTGCTCAGTCTAACAATTGAAAAAAATTCAAAATGCTGATTCTTATGTTAACCGTCACTTTGTTTGCTAATGTTGTCCTTGTTTCATCCCATTCCGAAAGATCCATTGAAATATTGAATCATGATGCTACAGTGATCGACTGTGCTCGATACAAGAGAGAAGCCAATGTTTCATCACTCCATTCACCACTGAAGGCCCATACTTTTTACCCGATGACTATGAGCGCTCAGACATTACTGATGGCTATACTGGAGTCAACTTGAACTTAACTCTTCTATTGACCAATGCTAAGGATTGTTCACCTTTATCCAATTATTATGTTCATATTTGGAACGCTAATGCTTTGGGTCACTATTCAGGTGTACAAGAGTTTAACTTTTTTGATGGTCCAACCTTCCGCCCGAAAACAATTAATAATTTAAGGTTTCTTCGAGGTTACCAGATAACCAATGAAGATGGTTAAGTAAACTTCAATACAATCATTCCTGGCTGGTACTTTGGTCGTTGTATTCATATTCATGTTGAAATTTATGACAAAAATACCACAGATGGACATGCAATCAGTTACATTGGACAGCTTTACTTTAACCGAGAGATGCCTGCAGCATTGAAATTGATCGATCCTTATTCACAAAATAACAATGAAATGACATTAAATGATCAAGATATTGTCTTCGCCTTGTCTAGAGGATCCGACACAATATTAGAGTTGATTCCAGAAGGTAATGGTTACAGTGCATCTTATGTTTTGTCAATTGATCCAACTGTTAAAGTTGAAAATAGCGTACTTCCATTCGACGATCCTCGAAATGTTTCATTTATTGAACATTGATTGATATTCTCGATCCAAATACTCTAAAACAAAATAAAGCATGAAATAAATTGAACTTAAATCTCAATTAACTTGATCGGTCAAATAATAATAGTTCCTAAGCTTAATGGACAAAACTTACAAATCTTAGCTTGCAAATAAAGATATTCACAAATCAAACATCTTTCAATAGTTTATTAATCACATTTTTTCGTATCTCTTTAGCAAAAATTGCATTCATTATAATTTGTATAATTTTTTGGAATTGTTTTCGGAGATGTTTCGTTTTATCATAGCAAAAGTAAGCATTACCTTTCGCTTTCATCAATTTTTAGCTAAAATCGTTCTTTAAATACATTGTACTTTTTGCTGGATCAATTTTAAAACTACATAATAATAACTGATTTCAGCAAATTGAAAACAAATTTAGCTAAGCGAAAAAAAACAGAGAAAACAAACATTTGGTGAGAACAATTTGATTAAAATTGAGCTTGTAAAACAGTGGACAAATATGATCCATTTAGAGTAAATTTGAATTGATTGTTTTCTTTACATGCATATGTATAAATAATGGAGATGATTAAAATGAGATGGACATCTTTATTTAATCCAAATACTTGGAATCCATTGAGGTTCTCTTTCCAGGGAATTGATTTCTCTCAATAATTCTTGATAAGCTGATTCAATATCATTCACTACAAGAACTTTGTCAAAATGATGGCCAAAACGGACTTCAATATCACGGGCTTCGTCAATGATTGCTTGTAACTCATTCAATGGTAGATTATTGCCTTCCTCTTGACCTCTGTAAGTTGAAGCTATTACTCGTTTCAATGTCTCAATATTGGTCGGTGGAGCCACAAAAACGATATAAGGCTTAAGCTTGGCACCTAAAAGATGAAGAAAAAATAATGTAATTAGTAAATGATATTAAAAAATTGAATAGGTAAATGGTAAATAATCATTTCTCGACAACAAATAACGAAACAATTTAAAGATTCAAACATAAAATCAATAAATGGGTAAATTGACTTTACGACTTGTGAGTCTTTCAGAGTTCAAAGTAATTTGGCATAAAAGCAGACATTGATAAGACAAATTAAATTTAATAATGCATTAGTTAGTGATCTGAAAAGATGATATAAGCGATGTGCAATGAATGGAATAACGTGAATCAGGAATACAATTAGTATTGGAAGAATTGTCTGAACCATAAAAACCTCAATGAAAGGTGATGAGCATTGGAAATTGACAGGATAACAGTTCAAACATTATCAATCAACAATCAACAACAAAAACACTTCAAGTTACATGAAGCATTTAATGAGTTGTGGAATGAATGAGGTGAGGATAAAGTTGAGAATCAAGATGAAAACAAAGGTGAAAGAAGGTGAATTAGCAGGAAAAAAAACTGAACAAAAAGTAAAAGCAATCAACAACTAGATAAGTGAAACACTAATGTGTGGTTAACATTTTTTTCCTTGACTTTCATCTTTTACAATAAAACCTTTCCTTTGCAATTTTCATCATTTTCACCTTCTTTTCATTATTTTTCATGTTTAATACCCTCAACAGCTCACTGGTAATCCTTTCAAGTGAAACATTTTTTGATATAATGTTGCTGGATCAGATTGGTGAAGCTAATAAATGATCACAACATGTGAAAATACAGTTTTACTGCCATTTTTTATACACATTGTCAATGAAGTTAGATATAACATTTACCTTGCAAGCTAAAGCATTACAATAGTTTTTACATTATATTGATAGATATTGCACAAAAAAATGAATAATGGCCAAGTAGATTCAAAGTTAATACTCAAAGTTTTAGATTTAACGTCAATTTATTCCCACAGAGTTTCGCTTGACATCATTTTTATCAAAATGGATAACAAATATTTTGTTAACACCAAGTTTCATCTCCGCTTTACAATGAAAGCTCAAATCAATCACTAGCTCAATGAATAAAATTGTGATCCACCTTTCAGATCAAAAAGTGGATGAAGTTGAAATATTAAAGTAGATCTTATTTTATCGCTGATTGAGATCAAATTGATTGCTGAGAAGCTTGAAAATGGTTTACATTCACTATAAGCTTGAAATTGAATTTCAGTGTTGATTGTTGATGAAAATTTGATGAGTAAAAATCAATTGGTTTTAAAGTGTTAAAAGCATCGGAGTTTTCACAAAACTGGTGAAAAAATTTGAGATCATTTACATCAAGTTGATGCAAACGAACCTATTAATAATAGTAAACACAATGTTAAAACAAACGCATCAGAGTTAATCATCAGGTAGCAATTAATTTTCAAGTGATTCGTATCATGATTGGTATGATAATATCAGAGAAATCGCGTGAAATAAAAAATGTAATCTTCTAATTCAAGTTCTGATTGTTCCAAGATTCACATGGGAAAAAGTTAATTATACCTTATGAATGGTTACATTGATGGAAAGTCAAAGCTGAAATAAATTACCAAACCAAAAAGGTCAGAATAATGGACTTTGTAAAGTAAAGGTGAAATCAATTCAATTGATTAGTGAAATGATTATAACTCTTGAAGATTCAGCTCTGCAAAACATTTTAATTGTTTCAATCATTAATTGCTATAATTAATCAATGGATAAAAATTTGACGAGAATCAGTGATCTAAAAGTCAATGAAATCTGATATTGAATCTGAATTTGCTTTTTGATCCATTTTTGTTGGTACTTTTAGGCTTGAAATTTAGATTGCATTTGCAAATATTTTAATGTAAATTTATATTTAACCCAATGGTTAAAAGTCAGTTAAAATGTTTGCGTGAGATGGCAAAAGATGAGTACATTTTGGATACTAAGAAGGTGAAAATAATCATGAAATATCATTCATTTCATTGAAATTGCGTGTCTGTACAACATCTAAATAACAGTCATTTTACATACAAAATAAAGGCAGCAAGATGTACCATCAACATCTTATAACTTAAGTAACTTTACTTCATTTCATGTTGACCATGTTTGGTTAAACTAATTCAAGATGTTTTACATTTTTCAAGTTCATTAGCAAAAATTACCATCATGATTATCATCAACTGATTAAGTCAACTGATTAAAGTGCAGGAAAAAGCATATTCACATAAAATTGAATTCAAACCAAAGCCAACATCAAAATGTTCAATCTGGAAAGGAAGTTTAAGAATGAGTTAACTCGTCTGTGACTAGAATTATTCAGTTATAGACTTTTCTTATGTGAAATTTACGCTGATTTCAAATCTAAATTTAGTCATCAAGTACAGTTTTCGATATGAGAGTACAACTCAATCTAATTCTGAAATAAGTGTCAATGAAATTGATAACTTCAAAGATTAAAGCTTAATGTCAGACTTGATATTACAATAATTCATTGGTAGATTAATTGACATCGTTATTAACAAAATTTATACAATTCTTAATTCTAATAGTGGCAATACTTATGTTTACATTTACAGTCAATTCAATTCTTATTATGAAATGAATTTGATATTCATGCTCAACATCCACGTTAACATAAAAAATGAAAAAGGCAGACAGCTTTGGATATTCCTTGAAGATCCTGGGAACTGAAAAGATTTCAAAGATTATTTCACGAAACCAACATAATAGTGGTAATCATAACTATCTCTATAAGCATCTTTTAGTGAACATCTAACTTGGAAACAGCTCAAGATAATTGGTAACAATGAACACCATCAACGAAGTCAAACATCAAAAGCTAGGGTTAACTGTGTTAATCTATTCAATCAGCAAAGTTAACATACTCTTACACAGGGTAATTACCCATTAGTTAAGCCTGGTGATTATGCTTTTGACTTTGTGTTAACTTAATTATATTGTAAAAAGAATATGATTACTGATTTAATATACAAACATATACATAAATCATAATTACAGTTTTGCTCATGCTAAAGATTTCTGCAGAATAATGGAAATTGTCAACAAAACTTGCATTCAAAGTGGATATTGGTCAAGTTAGATTGAATGATGGCAGGACAGTCAATTATAACTGTTTTAGCAACGATTAGCCCTAAATAATGCCTAACATAAATGGGAAGGTAAGTTGGGAAGAAAGAAGTTGAAAATTAACTGAAAATAATCAGATCACACCTAACAATATGTATTGAGCAAAAGTTAAATTCATATTGTGTTGTAGGAAAGTTTTCAATTTAGTCAACAAACTTTCATAGCTGGATGATCAATAAAACAAGGGAGGAAACCCACAAATATGAATAAAGATGGTTGATGATGATCAAGTAGATTATAAATGAATGTTTATTTGTCCGAATAATCGGCTCAATTATAATTATTCAATACAAAGTTTGCTTTCAATTTGCTTTCGTTTCGCCCACTTATTCAAAAGAGTTCAAAAATTGAGCAACAAGCTAACTGAACATGAACATTTGAACATAAAATAAGTCAAATGAACAAAAATAGGGATTTTTTGCAACCATCTAAACTCAATATTTATGAAATAATCTGATGACTTTGGAAGGTAAAAAAATTTTCATTTTTTCTCGCTTGATTTGTACACAAAGTGAGACAAAAAATGGGTAAATAGCTTAAGTAAGGTAACAAGGAAAGCGTGATTAAATTGATCGCAGATGAAAGTGATCATCAAGATTGCAAGAAATTTAATCTGTGAATGGCCAAGTGAAATGGTTACACACCCTTTCAATAGTTAATGATGTAAGTTTTGCTATAATCAGATTTTTTCACCATTTTCATCCAGTTAATACTCAGGTTGTTTCATTCAACATGAATATATGAATGAGGCAGCATTTGCTTTTGTTTTGTTTCACTTTGTTTTCAAGCATAACACAACAATTTACCTTGATGACTGAATAAAAGTTAATCAACGTTGGTAAAGGGTGTTGCGTTTAATAAGGTGCAATTATCAGTTAGCCAAATGTAGATAAGAAGATGGACAAAGGTAAAGATCAAGACATCTTACATTTCTAATCTTTTATCTTCATTTTTGGTACTGATAATTGCACCTTATTAAACGCAACACCCTTTATAAAAAATAAGCTAAACTAAATCGCTACAATAGCAAATGACAAAGAGAAACATAAGATAGCATTATAACCCTGAAAGATTAGCAAATTTGCTTAAAAATAAACACTCGTTTGTGTATTTTGATGCATTGTTGTCGAAATGATTAAATGGTTGGTTAATCAATAAACAATATATGATAATTACCAGCATGTCCTTGTCTCAACATTGGAATTGCTTGAACATGTAAATTGAGAACACAAATTTTACCCGATTGTACAACAGCTTCAATCGCACTCAATGAGGTTCCATAATAATTTTTTTCAAACTGTCCATGTTCAACAAATTTTCCTATTAATTTTAAATGAAAAGATGATTATACAATTAGTTGGACAGTTAAACAATAAGAATGTTAAAAGGTTAACATCATTAGTCATCATTGTTAAAGTTTTGATCTTCAATGGATATATTGGGTGTGGTGAAGGTGAAACAAAAGTAGATTTTGAATCATCGTCGTTAATCATTTCAATTGGCAATCTGAATTTTATGGTTTCATCAGGAACAGTTTCTGGTGACAGTTTGCTATTTCCAATGTGTGAAATAAGTGAAACCAAAAACCCAAAGTCACATACCAAAGTAAAGAGTTGTCATTGATTGAAATGTCAACATTAACAGTTACACCCAATAATATTCATACAACCCAATTGTTGGCATACATTGGGTTAAAAGGTGACAATACTGTAACAATATGATAACTGGAATGATTAACTAACCATCTTTTATGTCCTGCTCAAAGGCTTGGCGTGATATGAAATGATAATCTATTCCTGAAATTTCTCCATCACGTTGAGGTCGCGATGTATGAGGTATTGCTGCTGCAAATCTTTCTGAATCTTGCATAAGTTTTTGTCTCAATTCATGGCGTCCAATGTTGGTAGGACCAATTAAAACAATAGGTCGCTGTAAAGATAAAGAGATAAAATGAGTGAAAAAATTCTGATTATGTGTGATAAAATAACAAAATATAAAGATGGATTACCTTGATGTTGGCTCTTGGATAATAAAGGGAAACTTCTTCGTAGGTAAGAGTTTCATCTGAACCTGAAATTAAGCCTAAAAGTGATTAAACAGTAGCAGTGAAAAAGAAAGAAATGGATTCATCAATGAAAAGTCAAGGTTGTTGGCTTAAATTACAGATCCATACGTTTGATTTACAATGTAATTAAGAGGGAAGCTAAATAATTTGCTTACTCATCATTTTCCGATGTTTTTTCCTCTTATTATGATATCTTTTACCACAGTTAAATATAATGGAAGATGCTGATTTTTTGTTGGCGCGATTCTTGTAGTTATGGGCAGTAGTATTATTATTATCAAGTAACATTGATTGTTGCATTGCTTCACGTCTGTAATGGTGTAATGAAGGAAAGGAGGAGAAAGGAAGAGAGAAAAAAAATAATGAAAGGAATGTTAGCATTAAATGTAAAGAATATGGAAAATGAAATGAACAAAAAGTAATTCAAGAGTAATAATGAAGGTAGTAAACATACTGCAACTGGAAATGTACTGAAGGAATGAGTCCAGCAAGCGATTGGTCCTGTTCTCCATCACGATAAGCTTGCCACCAATTAGTGTCTGTTTGGTCAATTATATGAAGTATATCACCTTTCGAGAAACAAATGCCCAATTCACGACATGGAATGTATACATCTTCATCAGGATCGTAATCAAATAATGCTTTTAAATGGATAAGTTGTGTGTGATTTTCGGTGGATGTAGTTTTTGTTACTTGATCCCTTATGGCCACAACGAAAGTTAAAGTACCTTGAATTATTGAGAAAAGAAAAAAAAATGTTAGAAATGTTCTGTTCAATAGTAACAAATTGAAATCATGACAATGATCATGACAAATTTTTTGGTAAATTGCTTTGTTTTTGCGTCATTGTACCTGTCATTTCAGCCAACAGATCACAAACTTGATTGACATTTCTTCCTTTCATTTCAATACCATTGACTTCCAATATTTCATCGCCTTCATGAAGTAAACCTGATTTTTCAGCAGCTCCACCTTTAACTATCCTTCCGATTATAACTCTACCATCAGGTTCATTTCGCACTGTGGCACCAAGAGGTTCACATGTCGACTTTTCTATCCTAACAACTCGTACATTTGAATTTAATTCGCAATTCAGGTCTTCCATTTCCATTTCCATTTCCATTTTAACTTCTATAATCCGTGTAAAAGGAAGAAATGAAAATGGTTAAAAGAAAATTGATTAAGATGAACAAAAATTGTTTAACCGTTTAATTAATTGGATAAACTTTTATGGTCGCAAGTTTTAGAAATCTCCTTGTTTGGTGAAATTAACAAAGCGTACCTTGATCATTTTTCACGGCTTGATGAGAAGTAGTTGCGGGTGACAGTTCATAATCTTTTACTGTTGATACAATCCGATCAAATGCGAAGCAAAGTCCTTCCAATTCAAATTTTGTAAGTATCTCAAGAAGTTCTGCTGCTTCGCTACTTTCAGGATACTGGATACAAGATTTTCCCAGTGAAGAAAAGAAAACATTCCATTGATGATTATCAAGTTGGTGTTTAAGATGGTAAAACAATCGTTAATATTTTTTTAATGTGATGCAATTGATGATAAATCCAATAGTGAATGGCGATTGAACGGTGATTGCCATAAAATTATTAAAGATGAAATCACGATGAAATAACCATGATGGTGATGATAATGATGATTTAATAGTTGAAGAATAGATTTGCCATTAAGAAGGGAACAAAACAAATCCAAGAGTGAAGATGCAAAAAAAAGTATTAAGATAAAAAGTTATATAGGTGCACAAGTAATCGTAATTTTTTCTTATGATCACTGATCATTGATCACTGATTATCTCAATAATTTTGTGATTATTGTTGATTATAATCACAAAATAACATTAAATAAATGTCATTACCTTTTGTAAAAGCATAACAATGTCACCAAGGAGATCAGTTGCCGGCATAGATACACATGGCAGGGAAAGTTGTTTTTGTTTTTGTTGCATAATACTGTTATAAACACTAACTAATTTGGTTAAATCAGTTTTGGTAACAAGTTCCTTCAATTCGTTATTTAATTGTTGGACAACACGATCTAAAATGGGATTTAAATCGATGCTAGGAAGAACTGGTTTGGAAAAGAAGATTAGAAACGAAAACAAAAAAAGAGTTAAAAATGAATGCAAGATGAACTAAAAAAAGGGTTACAAGTTTTCAACACTCACTTTTGTTTTGTTCATTAAAATCATCGTCACCCTCGAAGGCATCGTTAACCGCAGATTCACATTGAATATCTTCGTTGACTTTCCTCTTGTGTTCCAATTGTTTCAATTTTTTACTATGTCTTAAACTAGTACGAAGGAATTCCTCTTCCGCTTTCTTTCGACTAATGTCTTCGGAATATTTACGCAATTTTTCAGCTTCATCGGACATCGGCTGAGTTGACCCCAACGAGGGTGAATTGGAAGGAGGTGGAGGCGGTGGTGGTGGTGGGTATCGAGGTTTTTGCTTGACGATACCAACAAACGATTCAGGAACATCAACAGGTACCTCACGGTAGGGGCTTAAATTTTTTGTATTTAACTCTACTAATTCCATATTTTTATCACTCAATTCATAATATTTGACACTTGATTTACACGATTTGCTGGTTGTTTCAACAACAGATGAAGATGATGATGAAGCAGCTTGTTCCTGGTTTTTCCCACTTGTCCGTCTTTTAACTCGTAAGCATATTGTCCGAGTTCGTATACACTGTAAAAGGTAAAAGAAGAGGTTAAAAAAATGTACACAAAAAACAAAATATAGATCAGTCAAGTATACAAAAGCATGAAAGGATGAAAATGACAATAATAATAAATCACAGGTTGATGGGAAACAAAGAAAACAGGTTAAACACGCCAGGTGGGGCAACCAGTTTACCTGGCGAGGCGATTACTTTTGCCAGTCCCCGTTGCCAGGCCACAACCCAGCAACGGAGGCTAATAATTAAGATTAATCTTGATAGTGTGATAGTGTGATGAAGGAACAACAAAAATAAATAAAAAAAACATTTCTTAATGAAGTATTAAATAAACTAACCTGGTTTATGTATTGAATGATTTCTTGGTGAGTAGCTGTCTCCAGAGATTCACCATTGATTTCAAGTATCTCATCACAATCTTTCCTTTCAGCTGCTGATCCTGTAGGGTCAAGAATCATCAGAGAGAGTATCCATCATTGTAAGTATCATCGTTGCGAAGAAGATTGTTGTAAGGATTTCAAAGACACAAGAGGAAGAAGAAGAGGAAAGAGAGATTAAAATATAATTTATAGGGAAATAGAGTGATCACAAAAAAGTATGAAACTAGACAGGTTGATTATTAAATCCAAACAATTTTAATACTATGAGGCAAATCAAGAACCGACCTAGTAATTTAATCTTTCCTTCATGTTCAACCAGTTCAATAACATATACACCAAGGTCAATCATGTTGATTTAATGATGTTTGTTATTGTTGTTGTTGCAGCTAATGTGAATATTTATATCGATGGTGATGGTGACTTTGGTACTTTTGTACATACTTAGGACAGACCGTGGATGGTTAAACAAAAACAGGGAAGTCAACAAGGGAATGGAGGCCAGAAGAGACAGAAAACATGAATAGATGGAGAAATCGAGGAAAGAAAATTCTGCAATGAAGCTTTGGAGATGAATCTTACTGAGATCATGCATAGGATGCTTCTATGCATTCAATGATCAGATGTACAGAAAAGTGGCTCATATCAAAGAGTAAAGAAATCCCTTGGATAAATTTCGAAAGAACCACCCCGCCAATCATGATGAGATTGCACATGATTATAGTTCATATCATGGACTACTCATATAGGAACAATTGGTCGCGGGTTATTTACCGTTCTTAAGAAATTCTATGAAAAAAGGCCTAACTCCCCATTGAGGCCTTTGTTAATTTTTTTAGGGCAAATGGTGTTCAAGTATACAAAAACTATTACCTAACTCAAGCTAAACCTAACCAAAAAACAAAAAGTGACCGAACCTATTAAGCTACCCGAGCTACTTCAACCTATTCCCATTATCTGGCACATCACTGAATTTCTATTAATTTTACTTCTGCCTAATGATTAGTGCTTGCTATGTAAATGGCCTACAGTCAGTGACTGACAGTTAGAGCTGAGATGGTTACCAGTAACCGATGATTTGGTTAGTGGGGGAGGAAAAGTAACTGGTTAATGGTTATACTAACCAGTTACTGTTTTTAAAGACCGGTTAATTGGTTAGTGGTATAATTTATTGACAACAAAATGCCGTCAAGCTGAGCACAGAGCTGAGTGGTTCCTTCGTCCACCACTCAGTAGCCATACTAAGCTTGACCAGCATTACATTTAAAATTACAAATAAGATTAAATTATGTAATTATAATTGTAAGGGATAGTCCGCCTAGGTTTGACCAAAGCCAAGGCAAACTTTATGGGGCAAACCATTCTCAGTATCCAAAGTCAACACGTCCAAAGAGTAGTCTTTCCAAAGTAGCACCAAATATTTTGGTCCACAATTTTATTTCATTCATATTTCCTATCCATATTATCCTTAAAACATGTGAAAAGCACATTGTTTTGTTGGTACTCACCTTATTTTAGCGATAACACACAAAATGATGAAATTCTTGATAAAACTTGAGTTCACTGAGTATTTTAAAGGTCAATAAATTTAAAAAAATTAGTTAAACTTAATTAAATTAAAACTAATAAAAAAAAGTTTGACGAAACCGTTGTAACCGTCTCAGCTTGCGTCGGTAACCGTCTCTTCTTAGAAAGAGAAAAAGAAAGAGGAAGCGCTCAAGAGTTTGTTTATGTTGAAAGCTATTAAACCTAACACTAGAGGCGCTTATCTCAAAAATTTCGTCTTTTTTGAAGTTATCCTAATCATCATTAAAAGGCGCTGACCTGCTTCAGTAACCGTCGATTGCTTGGTCAGCTTAACCATGGGGTTACCAACCATTCTAAGCATTAACCAGCACAGCTCTGACAGTTACTCCAACTTCAATAAAGAAGAGCAATTTTTACCGCTAACCAGTTATTCGGTCTATAAAAACAGTAACTGGTTAGGATAACCATTAACCGGTTACTTTTCTTCCCCCACTAACCAAATCATCGGTTACTGGTAACCGTTTCACAAGGGGTCGGCATGAAGTGTAATCGAGTTTCCTAATGAAATATATATTTTTAGTTAGCCCATCAGGAGTACATAAAAAGTGAAAAATAGTAAGTGTCCGTTTTTTGATAACGAAAGTTATTCACACTTTCGTAGCGAACCAATGCATTTCTGTATGCATTATGCTGAAGTTTTTTGATAACAAACGAAAATTCGTTCCATGAACATTAGATGAAAAAAACTTTAACCTCATTAATTACCGTGATTGGCCTCTTAGACTCGCTGATTGATGGAAATAATTGCTTAATGCCGACCTTTTGTAAGTTGACCTGGGCTTAAATCAGGATAAGGCTTGACAAACTCAGACTACTGTGATCTTTCACGAAACTGGAAATTTAATTTCGACGATCTTTTCTATTTATAGATCCATAACCTCACTATTTAAAATCAAAATTAACTAATTTTTGATCTAAATTCTCTTGAAAAATGCATCTCTGATTCAACGGTTGAATGATGGCGCAAGTCTAGTCATACTGACTCCAAAACATTACTGTTGATACCATTCTTAGTAGATTCAAAAATAACAAAATACATTTATTCATCTTTCATGTTTCTTTTTTTGTCCTCCGTTTTTATCTCTCACCATTCATCCTTATTTCACTTTGATCTCTTGGTTTCGGGGTCCTTTGGGTTTAACCTGGTGATAGTGATCACCGTAATGACCACCATCAACAGAATCATAATGAAACATGGTTATGGTTTGAGTCTTTTGGTCACATCGAGTCAAATGGACTGACCATTAAGTTTTCTCGTTTATTTCCATTACATTTTGTTTTATGTTTTAATGTGCTCTTTTTATTTCATCAACAACCAGATTTGCTCCTTTTTTCAACGAAGATGCTATTCGAGAAGAAAATATACATGTAAATATTTTTGTTACTTTCTTATTTCTCTCACAATAAATCCTCTTCTCCTACACGATTGGGTAAACAGTAATGTTGAATCAATCATCATAATGACTCTCAACTGACCATTGTCAATGAAAATTGGACCTGGAAAGCAGTTTTTGATGCGTTAAGTATCTGCACATCAAATAGTTATGATTGACTTTGGAGACGATTTCGGGTATAATTATGAATTTAAGTTGAGTTATTCACAATAGAAAACGGAAAAAGTGATAAATTATCAATTTTAAATAATATCCGTTATTTTATTAAAGCTTCATGAAAACAGAAAGCATTAATTTGAACCTTCGAGCTGCTTTAAATGATTAGGTAGAAAAATCTTAATATTTATTCCCATTTGAAATGAACAAGTTAGAAATGGTTGGACAATTCAAGCTCAGAATGACCTTTCAATAGGATAAAGGTAAAGATTGAAAAAATTTGATGACTGAAATTGGTCTTAAATATTGACGATTATATTATCAACTTCAATAATTTATGAAGATTAATAAATGTTTTTTTGTATTTTTCATGCAATACGAAACATTTGACAATGATAAATGAAATATCGATTACATGCATATCAATACATGTAGCTGTTTTATATAAAAGTATAAGAAGTGGAAAGAATTAGGAAATATTCAATTGATTTAAATCAGGATTTGAAGGATTGTCACCTTCATTTCTTGATTGTTCATTTTTGTCTTCAAGTTGCTTCTTTTCACTAATTTCTTTCAATTTCTTTTCGTGATCTTCTTTAATCTTTAAACACCATTTCTTGTGTGTAAACCAGTGTAACTTTTGGCATCGCTGATTACAATATTGTGTTAATTTACACTGTGAACATTTTTTACTTGGTTTGGGTTCACTACAGGCAGCACAATTGACCATTTCTTCATCTATGAAACCTTTCTGTCCACTTATAGTTCGTGCAAGAAGAGACAATGCACTTGGCTCTTCACCAATCGAAACGGTAGACAGAGTTTTGACAATTTGAATGAAAGTCATTGAATTATGATATGGAAATCTTTTTACTGCTTCTCTCAAGAAATTCTCTAAATTTTCAGGGAATCCATCTGAGTCTCTTCCTTTCAACCAATATTTGATCAATAAATCTCCACAAGATGAGATAAGCTCTTTACGATTGGCATTTGGTCCATGTTTGGCTTCCAACTTTTCCATTTGTTTACCAAAATATTCCAATATAAATGCTAAGTAAGTGAATTTAAGAGCCAACATTTCATTGGCATCTTTATTCTTCATCTCTCTTTCGGTCATCAACTCCAAAACTTTTATCACTTGGTTAATTGATTCAATTAATAATGGATATTTCTCAAGTTCCATTACCATACGAACCGGGTGTATATTGGTTTGTCTCAATAAAGACCAAAGTGGATCAGCCAAACTTGACTTTAATCTAGGTTCGTCTTCAAGTCCATGTTTCTCAGTGTAATATAAAACATCCTCCTTTGGTACATAATTGTTGATCATGTTGACAGCTTCATGTTGACCCACAAAACCAGCCATTTGAGCGGCTGTTCGTCCAACACTATTAATGTGATTAATGTCGGCTCCAGCCTCTAGCAAAATTCCTACAACCTTTAAGTGTCCACCTATGGCAGCAAACATTAGCGCTGTGTAACCATGGACATGCCGAGTATTGTTCACATCAGCACCATTTTCAATTAAAAATTTGCAAATCTCATAAGATCCCTTGAAAGCAGCTTGGCACAGGAAACTCATTCCATTTTCATCAACGGCATTTAAACGGACATCATCTTTGTTCATTAAAAGCTTCACTTCTTCGAGATTATTTTCACATATTTTCTCGAAAATCAATTTCTCATTAGCAGATAAATCAGTTTTGGTGGCCATAACTTTAAATTAGATTATCTAAACTAGCAGACGAAACAAAATTACTAATTTATACTCACTGTAAACAATCAAATCGATCGAGGTAACAATTTGTTAAATTATTCATTGCAGTCAAGATCTTGATTTACACAACAGTCATGGTTACCTGAAAATATGCCCAGAAGCGGGTTTTTTGAACTTATTGCTAAGGTAGGATCATTAATTGTATTTTTAAGGGATAGCTAATTCTTAAATGAACAAATGACAATTAAAAATTGCTTGAAAATGACTCATAGCAGTTAAAATTGATAAATACAATAATCATTTTTTATTACAATAGAACAAAATAGTTTTTAAATTCTTTGGCATAATCATCTCCTTAGATTCGTCTCATCAAGCTTGTTATTACGCTTAATCAACTTAACAATTATTTCTGATTGGAAAACTTCTGAATTTACAACTGATGAGCTTTGCGAAAAGCCCATTTTTCAAAAAAAAATTGACAGATTATTCTGTAGAATTAACATTACAATAAAAAGGTTTTGATAGGATGGGAGATTTTTTTGTATGAGCAAAGAATTACTCTGATATTTCTGATTTGTGCAAAAAATAAGTGAAAATAGGACGGAAAAATAATCGAATATAATATTAGCTGAGTGTTAAGGATAGAGATGGATAGTGATAGAAGGGAAATGGTGAAAAATAGGAACCACAGTCAATGGGAATGATTAGGCGATAAGGAGAGATTACGAAATGAGAAAAAATAGCAAGTTGTGTAAAATATATTTTGATTAATCTGTGTGAGACAGTACGTTTGAAATTCCTCTGACAGGATCAGGCATTCGGTGAACATGAACATATTTTTCATCAACCACCAAACCAAGAGGCGATAAAAAGATGTATTGTTTGCCAGCTTTCATTTTGGCATTTTCGACAAGAATTTGCATAGCTGTGGATCGGGTAACAACATCCTGAAATTGAAAATTAAATTGAGAAAATTATGTAAGGAATTAACGTGAAAAATATGTATGAATCAATGAAGTTCATTAGAAGTGGAATATGCAAACTTACCATGAAAACGTCAACTTCATCGAGTATACGGAATGGTGAATTACATGATTCCCATAAAGCAACAAGGAAAGCAACTGTACCATACGACCTTTCACCTCCTGAAAGACTTCTAGTGTCTTTGTAAACATCTGAATTAACCATTACTTTGGGATTTATCTTGATATCCAATGTTTTTGCTTTCTTTGAGGCACCATCAATTATACAATCATCGTGATTTATTTCAAGAATACCGGAAAAATTGAGAGCATCAAGGGCTATCTTGAATACTTGACAAGCTTTTTCTGTTATTTGTTTTCGTAATCGACGATATTTATCAAGGCGCATTTTGGTTGAGGCTTTAAACTCTTCAAGTAGTTCTTCAAAAGTTTCAACTTGCTCAAGCACACGTTCATGAGCTTCAATACGGTCATTATATTGTTTGATGATCTTATCTCGATCTCCGATTTCACTTTCTTGTTCTAAAGATAAATAAAAAAACAAAAGTTATATAATGTAACCAAAAGATTAAATATTAAATTAATAATTAAGGGGTAATCAATAAAAGATTGAGTATAGTCAGATTGTAATATTTCGTAAATCATGAAAATCAAATTGTGATGTAAATTACCATCTCACATTTGTCAGTGTTTTCATGAACAAAATTGGTCATATTTTTTAGCTAAAGGGTTAGATGCTATTGGACTTTAATACATCAATGAAAAAATTTAGATAAAATTGATAAATTACCTTGCATAAACCGTTTTATGTCGACAATCTCTTTTTTGACATCACTAGGAGATCTAGTCGTTCTTATTTCTTGTCCTGTTTCCTCCATAGCTTTTTGCCTCATATTTTCGACTTCTTGCTTTTTACTTTCTTGAGCTTTCTTTAAATCGTGTATTTCTTCTTCCACTGAAGTTAGATTGTCTTTAAATCGGTTCAGGGTTCGCTGAACACTGACTAATTGGTCTTCAAGAGTCTTCATCTTCTCTCTTGCAGGTCTCTCTTCATGGCATAGACGAGTCTTTTCATCTTGAAGGGTCGTTATTTTCACATTAATTTCCTCAATTAATGTTTTCATTTCACTGTACTTTTCCTGCAACCCAGCAAGCTTCTCATTTCTGGTTGTTTTTTCCATTCGTAAATCAGATAGATCTTTTTCAAACAGATCCATCTCGACTGGAGTGGTTTCAACAACATTTTTTAACTCTTCGAGCTCTCTGGAAACTTCATTAGCACGATCATACAATTTTGAAAGCTTGTTCGTAGTTTCAACTAAATCCAATTTGTTTTCCTGAAGATTTTCTTGTAAAGGAGTTAGATCAGCTGTTCTAGATTCCCACTTTTTGTTCAATTCCACCAATTCGTGTTCAAGTGAAAGAATGTAATCTGAGATGTCATGAGTTAGATATTTAGCTTGGTTATAATTTGGCGCATAAGACTTGAAAAATTGGTTCCTTTTAACTGGATACATGTTGGTTCCTTGCTTAGTGTAAGCTTGATTACAATTATGTGGAACTTTTTCTGCATTAGTCATCACGTTGAGAGCTTCATCCTCGTTAGCAATGTAGGCAATTGACTCGATGTTAGACCTGTCAATTAGTACATTAGCGACTGGAGCTTGGTCAATGTCAAGAAGTTCTAATATAGATTTATATTTGTCACTTTGAATACAATTGGAAGAAACGTTGTGAAGATTAGTAAATCTTCTGGTTATTATCATGGGAGGTCGCGCATTGCCAAGAGTCCTTTTAAATAACTGACTAAGAACATTTGCATCGCCTTGATTATCACAGCAAAAGGCACTAACTAGCCCTTTGATACAACACTCAACAGCAAATGCTGCACCGGGATCTCGTAGCTTAATCAAATGGCCGATAGGTCCTAATGGCTTCTTCACAAATCGTCCTTGTTTGAATTCTAAATCAATCTGTTTGAGCAAATGAGGCATGTAAACTCCGAACCGCAACAGTTGGTCATTCTCACTAGAACGAGCTTGTTGAATATCTTGTTTCTTTCTATATATTGAAGACTTAATCGAATCAATTTCAGCCTTGCAACCATAAATCTTTTTCTCGATCTCGGAAATAGAGCCTTGTAATTGTTCTTTATGAAGTTTACGGGTTCGTATTTCTGCTTTGAGTTGCCTCTCTTCTTCTTCCAATTTAGCAACCATTTCAGCTCTAAGATGCCTCTCTTGTTCGACTTTTTCTACATCACTGAAAATGAAAATTTTTCATGAGTAAAATAAAACTAGTAACCATGGGATTTACTTACCCGAATTGTTTCTTGAGTTCGTTAATTTTTCTTTCAAGATGCTTTTCATCTTTTCCCATAGCATCGAGTTCATTCTTCAGTCTAGAGCATTCAATAGCAAAATTGTTCTTTTTTTCTTTATATTCGGTCAATATTTGAGTCTTTTCGCCAATCTTCGCTTTTATTTCATCAACTTTGATTGCCATGTCATCCAAATCTTTCTGAGTATTCTCTTTGTCTGCTGAAAACTTAGTAAGTTTATTTTCCAGTTTATTTATTGTAGTTGTGTGCTCAATCACTTTGCCATTATTTTCTTCGATTTTACTCAAAATTTCTTCAAATTCTCGTTCCTTTTCGCAAACTAAGGCCCAAAGTAACTCTTTATCCAAAGAACTCAGTTTGTTGTTTTGGTCGTCTATCTTGGCGAATAATGAAACTTTCTTCTTTAATTCTTTGAGTTCTGAAGCAACGTCTTTCAAAACCTTTTTTTTCTTATCCAATTCAAGTTCAGTTAAAGTAGTCTTCTCGGAAGCATACGCATAGTCGTTTAAGATGTCTTCTAACTGAGTTGCTTTCATGAAGAAGCTATACTTGTCCCGCGGGTTTTTTGAGTTAAGAAAATTTCGACTGATTTCTTGATTGAGAACGACTATCGGGTTATCGATTTGTATATTGAAATGTTTCACAATGGTATCCAATTCTTTTTTCATCGTAGTTATAGATTTGCCATTTTTGTTTTTCAGATGGTAAGTTGAAGAACCGTCTGACTTGAGCAGACGCTCTATCCAGATAGTGTCACCGTACTCTTCATACTTGAAACTTGCACTTTTGTCTATATTGTTGAAATTATTCAGTTTGATAACAATTTTAGCTCTAGACTCTCCAGTTTTAATAAAAGATTTTAAGCTTTGGCCGCGACTAGTGTGATGAGAACGACCACCAAGAGCTAAAACAATAGCAGTCAAGATAGCGCTTTTACCACCTTAGAAGATAAGAATGGGATTGATGTTAGTTTAAATTCAAGTTCAAGATAGATGGACATAAATGTCTAAAGATACATGTATAAGAGTGACTTACTTCCATTCCGACCGATAACAAAGTTAATTCTTGGGCCAAATTCAATAGCAAAATGGCCATGGCACATAAAATTGACTAATTTGAGGGATTTGATAGTACCACACTCAATATAATTGGACTTATCTTGACTATTGAGAAAGCTAGTTTCTCCAATAGAGCTGATTTCCATATCCAGTGAATCGTCTGAATCATTGGCGCGATCAGGATTGTCCTCCTCATCAAAATCTATGTTTTCTTTAGAATCACTAGATAAGCTTGGTGATCTATCACGACGCTTTCTTTTGGCAGACATCATGTCCTGTTTAAGAAAAACAAACACAAATCCAAAAATACAGGTAGATAAAAACAAAGATAGAAATAATTAACTAGTGATAGTCAACAATGAGTAAAAAGGCAAAATAACAAACCATCGTCTGACAACGAATTTTGTTTCTGAACCGGGAAAATGAATGAAGGTAAAGAATACGATATCTTGTAAACCGCCCCTAGGGATGCAGATATAAAGTAAGCTCATGAGCGCGATTTTTCAACCTGAAAAATATCTTAATCTTCTTAAATTTTGTTAAGCAGTTTACTCAAAGGTTAATTACTAAAATTTTGATTCTAAGAAAGAAAGTTAAACTAATTGTTAATTATTTTACTTTAAAGTCTAGTTCGGAATTTAATTTCATTGAGAAATATTGTGAAAACATAATTGGCGCTTCTCAATTTACACTCAATAAGCCAGCTGACATGCATGTTTATCTCTCAACCTGGTTGAGTAAACCATCCTTTTTAATCATTTAATTGTAGAGTTTAAATCTGATTGCTATTTTTCTGTAAACAGTTGTCCCTTGTTACTATCAAATTTGAGAAATCGTTGATATTAATTTGTTTTTTTACTATTTTTTGTACATTTTCTACAAAATGATGCAATAATGAGTTTAACTTACATTTGTTGACAAATGTTTTCTTTCAGTATTTATGTTTTTTTTCTTGTCAACTAGACTTGTGATTATTAATTGTCGCTAAATTTTTGCCTTGAAACTACATACATATGATTAATTATGTCATTGTTTCGTCTAAGTGTTCGTCGCTTTTGTAAGTCTATAAAACCAGATGCATCACCTGACTCAAAGTATGTTCAACCGGTTAAAGGTTTTCGTAAACTAATAGCTGAGTATTTAACTAAATTTGTCGGTTCATATGAAGATGTTTTATCTAAAAGATTTCCCAAAGCATTTGAAGTCTACCAAGTTTTCACCGTCGGTGAGTTTTTTGCTTCTACTGCAAGCTCTTTGTTCATCCTCATCCTTTTAAATATTTCGCACTTTAATCAGCTTATTGAAAAATTCTTTTATTCTTTGATTTAATAGGTACACGAGCTCTTTACACTGATACCGTTGAATATCTAAGAATATCTCGAGAACTCTCTTATGGAAAAGATGTACGCTCTTTATCTTATCAAGAGCTTTTAGTCTATTATCAAACACCAAAGGATTTACTCAAAGTTGCACCAACTTTGTTAGTTTCAGCTGCCCCTTTCGCCAATTACGTGGTGTTTCCATTAGCTTTATATTTTCCTAAACAATTATTGTCTCAACACTTTTGGAGCAAGGAAATCCGCTTCAATTATCAATTAGAAAAAACAAAGAAACGATTGAAACACAATCGACCCATATTTCGCTATCTTCAATTCAAACTCTCTTCAATTCCTAAGCAGTTGTCCAATTCACCTGACATCGATTTCAAAGAGCAATGCAAACTAATTTATGACAAACTTGGAAGTGGAACGCATCCAACTGTTGAAGAATTACTCAAAGTATCTCCTGTTTTTGATCAGCAACCATACGGACTCCTGCATCTTTCAAAATCTCATTTGGTTAGTTGATAAATCTTTATCTTTTATCTTTTCATTATTTGATAAAGGTCATTAACACTTTTATTATCAATCATTTTATTCAGTCTCATCTCTGTAAGATGCATGGAATAACGTCTTTACCTCGAAAAGTACCTCGACTTGTCAACTATTGTGGATTGGTTCACGAGTTAGATTTAGCTATTTTACGATTAGGAGGATCTGCAAAATTATCTGACAACGATCTCAAGCTTGTAAGAACACATTCAATTTCATAATTTTTTCAATCAAAATATTTAAAGATAATTTCTTCCAATTTTACAGGCTGCCAACATGAGAGGATTGAATCCTTTTGGGTGTAGTAGAGAAGAATTAACCAATTGGCTTGATAATTGGCTTTACATTTCTAAAGCATTGAATGGTAAAATACATCCGCTAATTGAATATCATATATATCAAATGCAATAAATATAAATTACTAATCATCAAAACTGAAAATCTTTTCTTTTTAGGCACATGTCCATCGTTATTACTCCATTGTCCCATCTTTCTCGGATACAACCAGCCTAGCAATTGGAAGCTTATCTACAAATAACTTTTGTACTTCTAGTCATCTTTAATTTTGTTATTTGACATGTTAAGTAGTGTTTATTAAATTGACTTTGCAAATTTGCTTTGAAACTGAATAAGTTGTGATTCTTCTTGAACTAAATTAAATCCTCAAATACTATGGACGAAATATTATGCTTTTTTTATTCAAGTAATGTACAAATCGCAATTATTACATTCTATTTATCACTAATTCTCAAATATTTTGTAGGTATCATCATGACTATTTTTAGGAATAATCCACAGCTCAATTCTAGTTCAGTTCAATTGACAGCATCTATGACATTTATGCTTCAAAGAAGGACCAAAATGAAATTAGTAAATAGTAATTTCTGAAATAATATATGAGGCTGATTGATTGCTGGACTTTTTTCGATTCAACCAAAACTGGTGCTTAAAGGCTGTCCGAACTAAAAGCCACTAAAAATGGTGAAAATTTTCTGTATTCATTGAATATGTTTGAACAAGTATTTTTCAATTGGTGAAGTTTTTTGCCAGATAAGTCCATAACACATTCGTGCTGTTGCAACATTTTGTTTGTCTAACTGTCTTTAAGAACTGAAACATTATTAATTTTGTAAGTATTCAACTCTTATCAACTTAATCGCCATTTTCATTACCATCACAACGATAATCATAGATCATAATCATCACGATAATAACTGTGGGCACAAGAAGGTCGTTCTTTACACGATTTTTGTAGCTGAAAAGAGTGTAATCAAGTTTGACAATAGTGTTGAGAGCTGTTTATTTACGCATTAATTTTGACTTATTTACTATCTTTTTTTGGTAGCAATTTGGTCTATTTTTTTGATTGAAAACCAAAAGTAGCCTTTTCATGATGAAATTTCAACTTTCAAGTTTACCTCTAATAAATTTGATAAAATACTGATTTCTCTCATCATCTTTCTATTTTTACAGATATTCAACTATTACACAAAAACTGTCTTGAATTAACTTTCCAGCCTTTCCTGCAAATACAATTGGATTCTTTCTATCAAGTGATCATTATTTTGATTTTGTTGTTGTCCATTTTCAACAGCAGCTAACCAATGAAAGGATACTAAATAATATCGATTGATGCCACAAGAAAGGTATATTTTATCATTGTAATGATATAATAATCATATTGTAATATGATTTGAGAAGAGCTGAAAATTGTTGGTGGAGCGTAGGCAAAGCAAAACTTAAGATGACTAGACAAAGGAGATAAAGAAAAAGAAAGGAACAAGAAGATGATAAAATGATGAGCAAGTTGAAACAAGCATGGAAAAAGATCTGAGAAGGATTAAACAGGATATAAAATGAACCGATAATTGTGAATGGGTAGTTTGAATAGTGGAAGAGAAACGAGAAAATCACAATAAAGGAAAGAAAAGAAGGAATCAGCAAAATCTGATGATTTTCTGAATGGTCACCTATCACTGTATTAGATTGTTATAATCATAGCCCTAAAGCCAGGTCACCGATATTTTCACCAATTCATTCCCTCCATAAATGCGTACCTTTCTCATCTTCATCTTTCTTTTTTGCCTTTCTTTCGCTTTAAATATATCTCTCTCTGAATTGCTTTGAAATTAGGTTTCACACGTCAACCTTGCTCTCTCTCTCTGTCTATCTAACCATTTATCTAACTCACCCAAGATCTTCCAAACTGATTTCATATCTCATTCCGTCTCAACTTTTGTATCATCACTTCTCTATCATTATTTTATTTCGAAAAGTCAAGAAGCTAAAAATCAAACTTCTGAAAGTCAGCTTGTTTCACTCACTTGTACTGATGAAACATCTCGATGTCAGTCTGACTTGATCTCATCATTTTACATGATTTTACTTGAGTATTTATTTCCTCATGGAACAATGTCAATAATGTTCAACTCTTAAATGTTTTTATTTTTCCAGATAAAGAAACAATTTCTGTCATATTTGTGCATCAACATCTGTTTTTCATTGTTAACATTGCTTTTGAAATCAAAGATTTCTCGCAACCAGTTAGTAATTAACAATGATAACACAGCTGGTTTGCTTGGTTACAACGGTAATAACGTTAATAAATAGCGTGGAAAATTTAGTCAACCCAGTACCAATAAGAATTGTTAGTGAACAATCAACACGCTTAAGGTAAGACTTTACAATTTCATTTTCATTCATTTTCATGTCATTTACTTTTTGTCCTATTGAGTTGTCTTATTAACTTTGATTCTTTATGTTGTCTATTAGCTCCACACCATCTCCTAAATCACTTGCTACCGTTAAGCCACCGGCAAACTTTTCTGGTCCATCTGCTTTACGCCTTTTGGAAAACCAATGTTTCACATATTTAGATGAATTGTACCAATATCGATTCTGTCCCTTTCGCAATGTAACTCAACATGAAACAACAAGCAATTGGAGTAGATTTGAAGGAGTTTTAGGTATTTGGTCTGGTGAATGGTCCATCGGGAACAACACATTTTTAAGCATGAAATATCGCGATGGTGACTTATGTTCAAGTAAAACTGGTCAAATACGTCGAAGAGTAAAGGTTTATCCCATTTGTGGTGCTTCAAACAGATTATTAAATGCCTCTGAACCAGATCTTTGTCGATACGAGATGTATTTTGAAACTCCTCTCATCTGTGATACCAAAAATATCAAGGTTTATCCAACTTTGGATGAAAATTTACGCTCTAAATGGGATCTTTTGGAGACTTTGCGTTTAAACCAATTGATAACCAATAAGGCTTACACTTTTCAAGTTGACCAAATATTTCGAGAAGCTGGTCTCATCCATCGTAATATGTTCGCTATTGGTGCGGAAAAAGATGATGAAGAAGAGCCCCAGTTTGACAACCTTGCCCAATGTAAACGAGCTTATAAAAATTTGATGAAAGAGAAGACACATTCTGCCAAAATCTAAATTTTATAGTAAAGTATCGCTTGAATTTGTATCTCATTTGGACTTTTTTTGCCCAGAACGTCATCGATACAAATTCAAGAGATCTTTTGCTGTATTCTCAAGGTTTAACTCAATGTATCTTTTATACAACTCTGCCATGAATCATCCATCATCTAATATTGTCATATCAGTTTTCTATTTGCTGTTATGTATATTTTTCATATCTATGATTGAAATCACTAAGTGATCATTTCTAGATGAACCAAAATGATTATCATTCAAGTGATATAGCGATGAGAATAATTTTCTTCTCACCCTATTTTTTTACAATATCATCCTTTTATATACTTCAAAGATCTTTAAATTAATCAAATAAATTACTCCTACAATAAATACTTGTTAAACAAAATGCCACATAAAAAGAACCAAAACGATCTAATTTCATTTACCAGCAAAGCGCAATTTTTTTAATGGCAATGTATCGTATCTTTAATGAAAAGCCAATCTAATTTGAGGCCACATTTCATTTTTAAAATTTTTTATTACTTCGTAATAATCAAAATTCAATCTTTCCCACTCATTTTTTATCTGGGAATATTGAAAATAATTCATTTCATCCTTTCAGTCACTCAGCTATCGTTCATCTTTCAGACTCACGAAACTTTTTAATAACATTTTCTGTAGTACTTTTGATAATGCTTTTGGTGCTATTTGATATTAACCAGAAACACCGATTCCTTGTACCAGCTCAAAGCTTTCGTTTCACAAAAGTGCGAAGGGCTAAAACTGATTATTAATGTTCGTAAAAATGAATTTAAAAATGAGCCAGATTTTATGATAAAGGAGTTAGATAACCAGATGATAGATGGCTCTCTAGACGGGATTATTTCTGGTTTCCTTTAATTTCTTTTGTGTATAAAAGTCTACATTTCATCCTTTGTTTTAAAATTTAAATTTAAAATTTGTTTCATCACAGTTAATTGAAATTGTCATCATGGGTGTCGAAGTTCAAACGATTCAAGCTGGTGATTGTACCAATTATCCTCAATCTGGACAAACTGTCGTTGTTCATTATACTGGTACATTGGAAAATGGCAAGAAATTTGATTCCTCACGAGACCGAGGCAAACCATTCAAGTTCCGAATTGGTAAAGGCGAGGTAATCAAAGGATGGGACCAAGGTGTTGCCCGAATGAGTGTTGGTGAACGTGCTAAGTTAATCTGTTCACCCGATTTTGCTTACGGATCAAAAGGTCACCCTGGAATTATTCCTCCAAATTCGACGCTTATTTTTGACGTTGAGCTTCTCGGCTTAGAATGAGCTTTTGTAATTCATTCATCTTTAAGGTTTTTTTCCCTCAACTTGCAACTATTGATTAGATTTTCGCATTAGATATCCTATTAGAAAAACTACTTGCTTACCGTGCTTATCTTTCAGATTAAATTGTATCTCAACATATCTAAATCGGTTCCTCGCTTACTAACGAAATTATTGTAACCATGATCAGAGATGAATTAATTCTTGTCCCTTCAATTTATTCCCGTTTTCTTTATCATTTTCTCATCCATTTACACGTCGAAATTTTTTCATTTATTTTGAGTGTGTAAAAGGTTTTGGTTAAACCACAATAAAATTGCTTTACTTTACTCGACTACAACAAAACTTGCCTATATTTAACTTTACTCTACCAATTCGAGTTTTTACAGCTAAAATTTAAAATACTGATTAGATTGCAAACCGTGAAGGAAACATTAAAAGTTCATAGAAAAATTCACAAATCCATCATGAATCAAGATTTGAAAATTAGTAGATGTCGATTAAATGTAAAGTTAAGCGCGACAAAAAGCATTTCCAGTTCAAGCCAAGATGAAATAAATCTTCACAAAGGCAATCTATAAGTCACTTGATAGTTTATTTACAAATCAAAGCATTCAGAACACAATTTTTCGAATGGCGAATGAACATGATTAAATCATGTAAAATTCGTGTATATAACAAAAATTTGACTAAATTTGACAAAACAACATGAATAAATCGATGTCATTTAGGATCATTTACTCGCTGAATTTTTTGATAAGGTAAGGAGTTGCTTTAATAAGACCAATCATTAAAGCGAACAGTACGATATCATTAGCTGTATCTTTACGGGCATTCCTCTCCTGATGAGCTGAGCTGGGTCCTTCAGGTAATTGAAACATTCTGTAATGAAAAGATAAGACCACATTAATAAAACGACTGACCGAAAACCTGAGAATCAATATCTTACCCTTGAGTGTTATTGATCACTGATTTTCAACACAAAAAATGGATGTCGTTATAAAGGCCTAGTTTTAATTCTAACGAATGTAAATGTGGCTGACTGCGATAAATGATGCTAGCACAATTTAAATTAATTTCAACAAAATTTACGGTTTGACCCCAAGTCAGAAAGCATGTTTACAATTACACTTGTAGCTTGAAGGGGTCGTTAAATAATAACAAGAAATACAAAAATCATAAGCATTTGCAAATGAGTAAAAAAATTCCTTGAGAAGATTATTTGATTTCAAACAATGAGCAGAAATTGCAGAAAAATTTCATGTATTTTGCAGGAATTCGATGCTTTGCTCGATCGATTGCTAGGATTTTGTCCAATAACAAACAAATAGAAGCTAAATCACAAACTCGCTTCAATAAGTACAATTGATCAATAACTTTGTCAAATTACAAGCACTTAATTTTTCATTTATTATGAAAGACATGAAATCATACTCTCGTCCATTGATTCTTTTTACAACCCAATGTAGTCATTTACCTCAATCGTGATGTTACAAGTGTTTCAACGAAATCCTTAATAAGCTGAGAAATATCGTGGATAAGACAGTTTAGCGCGATGCTGTGAGAATCGGAAAGATCTTATAATTCTATTAAATTTAATCTTGTTTACAATCTGAAACAAAGCATGAAGCTCTATTACAAAGTCACTTACTTTGTTAGTTCAAAGTCCTCAGTACTTAAAAGCTACTTAAAAGTCAAACTTACATGAATGCAACGCTCAGTAAACATTAGAAAGAAATTAATTTGAAATTGAAATATTAATGACTAGAAATGTGGCTTCTTGATTACTTTAGTGTACCATTACCTTTTATTTACTTGTTTTTGAGTCTATCTATTTTCTGGTGCATTAAATATATTTTCAAATCTGTGAAACACTTATGTTCATTACCTCCAGGACCATTTGGATTCCCGATTTTTGGTTATTATCCGTTCTTAAAAGAACACAGTTACATACAATTCGATCGACTATCTAAAAAGTATGGACCAGTCTTCAGTCTAAAGTTGGGTCAATATGATACTATTGTTGTCTGTGATTGGGATAACCTTAAAGACGCCTTCGCAAATGATGCTTTATTGGCTCGTCCAGCTAAAGGTTTCTTATCAGGAATAGAGGAAACTCTTTCAGTGATTGCAATGTCCGGTGATGCTTGGCGTGAACACAGACGGTTGTCATTGCACGTTTTGCGTAATGTTGGTTTGGGTAAACGAGAAATGGAAACTTTGATCTCGGAAGAAATTCATCAATTTTTGTCTTCACTTGAAACTAATGTGAATGACTTGCCTCAACATCTAATGCCAAGTGTCTCTAATAACATTTCAGCTCTTTTATTTGGTCGCATTTTTGATTATGACGATCCTGATAAAATGATCATTGATCAAAGTGTTCAGGGATTCAGTGAATCTTTCCAATTTACTGGAATAACGAGTTTTTTGCCATGGTTAACTAAACCACTGATTGCTTTAGGTAAAGCTAATCTTAAAATAATAAGCAAGACACATAAACATCTGAACAATTTCATTACGAAAGAGGTTTTGAAACATCAAAATAAAGCGAACTCGAAAGAAATTGAAGACTATATTGATGGATATCTCGATGCACAATCTAAACGAAAAGACGACCTATTTAATGATATGATATTAAGAAGAAATGTTATCAGTTTCTTTGTTGCTGGATCAGAAACAGTCACTAGTACTCTTACTTGGACCTTAATGTATCTCGTGAAGTATCCTCAATATCAAGAAAAGATTCGCTCAGAAATTCAAGAAGTTATTGGAACTGAAAAGAGACCAGATTTCTCGGATCGTCTAAGAATGCCTTTTACTCAAGCCTTTCTTTACGAAGTCCAACGCATTGAGTCAGTTGTTGCTATAAACCTGATAAGAAGAGCTTCTCAAGACACAAAGATTGGTCCTTATAATGTTCCAAAAGATAGTCTGGTTTTTTTCAATTTCTGGTCCGTCCATCATGAACCCAAACTGTGGCCTAATCCTGATAAATTTGATCCGAACCGATTTCTTACTGATAATGGTACCAAAGTAATAAAGCCTCCATATTTAGTCCCATTTAGTGCTGGTAAAAGAGCTTGTCCAGGTGAAGGCTTAGCCAATGTTGAGCTATTTTTGTACACAGTTGGTATACTTCAACGATTCAAAATCAAATCAGATAAACCATTATCATTCGATGCAAAGTTTGGCCTTACTCGACGTCCAAAATACAAGCCAGATTTAATTTTCGAAAAAATATCCTCTCAATATTAGCAGCGTCTAAAGTATAAAGCGAAAACAAAATCATTAAATTATGGACTCACCAATGTCATAAATTTATCATCATCTTATTTAGTTTTGATTGATCAAAATTAATACTTTTATTCAAAATTTAAGGTTCAATAAGTACGAAATCAGCTGGTTTGGCAGTTATTGCTATTGGCAACGAGTCACCGTCTCTTTTATCACATGTTTTGTATTGATATGATTTTCAAATAAATATCAAAATGTCTAATAAACCTTGTTCTTCGTCGTCTTCTTTTTCTTCAGCACCTTCAGCACCTTCACCAGCTACACCTCAAATTGATCCAATTGTGCTCAAATGTGAAACCTTCATTAATGAACAACTCCGAAATGATCTTAAAATTATTCATATGAGACAAGAGAATATTCATGTTCAATTAAATAATTTTGATGATCTCAAGTCATTCATCATTGAATTGCAAAATACCTCTTTTGGTCCAGGTAAATCTATAAAAACTCAAATTGATGTTGGCCATAATTTTTACATGAGATGTACTATGTAAGTATTCCTCACTTCACATGAACCTAAGCTGATAACTTGTCGACTGATAATTCATTATCCCTTCATTTATTTTTCATACTTTTCCTTTTCTATAAAGACCTTGTACGCAAAAGATTACAGTCTTCGTAGGACTTGGGTTTTATCTTGAATTCACCTTAGAGGAAGCATTGGATTTTATTACCAAGAGGTCAAAATTTCTTAATAGCTGTCTTGAGAAATTATCTGACCAAGCTTATAAAGTTAAAGCTCATATTAAAGTAATTCTTGATGTAAGTATTCAAATAATTATTTACTAAAATCTTTGTTTACAAAAATTTTATGTAACACTATGTTTTTGCATCTTAATTTCAGACGCTAAGTTATCTTCAAGGAATTACTGATAAGGACGTTAACGAGGAAGAGTGCTGTTGTTAACAGATACCCAAATATCATAATTATTACATTTCGTTTATTTTTTTCTGAAAATCAATTTTAAGACGAATCAGTGAAAGATAAAATGATTGAGCTACCAAACTCTCCAGAATCTACAAATCTTCTGATTGGTGTCACTGGCAGTGTTGCTGCGATTAAGATACCTATTTTGCTTGAGAAACTTATGAATTTGCCATTGAACATTGTAATTGTTGGAACTAATCATTCATTCCATTTCTTCGATTTACAAGAGATTAAAGAAAAGTACAAGACTGTTAAGATTTTCACTGATGATCAAGAATGGTCCTCTTGGAAACAAATGTCCGATCCTGTTTTGCACATTGAACTCCGTAAATGGGCTGATATTATGTTGATTTCTCCATTGGATGCTAATACTTTAGCCAAAATCTCTTCTGGTATTTGTGATAACTTATTAACTTGTATAGCCCGTGCCTGGGATCTGCAAAAGCCTTTATTATTTTGTCCATCTATGAACACATTCATGTGGGAACATCCAGTCACATCTGAAGCTATTAGAAAGCTTGAGACATGGGGTTACACTTTGATTCCAGTTGTTTCCAAAAAGCTTGCTTGTGGTGATATTGGACCTGGAGCTATGGCTGAAGTCGACACCATTATTGCCCAAATAAAGTCACTAGTATAGAGAAAGTCCATTAATTCTGATCCATCTTCTCATATTTAAATTGCCGTTAATCGAACCAATCCAGTCTAAATTGGAACAAGTCTTTTAAAAATTAAGGCTCAATTTGACTTATTTAAATATTTGATTAGCTTTTTCTCTTCTTTCATAGTTGAGAATCAATCAAGAATCAACTCCTAGAAATTGCTATTATTCGTATTATTTTAGAGAGACAAATTTTCAAACATTAACCTTTACCGAGTAACTCTATTTTATCAATACTAACTATTCATAATGTTATTACTTTATTACTTTGAATAAAAATACTTGAAATTAATCAAACTTTACTCGTAATGCGTTTACTTCTACAAATTTTAAAATTGTTCGATGGTTCGAACGGCTATTGAATGTTGACCATGAATGATATCCTAGAGATTAAAAATGTGAAACGTATTTATCAAGATCTTACAAAGACACATTATTTGCTTGCTGAGCCTTTTCATTTTACAGTAATTAGCTCTACTAATAAGTCACTTAAAATTAGCGGTGAAATAAACAAGTAGTGTCTTCTATGAGCGAAAATATTTGTTGAGGCTAAACTAGGTCTAAAGTTCAACTTTTGTGATTATAGTACAGTAAGTTCATTATAATATATGTTCAACACTTGTGCATCAATAGTTTTTGATTGTTGTTAATTTGTAATTTTGTTACAAAGTTCTCAGTATTTTGACAATAAAATGTCCCAGGAAGACAATGAACAATTTTGTAAACATGAACCTCAGTCAAATGAACAATATGAAGATTATCAAGAAGGTGAGTTTAAAAATTCAGTGACTTATAGTATTAAGTATCCAACTAAGTTCGTTCGTTTTTTGGCAATCTAATTTTAAATGTTCGTTCTTCTTCTTTCAAATTAACTTTATTTGAATTATTTTTTCTTCTAAATAATAGAAAATTTATTAAGCTTTAGTTAGATATAATTTTCGAACTGATTATCATTGAATTACATTGATAAATAACAATATAAATAACTTGCGTCAGGTTAGGAATACTTTTCATTTGCTTTATTGTGGTTGGAGCCCATTGGGATCAAAGTAATTTGTTTAATTGCGATTCAAAATTAAATGCATCAAGCCTTCAGCTAAATCAATAAATTAATCAATTAATTTTGAATCCTCAAACTTTCAACTTTTTTCTGCTAAATCTTATGTTAAAATAACATTGAAGATATCCAAATGGTGAAAAATAAAAAACTGAGCTTCTAAAGATCAATGTTAAATGAATTTTTGATTTGAATTGATCGTTTATCAATCAATTCATCCGATGACATCTGAATCCGTATCATGCTTTGGCTATGAGCTATCGAGCACAATTAAACAAATTATTCTGATCATAATTGATGCTAACCTAATGAAATTGTTAAAAAGTCTATCAATGTAAAGTGTTAACTTGGTATTAATTTTAATATTATCTAATATTTACTAACATTTTTTTTGTCTATCAAATGAATTAGCTGGCCCAAGCTCTCGGTGCGATGAGATGGATACTCGACCCGAGGTTATGAGCTCTAAGATAGAGTTCCTGGAAGCTAAAGTAGATGCATTGGGGCGAATTCAAAAAGAGTTTTTTAATACAATTGAAACTCAAATAGTGGAAGGAAGATTCGAGCCAAAGAGATTGATAGAGCTGAAATACAAAGCGAAATTCACCAAGAAATTGGTGAAAAGAAGATATGATCCAGCTGTAAGTGAAATTCACTGATTTTTTGAGACAATGACAACAATTTTCAGTTTCTTTTCTTTTCTTGCAGTGGAGATTAATGATTAAACGTTTACAAGAAGAAAGGGTGAAGGCAGATACTTTGAGAACCATTAAATCGACCTTCTTGTTCGGTCCTAAGGATCCTATTCCATTCGTAAGAAAATTGGCGGAGATATTGTTTGGTCATGACAGGCTTGTAAAAACCATGATGGGCAAAAACGGACAGCCATTGAAAGGTATTAAACCCTGTGATAGAAATGAATTTTTCACATCAGAAGAGGAGCAACTTTTTTTGGATCTCATGAAATTAGTGGATGAAAAGCTGTTTGACGACGAAGATGCTTTCGAGTATTTGGTGAGAAGAATTGTAAACCAACTCGGACGTGATTTGGCACGGCCACCCATCCGACTGCCAAGATGTCTACATTTCAATCGAGCTGATAATATTAGAGCAATAACAGATTACTTTCCAAGGGTCACAAGACCAGGACCTGCAAGAACCGACCCGCAGTGCAATGATAATGTGATCAATATTGATTGAATCTTGTTGAGATTTTAAGTTACTCAGAATTTCTATTCTCATATTTCCATTTATCTCCCCATTTTTAGGCTAAAAATTTTATCAATTTCTACAGAACTATTGTTTTGTGTAATTGGTTTGACAATAATTTCCGAAAATTTACTTCGAAATTTCATTATTATCAAATATCATAATAACCGCATGTATTAGTTATTCAACTTATTTAATAATTTTATAACTGTTTTAGTCTATGTATCTGTGTAAGTTTGGCCATTGATTTTCATTGTTTTTCACTTTGAATTGAAATTGAATGGACCAAACTATTCAACTTGTATCACATATCACATTTATTTTAAAAGTCAACAATTTTTTACCAATAAATATTTTTTAACGCATCGCAAGACCGATGAGAATCAATAACCAGTCAAGTTAAATTTGATTGCATCAATATAACAGCGATTTACAATCTTGTTAAAAGTTCATTAGGTACGAAGTGATTGTAATGATCTTTGATTATGGTACTATTAAGAGCAAAGTTTTTGAGATAATTGTAAGGAATTTGCACCCATTGAATCAATGATTTCAAGAATAAGTGGCAGCAATAAATTAGTTAATTACCTTTATTATTCAGAGGAACAAATTAAAATTTTTTGCTGTTATTATGATCATATGATTCTTAGAGGATTTACATGAAATATCATTGCTTACTAAATCCATAAAGAATAGAAATTATTTTATAAATGATTTTATTAACAAAATACCATAAAAGTATAAAATTGATAAAAGTCCATGACCAGTTCCATTGTACTGAGGATCTCAAAGATCAAGACGTATAAAAGCCACTCATGAGATATTCATTTTTGGATACTTAAATAAAATGAATTACTTTTCAATGATTTTACTAATAAAGTGATCTGCATAGCTTCGAGAAATGTTGCTTCTTGATTACTTTAGTGTGCCATTACCTTTTATTTACTTGTTCTTGAGTCTGTCCATTATTTGGATCATCAAATATCTTTTCAAATCTGTGAAACGAATATATTCATTACCTCCAGGACCATTTGGATTTCCGATTTTTGGTTATTATCCGTTCTTAAAGGATCATAGTTATATACAATTTGATCGACTATCCAAAAAGTATGGACCAGTTTTCAGTCTAAAGTTGGGTCAATATGATACTATTGTTGTCTGTGATTGGGATAACCTTAAAGATGCCTTCGCAAATGATGCTTTATTGGCTCGTCCTGCTAAAGGTTTCTTATCAGGAATAGAGAACACGCTTTCGATTATTTCAATGTCGGGTGATGCTTGGCGTGAACATAGACGGTTGTCATTACATGTTTTGCGTAATGTTGGTTTGGGTAAACGAGAAATGGAAAATTTGATCTCGGAAGAAATTCACCAATTTTTGTATTCACTTGAAAATGATGCGAATGACTTGTCTCAACGTCTAATGCAAAGTGTCTCTAATAACATTTCGCTTATGCTATTTGGTCATATTTTTGATTATGATGATCCAGATAAAGTGGCGATTGATGAAAGTCTGAGAGATTATTGCCAAGCATTTCAATTTTCAGGCATAACGAGCTATTTACCATGGTTAACTAAACCACTGATTGCTTTAGGTAAAGCTAACCTTAAAATTATACAAAAAGCTCAAATGCATCTAAACGACTTCATTTCAAAAGAGCTTTTCAAACACCAGAATGGGAAAGTTGAAAACTACATTGATGGATACTTAAATGTCCAGTCTAAGCGGAAAGATCAACTATTCAATAATGCAACATTAAAAAGGAATGTTGCCACATTCTTTGTTGCAGGATCAGAGACCGTTGCCGGTACTCTAACCTGGGCCAGCATGTACCTAGTAAAATATCCTCAATATCAAGAGAGGATTCGATTAGAAATAAAAGAAGTTATTGGAACTGAAAAACGACCAGATTTCTCGGATCGTCTAAGAATGCCTTTTACTCTCGCCTTTCTTTATGAAGTCCAGCGTATTGAATCCATCGTCGCTACAAATCTTATACGAAGAGCTTCACAAGACACAAAGATTGGTCCTTATAATGTTCCAAAAGATAGTCTGGTTCTGTTCAATTTCTGGTCTGTCCATCATGATCCAAAACTTTGGTCTAATCCCGATAAATTTGATCCAAATCGATTCCTTACCGAAAATGGTAACAAAGTAGTAAAGCCTCCATATTTAGTGCCATTTAGTGCTGGTAAAAGAGCTTGTCCAGGTGAAGGCTTAGCTAATGTGGAGCTATTTTTATACACAGTTGGTATACTTCAACGATTCAAAATCAAATCAGATAAACCATTATCCTTTGAAGCAATTAACGGTCTCACTCGACGTCCAAAATACAAACCAGATTTAATCTTCCAAAGAGTATAATTTTAATAATTCAATGTAAATATCCATTAAAGTCTACAAAATGGTAATTCAAATTCAATGTATTAATAATATGGATATCTAATTCACTTAATTTTTACGACAGGACGTTATTTTTGCGCCTCGATATTTCGAGAATGGCATCACCTAAAATTATCATTCTTTGACTAAATATTAGATGGCAATATGGCATATGATACATTGAAGTTTTTAGATGATTCAAGAAATTACAAAAAAAAGTAATAACATTGTTTTACCTAAATTGGCAGATTTATATAAGATTAACAAAGGTAAATGGTTACTTATAATGTGTTAGAACAATATTCATTATTAAACGAAATAAATCTGATTTCTTTGATATTCAGTCATATTATAATATAGCCCATATTGCAATCTAATATGTAGTCAAAGAATGATAATTTTAGGTGATGCCATTCTCGAAATATCGAGGCGCAAAGATTACAGGCCAATGTCCAAAATCAAGAGAACTGTTGATTGATTGAAAAAAATGTTTAACTCATAATGCGTAATGTCAGTTTTCAGGGTCGAATAAGAAGTTTCAGCTCTCCAACTCTTATGGTCACAGAAATCTGTCGATTTAACTGAAAATCGAACTTAACTGTTTTAAAGAAACAAAAAGTTTTATTTTCTATAATAAAGTATATTTTCTGGTTGGCCATCAAAAGTTACATTGATAAAATGAGTTTAAAGAAAAAATCTGCTTCCACAATCGTACAAAAAGCTTTACTAGTTTCAACTTCAAACTCGATTTTATCGAAAACTGTTGATCAAATAAACATTTAAATCACACAAAATGACGCAGTTTCCTACAAACCAAAAAAGTCCAAATTCGCAAGATACTAATTTTTACCCATTTTTGCTCCTTTCTCTTTCAGCATCTGTGTTGATTTGTTCATAAATATGACAAAAGTGCTTTTTTGAAACAACCGAGAATAAACGTTATGAATACGTATTCCTGTGTATTTTTCTTTATTTTCGGCATAAATAACTTTTACATATCAGAATTAGAATTGAAAAGTATAGTTTATAAAACGTTATTATTATTTTGCTCAATTTGCTTTTCAATCATTTTGATGGCCTCATTCAAGCTATTTGAATTCCTCATGTTTTGTGAAATCACTTTAACTCGATCGATCATTTCTTTGTCATTAAATATGTTCTCAATACAATTAAGAAGATAATCTTCATCAATATCATATGGATTAACTCGAAACCCAATCTTTTTATCGACAACTCTTTGTGCATTATCATATTGATCATAAAAATAGGGAATGACAATCATGGGTTTCCCATAATAAAGTGTTTCCATAAACGTATTGTTACCTCCATGAGTTATGACCAGATCAACACCTTGAATAACTTTAATTTGGTTAACATAATTTTCACCCCACATGTTGTCAGCCAATTCGAGTGCATCACCTCGAGGTCCTTTAGAGACGATAAATTTGTGGGGAGATTTGGCTAAAATAGCAATTATCTTCTTCATGACAACTAAATCAGCCGATCCCAATGATCCCAAAGAAAAGTAAATTAATTTTCCTGGTTTATCTTGTAATTTCTGTGGGATAACAAATTCTGTATCAAGATCTGGTTGACGGACCCAAGCATCAACACGATACCAGTTAGGTCGTCTTGATCCACATTCAGTATAATCCAATTCAGCCGGGTAATGATAAAATCCAAAGGTGGGAGGGTTGTCAACAAATATGGCTGGGTTGAACTTGACATCTTTGAGACCAGCAGCCTCTAGGTTTGCATTATTGGCCTCAGTAAGCTTTGCATAAGCAAGCTGATAAGCCTCTCTGAACTCATCCCAATTAGATTGATCACTACTGACTGAGTAACCAGAGAATGGTGGAGGTCCTGATGGATACAAAACCAATGGGTTCAGCGATGCCAGTGGAAACCAAGGAATTGAATGTTTATACAGAAAAGGGAATGGAGCTGGTATGTCGACTATAATTGCATCAAACTTATTGTTTTTATCCGAAACAATTGCATCCATGGCATTATTCAAAGCTTTAAATAAAGTAGCCGGAGCTGCTACTTCTTCTGATCCATCTTTGATCATGTCATGGCATTGTTTTAGAGGCTCCTGTCGGAATTTATCAGCAAAAGCGTCAATCCATTGGAAAAGAAACTCGTTAGTATTCACAGCAACTAATGTTTCATCAAACGGAATGAATGAAAATCCTCTTTTAACAGCCAAGTTTCTGTGCTTTTCACGATGAGCAAAGGTAATCTCATGACCAGCAGCCTTCAAACCTTCAGCAAATCCTAATGCCGCATTGATATGTCCAAATCTGAATAGAAAAGAGATTCAATTTATTAGTCGCGATTATCATTCTCCTTCGAACGAGTTGGTGTTTTTTCAATTTAGAGACATCAGGATTCTGAAGTTATAATATGTCACAACAAAGTTTCCGGATATCAATAATAAATCACGGTTAGACTCACAAGTTGTCAGTTGATATTGCATACTAGATGCAGTCGAACAAATAGTTCTGACCAACTTAAATAGATACAAACTTAAAGAGTAGCGGACTCAACAACAAAGCAATTTATATCGCTAAATTAATACTTACGCATCAATCGCTGTGACCATGAAACGCATGTTGAGTTGCTTTTAAACTGAATTTGTAAAGTTCGTCAATTTACACAAGTTAAAATTGGAGTTTTATACTCTTAAGCTTGAAAGCTTGACACTTGAATAACTGCTGATCGACTCAATGATTTGTAAACTGTAAATGAATCTAACAATTTTCAAAGCTAAATGATCATTGCGATGGCACTCAAGTGTTTTTATACATGGCACTCTCAATGTCAAATTGGATAAAAAGCTAAGTGCAAAAGTATTTGAACAATTAATTTTGCAATGAATGGTTAAATATGAATTACGATTTGACTGCATTTATCCGAGTTTTGAGTACAAACACTGTCAAGTTTGCGTGCACTTAGTCACGAAACTAACCATTCGACGATCATAATTAAGTTTCATAGTTATTTTATTGGAGACTAATTAAATCCAATTCAAATCAGTACATGCAAACTTGATCATCATCAACATTTCTTCAACTTTAATGGTCTAAAATGCTAAATGAAAGGGTTAGCTTTAAGATATTGTTCAGATCAAGATACGCTAAGCTTGATCTGAACCTCGTGATCTTCGTGTATTTCCTGCACAAGATTATAATTGGCTCTAAAATTTACATGACTTCTAATGAATAGATCTTGTTAGATCACTCGATTTCTGCAAACTATTATGCACTTGAATAATTTGCCATCAATTACCCATCAGAGTATGGTGGCAATTCAAATCAATTGACTCTTATTCATCTTTTTATGCATGTTTTTCAATTGTCAGTCCATTCTATGTTTTATTGGGTTAACTATCAATGGCTATCAACTGATAGAAATGGAAACCTTAATTTCTGAAGAAATTCATTCATTTGCGTCATCACTTGAAAATAATGCAATTGGCTTGGCACAAGGTCTAATGCCAAGTGTTTATATTAATAATAACATTTCCATTCTTTTATTTGGTCACATTTTTGATAATAACTATTCTGACAAAATTATGATTGATCAAAGTGTTCAGAGATTCACAGAATCATTCCAATTATTCAAAATAACAAGTTTTTTGCCAAGGTTAAACCATAATTTCTTTAGGTAAAGCTAATCTTTAAGTTATACAAAAAGCTCAAATGCCCCTAAACGAATTCATCTCGAAAGAGGTTTCGAAACATCAGAATAAATCAGCTTCGTTACAAGTTGAAAACTACATTGAAGGATACTTAAATAACTATTTTAAGCGGAAAGACAGTCTGTGGACTATTCAATGGTTCAACATTAACAAGATTTACTAACAGTATCTTCTACTATACTCTTTGATTTTGATGTTCTCTTTCTAAACGCAAACCCAAAAGAAATTATAATTTTTGATTGAACTGACTAATTACGAAAATGTTGCTTCTTGATTACTTTAGTGAACCATCGCCTATCATTTACTTGTTTTTGAGTCTGTCCATTATTTGGATCATCAAATATATTTTCAAATCTGTGAAACGCTTATATGTATTACCTCCAGGACCATTTGGAATTCCGATTTTTGGTTATTACCCGTTCTTGAAACATCACAATTTGATCAACTATCCAAAAAGTATGGACCCGTCTTCATTATGAAGTTGGGTCAATATGATACTTTTGTTGTCTGTGATTGGGATAACCTTAAAGATGCCTTCGCAAATGATGCTTTATTGGCTCGTCCTGCTAAAGGCTTCATATCAGGAATAGAGGAAACTCTTTCAGTGATTGCAATGTCTGGTGATGTTTGGCGTGAACATAGACGCTTGTCATTAAATTTTTTGCGAAATGTTGGTTTGGGTAAACGAGAAATGGAAACTTTGATCTCGGAAGAAATTCATCAATTTTTGTCTTCACTTGAAGATGATGCAAATGACTTGCCTCAACGTCTAATGCCTAGTGTTTCTAATAACATTGCAGCTCTTTTATTTGGTCGCATTTTTTATTATGACGATCCTGATAAAATTATGATTGACCAAGGTGTTCAGAGATTCAGTGAATCTTTCCAATTAACTGGAATACTGAGTTTCTTTCCATGGTTAATTAAACCGCTAATAGCTTTAGGTAAAGCTAATCTTAAAGTTATAAGCAAGACACATCAGCGTATGCATGCTTTTATCTCGAAAGAGGTTTTAGCGCATAAAAATAAAGTGAAATCGACAGAAATCGAAGACTATATTGATGAATATCTTAACGCACAATCTAAACGAAAAGACAACCTATTCAAGGACATGACATTAAGACGAAATGTTGTTGGTTTCTTCGTTGCTGGATCAGAAACGGTCACTAGTACTCTTACTTGGGCAATTATGTATCTCGTCCAATATCCTCAATATCAAGAGAAGATTCGCTCAGAAATTCAAGAAGTTATTGGAACTGAAAAAAGACCAGATTTCTCTGATCGTCTAAGGATGCCTTTTACTCAAGCCTTTCTTTATGAAGTCCAGCGTATTGAATCAGTTGTCGCTTTTAACCTGATAAGAAGAGCTTCTCAAGACACAAAGATTGGTCCTTATAATGTTCCAAAAGATAGTCTGGTTTTTTTCAATTTCTGGTCCGTCCATCATGATCCCAAACTGTGGCCTAATCCTGATAAATTTAATCCCAATCGATTCCTTGCTGAAAATAGTACCAAAGTAGTAAAGCCTCCATATTTAGTGCCATTTAGTGCTGGTAAAAGAGCTTGTCCAGGTGAAGGTTTAGCTAATGTGGAGCTATTTTTGTACACAGTTGGTATACTTCAACGATTCAAAATCAAATCAGACAAACCATTGTCCTTTGATGCACACTTCGGCCTTACTCGACGTCTAAAATACAAACCAGATTTAATCTTCGAAAAATATCTTTCTAATAATTCAATCTAAATGTCCATTTAAGTCTATAAAACTAGTATTCTAACAATACATTTATTACACGAAATAAAACTCTTTGTTTCTTGAGTCTTGAAACAGATAAGTTCGATTTTCATTTAAATCGACAGATTTCTGTGACCATAAGAGTTAGAGAGCTTAAACTTACTATTCGTACCTAAAAACGCATTATGCATCATGAGTTAAACACTTTTTTCAATTTATGCCCAATTCTCTTGATTTTGGCCATTGCCTTAAAACTTTGAGACGCAATATTTCGAGAATGGCATCGCCTACAGTCATCATTCTTTCACCAATTTGATCTTTTGTTAATTAGTAATTTACTTCAATTTAATAACTTTCCATCAGTGCATTCTGGTCATGATTTTTAGGTTGTAAATGTACGAGCAACAACTTTTTCAACAAACCAGACTCATCTTAACCCAATTTTCTGGTTAAACTTGCAAATGAAATGCAAAGAGTGCTGCCAGAGACTTGAACATTTGAGTTAGGAGTTGAAACTTTGTGAGTTTGTAGGGACATGAAAACTGAGTCCATTAGTACTATTAAATAAGTCATCAGATGGACAGTTTTCTAAAGAATCGAGGTCAAAGTTGAAACTTCGATTGCCTTTTGTGCAATTATGGAGCCAGATTTTTTCATAAAACTCATTTTACTGATGTAACTTATGACGATCAAGCATAAAGTGTTTCTAATTTTCTCAATTTATCGATAGTTCTCTTGATTTTCGTTATTGACCATAAAACTTTAAACACCAATATTTCGAACATGGTATCACCTAAAATCCCGATTCTTTAACTAATAATTGGATTTTCTTATAAGCTATGGTTTATTGAAATTCAAGATGAAGCAAGACTATACAAAAAAGTTATAGCGTCGTATTACTTATGGTATTTTAGATTGATACTTGATTTATCAAGGTAAATGCTTATTCAAACACAAATCTAATATTCATTATGCGTGTGTAAAATTTGTGTATAATTGTGTCTTTACAGCAACAACCACATTATTATCTGAAGCAATTTCTTATGACAGGGGATTATATAAATCGTGGATTACAATATCTTAAGATTATCCTTCTTTATTAATAGATTTGTCTATGGAGTTGAGTCAAAAGTACCAAAGTTTTGCAACCAAAACTTGCTATCCAGCTAGGCAATACTGGAAATATTCTTATATACTAGTTAAGATAGTTAGTATATTGTGAATACATATTTATGTTTGGCCTGAATAAATTTTCCTATCGAAATTTGAATTGAAAAATATCATTTATAAAACTTTATTTTTATTTTGTTCAATTTGTTTTTCTATCATTTTGATAGCTTCATTTAAGCTATTTGAATTCCTCATGTTGTGTGAAATGGATTTAACTCGATCTATCATTTCATTGTCATTAAATATGTTCTCAATACAATTAAGAAGATATTCTTCATCAATATCATATGGATTAACTCGAAACCCAATCTTTTTATCGACAACTCGTTGTGCATTATCATATTGATCATAAAAATAAGGAATGACAATCATGGGTTTCCCATAATAAAGTGTTTCCATAAACGTATTGTTACCTCCATGAGTTATGACCAGATCAACACTTTGAATAACTTTAATTTGGTTAACATAATTTTCACCCCACATGTTGTCAGCCAATTCGAGTGCATCACCTCGTGGTCCTTTAGAGACGATAAATTTATGAGGAGATTTGGCTAGAATGGCGATTATCTTCTTCATGACAACTAAATCAGCCGATCCCAATGATCCCAAAGAAAAGTAAATCAATCTTCCTGGTTTATCTTGTAACTTCTGTGGGATAACAAATTCTGTATCAAGATCTGGTTGACGGACCCAAGCATCAACACGATACCAATTAGGTCGTCTTGATCCACATTCAGTATAATCCAATTCAGCCGGGTAATGATAAAATCCAAAGGATTGAGGGTTGTCAACAAATATGGCTGGGTTGAACTTGACATCTTTGAGACCAGCAGCCTCTAGGTTTGCATTATTTGCCTCAGTAAGCTTTGCATGGGCTAGTTGATAAGCCTCTCTGTACTCATCCCAGTTAGATTGATCACTACTGACTGAGTAACCAGAGAATGGCGGAGGTCCAGTTGGATACAAAATCAATGGGTTCATTGATGCTAATGGAAACCAAGGAATTGAATGTTTGTACAGAAAAGGGAATGGAGCTGGTAAATCGACTACAATTGCATCAAACTTGTTGTTTTTATCCGAAACTATGGCATCCATGGCACCATTTAATGCAATGAAAAAATAAGCCTGAGCTGCTGTTTCTTCAGACTCATCGTTGATCATATCATGGCATAGTTTTAGTGGCTCCTGTCTCAATTTATCACCAGCAGCATCTATCCACTGGAAAAGAAACTCCTCAGTATTAATAGCAACTAATGTATCGTCAAACGGAATGAATGAAAATCCTCTTTTGTCGGCCAAGTTTCTGTGCTTTTCCCGATGAGCAAAGGTAATCTCATGACCAGCAGCCTTCAAACCTTCAGCGAATCCTAATGCCGCATTGATATGTCCAAAGCTGGATAGACAAGAGATTCAATTCATTAGTCTCAATTATAATCATCGTTATTCTTCATCGCACGAATGGGTGTTTAGAGACATCAGAATTCTTAATTATAAGATAAGTATATAATAAATTACGATCTCATTCAGTTGATTCAGTATTCAGCCAACAATAAAATTATTGGATAAAAACTGTGGTTTCTTTAAGACAATAGTAACAAATATAATAACAAAGCAATTTGTATCGATAAATTACTTACGCATCAATTGCTGTGACCAAGAAACGCATGTTGAGTTGTTTTGCACTAAACTCGTCAATTTACACTATTTATTCAAGTCAAAATCGAGCCTTGTACTTTTACAGCTTCGGAGATTGGATAAATGTTGGCAGGCTCAATGATTTGCAAATTATAAATGAATCTATTAATTTTCAGCAATCAATTCACCATAGAGATAACACTCAAGTGTTTTTATCTTTACCCTGGTACTCACAATGTCAGATATGTCCCATTGTTAGATATGTGGATTGGATATGAAGCTCAGTGCAAAGTATTGGGAAAATTAATTTTAAAATGAATTGTGATGTTAAATATGAATTACGATTTGACTGCATTTATCAAGGTTTTGAGTACAAACACAAGTTTCTAAATTAAGATTTCAATTTAAACATTTACCATATTTTAGACGATTAGCATTGAAAACGGGGTCGGAAGTCGGAGTAATGAAGTCGGGATTGGTATTGGGTCTGCTTGATCTTCAGTAAATAAACTATGAGGGTCGAAAAAATTGGAGCAGAAAAATTGAGTATATCGGTGCTACTCTCTGATCAGCAGTTTTCTAGAAAATCGAGTTTTAAGTTGAAACTTTGATCGCCTTTTGTGCAATTATTGAAGAAGTTTTTTTTCATGAAACTCATTATTCTGCTGCTAATAGCCAACCAGAAAATGCAATTATTTCGGTAAATAATGTTTTCGTTTTCCGTACAACAGCGCTCCGATTCAAAGTTAAACCAAGAGAAACCGTCAGAGTTAGACAGCTGAGATTCATTTTCCACCGATAAACCGCTTGGGTCAGACACTTTCGATTTATCAACAGTTCTCTTGATTTTAGTCAATGGTCTCTAAAGAAATGCATCAATTTTTGTCTTCACTTGAAACTAATGTAATTGACTTGCCTGAACGTCTGATGCCAAGTGTTTCTAATAACATTTCAGCTCTTTTATTTGGTCACATATGGTCAAACAGAAAAAGTATCAACTGATCAAATTGTCCAGAGACTCTGTAACATTTTCCAATTCACTGGAATAACGAGCTACTTACCATGGTTAACTAAACCTCTAAATAAAGTGGATTCGACAGAAGTTGAAGACTATATTGATGGATACTTAAATGTCCAGTCCAAAATGAGAGATGAACTATTCAATGATAATGTATTGATGAGAAATGCTATGAAATAAAACTTTTTGTTTCTTTAAAACAGATAAGTTCGATTTTCATTCAAATCGACAGATTTCTGTGACCATAAGAGCTGAAAATTACTATTATAATACTTACTACTTACTAAAACCGCCATTATGCATCATGAGTTAAACACTTTTTCCAATTTATGCCCAGTTCTCTTGATTTTGGCCATTGCCTTAAAACTTTGAGACGAAATATTTCGAGAATGGCATCGCCTACAGTCATCTTTCTTTCACCAATTTGATCCTTTGCTTATTAATAATTTCATTCAATTTAATAACTTTACATTAGCACATTCTGGTCATGATTTTTGAGTTGTTAATGTACGAGCAACAACTTGTTTAACAAACCAAACTCATCTTAACCCATTTCTTGGTAAATAAACCAATTTTCTGGTTAAACTTGCAAATGAAATGCAAAGAGTGCTGCCAAAGACTCGAACATTTGAGTTAGGAGTTGAAACTTTGTGAGTTTGTAGGGACATGAAAACTGAGTCCATTAGTACTATTAAATAAGTCATCAGATGGACAGTTTTCTAAAGAATCGAGGTCAAAGTTGAAACTTCGATTGCCTTTTGTGCAATTATGGAGCCAGATTTTTTCATAAAACTCATTTTACTGATGTAACTTATGACGATCAAGCATAAAATGTTTCTAATTTTCTCAATTTATCGATAGTTCTCTTGATTTTCGTTATTGACCATAAAACTTTAAACACCAATATTTCGAAAATGGTATCACCTAAAATCCCGATTCTTTAACTAATAATTGAATTTTCTTATAAGCTACGGTTTATTGAAATTCTAGATGAATCAAGATCATGCAAAAAAGTTATAGCGTCGTATTGTTTATGATATTTTAGTAGATTGATACTTTTTTATAAAAGTGAATGCTTATTCGCACATAAATCTTATGATGTGGTAAAATATTCATTATGTGGTTGTAATATTTGTCTATAATTGTGTCTTTTTAGCAACATTATTATCTAAAGCAATTTCTTATGGCAGGGGGTTATATAAATCGTGGATTATATTAATAATAATAATGGATAATAATATCTTGAGATGATCTTTCTTTATTAATAGATTTGCCATAAACAGAGACGTTATTGTGTCAAAAGTATCAAAATCTTGTAACCCATTGTACATTTTTGGCCTGAATAACTTTTACGATCAGAATTAGAACTAAAAAATATCATTCATTGAGCTTTATTTTTATTTAGTTCAGTTTGTTTTTCAATCATTTTGATGGCCTCATTCAAGCTATTTGAATTCCTCATGTTGTGTGAAATAGCTTTAACTCGATCTATCATTTCATTGTCATTAAATATGTTCTCAATACAATTAAGAAGATAATCTTCCTCAATATCATATGGATTAACCCGAAACCCAATCTTTTTATCGACAACTCGTTGTGCATTATCATATTGATCGTAAAAATAGGGAATGACAATCATGGGTTTACCATAATAAAGTGTTTCCATAAACGTATTGTTACCTCCATGAGTTATGACCAGATCAACACCTTGAATAACCTTAATTTGATTAACATAATTTTCACCCCACATGTTGTCAGCCAATTCGAGTGCATCACCTCGAGGTCCTTTAGAGACGATAAATTTGTGGGGAGATTTGGCTAGAATGGCGATTATCTTCTTCATGACAACTAAATCAGCCGATCCCAATGATCCTAAAGAAAAGTAAATTAATTTTCCTGGTTTATCACGTAACTTCTCTGGGATAACAAATTCTGTATCCAGATCTGGCTGACGGATCCAAGAATCAACGCGATACCAATTAGGTCGTCGTGATCCACATTCAGTATAATCCAAGTTAGCTGGATAATGATAAAATCCAACTGTCTGAGGGCTGTCAACGAATACTGATGGGTTGAACTTAACTCCTTTGACACCAGCAGCCTCTATGTTTGCATTATGCGCCTCAGTAATCTTTGCATAGGCTAGTTGGTAAGCCTTTCTGAACTCGTCCCAATTAGATTTATCGCTGTGGACTGAGTAACCAGAGAATGGCGGAGGTCCAGATGGATACAAAATTAACGGGCCCATTGATGCTAATGGAAACCAAGGAATTGAATGTTTGTACAGAAAAGGGAATGGAGTGGGATAATCAACTACAATTGCATCAAATTTGTTGTTTTTATCCGAAACAATTGCATCCATGGCACCATTTAATGCAATGAAAAAATAAGCCTTAGCTGCTGCTTCTTCTGAACTATCGTTGATCATGTCATGGCATAGTTTTAGCGGTTCCTGTCGAAATCTATCACCAGCAGCATCTATCCACTGGAAAAGATTTTCCTCAGTATTTGCATCAACTAATGTTTCATCAAACGGAATGAATGATAATCCTCTTTTAACAGCCAAGTTTTTGTGTTTTTCTCGATGAGCAAAGGTAATCTCATGACCAGCAGCTTTCAAACCTTCAGCGAATCCTAAAGCTGCGTTGATATGTCCAAAGCTGAATAGACAATAGATTAAATTCATTAGTCGCAATCACCATTATTTATCGAACGAATGGGTGTTTTTTAATTTATTTGAAATTCTGATGTATATTTTAATAAATTACGGCTACATTTAGTTGATTTAGTATTTAGTCAAACAATAAAAATATTGGATAAAAACTTGATCTCTCCAAGACAATAACGATGGTAACAAATATAATAACAAAGCAATTTGTATCGATAAATTACTTACCCATCAATTGCTGTGACCAAGAAACGCATGTTGAGTTGTTTTGCACTAAAAGTCGTCAATTTACATTGGGTTCAAGTCAAAATTGAATTTGTATACTTTCACAGCTTGAACGATTGCAACTTATAGAAATGTTGCCAGGCTCAACGATTTGCAAATTATAATTGAATTTATTGATTTTCAGTAATAAATTCACCATCCAGATAACCTTCAAGTGTTTCTATCTTTATGGTGGTACTCACAGGATATGTGCATTGGATATGAAGCTAAGTGCAATAGTGTTGGGAAAATTAAGTTGAAATTGAATAGATAAAGATGAACCACGATTTGACTGCATTTATCAGGTTTTTGAATACAAACACAATGAGGAAGGCCAAAACTGCCTAACAAGTTTATACGTTAATTTGAATAGAAACTTGTTTTTAAACATTTGCCATATTCTAGGCCATAAACATTGAAAGTAGAATCATAAATGAAGTTCTAGTTTACATGAATCACCAAATTGGAATCGGATGGTCTTATTGATCTACAATAAATAAATTAGAGTCAAATGATCTTTTCATTTTGAAGCTAAAATTTGCTCAATTCCCAATGAATTTAGTCACTCAATGGCAATGCTAGCATTCACTATTTCAACTCACGAGGAAAAGTGCCTCACTGGTGCGATTTGATTTAGTGAATTATTTGATTAATTCATACAAGGAGAAAATGTGAAATTATTTTAGGATCTGCAAATTTTTGCTTTAGTTTTTATTCAAAGGACTATGGATGAAAGCTTTGACTTTTAGGGACTTTGTGGGCTTGTTGGAGCATAAAAACTGAGTCCATTAGTGCTAGAAATTTCTCTGATTGACCGTTTTAAAGAAAATCGAGGTCAAAGTTAAAACTTGTATCGCCTTTCGTTCAATAATGGGAGAAAGATTTTTTCATGAAACTCATTATTCTGCAGTTACAATCACGATTATCTCATCATTTTGATTTCACTATTGGACTTCGATATTTCAAGAGATAATTGCGATCAATTTTAACCCATTAACAGTCATTCATATTTTACATATTTTTTTCATAATTCTAGTACGAAGCACCAAGAATCTTAAAGATTATCAAATCATTGATAAGAGTTCATAATTTGAGTGCATAGTACTAAGACAGTTATCAAAATATATAAATAGCCACTGTTATTTATTATATTATATTTCGTGTTCATATGCAGATGAACCAGTTTAATATTAAACCGTAAAACGAGTGAACTGATTTCATTAATTAAGTGAACTGACTAATTACGAAAATGTTGCTTCTTGATTACTTTAGTGAACCATCGCCTGTCATTTACTTGTTCTTGAGTCTGTCTACTATTTGGATCATCAAATATCTTTACCAATCTGTGAAACGCTTATATTCATTACCACCAGGACCATTTGGAATTCCAATATTTGGTTATTACCCGTTCTTGAAACATCACAGTTACATACAATTCGATCAACTATCCAAAAAGTATGGACCAGTCTTCAGTCTAAAGTTGGGTCAATTTGATACTTTTGTTGTCTGTGATTGGGATAACCTTAAAGACGCCTTCGCAAATGATGCTTTATTGGCTCGTCCAGTTAAAGGTTTCATATCAGGAATAGAGAACACGCTTTCAGTTATTTCAATGTCGGGTGAAGCTTGGCGTGAACACAGACGGTTATCATTACATGTTTTGCGCAATGTTGGTTTGGGTAAACGAGAAATGGAAACTTTGATCTCGGAGGAAATTCATCAATTTTTGTCTTCACTTGAAACTAATGTAATTGACTTGCCTGAACGTCTAATGCCAAGTGTTTCTAATAACATTTCAGCTCTTTTATTTGGTCACATATTTGATTATAATGATCCAGAAAAAGTAACAACTGATCAAATTGTCGCGAGACTCTGTAACATTTTCCAATTCACTGGATTAACGAGCTACTTACCATGGTTAACTAAACCTCTAATTTTTTTGGGTAAAGCTAATCTTAAAATTATACAAAAAGCTCAAATGCATTTAAACGAATTCATCTCGAAAGAGGTTTTGAAACATAAAAATAAAGTGGATTCGACAGAAGTTGAAGACTATATTGATGGATACTTAAATGTCCAGTCCAAAAGGAAAGATGAAATATTCAATGATAATGTATTAAGAAGAAATGTTATCACTTTCTTTGTTGCTGGTTCAGAAACAGTCACTAGTACTCTAACTTGGACCATTATGTATCTCGTCCAGTATCCTCAATATCAAGAGAAGATTCGATCAGAAATAAAAGAAGCTATTGGAACTGAAAAGAGACCAGATTTCTCGGATCGTCAAAAGATGCCTTTTACTCTAGCTTTTCTTTATGAAGTCCAACGTATTGAATCCATCGTCGCTACAAATCTTATACGAAGAGCTTCTCAAGACACAAAGATTGGTTCCTTTAATGTTCCAAAAGATAGTCTGGTTCTGTTCAATTTCTGGTCCGTCCATCATGATCCAAAACTTTGGCCTAATCCTGATAAATTTGATCCAAATCGATTTCTTGCTGATAATGGTACCAAAGTAATAAAGCCTCCATATTTAGTCCCATTTAGTGCTGGTAAAAGAGCTTGTCCAGGTGAAGGCTTAGCTAATGTGGAGCTATTTTTGTACACAGTTGGTATACTTCAACGATTCAAAATCAAATCAGGCAAACCATTATCATTTGAAGCAATCAATGGTCTCACTCGACGTCCAAAATACAAGCCAGATTTAATCTTCGAAAAAATTTCCTTTTAATTTTATAAACCAAAGTTAATCATTCAGACTCCCCTATCATGTTTGAAAGTACTAACAAGTACTTTTTGAATAAATGAATTACTCAGCTCTAGCCTGGATTTTCAGTTTTATTAAATGATTATCTGAATTATCACAACTAATCTGATCCGTTAGCATGAAAAATACAAATGAGCCAGCATAATTTACAGTTTCCGAGTTTAAAATTCCTATAAAAATGATTAATAATGATTCATAATGATTATAAACTTTCATGTATGAAGTTTCTTTATTCTCAAGTGTCAATACTTCATTTAGCTGACAAGACAAAAATTAACCATCCCAAGAAGAACAGAGAAATAGCCGTTGTCATTAGAATTAAAATTTTTCCGGTTACAGATTTTCAGAGTGTGGGGAAGTTTCTAGGCAGTAGTATAAAAAAGAAAACTTTATCATACTTCCGGACCTTCCGGTTTTCCTCTCCCCATCCAGGCACTTACAATCTCATGAAATAAAGAATTAGTCAAAGGGTGAAATTTTTTGCTTAATCTTTTTTGGCGCCAACTAAAGCAAATCTTATCAGGTTTTTTAGCAGTTTTTGGTTAACCTTATTTGTAATCTTTTGACTCTTTTGCAATCTTAGGTAGTTGGCAATATCTTGACTATTTCAACGGTTATTTTTGAGTTAATTTTCTATTACCAATCAAATTTTAGCCTTTAACTTAAACGCTATAATGCCAGCAAATGGAACCAAATTTTCAAACAAAGGAATATGAATGGAACATGATTTTAAATGAATAATTAAACATATTTAATATCCAAAAAGGAAGCAAAATGAATGGAAATGGCTTGATAGACAGGAATCATGGTTCTGAAAGTAATGAATTAAATATTAGGATGCCCTACTAATCTATTTAGTTGTTCAATGAAATAATTGTTGGCTCTATCAAAGACAGCCATAGCATTGAGAATCCTTTCGCTTTGATCAACTAAACTGTTAGCAAGGTTGTTTTGGATATTGCGAATTCTTTCGAGTTCATGATCTAAACTTTCAGTGATATGGTTTTCAACCCCGGAGATGAATTCCACCACTCTTAAATGTTGAGCTCGCTGACGATTTTGGATCCTTTCCGTAATCTCGTGAAGGTCATCCAAGTCTCTACTGTTGATTAAAATGTTGGTGGTGTTGACTGAGACTTGATTGAGTAATTGCGTGGTGTTTTCCTCAATTCTTCTCACCACAGCCATAACAGGGTCAGCTAACAGAGTTGAAATTGATGACAATGAAGGTAAAGATGATGAATTACGCAACCACTGAACTAAACAACGTCTACATCCAGCGTGGAAACAAGGGAAACAAACTGTGTCAATTACATTTGAAATACAAATAAAACAAGAATCTGTTGAAGTACCACCAACTGTTGCTTTCGGGTCCGGTGAACAGTTGTATACCTAAAGCAAAGAATATAATTATCACCTTTAAGTTTCATTCATTAAATGAAGAATAGATAACCTTGTAAAGATACGTTGCCAGTGAATTGAATATATAATGAATAATATATGAAAATTTGCTTTAAACGCTCATAATTATCTTGTGTGGATTCTTTGAATCTTTCAATCCGAGCTGTATCTAACGCTTGTACAATCAATTGATCAGGCACGGGGCGTCCATTATTGACTTCATAGGCGACAAATGAACATAACAAAAAAAATCAATCAACAGATCATGAATTTCTTTCTTTTAGCAAATTATTCTTCTGTTGAACACCAAGAAGATAAATTATTCCTGGCAGCAAAGTTTTCAAATGAATCTTAATTATTATAGACTTGAAGCTCTGTTTGTTTTAGCCACTTAAATTTTTTCGTCAAAAAATTTTTGCGCAAAACGCAATCAAAACTGATTACAAATCAACCAAACCGTTTGGAATGAGACAATCAATGCAAGTAAGTCTGTTGCTTTCTGCTCAATGAGATCTGAAGAAAATATCAAAGTGAAAGAGATTCTTCGTTTGATTTCAAATAAATAAATTCGTCAGTAATGAGTCCATCTTTTCATAACGGTCTGTATAAAATTATTGTTAAAAGGATTGCAAACTCCCCTTTGGCTATGCAACAAAACGGCAATCATCAAAATCATGAAAATAATAATAAAAGAACTCCATTGATAAAGAAAGTATCTAAAAGGAAGAAGCAGAAAATTTTGTGTAAAACACAAGTTGAGTAAGTGTTTTATAATAAAATTTCAATTTGCTTTTCGATTCTAACAAATCATTCATTCATTATTTGCAGTTCCAATTACTTAAAGGTGGCTATAAAAAGCCCTAACCACAGAAAATAAAAATCATTAAGAATTAGACCATTTTAACAATAAACGCTAATGAATTTATGAATGAAATGTAAAATATGAAGAAAATCCCGAATCATAAGCTGGGTTACATCAGGTGTACCTGTTCTTACAGCAATGCCTCGAGTAAAGCGCTAAAAGGCCGCAGTGATGCATTATTAAAAAAACAAAGTTCAAATGTAATATTTATTGTGGTGGGAAACGGTACAAGCGATGGCGCGGTATCCGTAGTCTTTTGTTGGAACGTCATTGGGGAGTCGGGGATAACGTGGTCTGGGTTGAGACAAAAAAGTACAAAAAACTGGGCAAAAAGGCGAAAGAGGGGAAAGAGGAAAAAATGACTCAATTCACGTGATAAAGATCACAGGTAGTCTAACATGTAAAATATTTAGAGTTTTATGAAAAAGTAATTTATCCTGTCAATCCAAAGTAGTTTATTAGAATGATTAATTTATGGTTACCCTAGCATAGCTGAATTTGATTGAGACGGATAAAAGTAAGTAACTTTCAAGTAACTCTCTGGGTCCTGTTTGATCAAAACCTTCCCAAAAGGTTTTGATTGATTTATAATTGGTTTCACTTAAGTTGTGCGGCCAAATAAAATTTTGAGATTAGGAAATTTTAAGCTCAATAGCCGCGAATTCTGCGAATTTTTCGACCTTTTGCGAGAAATAATGACTTAGGTGTTGACTCAAGCTAAGAATTGAATTCAGGGTGATAGGTGAAGACGAATTCGTATCTCTTTAAAAGCAAATTATTGCTAAATAAGAAAATGGTAAGTTTTATATAAACATTTCATTTTGAATACCAATCGAAGTTTGTGTTAGTGGAAAATATAATTTATTAAACTGTATCAAGATCATTGCCCATGAAGAACGACGTAGTTGAGTCAAAAGTGTCAAAGTCTTGTAACCCAAAGTTGCTTTAGCTCCTGATTCAAAACCGTTATTAATACATATTTTGCTGCATATTTTATAATAAGAAATTCTGAATACTTTTATTAAATGATAAGTAATATTAAAGTCTTGCAATCGAAACTTACTTTAGCTCGTAGCTGAAAATAAACGTTATTAATGAATATTTTAGTTGTGAATACTTTTTCTATCAAAATCAGCATTGAAAATATAATTTACTGAACTTTATTATTATTTATTTCAATTTGTTTTTCAATCATTTTGATAGCTTCATTCAGACTATTTGAATTCCTCATGTTGTGTGAAATGGATTTAACTCGATCTATCATTTCTTTGTCATTAAATATGTTCTCAATGCAATTAAGAAGATAATCTTCCTCAATATCATATGGATTAACTCGGAACCCAATCTTTTTATCGACAACTCGTTGTGCATTATCATATTGATCATAAAAATAAGGAATGACAATCATGGGTTTACCATAATAAAGTGTTTCCATAAAAGTATTGTTACCTCCATGAGTTATGACCAGATCAACACCTTGAATAACTTTAATTTGGTTAACATAATTTTCACCCCACATATTGTCAGCCAATTCGAGTGCATCACCTCGTGGTCCCTTAGAGACGATAAATTTATGAGGTGATTTGGCTAGAATGGCGATTATCTTGTTCATGACAACTAAATCAGCCGATCCCAATGATCCTAAAGAAAAGAAAATCAATCTTCCTGGTTTATCTTGTAATTTCTGTGGTATTACGAATTCTGTATCAAGATCTGGTTGACGGATCCAAGCATCAACACGATACCAATTAGGTCGTCTTGGTTCACATTCAGTGTAGTCCAATTCAGCCGGGTAATGATAAAATCCAAAGGATTGAGGGATGTCAACAAATACGGCTGGGTTGAACTTGACATCTTTGAGACCAGCAGCTTCAAAGCCTTTGTTTTTTATTTCAGTTAGTATTGCATGGGCTCGGCTATAAACTTCTCTGAACTCATTCCAAGCAGTTTGATCGCTGTGGACAGAGTATCCAGCGAATGGTGGTGGTCCTGAGGGATATAAAATCAATGGATTTGTTGATGCCAGTTGAAACCAAGGAATTGAATGTTTGTACAGAAAAGGGAATGGAGCGGCTAAATCATGTACAATTGCATCAAATTTATCAGGATTATCGATAATTATTTTATCTAAAGCATCATTTAATGTATCGAAAAATTTAGCCTGAGCTTCGAAAGATTCCTGTTTCTCGGAAGCAAACTCAATAAAACGTTTTAAAGGTTCCTGTCGAAATTTCTCAGCAAAAGCATCAATCCACTTGAAAAGTAATTCTTCAGGATTTCCACCAACTAATGTTTCGTCAAACGGAATGAATGAAAATCCTCTTTTAATAGCCAAGTTTCTGTGTTTTTCCCGATGAACAAAGGTAATCTCATGACCAGCAGCCTTCAAACCTTCAGCGAATCCTAAAGTCGCATTGATATGTCCGAAACTAAAGAGACAATAAATGAAAAATATTTTGTACTTTAACCTCTATCAACTTATAATAATTAAGCAGATCAAATATTTGCTTAAAAACATGATTACTATCGACTATTTGGTTAAGCTCTAGAGATGTCAGATAACATGTCAGTTATGAATAGATATTATTTCAATTGAAAGACATGCGAATTTCGCAGAACTAAAAAAGTCAATTCAGTATTGAAGTTATTAACATTAAGTGGAAGCATTAATATATCTTTACTATACATTACGTTACTTGAAATATTTTCAAACCTTTAAGCTTAAACTAACATCATGTAAGATGAAACAAACAGTAAATAATCTGCAAAAGTTTTGGCAAAAATAAAACTTCGCTTCTTTCAGAGTAACCAATATAATAACAAAACAATTTGTATCGATAAATTATTATACTCACGCATCAATAGCTGTAACCATAAAACGCATTTTGTGATGTTAGACAAAAATCGGGTCAATTTATGATGAAAATTCAAAGTAAAAATGAAATTATACACTTTTAAGCTCAACTTTAAAACTTAAACAATTGTTAACAGTCTCGATGATTTTCAAATTATAAATGAATCTTTCAATTTTTCTTAAATCCAATCAACGTCAAGATAAGACTCAAGTGTTTTGTACCAGTAATGTGGTACTCAGATATAGGGATTGGATATTATCATCGATAGCTCTATTAATTCAATGGCAGTGATTTTCATTCCTTTTCATTCCTTTATTATAATTCATTGCTTCTAGAATGCTAATTATACTTACGATTAAATGATTTGACCATTTTCATCTCTCTGATGACATTTTGGAGTAAAAGCACAGTCGACTTTGACTTCAACTCAGTGATTGTTGTTACGTGCGTGTGTCGCTTTGTCTAGATCTAGTGAAAAATAGTATGTTTTATACAGGTTCACCTAAAATCATTTTACAAGTTACAATTTACGGGTATAACGGATCTTATGATATGGTTAATTTAACCGCTGATTGCCTTAGATTCAGATCATTCCATTCTGCTAGACCAGATACCTTTCAGTACCTTAATGATTTCATTTCGAAAGGCGTTGAAACATCAAAATGAAGTGAATTTCATACAAGTTGCAGACTATATTTATGGGTAACTCAACAGACAATCTAAACGAAAAGGCAAGATATTTAATGATGCGACCGTAAGAAGGAATACCGGCTCTTTTAATGCTCCAAAAGATTGTCTGGTCTTTCCAATCTTGGTCCGTTTATCGTCCGCCCGTCTAATCCTAATAAAAAACCATTACAGTATCCTTTGAAGCAAACTTTGATCTCACTCGACGTACAAAATACGAGTAGATTCAAAATATTCATTTCTAAATAATGATCTATAAAATGAAATAGTGGACTTACTTTATGGACTTACCGATCCACTGTTATAACTGTGTCATCATTTTAATTAGTTTTGATTTATTAAAAGTAATGCTTCAATTGGATGAATCAATGCGTATGAAATCAGCTGGTTGAGCAATAATTGCTAATGGCAACGAGTCATTTTTTCATATGTTTGGTATTTTTATAATTTTCAAATAAATCAATGTCTATTAAATGCTCTTCATCACCTTCATCAACATCTTCTCCAGTAAATCTATGACCTAATCTTATTGTGATCAAGCTTAAATCTTTATCAACGAATCCCAAAATGGTTCATTTGAGACGATGGAATATTTGTGTTCAACTGCATGCTTTCGGTGATCTCAAATCAATCATTGAACTCTTTATTTTTGATATTAAATTGTTACTTAATCATATTTACTTATTTTTTCAACTTTAGACTCACGAGTTATCTTCCCGGAATCACACATAACAGTTACATCAAGAATTTTGCTGTTTATGGTCAGCTTTTTACTGGACTCACGTGATGTGAAAGACCTTTGCCGATTATTATCTGAAGAAAGACGATTTCAATATTCAAATTTTTCTGTTAATTTAAGTGATTGGATTTGCTGAAATCAAAATACATGATCATGGTGTCTGCACATTTTTTATATTGTACTTTGACTTGGATCAAGTCCAATTTGAAAGTGAGTATATAGTATTGATTATCTGTAGGATAATCACAGTGATTGTGCTATTTTTATTCCTTTATCATGTTATGTAATTGATTTTCTTGTCAATACACAAGAATGACCCTTAAATTCCACATTTTTTCTTGCACATTGAACTCCTTAAATTGACTGATATTGTTTTAATCTTTTCATATTTCAATAATAGTTGATTGGATACACTGGACCATAGGATCTCATGTACTTTGGATAGAAGAGATAAAATTCTCGCTCATAACCATTGGATATCCAAGAAATTTTCGCTTTACTTTTGTTCATCTTTCGCTGTTTCTGCTGATATCTGGCTAAAAGCGCACGTTTCTTGGCTGCTTCACGTCTCCTTCGTAAAATATTGCGACCAAGCTTCCGTAAATTGTGAAACAAAAATTTAGCAACTGAAAGGATGGACACTTCAAGCCAAAGACTTATGATCGAAGCAACATAGCAAAAAAATTCAATATCATTGAATTTTTTGGATTTCATTATATCGGATTGTAAGCCTAAAGGATAGCCAAACTTTATTAAGATAATTCCAGGATCAATGGTGGGATCAAACTCTGCTTTAAGTATACGTGTTTCAAACAGATGAGTTTTGCATTCTGGTTGATGATAAATAGCCTCACAAGCAGCTCGAAATTTTGATGTTGGGATTCCCTTATCGAAGGTAACATTGGACAAATAATTTGGAACGGAAACCAGTGAAAGTTCAGGAAAAGCAAGATACTCAAGATAGATCGCAGTATACATACATTGTTTGATCAAAGTGCGTCTAGATTTGTTGTGGACCTCCTCATAATCCATACAATTTGAATATGGAAACCCAAGTTCACTGTTAGTCTTCGTATAATAGGTCAAGACAAATTTGTTATAAAAAGTCTTGTCGAGAACTGCCATATCAGGACTGCCATTGTTGAAAGCCACCTCCTCATCATTGTCATGGACAAAAACCAGTGAGAGACCACTTGAATGGTTTGCATTGAGTTCAGCCAAAAGAAAGTAATCATCGTAGAAATCATTTCGATAATATTCATATGGATTGTGTTTTCCCGCAAAAAAAGTGAAACACTTTAAGAATGGTGCCAAAGCAACTTTAACTTGACTAACGTTTTCACAGTCAACCATGTTGAATAATTGGTTGGCATCGATTGAAGCATTGGCCACTTTGCAGGATTCCACAAAATTATGTAAATCCGCTGTTAAATGATCCAATTCATCAAGAGTCAAGTCAAGACTAGAGATTTCTTGACCTATGTCACTCAGTGTATCGCGAGAAAAAATAGTCTCCAATATAACATCCTTGCTCAGTTTGTAAACAAAACACAAACTAATCGAAGGTAAGTTAATAACGTTAGGTCGATACAACTCAATTACTGTAGTTGTTGGCCAGGAGAAGTAGAGGGTAAACAAGGTTGACACCTGTGTAGTTGCCCCAATAATGCAAATAATAATCGGCACTAGTTTATCATGAGTAAATATCAGAGATTTGGTTAAAGGATTGGATGGCTTTTTCAATGACGCAGCCATCATTTACTATTGAGATTGAGCTACACTGAGGCCAATGTAAAAGTGGTTTACACTGATTGAAGCCAATCTGGATCATACACTCAAATTTCACTTTTATTGCTCAATATTGATCCATTGACTTCAAGGTATGACTCAGTTTAATCAAATGCATTTTTTGTAATGAATGAATATTTAAATCATGTCGAGACAGAAACGGAACTGCTTCATGAATGCAGTCAAAAATAATAGCCTTTTTAAAAAGTAAAAGTGAAATTTATAATTTCAAATTTTCATTTTAATTCCATTTGCATCAATAATGAAGTGAATCGAAACAAATTGTGAAACAGCAATTGCATTGGAAATAGAAATCAATAAATCAAGACAAAAAATTTAAATAACTGGACTTGAAATCTGAATAAACCAATATCAACAACTTACGACGACTTTCGACTCTTTTTGGTAGACAATCAATTTGATTATAGCTAATTATGATCAGAATTTTCACAATTTAGAGTAATTTAAAATTAATTTTCTCTTTTAGAGCTTAAGCTAAGCGTAAATTCATCGAAGTAACATTGAAAAAAGTGAATGTTATTAATGAAAATTAACGAAAATCTAATTCTGAACTCTGGTTAATCAATAAATTAACTCAAATAACTGACTAATCTAAAGTTGATAATCAATCACATTAATTCTTTCACCTTGTTACAGTACCGTGGATTCCATCGACTCCAAACGTAAAATACTCTTCACGAGGAGAAACTCCGAACAGTTATACTCGTGGTGGACTGCAGGGAATCGTGGTGGATCCAAGGTATGGAAAGAGTGTTTGGAAAAATTATAAGGTGATGAGTTGTCTTTTGTTAGATTCATATTATGCTTGATCTGGGAAAATTCAATTCAATTCATGTTAGTCTGTAATTCTATGTGTTTCCTGTTTTTTGGATTCTGGCATTTTTTCATTGTTTGATGCTTATTTGATTTGTTGATTCAATTCTGAATTCTGTGGGTGCAAAAAGGGTTGAGTGCCATCTACTACAGAAAAAGTAAACAAGATTTGTTTGAGTTTATTTTTTGCAATCAACCTTTGTTAGGTGTTGGTGGTTAATTTTTATCTTGTTTTTCATATCATACTAATGGTTCAACTATTGATTAGTCTGAGTTGTAAAGATGCTCAAACTTGGGTTTTCCTATTAATCGAAAACCATATGATAATCAGTAATTGTACTTAAATCAGTGAAACCCTCTTCACTAATCTTTAACCTAATTTTTCACCTTGCTCATTGTGATTCTTGTTGATTATTTACTCATTCTGATCGCTATCCATGATGGGTTATCCCAAAAGGTAAACAGTTTGATTGATTCTCAGGGTTTACCTTGTGTTTCATCTTGCGACTGATAACTTTTCCTTCTTGCATTCAATTGTTTACTCTGTTAAATTGGTGTATACATTGGTGACTGACTCCATTGATCAATTTATTGGAGATTGAGTTTGGTCAAATCAAGTAATTAACGCTAATTGTTGGTATGCTTCCCTTTTGCTGTAATCAGATCATTCAACTTTGTGACTGTTACAGATGCTTCACTAAACCATTAGCTAGTGTTTTTAAACCGTTTTACTGTTAGTTAGATAAACGAAAATCAAATATTCCCAGAAATACAATGAAAACTCTAACAATGAAATCTAAAATGATTAAGTTCTTTGCACAGTTTGAGTTTATTGTCAACTGAATTTCAGCTTAATTTGATTTCTTATAATGTCTATCAAGGTACTCGAGAAACTGACTCAACAAAAATGTAAGTTTTTTTATTTGATAAACATGATTGAACTGATGGTTGACTAAATAATGTTACCTAAACACGCAGTTGGTACTATGTGGTGGCTACTATCACCTATCACACAGGTGATACCTTAAATCTAGCAGCATAGTCGCAGCTGATGATGATTTAATTGTTGTTCTAACTCATCTCATGGTATTAATTCATTTTTTTAACCTAATTTATATACAGAAGCAAAGATTTATTATTTAAATGGAAGAATGATAATAAAATAAATAAATAACAAATGGAATGATTTGATGAAATTGGTTAAAATATCACTTTGCATCGGGTTGGAAGAAAAATGGAAATGATCGAAGTAATTTAAAATTCATTACAAGGCGTATTGACCAGTTTATGGCATACTTCAACCTTTTCTGACCATTCAATTTCATCCCATCTGCGGCATATTCTGGAAGTAAAAAAGGAAAAAACAATTAATCTAAATGAAAATAACAATTTCAAGTTGAATTTGACTCTTTATCATGGTTAAAACACATGGTTCCAAAGTATTAATTTAACATGATATGAAGCTGTAAACATATTTCAAAGAGTTTTCCCATGGTAAACTCGTATATCTAATATTTTTTCAAAACATTTCTGGAAATGGTTACTTCCACCGTCAACAGGAATGATCGAGGCAGTGAAAACTTATCCGTGCTTCCAAAGTCCATTAGTTGGCCATTAAATCGCAGTTGACTAAAGTCAGATCGAGAAGCGGGCTGTTGAGTGGTAAAAATAAGTCCATATACACAAAGATACAAGTCTTTTCAGGCATTCAACATGTAGTTTAACAAATACAATACATGTATGTCCTATCCTAACAGCTTCAGATGCGTTCAATTGTTGATTTTGTTTCAATAATGTTTCATGTTTAAACCATTTGAAAAAAGTCAAGTCAACTGAAAATTTGGGTAAATGTAAATACATTTCGGGTTTACTTACGCAATATTTGGATACCGGTATTTAAGGCATTCTTCATAAGTACAGCTTCGTTTAATTATGATTCCATTATCACAGGGCGCACTATCTAATTTACTGGATCTAGGTGAATTTACGTGGACACAATTTGGACCAGAGCACGCACTGATTGATTTAGATGAGGTTTGTACTATGAGGAGTAATAAAAGGACACCAGTGATGTTAAAATTGGACATTTTTATGGTTAAAATTGTAATTGTTTAGTCAAGTTGCTTGGATGAGTTTTAGATGAAAATAAAAGAAGACAGAAGATCATTTCTTTATAAACTAAAAGAGAGATAAAAGGAGCTACCACTTAAAGCCAATGAGAAACAAGCACTTCTAATACAAATCTTTTTCTCTTCTGGGTTGTCCGTTAGCTTCTTTCCCAAGGTAACAATCAATACTTTCTAATTAATTCTTATTTCGGTTTATAAAATTTTCATGGAATCAAGACTTGCATCAATTATAATATTTCATCTTTGGGTTAGTAAAGTTGAATATCAACAGATTTCTAGAGCTCTTTTTCAAACACATTGAGAAATTAAAATATCAATACGAATAACAAGAAGATTATTATTATTTATAAATGATATCATAAATTATTGGACAACATTAATATCATGCTATATAAATCATTGTAATTTAAAAGAAACAATCATGTTAATGGCTTCTAAGGCATTTTTGGTTTCTTGTTGGGTTACATTGACATTAAGTCTCACACTGATTGACCAGAAATGTACATTTATGTACATATTAATAATGTAATGGACTTACTGATGGAAGATGATGATGATGATGATGATGATAATGATGAGGTGCAAAGAGAGGAAGAAAAAATAACACAAAATAAGAAACGTAAAAATCAAAGTACATCTAAACAAAGTTGTTGTTGGTTATGGACTTAATTTTCATATTTTATAATAATATTCATGCCCGAGAAATGTTGCCAAGGAAACTCAATGACAAATAACCCAAAACAATTGAATATGAATTGAACCGGAGTTTTGTTTTCTTGTACATTAGTTTGGATTCACAAGGAGACTCGTTTTTTAACCTTTACCTTTTACCAATAACCACATTAGACTTTTATCGTTGATCCAATTGTTGTTTTTTTAAAATGTTAACCTTTAATGTCAATCCTTTAGTTTTCTGGTAAAACAAAGAAAACCGTTGGTTTGACCGATTAATCATGCCTTACCAGTTTCAACTTTTACCGGTTAACAAAGGCTCTTACTCAATGTTGCTTTATTTTACTCGCTTGTGATTTTACTTGGTGCTTCTTGATTGTTAATTGTTTTATTGTTGATTTTGACCCAACTGTTGACTCAATTGTCAACTAACTGTTTAAAAATGAGATTAATTTATAAATTAATGTAAAAAGGCGGTTATTTATTGAATCTATTGCTTTTTACAATCTCTCAAAGTGTGAGAGAAAGCCAGAGTTGCCATTTTGGATTTACTTAAACTCTTTTGGTTACTTTTAACACTACAATTTGGATTAAGATGACCGCCATAGACAATTATGCTGATTCTTCATCAGATAAAGAGCAACTTAAATCGTCACCAGCTGAAAGTGTCACTGAATCATCTCCTGATTTACCAATAGAATTGAAAGCATCTCCTGTAGCTAGTGAATTTGATGCTATCAATGTTGTTGTACGGTAAGTCTACTTTTGCTTTCTCTTTCTCAATATATTTTGATATTATTATTGTCGTTGATGTTGTCATCATCTTCATCAAGATCATGATCATTGCCGGTGATCTTGTGTACGTAAGGAAATCCTCTTCTTGTTCATAATAATTCTGGTCACGACGTGATTTCATGATCGTTAATCAGTCAAGTTGATAGTTGGAAAAATACACTAGTCTACAAGTCTATGACTCAAAACAAGCAATAACAGCTTGTTGTAGTGTGACAATCACTCAGTCCAAAATACTGATGTTTACCCCCCGTCTAACAGTGAATTAGTTCACAATTGCCTCAATTTCATCACCCAAACCATTTGTATAATTACTTTCATCCAATGAGAGAAATAATTTACCAATAATTTGGTAACAACTCATATGTAAATTAAGCCTTTCACTCCTTCGCAGTATTGATTTCATTCAATCTAGAAATATACTTTTACTTTTCCTTCTTACTCAATCTAGAAATGATTAGATAACGTTATAATTCAATTAATTACATACCCATTCAACTAGCTGTTTGAATAGTCTAAATAACATTTTAATTTTGTTACCATTTGCAACAATCTAAATCAAATTGTCAGCTTCACAGGTAAAGAAACCAAACTTGAGCTCGTTTTCTTGAAGTCCAATTTTACCATTCAATGTCCAATGCAATATTAATATCAATTAAAAAGTCTAACAATTTAGCTTGAAAAATGAAGATCAATCAAAGCCATGTATTAACCTACTAACCTTTAATTGGTTTTATTGTCTCTAAAAATCAAGGTCTCAATTGAATGCAAACAATCAGTAGAAATGAAAATCTTTAATGATTAATCAATAACCAGTAATTCGGAAAAAATTTCATAAGAAAAGGCAAATTGTAAATAAGAGTAGCTTTTTGAATTATTTATCCAACAATCAATGAATAGTGTTATAAATAAACGCAACAATCGATTAATTGTTATCCATATTTTACCTCATCATTAACCTTGATTATCAACATTTACCGATTGTTAGTAAACAAGAGTAAACATGACAAAAATTCAATTTAAATTCAACATTGAGAAGACAAATGACATTTAGTGAATGTTTTCAATCAACAAGCAAAAGTATTCATATGTAACTATTGATCAAGCAAGATTTGATCATTTTGCCTTCAACCTCGTTACATTAATGTATAAATGATTGGTCAGTCCAACGGTCATTGATCTTGTTTACTTACAAGAGCTTTGGTATTAAAAGCAAAATGTTACTTCCTATTGATTTGATGTTTGACCAATAAACATAATGATAAACAATGATAAACTAATTGGTAAATTGATAATCAACTGGTCAATAAGCATTAGACAGTCAATTGAATAATAGAGTTGGAGTTTCAATTCCAACCTTTTCACAATTTCAATGTTTCCGTGATGAAAAGTTCAGTATTGATGAATAACATGTTTATTTGTTTTTTAGGTGAAACTCAATATCTTGAAAGCTATCAATTATCAATTTTTGCCATCGATTTTTAAAATCATTTATTTTACTCGATATTCAATGTTTGACAATTGGTTCAAGGCTGGCTCATGAAATGTTCATGGCCATGTTTTCATTGCAATCATGAATATGATAAATTTTTTAATTATTTTACCAAAAATTTCTCTTATTCTTAGTAAACAAGTCGATTTACTTGGAGTTTGTTTGTATCGATTTTATATTTTTTGCATTCAACTCAATCCAGTTTAACTGAACTTGAGTTTGTTCAAGACTCAGTAGAAAGTATTTCTCATGAATTACAATTAGTGGAAATACTTATTAATAGTAGAAAGTTTCAAAATTATGAGCTCATCTGAACAGGAAAACTTGAGCAAAGTACAATTGGTTTGATGAAAGATATCAACTCACACAAGAAGCGTATCAAAGACAATCTTGACGAATCAAGAATGACATTGAAATTGTTCATTCAAAAATGTCTGAACGATGAACAGACACCTGGATAAATATGGCTTTGATTGAGAGCATCAAATTGTATTTTGACCTTTGGTTGGACTTTTCTAAGTCACATTTACCATGTGAATCCAAATTTCGATGAACCCAATAAACATTTTATTGATGAACATCAACCTTGTTGGTTGGTCAAAGTATCTTCAATGTAACCTAGCTCGACTCACTTCACTGCATAACCAGAGCAAGTTATGTTGCTTGACAAAAGCCAACCCAGTCATTAATTTTGCCCATAAATTGTGTTCCTAAATTTCAATGCAATTTTCAATCAATTTGTTGACGAACGAAAAATTCAGTTTCGAAAGTTCTTTGCGAAATTGTTTCAAAACTGTCACATTATTGAAGTGCAATTGATATCAATTGATGATTCTCTTGATACTTTTTCTGAATAACAATAATTTTATCGATTTTATACAATTGTAGTCTGAATTTTATAATTATCTTCATCTTAATTTGAATGGTTTCTTCAATTGTTTACATCTTAATATTCAGTTATCACAATTAACCGACTAAACTCTTTTCTTATGTAAGTGTTTTGACTTTTGATATTTTTAGATATTTTTACATGATTTTCAAACAACAAAAAGGTTGAATTTTTCGTTGTATGAATAGGAATTGGTTCAACATTGAAATCGATACGAAAATCGACATTTTAATCAATCCCTTGATTGGGACTGTTGCACCTAACAATCAGTTTTCTTTGTGTCTTTTTTAATATTTCATTGTTTATCATTCCAGTGTCCGTCCTATTCATGGAAATCGAGGTTCAGAGAAAAATCGAGATACTTCATTATTCCCTGCTGCTGGACAGATTCAGGTTAGCAACTGTTAATTAGTGTCAGATTGTTGTCTAATTATTTGCTCATTATAATGGTTTCTCAATGGGAAAAGCATTTGTAATGAAAAATGTGATCAAAATAGTGTTGTTTTTATGTGATAATGATTACATTATCCAATATATTGATGATGAAAGCTGCGATTGATAGTAAAAACTTGACATAATCACTTTCTTTATTTACTATTACCGGTAATAATCGATAATGAGAATCAATTACTTTAAGTCTGCATGTGAATTGACTAACATTACATGAAACTGACTGATGGAAAATTCAAATCACTATCTCGATAACTTTGAAAATTCAAGTTCAATCTTGAAAGTCAAGGAAAAAAATGGTGAAAAATTTCCTAAATTGAACAAATAATTATTTACTATTTGTAATTGAATTAGCAAACATTTAACAGCATGTATACACACCAATGTAAACGAGATGGTTTATTCCGTATCACTGTTGTTAATCATGATAATCATTGAAGTGGATTGAACTACGATAAAACACAGTGAAAATGATTTACGAAATCAACATTTAATACTTGAAAATGCATTCCCACAGCTTTCATCATCAATCGATTTAAACGTCAATCAGTATTAATCATTGATAATAGAGACAATAATTTGACCACTAATTAGACACTCATTGGTCAATCAATATCTAACAATAATTAACAGGTTAATGATCCAATATCAAACACAACTCGATCATTTACATTCAATGTTGTCTTTGAGCCTGAAGCAACTCAGGAGGAAATTTTTGAACATTCAGGAGTTAAAAGGTTGATTGACATGGCCTTAGAAGGGTAAGCAATTTTAAATGTTCAATTAGATGTTAATCAATGAAAAATTATTCAAAATTAGTTAATTGTCAACCAATTTAGTCGATTCTCTTGTAACGCCATCTTTCGATTTTTTAATCACTTTTCATTTATTAATTTTCTTTCAATATTTACATTTATTTATTTGCTTTTTTGGTTTACAATTTTAATTTATTTAATTTGTTTTGTTTAATTTGTTTCATTTTTGGTTGACAATTTATTTACACTTTTAGCTTTTATTAATTAACCTACATTTTGATTGTTCAACTCACCTTCAACTCGTCTAATAATTGTAATAATCTTGATTAGGTTTGCTTGTACAATATTTGCTTATGGTCAAACTGGTTCAGGGAAAACCTTTACACTTTGTGGTAATTATTATGAGGTAAGTTATACTCTTGATTTGAATTAACCTCTAATCAATTCAACTTAATGTCCATCATGATTGATTAATCATTAAACAAGTTAATAGTGATCAAGGTTATGATTAAAGCGAAAGGCTTTATACTGAAATAATGAGAAAACCTATTTTTACATTATTGTTGACACTTTTTGTTATAAATACATATGCTTTTGTTGCTCAACCAACAGCAAATAACTTGGGACTGTCAAGGTTTCCAATCAACATTAAGATTATCAAAATGATTAATCAATTTCCAATGTATGTCATTGAATAAGGTCAATTTGAATTGTCCATAAAATAATTGTAATAGCTTAAAAAAGCTTATGACCATTCCTTTGTTCAATAAAATTAATCAACGTTTTTTTTGCTTCTTTTACCAGGATTTCAGTGACGAGAAGAACATCGGTGAAAAGAAAATTCTTGGCATAATTCAATTGAGCTTCGCATATCTTTTTGAGCAAATCAAATTAAAAAAGGATCGAGGAGTTTATTACGTTGTTACAGCTTCATATTTAGAGGTGTACAATGAACAGGTAACAGACTTTCTGGTTAAATCAATAAGAAGAGGAAATCAATCAACAATCAACTAGACGATGCTAAATGATAGACTGATGGAAATATTGATTCAATTTTCAACTCTTTTTTCATTATTTATTGGCCATCATTTTCACAATTAGTGAATTTCATTGATTGTTTTAAATTAATGAAAAGATTGATCATTTTGCCAAGGTTTCAACTCTATTAATAGCAATATTAATACTTGGCAATTTATCGTTTACAAGTCAATTTGTTATTTTTTTCAGTTAAAATTGTTGTTTATCAACAACTTGAGATTCACAATTCAGATTATCCAAGTTAATTGTTAACTATCATCATATCATTCATTTACTCCAATCAATATTGTTATTTCAATTTGTCTCAATTTTGTCCAAGGGTCGACTCAACACAAAAACAAAATCACAAGCAACTTGAATGCTCTTTATCACAACTCAACCATTTGTGTTAACTTTTTCCCGGTTAATCATTACAATTTGATTAGCTGGTATCAATAATTAATTGACTTATTTCATGGTCTATTACATGGCAACAATTATTGATTCCTCAGTTTCACGTGTAAATCCTGTTGTCCACTTTGTTCAATTTGTGTTATCTAATAACTTACAATCACGCAAGTTGAGTGATATTTGACGCTAAAATCAATTCATTATTTTCACTTGATTTGGCCAAATATTTCATTGTTTTTGTTTGAAAATATTATAAAATAGGAAACATATTTTCCCATTTTTCTTCACTAAAAACCATCAATTTGACCCAAAAAGGTTTACATTTACATGTTCATTAACATTAATATCTAAATATTCCTGTTGACTTGGTTTAACTTTTGTGCTTTTCATTAAACTTGATCTAGATCATGTTCAATGTTTTGTTTTTGTTTCATGGTAAAGTCCGCTGGCAATACTTTTCATATTCATGTTGAAATATGTAATTGAATTATGCATTAATTATGTATTTTCAGTTTAATTATTCATTGAAGATAATCGTTATTTTATTATGTTGTCAATTATGATGTACAAGTTAATGAGTGAATGTTACAAAATGTAGTTCAACCTTTGACAATCAATAGTTAACGTTTACTGTAGTTAAGTTAATCTCATAGGAGTTGCATCTCATACCATTGCATAAGTAATTGCACTTTAATGAAACAATTGACTGCAAAAAACTAGGTTTTCAAGCACAATCAACTTAATAGCAATTAACTTAATGGAGAAACGATTTTTAATCAACAAATAATCTATAATGGTGACTAGAGCACTTAATAATTGGCAATCAAGGAACCGTTGAAATGAGTCTTGTATTGATACAATCACTAAAGTCTTGGACTTGAAAATATCTTTCACTTTTTAGTTTCTTTTCCTTTCTATTTATTCGACCATTTGACCAATCAATTGAACTTATCATGTTTTAATGAATTAATTTCTAGATGTACAAGGAAATAAACAATTTAAATAATTAGAACTGACTAAATATTGAATTAACTTAAACATAAATAAACATGAAATTGATTGTAAAATAATTTTTGGATTTGTTGAATATGTGTCTCCATCTGTTGCTTTTAGTTACATTTATACTAATTCCAAAGCTTAAATTGTTCAGTTTAGTTGATTTTATTTGGGATTAATTGTGAACATTGGTTAGCCTTTGATAATGAATTAATGATGAACAATTGTACTAAAAGAGATTGGCGATTTGCCTCTTCTCATTGACATTTTCAGGTCATGAAATATTTCTTTCATTTCTTTTTATATTTAACTTGCTAACTCATTTTAATTGTAATTAAGGTTTTAGATTTATTGAATCCATCGACAAAAAGCCTCAATGTTCGTTGGTCCAAAGACAGAGGATTTTATGCCGAAAACCTTTTTAAAGTTGAATGTGAAGATATTGGCGATCTTGAAGGTGTCTTGGAGGAAGGTGAGTTTACGCCGTTAACCATTTGGTAACATTGATCGTTAATCTAATTGTTGGTCGTATTTGGTTGAATTGCAAAGTAGGGTTTGAATGAATGAAATAAGCGATATCTTTTGTACAATTGCTGTCTACTCTTTTCAATTTTGCATAATTTACATATTGTTAGAGGTTATTTTTTATGTTAAAAAGGCTTTCATTAATTATTGAAGCTCTTTAGTCTGTGAAAAGCTATTATTGGACTTGAGATGTTATATCTGTAAAAATGTTTAAATTAGGAATTTTTGTGAATGAGAAAAAAGGAGAAAAATTGAAAAGAAGTTAATCAACATTGACCATTAGGGAAACAATTTTCCGGGTTTTTATTTTCACTATTATTAGCTAAATTGTTATAAGTAATTTGCATAATAGTGTTTACGGTAATGAGAAGTTGAAAGAAAAGTCCCTTTACAATCATTAGATGATTCTAACTGAAAGTAAGAGATAATTATGGTTTATCATGGTGTTGGGTTATTAATATTTTGGTAACATGGGAAACAAGTAAAGAAAGTGATAATCACTGTACAAGTAATAATAGAAAACAATTAAAAAGATTTTTTATTAACAAGACATTGACTGTCTGATGAATCGAGAAAAATCTCGTTTTTTATTTGAAACATTTCCATTATTTCAAGATAATCAGTATTCATGATTTCAATGGTTTTTATAATCTAAAGATGTCCAATCAACAGCATTGATCATCTTTTTAATTTAACATTTGACAGATAAATATCTAATTTTTTGTAATTTTTCCCTCCAGGAACCAAAAATCGTCAAGTTCGATCCCACATGATGAACGAGAAATCAAGTCGAAGTCATTCCTTATTGACCATTTCATTGGCATCCGAAACTCAAGACCCGGAAGATCCACAGGGTTATATCCGAAGAGAGGGTCGACTGTGTCTGGTTGATCTTGCTGGTTCAGAGAAGACTAAGCGTACTCAGAGTAAAGGCGATACTCTGGTTGAGGCCAACAATATTAATCGATCCTTACTCGTCCTCGGCAATTGTATTTCAGCTTTGGCATCGCCTAAACGCAGAGCGGGACACATTCCCTACAGGTAAACAACAAAGAAAGATAATTTTCTTCCGCAATAGAGAAGCGATCAAATTTGCTATTTTACGGACAATATCATCTTAACTACCAGTTTTGAGCGGCAATTGATAATCAAGTATTAAAAAGTGATGAATAGCAAATTTTTTGATTAGCACGCTAAGCTTAATGTCAATGAATCTTGTTGAATCTTTTCTTGGCTTTATATTGATGTATTACCAGAATTTTGAAAAAAATTGGGTTCCATTCAGCCATGGTTGCAGTAAAGATGGAGAGGGAAAATTTGCCTTCTAATGAGTTGGTTAGTGATCAACACCTAAATATAAATATGAAATGAGAAAAAGAGTAAATTTAAATAGAATAGAAAAGAAATGTCAGAATTTATTACTAGATTAATCAAGCACAACTGAGATTTTCTTGAACCGGTGATTGACTCACAAATTGTTGATTCTTGTAGGTTCACTGGCCTCTCATTTGTTTATACAAATATTTATTGACATAATACGTCAACCTGAGAATGGCTAGAAACACTAATCGAATCAAAAAATGTTTCAGTTTGAAAAAACAAATGAATTTACTTTTCTCTTTAACATTAATCAAGAAAATCAGTTTTATCATGTTATTGGCTCTCTATTAGTCTGAAGATTCCCATTGAAACATTCATGAAATTATTGCATGTTGAGTCAGCTTTACAACAATATTAACCATTAACTATTTATAACGTGTTTAACCCTTAGTAATCATTTCTTGACAAAGATGAAGATTATGTTCGAGATCAAAGTCAAGGCAAGTGATTGGTTTCAAATCAATACAAATAGCCGGACAGTGAACTCAGATCTATCAATATGAATAATTAATCAATATATCAATCAAAGGTTAAGACTAGTTAGACAAGAAAGAAAGGTTTGTCTAATTTGTAGTTTAATCACACTTATATCATTAGAAGAATCAATTCAAGTTTAAATTTAATTTACTAGATCAACAGCAGATTCAGACAAAGACTATGAGAATGGTTAAAGCAGCAATTAATTTAACCATTAATTAGTATTCTAGTATAATTATTGCATACAAAAAAAGCTAAACAAGATTCACTTACCCGTTGCCATTAACCATATTTGATGAATGATGTTGACGACACAAGCAATTTACTGATTATTTGATGGCTAAGATTTAATTATGCCATAACAAGCATTAAAAGATGATAATGAACTGTAAATTGTTCAATCTTGAAACAATTAGCTGATAATCCGTTGAAAAAAAAACAAAGGAAACCATTTAATGAAAAATGGTTTTTCAATAAACTTTGACTTTTTTACAAACATGGCAAATTATTCCTTTGTCTGTGTTAAATACTGGTTAAGGAGAAAATTATTCACATTTAATTAAATTTTAATGATAATCGATACTAATGATGATTAATTTTTTATTACAGGGATAGCACATTAACTAAATTACTGGCTGATAGTCTATCTGGAAGTGGAATGACATTAATGGTATGGATAACTGTTTATATCGCTGTTGCATGAAAGCTAAAAATCTGGTTCAACATCTTAGCTGACATTCAACTCTTTTCTGTTTCTTTTTTTCTTCTTTTCTCTTTCAACCAACAATTTAATCATTCCATCATTTCCTAATTACCATTTTGATCAACAATTAATTACAGGTTGCCTGTGTTTCCTCGTCACCTGAAGATGCCTCAGAGACAATAAACACTTTGAGATATGCGGCCCGAGCCAAGAAAGTGAAAACCAACCCAATTGTCCGAATGGATCCCCGAGAACTGTTGATATTGTCCCTGAAACGAGAAGTTAGATTGCTCAGAATGGAAAATATCTACCTTAGACAACAGGTGAGATAATCTGTTTGATTCTAAAGAAATGGTTAGTCAAGAGAAAAGGTAGTTAACACAAAGGAAAGAACCTGTTAGAACAATGAAAGCTTATCCATGAATAATATTTTAGCAAGTCTTGCCAATGAAGCTCAAGTAAACTTGTTGCCCAGCTAATCGAGGTGATTAAAACAAAAGGAAAGGATTCTGTGCAGGTCAATCAACTGATGATAAAGTCACGCAAGCATTATCCAGTTTTAACTCTCCATAGCACCAGAAATGAGTAAATTATATTTAGTGCCATCAACCCGTTGTTTGATGAAGTAAAGCATTCACTGAGAATGAATCAATTGTGTGATGCTTTTCCAATCAATCTTTCAACTTATCATCAAGCATTATATTACAGTGTTAAAGGATGTATTGCGAGATTAGGATTCGGATATATTTTTATATTTTGCTCAAGAACACCAGATAAAATTGTGTTAACTGCCTTGAAGAAAAAGGTTCATGACTTAACATGGCAATTTTGATGTATATTATTATCTCATCTGGTCACTGAGATTATCTGTATGTATATAAATTGTGTATTGATTAACATGAAAATACAAATCATATCATATGATGTATGTCATGGTAATAGATGCAGTTTGATGGTGGGCCACTTGGCTTAAGGAAAATTGATAAACCAACGAGTCCATTAAGGGGTATCGCGGTGATTGGCAATATGGTCAAAAATGGCCTTCGAAAGACAAGATTCAAATGGAGGAAACGTTAATGACAATCCTAAAGTGAATATTTATTGAAATTGAAGGAGGATTCAGACAAGATTCAATACTGAGTTAACCAGATTTTTTTGGTTCTTTCTTTATCTTCACTTTCACCATCTATTCTCGTTAACACTCACGCTACTATACACGCTTACATACACACACTATCACACTTTCATTTACTCGGTTGGATGAAATTCAAGAAAAGATGAGAATCAGTTGACAGAAAGGCACATTTTTCCACTGATTCAAATGAGATATTAAAGTGTGCTATTTTTTAATAACCAAAAATTATATAAATATTACAAAAATGTAATCTTTATGTACATTGGTTCAGCTAAAGTATATTAATATTTAATACAATGTCTATGAGCGTAGGTTGATCTAGTTTTGTTGATATATTTTTTGATTAAAAAAATCTATATTTTTCTCGTTGATCACCAAGAAATATGAAATGTTTAACTTTATAAATCATTGAGATTTGAAATTTTATTTTTATTTTATGAGTGACAAAATTACCTCAATAATCACACAGAGTTACTGATTGTGTAAAATTTGTGCATTTCAGGCCTACGCACAACTCAAGAGTCGAGTGAATTAAGCAAATTTATGATGTAAGTTAACCTAATCATTGTTGGCAATCAAAATAATTTAATTGTATTTTTCTCATCTTTTCATCACAATTTCATTCAACCTTGGAACATAATTCAGTGATGAATTTAATTTATTGATCAGCAAAGGGAAAATGTTTTTCCTTTGCTCCACATTCAATCATTTTATTTTTGATATGCTTTCAGCTTGAAACAGCTTTCAGACTGAAATGGGAAACCAATGATTCTGGGTCACAGAATCTCAGACATTCAGAATCTTTTGGTGACTCAAGAAGACGATTGGTTGCAAGCAAAAATTAGCTTAATGTAAATTACGCACATTCAACTTTTAATCAATAATGAAGCAAACCCAAATGATACAGTATTTTTGTTTTCTGGGTTAACCCATTTCAACTAAAGGTTAATCAAACTGAGATTCATTTTGCTCATTACTCATTATGATCAGGATTAACCTCTCAGCACTTTCAATCTTTCCTCTGCCATTAATTATGTTATCCTTTCATCGAGCTTATATTTATAATAATAAGTTATCCAACTCTTGAATGAAAATTTTATTGCCTTGTCAACGTTTCTCAAGTTGATCACACACAATGAGCATAACTGGTTGTCTTCATTCAAAGCTAATGAGACAATCAATCAATCAATAATTACTATATCTTATAAAGCACACACACAATTATTCTTGTTAAATGGTGAAAATTGTGAGAATCAATCATTCTAATTGTACAATTTATCCACAAAAAAAATATATTTCTCGGTTATTTTTAATGTAATATGTTGGACAAGTTCAAACATTGAAGTCAGTTAAATGTCAATCTGTTTCAACTTGCATTCCCAATCTTTCAACAATAAAGTCTCTATTTAATTGAACAAAAATATATTCAATGGCTCCATTGAGTGTGTATTTAATGGTCAATGAAATAATCAACTTTAATTTTGTTTCGTTAAATGTTGGGTAAAATTAGCTTCTTTTTGTTAATAGTTTAACCGGTTTCATTGTTTTCCTCAGTGTTCACATTGAATTAAAAAATTGAACAATTAAAAATGGAATGTAAATCACTCCTAAAATTGTGCTTGATAATTTAACAAAAGACTCTATGAATAACAATTGAGATGGGAAACAGGTTTGGTTATATAAAATGTAATTCAAAATGAATACCTGAAAAGATCGAGATTCTTGCAGCTCGTCCTGTAAAGGCCTTAAAAATGCGATTCGATCTTTTAGGTTTGTATTTTTACATCTTTGAGTGTAATGATTAACTTGATATGTTAACTAATTGTTGATCATCTTTACTGCCATTGTAGCCATAACTCATGTAAAACCATTTACATGTACAACTGCATAAACATTAAGATTGCCATGTTGGTCATGATTTTAGTAACAATCAAGATTTACTTTTAATATTAATATTTCTTGAAATAACTTGAATAATAACTTTCTTTTGTTTTCTTTCCATTATCTTATATTCATCATTTTGATTATGGTTCATCTTCCATCACCTAATATGATTGATTTGATGTGTGTTTCGGTTATTTGGCTTGTTGGATCACAAATGGATAGCTTAACATTGGAAGTGGATTTATCCTCAACAATGGTGATCGTCCAACTTCAAATGATTCAATTTCATCTCATGATAATACAATTAATGGAGTTAATGGAGATAAAAAAGAGAAGCAAATTTTAATGGCAATTGATCAACATGGCAAGCTTGAAGCTGAAGGAAATAGAGATCCAGGAAAGCAAGAAATTAAGGACAATTTACTTCATAAATATATGCAACAAAATGAAGGGTTGAGAGCTGAAAATGCTCAACTTCACCAACAACGAGAACGTCTCATCCATGACCATGAATTGGTTTGCCGAGAAAATGATAGATTAAGGAAAAGGTTATCGATACCAAATCAAGAGGCGACTAACATAGTTTATCAAGAAAATGGTTTTAATGGTGAACCAGATCAAACAATTAAAGGTGACAATGAAGTGGACAACGGAAACTTGTCTAATAATGTCAATTCAAATACTAAATCAAATAACATGAGAAATATAAGGAAAGATGAAGAAAGACGACCTTCTTTGGTGGCTATTAATGGTAATCGAGAGGAAAGATCACATAATAGATTTAAATTTAATGATAAATCAGCAAATGGAAAGCTTATGCTGGTTAATGGCTTAAATGATGCAAATAACAACACTGACAATCATTCTAATTATAATTTAATCAAGGATAGTAATGAGAAGCAATCAAATGATATTAATCTGGAGTTGAGAGGGACTTCAGCAGCAACTAAGACTCGATTCAGGAGGAAGTAAAATTTAAAGCTACAATTTTTTTTTGTGTCTTCAAGACTAATAATTGGATGGAAATGAAGTCGTGAGGATAATATTTTTGAATGTTATCAAAGATGAAAAGGGTTAAGGAAGGATTCACAAGAAACAAACGATAAAAGTAAACATAGAATGGTGAAAGTAACGATTTCAAGATAATAATGAGATAGTTGATGACTTTTTCACATTACTGGTTCAAGTTATTTCTTTTTTTCTGCTGCTTTCAATTGTTCAACAAAAGCTCATCTCGTCATGAGAAAGAGGAAGTTGAGGTGACACAGTAAAAAAAGAAAGACAACGATGAGAAAGGAAGGGAATCAGGAGCATCATCGAAAGAGTTGAAAGATTAAAGAGGAAGAGAAAGGAAAACAATTTTAAATAATTAAAGAGAAAGTAATAATTCAATTTATAATTGACTTCATTTAGTCAAAAAACGAGTGAATAGGAAATACAAAACGATACCGAGAAATGCGCAGAATAATTTGAATAAACAAAAGCTGTATATTAGTCACTTTCATTGTAAATTAATCATTCAATTGAATTATCAGCAACATTGTACTTCAATTGTAAATAATGTATTTTTGTTGTTGTTGCAATAAAAGGTACCATAATTTGATTGTTTTTTATGTTATTCAATTAAAACTATCGTTTTTTGATGCCATTATTTTAATCACAGTTTGACCGATAAAATATGAAATTATTTTCACTGCGAATCAGATTTTAATTTGTTTTCAAATACTAGTGGATGGGTTAAATTATAAAAGCTCAATTTTTGACAATTGGATTCCGTGTTGGGGATTTCGCGCGCGATTGTGTCTTATAAATACACTAATAACAACATTTTTTCTCATTTTTCTCATAGTTATTTATAAAAACACGCAGTTATGAGGTACGCAAAAAAGATTGAATAGGTTGTTAAAATTTAGTTAACTAGAGTCTCAGAACAAAGTGAAGAGTTAATTTTCTTTTGTTGCGAGGATTTGTTTTTTCAATATTAGTGATAGTTTTTATACACCAGCACTTGGCTGGTAGTGAAAAGAAGATGAAAGAGAAAGGTAGAAGGAAGAAAAATAGAGAAGGAAAAGAGAGAGAAAGAGAAAGAGAAGAGAAGAGAACAGAAAGATCTTTTTCTCATTGTATCTCAGTAGAAACGGTGATAGATGAAGGGTGGGCTTCCAAATTAGTTGAATGAAATTGAAAATTAGTTAATTTGAAAAACGGCAACATAGGGAAAAGAAAACTCAGCGATGTTTCGATGCTGCTGCTTGCGATTTTTCTGGTTGCAATAATAATGTAATTATGTTGCAAACGGTTCCTTTCAACTATTTTCCGATGATTTTACGTTGAAGTTGCTCAGTATTCTAGGTAGATAATCTTCAAATTTTGCTTTGTTATGCTTTTGTTTTTTAGGTTTTTATTATTTCTTCATCTCAACCTACAGGAAATAATCAGGAGTCCTCCTAGTAACATGTGGTTCTCCTCTTCTAGGTGCAGGATCAAATTGCAAGAAGGAATATTTGAGACTATCATCAAGCTCCATGATGGCTGCCTGATTACCGCAACGATAACAATAGTTAGGTGCGGAAAAAATGGTGACTACATTTCTATCGTGGCACCAGTTGTACCCTTCCATAACTAGTTGATGAGCTCGAGATACCAAGGTTAATCCATTAGTATGATTAAATGTTTCACTAATATCCTGTCCAAAAGTGTAACCAGCTCCTCGAGGAGAAATACCCCATCCTCCTCGGTCATCTGGGTCACTCCAAAGAAGATCACACATAGGTCCTTCATGAGGAACCTCTTGTAAACGATCAAGAGCTCGAATATGGTCCAATGTGTCTATAGATGGTGATAATCCTCCGTGGAGACAGAATATCAGACCGTCAACTGTAATATAAATTTGGAGATGAGACAATAGAAAAAATTTAGTTAATCAAAATTTGTCAAAATAGATCAAAGCAGTGTAAACTCAAAATAAAATATCCAAGGCCTAAGGTTGAGGGATTTCATCAATAACATGTTTTGACAAATATAGCAATGAGTAATTGAAATGTCTGATTATTACCTTAATCTAGGCAATAAAATGTTAAGTAACTACGATCAAAACAAGAATTCTTAAATAATAATAAAAGAGTGTGAGGATTAATAAATGATAGTAGTTAATTTTTTGAAAAGATAGCATTTTAATGTCTTCTACTATCTATCCACTTGCAACTAATCTTCTATTTTTAAGAAAGAAAGCCTGTGATAAGTTTATGGCATGGTAAATTACTCAGACAAATCAAAGAGATGGCCTTGGAAGTCGTAGAAGATGAAAACAAAAAAAAATATCTCACCTAAAGCGGTTAAAGGTAAGTAGTCGAAAAGATCGGTAAAGTACCTCCAAACATTAGCATTACCATATTTACGTAAACATTCGTCGTAAAAACCATATACTTGGGTGATTTGTCGTGACTCATGGTTACCCCTTAAAATGGTTATCCTTTCCTTATAACGGACTTTAAGACACACTAACAATGATACAGTCTCTACAGAGTAGTACCCACGATCGACATAATCACCCATAAATAGATAATTTGTATCCGGAGATTTTCCTAGAAAAAGATGAGAAAAGAGGTGAAATTAACAATGGGAAATATGTAATCCAATTAATCTTCACTTTCTATGCAGCTGACCATTAAAATACTGTCCTTTTCACTTATTTTCAGTGCTATAAGCTTTATTTTTGCTAAGATGACTTTGAATCAAGCCTGCATCAAACAAGTGAAGTGCAAATTGACAGAGAGCTCTATAGAAGAGATTAGGAAGAGCAAGCCTATGAAGCGCAAGCAAAATGAATAGGATAAACTATTCACAGGTTTAAATTGAAAGAATGAGGAATCATTTCAATTAAAAAAATAAAGGCATAGAAAGAGAAAAAAAGGAAAGAGAGGAAGTTAAAAATATATATATATTTGTGAAAAGTAAAATGAAAAGAAAGGAATAAGGAAAGAGAAGTAAGAGAAAGGGCACAAGAGAGTTAAAGAAAGAGATGAAAGAGAGAGGTTATCAGTGAAGTATTATTACCTCCTATCTTAAATAGCTCCTGTAAATCATGGAATTGGCCATGTACATCACCACAAACAGTTACCGGGCATTTAACCTCTTGTACATTACTTTCCCTTGAAAGAATCTCTTTGGCTTTTTCACACAATAATCTAACTTGATTTTCCGTTAACTGTTTACATTCCATAAGACTTTCAATATAATTGTCCAATTCCTTTAAGGAAGGCTCCTTTTTGGTATTGGTAACCTCATTGTTCAATGAACCACTGTTTTCCGTCATTGTTGAAAAATTTAAGTGTGATCACTGGTAAACACAGTAATTAATAGATTAGTATAAATGAAAACCAGTTGAAACAATTAATTAAATAAAATGATTTTTCCGATGATTCCTCACAACAAGCAACTTGATTTGATCAATAAAACTGAAGTAAGTTACTCCAAAGAGCAACCGCCCTGAATGGTGGCAGCACCAGATGCCATTACCATTGGTTCATCACAAAGTGTAATAAAAGACTATTAAACACATTTATCTTAGCTTAAGAATTATTGAAACATTCTTTTAATTTCAATTAAACCATTGAACCTTTTATTATTTATCTTTTATTTAGATTTAATAGTGTCAAAATACAATTGATTTATAAAAGTTTGACCATTTTACAGTAAAATCTGTCAATTAATTGTTTAAATTGTGTCGCCCTCTTTAGACCCCAGTTCAAATCTTTCGTTGAAATGACTGTAAATTACAATTTGTAATTACAGGCAACATTACCGAATAAAGATTACTTCTGTTTTTGTTTCATCAATCACCAAGAATCACCATTAAGCAAACAATTGTAAAAAGAAACATAATCACCTGAGTGTTTATTATAATAAAGTGTTTCAATGAGTTAAAGAAAAAGTCAATCAAGCAACTTGTTCACTTGATTTAGCTGGATAAAAAAGGCATGAAATCGCATCTACAGAAGGGTCCACCATCACCATGATTGCATGCGTATTCACAGAAATTAGCTCGCCAGACCAGTCCTTGTTCGCTTTCAATTGTAAATTTATTACCAACCAACTTGATCTTATTAACTCCTGTTGGTGCTGATTCACAGCAAATCAATTGTAAAGACACCAATAGGATTGACAGGATAATGGAAAGGCTAACAAAAAATATTGATGATTTCATTGCCATCTGTAATTTATTTTAACCCGCTTTTGTTTACTAGACACAATTTTATTTATGAATTATATAACAGTTGAAGATAAACATTTAAATTCACGATTATAAATAAGAAATTAAAACTAAGACAACTCAAAGATGTTCAATGTATAGTGTACTCAAACAATTTAGATTAATATTTGGGGCTGATTTCGTCGTTGCTACGAATATATGAATTCAGTTACAGGTAATCTGAAAAAAGTGAACAAAGCTATCATTTACAGATCAGAGTATTAGTTAGAAATTTTATCAAATTTGGTAATTGTTCATTATTTATCAATTATCATTAATAGGCTGTATTATTTAAAAGATAATCATTGAATAATGTTAGCGGTTGTCATTTTGATTGTACGTCAGTTTTCTCGGAATAATTTTCAGTTCACCAAAGTTGGGTAACAATACTGTCAGTTCAAAACTGATCAGTGATCATATTTGGAGGTTGTGCGGTAAAAAATAATCAATGTGTGTTTTAATTCAATTAAAGATAATATGTTTCCTATTGATAATTGTTTAAAGGGTTGATTAGTTGTAACGAGTAGGATAATGTTAAAACTTGATCGAAACTTGGCTTTGAATTCGAGAAGGATAAAGTAATCAAAAAGGTTCAAATTCGCGACCATCATTATTAACAAGAAAAAAAATAGAGCAAGGTTTGCAATTTTATTTGATGAAACGAATTCCATGAAACAGTTGATAGTACAAAAGAGATGTTTTATTTTGAATATTCCAGCTGATAAAATTTATTAATCAAGCCAGATTATCTTCAAATGATATTTTACTCCCTTGCATTCGTATCTAGCTGACAATCTAAATACAATTCAGGTAGATTTGTTAATAAATTAATTGATTTCAGGTGCAGAAATTTCTGTTTTGCTTGCCATTTATTGTAATCGCAAAAGAAAACGAAGCAGAAAGGGTGTAGCCTTGTTTATGTAATGAGAAAAATGATTCAAGTGAGAGATAATTAAAGGTAAGACAAATGGTTTGATCAATATGATTTAAGTCAGAAATCTCACAAAATTCAAATGATGTTCAGTAAAAAAACAAAACAGCATTGCAATCATTTTTGCTCGTGTTAATAAAACATCATTGAATAAAGTCGTGGATGGAGATTCCACAAGTCTGAGTGCACAGCCAAATGGACTTTGAAGAGGAAAGGGTTTAAATCATGGGTAGAATTAATAATTGATCGGTTTCATTTTCAAGAATCATTTTTAGAAAGTTCTTGAAATCTTAACCAAGAAGCTCGACGAACAGCATCTTTATAAGATTCACCCACTCCAGTCGTAGTTGATTTCATACCCAGTCCGACTCCAGTAGATCGTCTCTCGACTTCAATTATTGATGCAGTTCCTTGTTTAGCTTTACCTAGACCTTGACCTTCACTCCAACCCATTGCTTTCAACATCTTACTACCAATTCCGCTAACACCAGCAGAACTAGCAGAACTAGCTGAACTCCTGGGTTCAGTAAATAGTGTATTTATATTCGTTGTACTTAAGTCAGCATCAGGTACTTCAGGTTGGCCGTATTTCAGTCTTCGTTCTCTGGCACGATCTCGATAGCTAGACTAGATATTTGAGAATGTAAAATAATAGAGAAAATAGTAAATCGAGACTTGATGAAAATCGTAGAAAAGTACGTACATCTCCAAAAGAAGTTCCTGCTTCTATACTTTCAGCAAATTTGGTTTCTCCAAGCTTTATCAGATTGTTCTGTAATACGAAAGATAAATACAACACATCAAAATTTGAGCTAATGAAATGTTTAAAAGAAAAACGTTTTTCTACCTTGTGAAGATCGGATGCTTGTTGATGCTTTGTCAATTGTTCTTTACTATTAAACTGTCGTTTGCACAATAAACACAAAAGTCTTTCCCAATCAAGTAATTTTTGCTCTTGAGTTTGCAGAAATGCTAAAGCGTCTGGAAGGTTGGGTGAACGGGACAAAGAATCATCTGAGTCAGGTTTTTCAATTTTTTCCTCACTTTGTTCAGGAGAGTCCATAGTTGTTTCATATTCAAAGCGACGTTTTTTAGGTGCTTCATCAAGTGAAGTAACATATTCACTGTTTTTAGAGCTAAAATTTGAAGGTTGTGAATGAACTGATGATGACACTGGGGTTTCTGTTTCCTCAGGACTGAAAGCAGCTAATGGAGGTTGACTTAATAAACGTGAAGTTTCTTTCTTTTGATTAAGAGTTTTGGCCCATTTTTCCATATCTTTTGCAATTTTCTTGGCAATCTTGACTTTGTCATGTTTTTGCAACTTTTCGTCTTGTACTTCCTTTGGTTTATCCTGACATTCAGATGTTTTATCAACTAAATTTTTATCATTAGAATGTGATGTTGGACTGGAAGCCTGAGCAGATTTTGTAGAAGTTTTATTGTCTACTGGTAAATAAGTTGAATGCTTCCCATCCCAAAATAGGTACGATTGAGTTGTTGGATTGTAATAGTAATGAGAATTAGCATCATAGTAAAGCCCATTAGTTGAATCATAGTAGTAACCCGAACTTTCATCATATTGGTAAGTTGAGGTATCAGGTGTTGGATATTTCGGGTAAAGTACACCGTTAACTGAAACGGTTCCCAAACTAACAACATTACTATTTTCACTAGAGTCAACAGCTGAATGGGAATTGGCACCTATCACAGTAGGTCCAGCTGAGATTGTTGGATCACGAGATGTCGAATCTGTATTAGTCATGGTTGATTGATTTGATTGATCAGATTGATTTGTCCATTGGGCAGCAGCTAATGCAACACTGGCAACGTTTGAAACTCTCGGAGCAATACTTGATGAAACATTTCTCTTGGCGTAACACACTTTCAGCGGATAACCATCGACAACGAAACCTGGATTTGAAGAGCACAATAAAGTGAAAAGCTGAGAAGCTTCTAAAGTGGTATGTAATTCTACAAAACAAATGCAACGAGTAGAACCGTAGACAGGATCTCGGGGTATACGGATACTCTTAATAGGTAATGCCGTGACTTGTTCTAGAGCAGTCAGAATTTTCTCCTCGGTAATGTGTGGAGCGAGATCCCGCAAAATAAGACCTAATAATATAAAAGAAAGATGAAAAATAGCAAAAAAGGTTAGAAGTGCCAAGAAAAGGAATGAAAGAGAAGAAAAAAAATGATTAGTAATTTATCCGAAAAATTTGGACGGAATTTTGAATGAAATACTTACAATTAGTTGGATTGATACTTATCTCGTCCCCTACTTCGATTGCCGCGGCAGACTCCTCCCGAGGAGTTCCACACTTAAAGCATTGTTCTCTTCTCTTAAAATTATTTACACCACACTTTACAAGATAAAATGAAGGGATTTAAAAATGAGCACAGATCATGACCACACATGAGACGATATATATATATAATTAAGAAATTCAAGGCATTTTAAGGTTCACCTTATAACAACTCCAGTCCCATTTCTGGATAGCATTCCTGTCAGATCCATAGCCATCTTTGGCATTATTGTGATGTGAAAGGCTATTGTCTTCATCGGTGTTATTAAAGCCCTTTGGAATCCAATCCAAGTGAGGAGAATGTAAAAATAAGGAAAGATAGGAGGGGAAGAAAGAGAAAGATATTTCACAAAGATATGAGTAGATGTAATCCAAATAAGTTGTTGATAAGATCTTTAAAACTTGTCCATTGATGTAACTTCGCAATACGCTGGCAAATCCAGTCTATTTTGTTTCTTACGTGATTTCTCCTATATCGACTGCTTGATCCTTTTTCTCTTTCTCTGTACCTATTTCGATTGAAATCTCTGTCATCATGACTTCTATCCCTTTCTCTATCACGATCCCTTTCTCTATCTCGATCTCTTTCTCGTTCCCGTGGACGATCGTAGTCCCTTTCACGTTCTCGTGAGGAGTCTCGATCACGATGTCGTTCTCTTTCACGATAATCACGATCACCACGATCCCTGTCGCGATCCCATTCTCTGTCCCACTCTCTGTCCCATTCACGATCACGTTCACGGGGCATACCTAGGGCAACTCGATCTTTGCGATCATCTCTGTCCTTTTCACGTGATTTGAATCTAAAATTCTAGAGAAGAGAAATGAAAATAAAAAACCATTGAAAAATAAAAATATAGGAAAAAAAGAAATGTTGGCAAAAGTAAAGTAATAGAGTTAAAGAAGATTGAACATGAATCAATTGTAACAATGTTGAGTTGAAATAGGAATGAAACAATAAAATCTTAATCTGAATCACATACCATGTTAGATATAAATGCCAATTAAATATACAGCAAACAATCAGATAGAGTAATTTAATTTATTATCACAAAAATCAATTAATACAAAAATAAAATTGTCCAGCTAAAAGATGTTGACAGTAAAAGATCTGAAACATCGATTCCTAAACAGATACAAGTACTACTCTTTGTAAATAAATTGTAAATGTTAGCTTTATTGTATTAAATCAGCAACAATTGATTCTAAAAGCTGAATAAAGTTTTTGAATTGTAACTTCTTTCGCAGTAAAGTCTTTTACAATATAAAGTCAATTCTTAACTAATTAAATATTTGGACAATTAAAACGATATCGCATTAAATTTCACATCTACTTTTCTATGCTGCCATCTTTCTTTACAAAAGCTCATTTTAAAAAGTTGCGCGAGTCGGTTTGAAATGCCGGATTTAATGAAAAACACATTGTTTTGAAAGCTTAATTGATAATCTATTTTTATTAATTAATTTGATCTCATTTCTTATTGATTCAACCTAATATTTTTCTTTTAAAACTCTATTGATTCCGATACTCAATTTATAATGACATTGTCAGGGGTAAGTTCCATTTAAATTAATTCCTTTGTACCATTGTATTGAGACTTGTTCAAAAACTTGAATGATTATTCATATGTTTACTATTTAACTTTATGTCACAGATAACTCGACAAGCTAGTGAGATGAAGGATCTCACCAAAGTCGATCGTATTGGGGCTCATTCTCATATCAGAGGTCTTGGCTTGGATGAATTTCTGCAACCTAAAAAGGTAAGGTATCGTGACCATACATTTTGCGCCTTTTTATCAATTGAGGCATACTATTGTTAATAGGCTTATCCTCTTCTTCTTACCTTGGTATTTCTTATTTCAATCATTATTTATTGTTTGATATTACAGATTTCTGAAGGAATGGTTGGGCAAATGAATGCACGTAGAGCTGCTGGATTGATTATGCAAATGATTAAGGAAAGTAAAATCTACGGGCGAGCAGTTCTCATAGCTGGTGAACCGGGTACTGGAAAAACTGCTATTGCAACAGCATTATTCAAATCCCTCGGAAGACGTACTCCTTTCACAATTATATCAGGATCTGAGATTTTCAGCTTGGAAATAAGTAAATCTGAGGCTTTGATGCAGGCTTTCAGAAAGTCGATTGCTGTTAAAATTAAAGAAGAAACTGAAATTATCGAAGGGGAAGTTGTTGAGATAACAATTGATAGACCAGCCAATGGTACCGGCAATAAAACCGGTAAACTAACTATGAAAACAACTGATATGGAAACTATCTATGATCTTGGTCAAAAAATGATTGACAGTTTAACAAAAGAAAAAATTGGAGCTGGAGATGTGATAATAATTGATAAATCTTCTGGAAAAATAACAAAAATTGGAAGAAGTTTTACCCGTGCTCGTGATTATGATGCTATGGGCCCTCAAACTAAATTTGTTCAATGTCCAAGTGGTGAATTACAAAAACGGAAAGAGGTGACTCACACAGTTTCTTTGCATGAGATAGATGTTATCAATAGTCGGACTCAAGGATTTTTAGCCTTATTCTCTGGTGACACTGGTGAGATCAAAGCAGAAGTTCGTCAGCAAATAAATGAAAAAGTCAGTGAATGGAGAGAAGAAGGAAAAGCCGAAATTGTTCCAGGAGTTCTTTTTATTGATGAGGTTCATATGCTGGACATTGAATGCTTCTCATTTTTAAATCGAGCTCTCGAATCACCGCTAGCTCCTATCCTTATTGTTGCCAGTAATAGAGGAATCACTAAAATCAGAGGTACCAACTATGAGTCTCCACATGGTATGCCACTAGATTTGTTAGATAGAATGATCATTATTTCAACTGTTCCATACACCGAAGACGAAATTTCCTACATTCTCAAGATCCGATGCGAAGAAGAAGACGTTAAATTTACCGAAGAAGCTTTCATTTTACTGGCTCGAGTAGCTGCAGAAAAAAGTCTTCGATATGCCATGCAATTGATTACTACAGCCAATGTTGTTCATTTGAAAAGAAAATCGAAAGAAGAAGCCATTGATGTTGGAGTGATTAAAAGAGTTTACTCTCTGTTTCTTGATGTGCACAGATCAAGTCAACACCTGGAAGAGTATCAGGCACAATATCTTTTCCACCAAACAGTCAACAATGACGTTGAAATGAAATCTTGAATTACTGATAAGCAATTCAAATCCTGACATTGTACTTTTTTAACTTTTCTGTTCCAGAATCATCTGTCTTTGATTAAATATGTCACTCTCGTTCAAGTTAAATTTATAATTTATTTGCTTAATAAAAAGTTTCACAATTCGCTACAAAATTGTTCCTAAATTTACAATACTCTTCAACACTTTCATTTGAATTTATCAATAAATAGACACGTTAAGCTTTTGTCAAAAAGCTGTCATCGAAAACATTCACATAACCATCGCAAATCAGTAGTTGTCATGCTTGATCATTTGATTATGATCAAGCTTTACATATTCTGTACCACTTTTATCGCTTTATTAGTCTACTTACATGAATATTGAAAAAGGATCAATTAAAAAGGTATTAAAATTAGTATATTTCAACAAGTCTTTTTACTCAAGTTATCAATGTATCCGGCTTTAGTGGCATCTTCCGTGTTTACTTCATAATCACCGCGGTTATCAATAACTCTATTAAAAACTTTACGAACAATTGATTCTGTTTCTGAATCGGGCGACATAAGTGATTGAAACAATTCCTTTGCCATATCTACAATCTCATCATCCAATGTTCCAGTTCCTGTCATATAATCCCAAAGTATTTCGAAGTAAAGTCTAAATCCACAAAAAGACGGATAACCATCCGCTAAATCTTCCTTGCATTTTTTAATGATTGCAGCTTCAGCAATAGCATTCACATCATCCCAAGGTACACCACATTGCGATAAATCTTCATTAACATCTTGAATCAATAAACTCGAGCAAAAAGTGCTATAATAACTGATCGAAATTGCCAAAACAATATTGAACGAAGATAAATTCATCACGTAAAATAAAAAAATATCGACTCAAAAGGTACACTTTTACAGAGGTAACACGGTGAGGATAGAGTGGTGAACTTATGTCTATGTAAGGCTTTTGTTAATAAAGTCAGGCTTAAATAATGATAATCATTAATTAACATCCATCAAAACTTGTAATTATCTAACTATGCGGGTTAAGCTTTCCATGATGCTTTTGGAAGAGTCAAAGATCCTGAAATTTTTGTTAAAACATTAGGCACTAACTATTCAATCAAAAAATAATTAGCTTATTAACTTGAATTTCAATTTTCTACCATTTAAATGAATAAACTAATTTTTGGTGAATCAACCTGCTTTTATTGATTGTAACAGGCAAGAAAAAAACAAAATGATATAAGCAAATTACAACTAATGAAATTATGAGTGGGTAAGATCTTACTTTACAATGCATCAGAATTTAATTTTCAGTGATTTAATCTTTTGTTGTGAATTGAATAAACTTTAAAATAATAGTTTGTTGATTTTTCTTCCTATAAATTAACATGAAGGATGGCGAAAATTATTGAGGTAAAGCGGGATTAATAATAAAGCTTGACTTGATAATTTTGATAATACACAAGCAATAACATCTTTGGTCACATTTTGAATGATATAATTAAAATGACATTTTTATTTTAGATTAAATTTTATAGTGATTCGGGATTGCGTATTTCGTTCGCTCTTTTCTCTCTTTCAATCTTGGTCTCCAAAATATATAAATCATTAATTCTATCAGCCAAACAACCAAGCAATCAATAAATCTTGATTCGCAATTCGTCAGTGTAAATTTGAAATAGATTTAACGGGTGAAAACAAAATTAGATGGCACAATTTGAGTTCGATTGCTTTTGTTGAATGATTCAGCTCGATGTCATAAATGAATATTGGTGAAAGCATTAGGAGAGAAAATGGGACCAATTTAAGATTTGGTATTCAACATGGGTTATTAAAATTATCAATTTAGCTGAATAATCTGTTCTGCGTCGATTGGGTCACAATTATCTTTTCCATCCTGTACCGCATAAGATTCATAAATATGACCAATATTTTCAACAGTTTTGATATTCCAGTATTTGAGAAGGGAAAGTATAATACTTATAATGAAATCACCTCATTATAAACAGGATAAAATTGAAGAAAAGATCTGTTTGGTAAAATAAAAAGACCGTGATCATCGGCTGGATGAAAGCTCATCAACGGGTTTAGATAATTTGTTTATATTGAACTGATCGTAGATTACATGGTTATGAGTTGATTTTTTCTTCTCTAAGTCGATAAAATAGGATATAGGCATTATCAGTGGTTACTTCTTCTGGATGCATGTCTCTAACTCGAGAATCATCGAAACAACGCCAACCTGTATTCAAATAAAATTAAACAAGATTTTATTAGTCATTACAAAAGTTTCAACTTAATAAATCCGATTCTTACCGTATTCACGATTCTTAAAGCGTGTCCTTGCGTAGGCTGTATAATGTCCACCAAACATTCCTCCGTGATGATTAATTACAGCATACAAGTCATAGATGGGTTTTTGTTGAGAGACCTGCGGTGAATTTGGGCAACAGTACTCTGTCATGTCTAAGTTTTCTAAAGGAAATCTTATAAATTTAGAAATCTTCTCTTTATAGTATAAATTCTTAAACATGAACCGTTTTAATTGGATAATTAAGATAGGTGGTAATCGCCATAGACAAAGTTGTTTTGTAGCTTCACGAAGTGCTTTGCATGACGGACAGTACCAAGCTTCATCTGCTGATAAAATTTCTGGTTCGATGAATGCACTTAAACAATCTTGTAAAGTATGTTCATAACATTCAGACGCGATTCGTTGAGCTTCTAAAATATCATAATTGTGGTCTAAATCTTTAGTTTCAACAATGAAGGAGCCGTTTTTATGTTCTAATGGCCGCCATTCCATGGAAAGAAAATATTTACCACTAAGGTCTTTCATAATCGACTCTTCATTTTCGTCATCAGGCTCCTGAATAAGTGTTTCATCGGATATTCTGGTGAAACAACGACTATTATGATAGCGTAAAAGGAATTTAGGTCTAGTTTGAGTAACTGTTGGACTTGAGGTTGTCGATGTGGTTGTTGATGATGAGGTTAATGTTGGTGCGGTAAAGGAAGGGGGAATGGAGTTGCTACAAGAAGTAGAAGATGATGAACAAGAATTTTCAGAAGTATCACTGTAAACTCCACTATCACTATCCTTTGTTTCTGGGCAATCATCTATTGAGTCACTTCGAGAGGTTGGACAGCAAATATCAACGGAGAATCGTGAATATTCAGCAACCATTTGTTGCAAGTTTTTAAAGGTAAATTGAGACTGAGGAATGGAGATGATGAAGGGGCAGCCAATAAGCTCAGGTCGGGAGAAACAAACTTCTTTATGTTTAGTCCAATCATTTTTTTGGCATTCTCTGTTTGAATTAAAGATTAATCAGTGAAGAAAAGATAAAATTAGCATGAGAAGAATATCGTAGAATTAGAATGTATAGAAACTTACTGATCACAATAATAGGCTTGGTAACATTTGGTACAACGCTTTAGTTCTTTTTCAGTTAATGCATTGTTGCAACCAGAGCACCACAATGGTAAATCATTGGAATTAGCAAGTAGCTAAATAGGAATAGAAAATATTTATAGTTGAAAGTTGAACCGAAAATTCAAACTTGCGTTGTTTAAAGTTTGATCATTACTAACCTGTTGAACGGCAAACTCATAAACATCTTCACCTAAATCTTGAGAGTTCAGAGTCTCAAAGCTAAAAAACGAGAAATTAAAGATTAGCATAAGGGTTGATTTACAATGAATAATACTTACATTAGTAACATCTCATTGTGGCTAATCGTTGGTATAGCTTCATCAGGTTTAAAAATATTTAATATGCTTCCATTACAGGTTAAAAGTGCTCTAAGATTAGAAGGTAAAACTGAAGTGCGTGTTGATATTGATTGAAGTAAACATCGCATTTCTGAATCTTGAGGTAATTTAACTAAATAACGTATAGGCTTCTTGGATGTGTCACGGGAGAAGAAAAACACATTGTAAATGAGTTGATTTTTTGGCATAGGTAAGGGTAAAATTACGAAAGGATCAAAAGTAATGGAGACGTTGGCACGAACAGGACAGATAACTTTTGATCTTAACTGACCATGGAAAAGATCAATAATCACAGAATCATTTCTCATTCTATATTTATACCAGGCTTCATCAGCTATTTCAGCATCAGGTCTAGGTTTTTCTTCATCATCAGTACCATTCATATCAACATTAGCTTTATGTCGAACTCTATTGATATCTTCATGTAGGGCATCTAACAAAAATGACATGTACTCTTGAGCATCATGCTGAGCAAACCCTGAAAATTGAGAGAGTTTATCACTAAGCAATGACTTCAATTTTGAAGGTGAATAAGACGGATGAGCCCCAGACCAGAGATGTTTCATAAGAACAGCAAATGAAACAGCAAGTTGACCACCTGTTCCAAAAACATTTTTCTCATTCAGATCTTCTTTAAAATGGTTTTCCATGAAATAGTCTCTTAGCTCTTGAGTGTTGGAGAGACATTGTAGCACAGCATTCATGAAGCATGTATTTCCTAGATTATCAAGTCCAGTATAGCCAACTTCAGAGCTAGAAAAGCTACTCAAAGAGAGCTTAGAAGTATAGCTTCTCATCTCTTCCGGTGGTGGGAGTGGAATTGAAGCTCCATAGATATCTCCGCCACTAGATAAAAATAAAAACGAATGATTAGAAATGAAGATATAAATTAGAAAATCTATACAAGTTGATTATTACTAGAGATTCAAAATTAAAGAAAAGCAAAGAGTACAAAAATTAGCATGAATAAGCAAATTATTAAAAAGTAGAATAGAAACTGAGATTTCTATGGCTAGAAATCATTTATTATAGATTGGATTAACATGTGAATGAAAATACTTACAGATTATTATATAAATTTTCATTGGGTACTTCAATATCAACATCATCTTCCATGGGAGCAGCAGGTATCCAAACATTACGTTTACTCGGTACTTTTCGTAGATCAATTTCTTGAAGAGTATCTTTTAAAACTTTGGGTTTAGCTTCTTCAATTGTATCCCATTTAAGAGGTTTCTTCTTTTTCAATTTAACTTCAAGTTTAAAAGCAGTTTTATTATAACTACATTGTTCCGGTACAATCTCTTTTTTCAAATTAATAGTCCAACTGAATTCAGTATCATGGGGAAAATCTCCAAATTCAGGAGCAATCAAACGTGGATTACTATGGAAAGACATGAGTAAATATGAAAAATATCAAAGAGTACAAAATAGCTTAAGGAATTTGGCTTGGATAATTACCTTGTTTGAAAAACAATATTGACCGTTGATTCGCCAAAAGTCACCTTGTAAGAACCATCTTTAATATCTTTTATGTAAACTATCAAAGTAATGCTATGCTCATCCTGTAATTTAAATGGTATTCAGAATCAAAAAATGATAAGACAAAAAAGAAAAATGAGCGATTCATTTAAAATTGAGAAACAAATGAAGCAAGTTAAATTCAGTAAATTATTGTCATAATTTCAATATTTTTTCAGGGGAGATAACAAAGAGTCAGCTAGAATACTAAATGATTGGTTAAAATGAAAAAAACGTAATTGAAAAACAATATAAGGTAGAAACATATTAGCCGGAAATATTTTGAAAAGGGACAGCTTAAAATTGAAAGGTTTCAACGAGTTTAGACATTTTTTTCGCGAACGAGAAGATCAAGGACATAGAGATGATAGGAACCAACTATTAAAGGTCATTAAGTAAAAATTAAATATCATACCCTTTCATAGCTTTCATATCTTAATTTATCGGTTTCCAATTGGTGAGGCATTGAAATATTTTCACTCTGTTATTGATGCGTTGAAAATGAAGAGAAATGGGACAAATCCAATGTAATGGTAATTGAAATAGATAGTCAGAGAAATCAATCACAATGATGAAAACAGCGAGTTAATTAAATTCTTAAATGACACATTTTAGAGAATTACAATCATTAAAGTCAAATCCCAACAATCGAATGCGGAAAAATGAGGTAAAATTAATAAAATTAAAAATTGAGAAACAAAACTGCATTAGACTGAAATATTGGATCCATAAAAATGATAAAATCCAATCTTTATGCCAAGGATCAGATACTAAACACAGTTATATCGATGGATCGAGATGCAAATTTTATTATAATTTATGAAAACTTATTTGTTATCATCGCTGGAAAATAAATCTTATGAATCAATGTAAATAGAAAATATTTTAATCTTATTAATCAACGTCTATCAACAAATGTTTATTGTTAAAAAGATTTTACTATGTACTCACAATCCCAATTGTGAATGAAACACTTTCTCTGGAGTTTATATTCTATCTTATGATTCGCCTGACAGTTTTTTACGTGTTTATTAATTGTGATAAATTTTATTTCACTCCTTCTTGAGATTTGCTAAACAAAGATCCTTCTCTGTACAAAGAGGATAAATATAACACGATAGCTATTTCAATTTTTCTTGATAAGCTTGATCATCTGTCATTTGGCCTTTAGCTGGACTAACTTGTGAAGTCATTGGAGTATTAAATGGACCTGGTGATGACACTGATGGTATAGAACCCGACCCTCACCTTGATTGAATCATACCAACTCACATTGGCGCAGACTTTAACCGTAGGCATATGAAACATTTATACTAAATGTTTGAGAAATGATATTTAAATTGGGGACCGACTTATTTCCACCACCTTATTCACCACTTTTTCAATCACTTTTTTCCAACGTATTGACCATCATTCAAATCTAACACGTCCACTATTCATCACCTTCATATCTATCATACCTGAAAAGTGGTCAACAATTTGGTAAATTTGGATGATGGAAAATCTAATGAAAATTGCTTGAAAATGTGGTGGGAAAAGCCGGTCCCATTGAATTGACGTTTCATTCATTTGAGGTACTGTTTCTTCAAAATGAAAGTGAAACTAAAATAAAGTAAAAAGAATAGGTTAGGAGGATGATTTAATAAGTGAAAATAAATCACAACCAAAAAATCGCATTTCATGGCATAACTTTTGATATCTTTTGATTTCACTAACCGAAGAGCAATATGAACTGATCTTATTTGATCCCACCTTACAAAGACAAAGTGTTAGTAAAAAAGAAACATCACGGCCTTTCCGTTGTGCAGAGCTTTCTCGAAGACGATAACTTCACAATGTATCTCAAGAAATCATGGAAAGTTTTTAATCGATACATGTTTTGCTTCGATACTTGAGGCGATAATCTAAAATTTTCTCTTTTCTACCTTATCACCATCTAAAATCTTCCTTTTCACAGCATTTTACGTTAAATGACTAATTGATTTCAATCAAAATAACATATCAAAATGCTTTCATGAATCATAATTTTTATTTTATTAATACAATCTTTATACCAAATCATTTGATTCAAATGCATCAAAACATATATGTATCTCAATCTACTGCTGACATCTATGGGAACTACAGGGAAAAACAATTTTAAATGAAAGATTGAATCTTTTACTATTTTGAATACAAACACTAGACTCAAGGAAAACTGTAGTTTTAAGCATTTTATTATAAAATGTTGATCAACGAAATTCCCGATGATTGTTTGCTCGCCATTTTTGATTATATGAACAACATGTGGGATTTAATAAACTGCTATAAGGGTAAGTACCAATCGTGCTTCTTGTGTCATAAATTTCATATATTTCCCTAGTAAGAAGTTTTATGTCAGACTAAATCGAAAATAATCCATTTTGAGTTTACCAGGAGCAGATTTAACTGTATCATAGTTGGTTTGCTTGAAATCATTAAAAGTTGTTTCAATTGTAAAGTGCAGTTCAATCTAATTCAATGTCTTCTTTCTAAAATTAAGATACATTTTCAATTTAACGAGAGTCAATTTTTCGTGACAGACACCCATTCAGTGATGGTTGCAATTTTTTGGGCAAACCTAATCGACGATTTGCTGAATTGACCAGATATATTTTCGCATGAGTCAACAAGCTTCGAACGTTGAGGTAGCAAAATAATAACTTACAATTTTGTTTTTATAAAAGTTTCATCATGTGATTATTGCCTGACTAAACCATCTGATTGATAGGGCGCAATATTTGAATATTTATACAGATGTTAAGTCTAGTGTTGTATTGTTCCGAACCGATAATAATATTGTTGTATTATTTTTGTCTCTGAAATTTTGGACAAATAGAAGTAACAAGAACAGTACATAATTTTTTTCAATTCTTAATTCATTCGTTTAAACATGAAATAAGTTTGGTTTTGAAAGTATTATTAGTTAATTTAGTAAAATTTGATTACAGTGTGCGTTAAATGGAGCTATTTAATTGCTAAACGGACTAAAAAAACTAAATATTTGATCGGTAAGATTCATGTTTCATCAATGTTTCATGCTCATTGTAATCCATTTCTTAATCACAGAAATTTATATTTTCAGATCAGTGTGGTTATTCATCTGATGCTGTTTCTTATGAAAACCAAGTTTTGATTGATTCAACCTGTCTGAATAAATTATTTACGAATTTAAAAGTAGGTTGATATAATTAATCCAATTTCTTTTTGCATCTTTAATTAAATATTTAATTTGCTTATTTATTTTATTAACTTAGATTGCTGAATTGTCTTCCAGATTACATTACAAAGCCGAAAGTGCTATTGAATTTGTTAAAAACCAAAAAAATCTGAAAGGATTAATCAATCCATTTGATGAACCAATAGTAAAATATTGTGATAAACTCGAAATGTTATCCGTCATATTTTTCAATCCAAACAATTTACGAAATAGTTCCAGCCTAAAGCAATTGGACATTTTGTATTATAGTCTAGAGGCTTTGGGAAGAGATGCTCATTATTTGCCAAACCTTGAAAGACTAAAGTTTCAAATTATTGGTAATTATGGAAATATTTTGGTCAGAAATGTTCATTTATGAAAATCTATCGTTCAGTTACAGAAAATCCCTACGATGGCCCAGTATTGGAAAAGCTTAAAATACTTGAATTGTCTTACGAATGCTGGGTTCGAAAAATTTTTTATGGTTTCCAGTTGATGGATTCATGTCCAAATTTACAAAGTGCACATATTTCTATGAATACTGATTCTTGGTTTATTGATGAAACATTGAAACACAAAAGTTTACAAGATTTAGTTATACAATTTGTAAGTATTGTTCATATTTGAAATGTAATTGCTTTTTGGAATATAGGAATTTCTTGAGAATAAAATCAACAAGGTTAGGTTAGGCCAACATGGAAAGGATCATCTGTTCAAAATTTTTCCATATAAACTAATTGATTTTATATTTACAGTATGGATACGATAATTATAGCTGGAATAAATATAAAAGATTGCTTATTAAATACCCGAATCTCAAACATCTTTCGTTGAGATTTGGGAATATTCAAGATGAACATATCGAGCAATTGGTTCACATTTTACCCAATTTAGTGCTATTGAATGTTAGTGGGTGTAACAGAGTTACTCAAGAAGCGGCTGATTATGTTAAAGATTATTGTAAAAGATATGGACGATCAATCAAATTTTACTTCAATGGAAATTGTAATGAAATCGAATCAGATTGGCCTCAATTATCCACTAAACACGAAAAAATTAGTCGAGGCTTTGATTTCATGAAACATTGCTTTCGCAAAGACTTTACCTACCTCTCACATTTTTTGATTCCAATTAATTATTGAAAAGTACTTATTGAATATTATCTATTGTCTAACCTAAAGAAATGTCTTTGGGGTCAAAGGGTTAGAACTTTAGATCCGTAGATAACTTTCATCGAGGTTTCAAAAATAATGATGATAGGTAAAAGATAAATGATTGTAGCTATTGCTAAATGAAATAAACATTTATTCAATTGCTTTGGAGATAGATTGGTCTGAAAAAATTGGCAGAATTTGTTTGATTAAAAATATTTATGGTTCAAGATATTGCAATAAAATTTTGAAGTGAAAAATGATTAGACTAAAAATTGAATAAAGGCACCAATTTTCAGTGCAATAGTAATCAGGGTTAAGTTAACAAAATCGGCAATTTTTTCATTGTCATCCTTTAACAATAAATCAAAGTATCAATAGAACTTCATTCACTTCATCACAGTTGAATCAAGTTTTAAATCAGATCATAACAAACTCATCTGCATCAAATTCAGAAGTGATCTCTCCAAGAGCATCAATATAACGATGCTTAACACGAATGGTTTGCTCCATTGAACAATCAAAGTCATAACGATGAGCAGATGCTGAACCTTCAGACACAACAAACATGGGATAATCAGTGTGTTTTGGAACTATCACTTCTCCGATTGTGTCTGCTAATTCATTATATTCTTGACGAGTTGGACAATAAAAACCAATGGCACAACTTGGATCCATCCGATAAATTGATAATTTACGAGGAAAGTCACAGTGATATGAATCCAGGGGGAAATCAGTTGTGTTATAATCAAATATAAATTACTTTTTCATCAAACTCTAAATATTTTATATGTTAGACTACCTAAGACGCTTTATTACGAGAGTTTAGCCATCTTTTGCCCAGTTTTTGCTCTTTTTTGTCTTTTATCCCGGACCCATTTGTGTAGTATTTAATGGACCTGGTGATGACACTGATGGTATAGAACCCGAGCCTCACCTTGATTGCGTCATACCAACTGACATTGATGCAGACATTAACTGCAGGCATATGAAACATTATACTGAATGTTTGATCAGAGAATAAATTATGTTTGAATTGGGGACCGACTTATTTCCACCACCTTATCCACCACTTTTTCAATCACTTTTTTCCTACGTATTGGCCATCATTCAAATCTAAAACGTCCACTATTCATCACCATCATATCTATCATATCTGAAAAGTGGTGAACAATTTGGTGGATTTGATGGAAAATCCTATGAAAAAATTGATTGAAAATGTGGTGGAAAATGTGCTCTAAAAGTGGTGGATGCGGTGGAAAAAGCCGGTCCCATTGACTTGACATTTCATTCATTTGAGGTACTGTTTCTGTAAAATGAAAGCGAAACTAAAATAAAGTAAAACGAATAGGTTAGGAGGATGATTTAATAAGTGAAAATAAATCAAAACCAAAAAATCGCATTTCATAGCATAATTTTTGATATCTTTTGATTTCACTATACGAAGAGCAATATTCACTGATCTTATTTGATCCCCATACAGTAAAAAGGAAAAATCACGGCCTTTCCGTTGTGCAGAGCTTTCTCGAAGACGATAACTTTACAATGTATCTCAAGAAATCATGGAAAGTTTTTAATCGATACATGTTTTGCTTCGATACTTGAGACGATAATCTAAAATTTTCTCTTTTCTACCTTATCACCATCTAAAATCTTCCTTTTCACAACATTTAACGTTAATTGACTCATTGATTTCAATCAAAATAACATATCAAAATGCTTTCATGAATCATAATTTTTATTTTATTAATACGATCTTTATACCAAATCATTTGATTCAAATGCATCAAAACATATCGATCAGATCGATTCTGTTGAAAATCGATAAATCAGCTTGAAAGCTTTGTTGTTTACCTCATGCACATTTTTAACCATTACATTGTAAGTTAGTAAAATGGCTGGAAGAAAAGCAATCAAAAAGTGTTATTATGAAATTCTTGGTATTGAACAAAATGCCAGTGATGAAGTTATTCGAAAGAATTATAAATTACTGGCTCTTAAATATCATCCTGATAAAAATATGGACAATCTGGCCGAAGCAACTGAGATGTTCCGTTCAGTCCAGGAAGCTTATGAAGTGTTAACCAATCCTCAAGAAAGAGCCTGGTATGATAAACATCGATCTGCCATTTTAGCTGGACTAGATAAAGATTCAATAGCTGATTCATGTTTCGACATCTTTCCATATTTCACATCTTCATGTTATTCTGGTTATGATGATTCCGAAGAAGGTTTTTATACCGTTTACCGGCACGTTTTCGATGAGATTATCAAAGAAGATACACCTTATTATGAAGACGACTTTGTTAAACCGATGTCTTTTGGCTACTCAACCACTCCATATCAAGATGTCCACCAATTTTATAGTTTTTGGGATAGTTATTCAACACCTAAAACATTCGCTTTCCTCGATTTATATAAGACAATGGAGGCACCGAACCGACGAATTGTTCGACTCATGGAAAAGGAAAATAAAAAGATTCGAGATGCGGCTAAAAAGAAAAGAAATGAGGAAATTCGGGTAACTACTACCATCTTCTTCTCTCTCACAATATTCCTTACTATTCAATTCTCTATCTCTGTTTCTTATGTTATTTTTCTCTCAAAAATCTCATTTTCAGGAGTTGGTTGCATTTGTCAAAAGAAGGGATAAACGAGTTGAAGCTCACAAGAAATTAGTTGAAGTAAAATTAGAAGAGAAAAGGAAAAAATCAGCTGAACATAGAAAAAAACAATTGGCGGAAAGAAGAAAAGAAGCTGAGAGTTACGAAGAATCAAATCTTTTTTCTGTTGGTGATCTAGAGGAAGAATTGAAAAATATCGAAGAAAATTTTGCTGAATATGATGACGTGAAGAAAAAGAAAAAGAAAAATAAAGGTAAAACGAAAGACCAAGTTTTAACTGGCGGAAAGAAAACTGTCCAAGACGAACAAGATATTGATGGCCAGACCACAAATAATGACCCAGTAAATTGTGATCAAGATGATAGTGCGAATAAGGAAGATTCGGAGACTGAATCCTTCGAGAATTGTGATCTATATTGTATGGCGTGTGAAAAATTATTTAAATCAGTCAAGTCTTTTGAAAATCACGAAAACTCTAAAAAACATAAGGTTAATGTAGCCGCTCTCAAAGTTTTATTAGAACAAGAAGACCAATCACTAGAAAATAACAGTGAACTGGAAGATAACGAGGATGGTGTGAGTTGATAACAGTTCGACTTGATTAGTAAAATAAATTGACCAAATAACAATGTGGATAAACAAAATTGAAAGGATGACGAGATGTATCAGAAATAATTTTAATGTAAGGAAAATAAGGATAATGACGCAAAGTACAAAAAAGATGGTGGTTTTCAAATACAAGATACAATATATGAGAGGTTGAATTTATAATAAATGTAGGCAAGAATATTAAATTTTAAATAAATGAAATAAATGGAAAAAATGGGATTAGTTTAAAAGTTTTTGGAGATATTGTACATGAGTTGACAATAATCACAGATAATCGCAATGTCACCATTGAATATTCCGTAAGATGCACTTGTTCTGGGACATCGCATTGCGTGTTTATTCTCAAATAGCTTGATTCCTTCTTTCAACACTGATATATCCAAGGCAGTTGACGGCATAGGATAATATTTAAGGCAAACTGTGCAGACTAAAGTCTTAAATTTAATTATTAAAGCATAATGGTGGCAAGCGGGACACATCATATCATGAAGGTTCGGGGTGTTGATAAGTTGACCAATGAGAAGCTCTGTTTTTACCATCCAATGGTTAGTAGGATAATCATCCCCTGCCTCTAAATCATGCATAGTTTCATTTTGGAAATATTGACTTTCTCTGTCTCTTCGATCTATTTCACTGAGCTCAAGAAATTGATCCCAAGTCAAAGAATCGTCATAAATATACCAGGGGACTGGCTTGCTTGGTTCCACTTTCAAATCCCAAGATGAATTTACACAATCATCCCAATCCCATTTGGGAAGTTTGGCTTCTTCATCATCAGGAAATTCACTTAAACTGATACCGCGAAATCGAGCAACGATTTCATCTCTACGATTCCGTGTTGAATTTGTATTGGTTCCTTCACGATGTTTACGGTTTTTCCACTCTTTCATGCGACCGGGTGTGGATGAAGTTGGAATAGAAGGTGAAGATAAGTTAGATGCTGATGAATTGAACGGTGAGTTAAATGATGAACTAAATGATGAGCAAGACGCTGTACTAGAGGCTGAAGTGAAGGGTGAACTGAATCCTGATGCAATTCCTGAAGAGCCAAAAGATGACATTTCCTCATCATTGCGCTGGTTGAAGTTTGCTGTTATGAAAAGATAAAAAAAGAAAATAAATAATTAAAATTCATTATCTATTCATGTTATCAATAAATGTTGATTGATAACCGAGTAAATATTCAATAATCTTACCAAATGTACCAAATGAGTGCTGCATCTCCATGATAATAATTTAGAAATAATTTAGAAATAATTTACTGTTTACTCGTTTAAGGAATCTACGAAAATATAAAAAAGGATAAAATCTAGTTGTAAAATAGAATCACGGAAACTAAAGGACTCGTCTTATCCATGCGTCCTAGGACCTAGGCCGTAGGCAAATATAAGTTGAAATTCCAGTCTTGAGCCTAAGACTTGAGCCTTAAAATGTTATCAGCTGACCGTTTTCAAGTGACATCTATAATGTAGATTCTACATCTAACAGCATTGAACTATTCGACTCATATCTAATTGCTGGACAATATTCAGTGAATATCGAACAAGTGACAAGGCAACAATCAGAAACTTGGTCCTTTTGAAACACTAAAGCTATTATAAACTTGCACTTTTCCTTCGTGAAAATATTTGCACTAAATATGACAATATTTGACACAAGTAAAAAATCGGTGTTTACTGACCAAAATTCTGACAGATTATTGACGGACAGGCCAAACTGTAAATAACAGATTGACAAATATTGAATTCAATATAAATGCAGTTTAGTCTCATTAAGTTGGTTATTTGCTGTCAGAGAGTCAATTCAAGATGATGAAGAAGATGATGAAGAAGAAAAATAAAACTCAGAATAAAAACCCTTCGGATAGTTTATTAGCTATGACTATTCATTGCTAATAAACATTTGATAACGGGTTCTGAGTTTAACAAACTACTCGACTGACGGATTAGATAACCACTTTTTGGTAAAAAGGTGGTCACTGCTAACTGACCCATGACGCAATCTTTTGATATTATAAATATTATAATATTTTGTAAATTTTAAATGCCGCGCCAAAGCTAACTACATGTCAGTGGCAGCAAAATCTAAGCCAATAAGGAGCTTAGGCTAGGCAACAAACTTCTGTGTAAACACTCTTAAAATTTCATTTAATCAACTTTGTTTTGACGTATGTCATGGTGTTTGAATTTGAATTTAAGTTACCTGTATAGTTGAAAGCTGAATCAACCTCTAGTTCTTAATTTATTTTAAAACTCTGATTATTCCTGACCTATTGACGTTACTATTGATTTGTGCTTTCATCTATGCTTTTGTTGAAATAGTGTACAGATTAATTTAAATTACAAGATGGCGGCGGAAGATTGGAAAACACCAACTTTCCGATCACGAATTCGAATGAGTTTAGAAGAACAAATTGGTCCTGCTCATGGTAAAAGCGTTACAGAGTTGGAGAATAGCATCTTTGGTACCTCAAAGAGTCGAGAAGAATACATCGAAAACGCTCTCAGAGTTATCCGGTGAGTTGATTATGTGTTAATTGAACCCTGATTGTTAGTTTTTTGGGTAATTGGGTCGATTCTTGAATTCTAACAATTTATTTTATATATTACACTTTAGTGCTCTTAAAGAAAAAAATAAAAAGGCACTTGGACAACCCCAGATTGTGCAAGCTAATATGATTCCTTCGGATATGAATCCAAATGTTCCTAAGGCAGCAACAGATCCCATGAGTGCGTTGCAAAATCTTGCTACCTTGCAAACTCTTGATAATCAAACTACTATGAATAAACCAATACCAGTGTCTAATGCTATGCAGGATCCAAATATGATGGGGATCACAGTAACGTCAACTAATATCAATGTCCCCATTTCAGGAGGACATGGAGGCCAACCAGTAAATCAAATACAAATGACAACGCAACCAATGCAACAAATGCAACAGATACAAATGCAGCAAATAAATAATAACCATGGTATTCAGATACAAGCTATGGGTCCTGGTCAAGTACCGCCTCCGCAAATGGCACAAATCTCAAACGTAGGTGCTGGTCAAGTTCAAATGACAGCTGTATCAACTGGTGGACCTCAAATGATGCCACAACAGCGCATTAGTATTCCTCAGAATAGGATGGTTATTAATCAAATGATGGTTCAACAAGGACAACCAGTTCAAATGTCTGGTCAACCTCATCCTGGTGGAAGTAGAGGTCAAATGATGCAACAGATTCAAATACAACGAACAATGAGACAGGCTACTCCTAATATGACTATTCAGGCACAAATGCAACCAGCTACCGAAACTACATTTTACCAAACTCAAATGGTTCAACATAGACCACAACAGGCTCAACAAATTCAGCTTCAGCAACAGCAACAACCACCAACCCAACAATCTTTACCCCCTCCACCGCCTCCTCAACAGTCACAACAGCCCTTACCACCACAGATGCAGCAGCAGCCTCAACCACAGCAGCAACAACAACAGCAACATTTCCAACAGGGTCCACAGATGCAACAAGGGCATCTCATCATAAACCAAGGTGGACCTCAACAAATCAATCAAATGCATCCACACTCGCATAATCAATCTAATCAAATGAATCAGATGAATGTTACCATGTCACCTGCTGCTCAATTCGTCCCTAGTCCATCACAAAATATAATGCCTTCCCCAATGTCAGTTGGAATGATGCAATCAAGGGGAGGTCCAGGTTCTATACCATCAGTGCCATCGCCAGGTCCATTAAACACTCCACAAATGGCTTCACAAGTTAGTCCAGCTCAACGCCAAATGACAGATGATCAAGCTTATCAAGAAAAATTGAAACAACTATCGCGTTATATTGAGCCGCTTCGAGCAAGATTGGAACGAGAAGAATCTGGTTCTGACAAAAAGAAAGAATATAGTAAACTAAGAAACCTTTTTAATATCATATCAGATAGTTCAGTACGCGTCCCAATGGAGTTATTACTAAAATGTGAGATTATATTAGAAAAGATGGAGTTTGCTAATCAAACACAAATGGCCATTAATCAACACCAACAAACACACATGAACCAACAGAATTTGTCAAAAATGCCAGATCAAAATATTGGACAACCATTGATGGATGCTCTTATAAACAATATTAAAAAGCCTTTTTTCAATCATACCCTTCATCGAACATTCTCTAGAGCTGTATGTTCTCTTTCAAACGGAACTCAATGGTAACAAACAATTTTGAATTTCCTATTCAAATAATTTATCTTTACTTCGACTTTGTCTGAAGTTCTATATTTCTATCTCATCTTTTTGTTGCTTTTCTCTTTTTCTCAACATTAATCTTTATATTCTATTGTTGTTAATGTTTCGTGAATGATGCTTTACTTTATTAGTTGCTGTTTCTTTCAAAAAATATTGACATTTTTTGATATTATTTTTTGTAGGAATTCAAATCCAATCCCTCGTAAAAAGCCTCTTACCAGTCCGACGGAGATTCCCGAAGTAATTCAAGGAGAAGTTGCTCGATTAGATCCGAAATTCAAAGTCCAGCTTCACCCTCTTCACCAACCTGGATCACAAACTATACATTTGATTTGTCGTCTAGGTAAGAACTTCAATATTTCGAGAGAAAAATTATTTTATACCATCAGTTTTGGATAGTTATGCAAACACATTAACTTCCATGAACGCTTGTGAAAGTATCAGTATTAATAATTTCTTTTATTTCTTAATTTGCTTTGACAGATGATCAAGATTTACCATGTGTTCCGCCTATTTCATTAGAAGTACCTGACGATTATCCAAACGAACCTCCTCAGTGTTTTATTGATTCTGAAGAGTACAGTGCATCACCAATTCTGATGAATATTAGGAGGATGTTTACTGATCATATTGGTAATCTGCCCAATATTTACTCAATCATGACTTTATTGAATCGATGGGTAATCTTTATTTCATATTTTTAACATTTTGATAAAACAGCAGCAACTTTGAGTTAAAGTACTAGTCAAAAAGCTAAAGAGTATCAACAGAGACTAAAGGTATCAATAACATTGATTAAAATTAAGACTTTTCAATTAAGATTGATCAATGGTTTTTCAGTATCTTTTTAGGTCTTAAGCAATTTTGAATATAGTTTTAGCTTGAAGTTGCTTCTCTTCACTCTATTTTAGAAATCTATATCAGAATATAACATTTTACTCTTCATATTTCTTCTCCGTTTCTTTAGGAAATGAGCGTGCGACAAGCATGTAACAATCCACCTATAGTGGCAGCTTGATTCAAACAATCAAAGTTTCAAGTATCAATACTTTCTGTTGGTTTCCTGGTTTAAAGACTGCATCATGAATAAAATGTTATATACATGTATATTGCACTTATTAGCTTGGTCTGGATACAAAATTAACCAATTTTTAAATAAGTACTGATCAGGCGAAAATATAACAATTTTTTGCAATTTTTTAAGACTTTATATTCATTCGAATGCATCGATGGATGATGAAACTATTTTGATGAATTACAATATTTATGTATGGAAATTCAAAATTATTCAAAAGTACAAGATTCCAGATCATTGAATAATCGAATTTCACTGAAGACAATGATTGAAATTGTATAAAATGCGTATTTACTGACAATAACTTAAATGGCGTCTAGAAACATTATTTGTAAGCTTTTCCTTTTGTAAAAAGCTTTTAAATTTGACTCATAAATCACCAAGCATGTCAACTTCTCTATTAAATATCCTTAATTTGAGTGAGTGATACAAGATGCTGATGTTGAATTTTGTTTAAAATGCTAGGAAGGATCATCGACTTAGTTTTTTCAAATAACTTCGATGCTGACAGCATAAAATCAGAAAAGTAAAAGCTCGAAGTGAATGATCATGAAAATTATTGATTATGTGATAAAATTATTAGTTAATTGTTACTTTCTTCATATCCTCCCATTTACATTAGATACTTTCTTTCTTTTGCTTCTAATTTACTTGTCTCATCTGGCAATCATTACTGGTGATCAACATCAAGATCAAATGTAAACTTGAAGGACTGATTAATTTACTAACTTACCGAGTTAAATTTCCATTTCATTTTAATCCCCTCTTCATGATGCCAAGTTTTCTCATCAAGATTCACGAGATCTGAGAAACAAATTGATGAGGAGAAAATTTCAAGCAACTGATGAAGATGAAGATGATGATAGCCCAAGACTCATTAAACACAAGGAAAAAAGTATTTATAAGAGAAAGGGAAAGGGAAAGAAGATGATAGGAAGATAGAAGATGAAAGAGAGAGAGAAACAAAAATGAGAGTAAAATTCAGTTAAACAAAACCAAAAGACAAAAACATTGCTCTTTACGGATTGCAAATTAAGTTAACTACGAAGGCTCTAAAATTAGATCTTTCAAGTTTCCAATGCAAACATAAACCCAGAATGATGTTCATCTTTAGTCAGAGGTAGCTGTTACCAAAATCATGAGTAACGTAAAAGCTCATCTTTCTTATTCGTTTTTTTTGTTCGAGTGTTTCTTCACTCATCAAGAACCGAATTCAGCCTCACAAGGTCTTTTGTCTTGGCCCAAACAAAATTAGTTGCATCATAAGAAAGTGTTACTTCGACTGTTGTTCAATCTAATAGTTCAAATATAATTGTTCGTAATCTCTTCCAAGATATCTTTTTCATTACGTTTCCTCTCTTTGCTGTATCCATTTAAAAAATGCTTCAACTACTTTAATTTGAGTCAGTTTAATGTTTCATCTTACAATAACCAGTGTTGATCCAGAAACAATAGGATAAGTTTCATTAAAAATTTTCGTGTCCAACTATAATCCGAACCATGATGGGAACATCAGCAGTTGAATCACAAACAGTAACCACAACATCGGATAGTAAAAAAGTAAAGGGCCATCAAACGGAATCTAGTGCCGGCAAAAGCGACTCGGCAATAGAGCAAGCTTCATCATGTCCACCTGAAAATATACTTTATCAATGCAACAATTTGATTAAGGATGCCAAAAATTTCAACCTTCATGCCAATATACTTAAACAACTGTTGAATCTAAAAGATAGGTCAAGTGGTTATGATCTTTACGCTCGTCGCCCATCAAATCCAACAACTTCTCCCCAAGTAATTAGCAGTGATTCTGTGATTATTAAAAACAATGATGAGAAGGCAATTAATTTGTCTCAATCATCTTCTCCGTCAGTATTTTCATCAATTGAATTAGAAAGATTGGTAGAAGCGGTTGATAAGCTTCGTGAAGAAGTCCAAGAATCTCATCGACTTGGATTTTGTTTAGTATATAACATTCAATGTTTACATAAACGATTGACCGGTTCACCAATTGACATTCATTCAAGCAATAATTTAATTCACCAGCTAAAGGAGAAATATGATTCGTTTAAAACACGAGAAGCTATTCTTAAATATGAATTTCAAGAAAAACGAAAGCTCTTACGACGTCTTCGCAATCAACTGGAAGAAACCCGAGAAGATTGGCGTCTTCTAAGGGTTAAGAAAAGAAGCCCTGAAGACGAACAAGATGATTTACTTTGGTCTGAGACTCTACGTCGTAAATTTGCCTCGAAAAGGAAACAACCAAGTGAAGAAAGTGGCTTTATTGAAGCAAAAGATGGCCGTGAAGGCTTAGAACCTTCGGATGGACCTTCCAATAATCTTGATAACCAGCAAAGAGACTCACAAGCTATTGAATCGTTAAGCAGTGATACAACACGTACAACAGGTTATGAGGATTTAGCAATAGCTCTTGACAACCGTCGAGCTAAACTCGATCATTTGGAAGATGAATGTTACAATCTATTTGCCTCTCTATCAGCCAGGTCAGGTGATATTTCACGTCCAAAAGTAGAGAGCGATCAAACTGATCATAGACTGGTTCAGTCGTTAGCCAATCCTCTGCTTTTCCCAGATGACATAACTGAAGGGTTGTTAGATGGAGTGATAGTTATGGATGATGAAGAAGCTGAAAATGAAGAAAATGAGGATGAAGATGATGATGATTTGAGTGATCCATTATCTGATGAATTTGACGAACTTCAGTTGCCAGTTGACACACTTGATCAGTTAGAAACTATAGATAATACCGAAGAAGCTGACATGAGTGATCTTCCTTGGGACTCTAATAATCTGTATGAGAGTCGAACAGCTTCCCTTTTAAACGAGCCAAATCCTGTTCAAAGTGAACTACAAAATACTGATTCAGCTCCGCAAACATTAAACACACAATCATCTGATTTACCATCAACAGTATCAGCAACAACATTTCCGTCTGGAAGAATGGTGCATATTGGAGTCGGAATGGATGACGATGACGATGATAGCAATGACGATGAATACACTCAACAAGAGATGGAATCGATGGCAGAAACTGGTGAACCGTTGTTGCTTTGTCGTTTACGGCGACGGGCAGTTGAAATATTAGTAAGTCGATTGCGCGATGAAAAGCTATTACATGAGTCTCGTGAATCCGAGCTAAAGGAACAATTGGAAGAATTGAAAGAATTAAACAAAAATTTAATTAAAGAGGTCACCAGTCTCAAGTGCAGTTCATTTAGAGCCTCTGGTTGGAAAATTAAAATGATCACTTCTATGATGACAACTTTCCTGTTTGCATCAAGTTTGCTCGTTTACTTTTCTAAATAAATTCAATTATTCAATTGTAAAGATAATGTTAAAGTTGATCTTGATGTTATTAATATTTTCAAAAAGTGATAAATACAAATTATAATTGTAATTGCAGTTGCCTGTTCAATCATTTCACCATTAATCTTTGGTCTAATTATTGATCCAACCCACTTAAACTACGATCCAACTCTTTCCAAAGGATAACAACAATTCAAATATAACGAAGTTGAATGTTGATATATTAATTGATTTTACCCACAGATTGAAATGGAAACCTACTCATTTTGTGATTTAGTAGAAATTTAGATAGCGAAGGTTATAAACTAATTAGAGAAGATTGACATTTGATTTGACTGATGATAAATTGCATAAAAGATTAGCAAATGAACAATTAAGGCGATAAAACGATCTGTAAAATGATAGATAGTATAATGAATAATTGTCTTTTAGAGTCAACAGCAAAACTTATATTATTTGTCAACAGTTATAAGAGTATAAGAATTGTGATTCGTAAACAATTAAAAGATAATAACAAATTTAGGCTCCAAGGTCGGTGAATATAAATATCAAAATAATCTGGCATATAACCATAAAATTAAAATATAAATTGCTTTAAGTCATGTACGGATATTTCCAATCTTTTTGATTAACGAAAGATTCCTTGATTGTTTGAGGTGAAGTCCAACGGATAAGATAATGGGGACCTCCAGCTTTATCATTAGTACCTGAAAGTCTACCACCACCAAATGGTTGTTGTCCGACGACAGCTCCGGTTGATTTATCATTTATATAGAAATTACCTGCTGACATTTTCAATTCTTCAGCAGCCATTTGCAAGAATTTTCTGTGAAAAAAATAAAATAGATCAATACAAAATTCACGTTTAGATCAGCACAAAATATACAAACTTACGGATCTTGGCCAAAAATCGCTCCAGTAAGAGAATAGTGAGTATTCCTATGAACTAGCCGTAATGCTTGATCAACCGATGCATCATCATACTGATAAACAGTCAAAACTGGACCAAAAATTTCTTCATTAAATAACTTATCATTTAAATCATTGCACTCGATGATAGTTGGTTTGACGAAATATCCAGTTGAATCATCAGTCTCTCCTCCAGCAATTATTTGACAAGACGAACTTTTCTTCGCGTGATCGATATAACCCTTAATACGGTTGAACGCTTTTTCATCAATAACAGCAGAAAGGAAAGTGTCAAACTCAAGTGGACTGCCAAGTTTCATTTTACCACAGATATCCAGCATTTTTTTCTTGATCTTCAAATAAACATAAAAACAAGTGTTACAAAAATATTTGTATCTGTTGAAGAATTGTTAAAGTATCAGTTGCCAACTTACCTCGGGCCAAATACTTTTAGGTACGTATAATCTTGAACATGCTGAACATTTTTGTCCGCTATATTCAAAAGCGGATCGAATTGTATTGACAACAACATTATCGATGTCTGCAGAAGAATGGACAAAATGATAGTTTTTTCCACCACATTCACCAACCAAACGAGGATAATTTAAATATAGATCCAAATTTTGAGCAACTTGTTTCCATAAGTGTTTAAATGTTCCTATACTTCCAGTAAAGTTAATACCAGCTAACCAACGGCTTTGAGTTATTGTATTTCCAAAAACAGGTCCATCACAAGGAACAAAATTTATCACTCCCGGTGGAACACCCGCTTCTTCAAGTACCTTGAATGCAAGGTAATTGGATAAGATTGCAGTGTCCGAAGGTTTCCAGAGAACAACATTACCCATCAATGTTGGTGCAGATGCTAGATTTCCACCGATGGCAGTAAAATTAAAAGGTGAAATGGCAGCAATGAATCCTTCAAGCCCTCTATAACGAAAGCTATTCTTGACAACTGATACATTTTCACTAATTGGTTGATATTTGGTCATTTCTTTAGCAAAAAAAGCATTAAAACGTAAAAAATCGGCAAATTCCGCTCCAGCATCAATCTCTGCTTGGAAAACAGTTTTACCCTGACCAAGCATGGTTGCAGCTAGCAAATCATAACGATACTTTGTTGCAACTAAATCGGATGCTTTCTTGAAAATTTCTATTTTCTCTTTCATGGGCACTCTTTCCCATGCTTCTCTTTTTTCAAGCGACGTCTCGATGGCTTTAGTCAATAGTTCCTAAAGAGAAGAAGATGCAATATATAATGTTAATATCAATATGTAACTGTGAGAAAAATGTCAATGAAAATGTTTTCAACAAGTTACTCACCGATGTAGCCCAATAATATTTAGCAATCGTCTTGCTATGATTAAAAGGCATAACTTGTGATCTAACATGATCACTAAAGTATTCTTTCCCATCGATGACAATCGGTACATTGTGACAATCTTTGGACAACTTGGTTAATGAATCACTCAAGAGTTGCCTCTCTTTACTGGATGACAAATAGCTCAATATTGGTTCATTAGTCACGACGAAATCTTCGATGTTTTCGTTGATTACAGTTGAAAATGCTCTGCAAAAGACAAGAATAATTAAATTACAAATGTAGAAAACAAAAATCAAGGTCAAAATATCTTCATAGAGACATAATTCATAGTCAAAGAGTGATTAGAAGGAGATTTTCCCGAAAATGCACAATCTTTACGATGGTAGACAATTGTAAACAAAAGGTAGATAATCACCTTAAAGGATATCTGGAAGAAAATTTAATAGACGAATTAATTAGGTTGAAGCCCTTGATTAGGTTCGTAGCCATCTCAATAGATTAGTTGATCATAAAAACCAAGATTATGAAATGAAGAGTTGAAATTTTGTATCAATGATTGGTGAAAATTTTCATTATTTAATCCATTTGAAAGTGTCACTGATTGAAACACAAGACCTGAGTCAACAAAATTTACAGGATAAAAAGACTAGTAAATATTTTAGCAACGATAGCAAGGATAACACAAGTCATAAACAAATTATCTAATGTGATAATCAAATCGTTCAGCATATGATTACAAGATGTTCAATTTACGGCTGTTGAAAAATCATCTATAGGTAGAGCCACATTGAGATAAAAAATTGAATAATTATTTCGAATTCATTTTCTATTCAAATTCACTTTTATAAACAAGACATTGGATAGATAACATGTTTGGTAAATTGGCAGTAAATATAATTGGCATCTGATTAAACATATGAAGCACCATTCAAAGAGTTGGGCAATTTGAATTTAACCTCTAGAACCTTAGGCTGAATATCGATAGGGGGCTATATAGAGAATCAGTGAGATATTTGACTTTTTCATGTTATGATCTCAATCTATAGTAAACAATGTAAACATTATATTAAACCAGTGTAAATGTTTTATTTAAAGTCAATTTTCAAGTTTATTCCCAGATATTCTATCTAATAGAAAACCAATCATCATAAATTGGTAAGTTAAATTTTTTATTTATTATTAGTGCAAGTTGTTTAACATTTTTTCATTGCTTTATATTTATAGGTATCGATGGCATCTAATTTCAATCATGAAACAGACAACATACACTGAATCTTTGGCCCATTTGGTGGATTATACTGTCAAGCCAATTGGAATGCAAATTAAAAATCTAGGTAAGTAAAAATCTTGTTTGTTAGCTCCTTTAACTTAGTTAGGTTCACTTGTTTTCCGTTATAACATAATGTAACTTTGTATCTCGAATACGATGCTTAATGCATGCTGTTAGATTCTATGAATTATATAAATAAACAACATTTCTTCTTATTTAATGTAAGATCAACCCTTTAAATCATAAAAACAATAACCCTATCTGTCACCTATTTGAACTAGCTGTCATCTAATTGCCTTAGCTATGTCTTATTCATGCTGCAGATTAATGTAGTATCATTAGTATTTTAAATACAATTAGTACATTTGTTTCTTAACTAGCTAAATCTGTAAATGAAAAAACTAAAAACAAAGATAACAAAAGTTAAAGAATCATATGATAAATCAGACAATTTAATCTTTTACAGGGCTAATCTCATGAATCATATATAAGGTTGAGTTTACCAATGAGAGAATAAAAACTAAATCGCTTGACAAGTTCTTGTTCAACAATCTCATCCCTCTGTCCTTTTCGGTCTCCCTCCATTTCCAAGTCTGCTAATTTTTGGTCGATAATTTATTTAATCGATTTATTTCTGCTCCTTTTTTACCGGAACGCAAAAAATCGTCGATAGTTTGACCTTCCTCTAGTTGCAACTCAGGAATGATAAAATAATTACTTTTTAATGATTTTCACGCTTGTAAATCTTTATAAGAACGTAAATAATTGGCAATTTGACATCATGATATCATATCGTGCCGCTTATTTCTTAGAAGTATATGCGCCATCATTTCAATCCATCGAAACTTTAAGTAAGGAGCAATTTGAATTAATTTACAGTCTTCGTTAAAAGTCCAATCAGCAAGTTTACGGTCTTTTATTCTTAATCGCATCATGTACCGTTCTCAACATCGTCTATTGCATCTTCCTGGGATGAAATAAGCTACGTGCTTCCAATTACGAGTTCCATGTTTTTCAACAGCAGCTAGCAAAACTTAATTCCCAGTTCATTCCATTTTTCTTCTCTTCTACTACAATGTATTTTATTCCAGAAATGCTTCATTTGTGCTAGTGAACGTTGTTTCATAAAATATGCAACTTGTTGCCAAGGTATAAACGCCCCAATTGAAAACTCATCCACTAACTTTTTCAATAAACAGTTCTCTTCATAAGTGAATTACCCAGATCGTACGATCCTCTCATTGAAGTTAGATTGATACTTTTCACAGCATTCCCATGCAGTTCTTTTTGTTCCTAAATTCACAGCAACCATATCCCAATCGGGATGACTCTTTTGACAAAGTTGTTTCAGTTTACTTATTTCTTTTGAAGTCCATTTTTCATGATTTCATCCTTCAATCCTCTAGGTTTTCTGGTGTAGTAGTCGACCGGGATGTATTAATCAGCTTTATTTACTAAAAGTGTTCCTTAAATCATTTGATCTAGATAATTATAAACAAGACAGTAAAATATCAAACAATATTCAAATGAGATTCATGGGTATCTCAATTAAGGCTACCAAGTGAACAGAATAAGAGACATTCAGCAATTCATTTTAAAAATGAACGCTTAGTTGTTCAAAGTAATGTCCAATGATAGCCATGCTGTTTTAAACAGAAAGGACTCACCTAATATCCTCAGAGAGGTTCTTTATAAACAGTGATTTATTTGCTATCCCATCACCTCCTCCGCTTCTTGGCATGATGAGGTTCTCTTAAAATTGTAACCAATTTCAACAAAACCTATTAAGGGTACTACAGAGAATTTGTCTATTTCACAAAGTATGCAACTAGGATGATGAACAATTAATAAATAGTAATCAAAACAGATATTAAATTAGACACTTTGATGATGTATTACAATAAACATGATACTCTGTTTCAACTTGAAAGTTTCAAGTTGCATGACACGCATGTACCTTTACTGGGCATAGAGATTTTGGAGAGTGAAGTTGAAATTTTTTAACCAAGTGCCTTAATTGTGAATTATTAATTAATTTTAATTAGTGCTGACCTAAATTGTATGTCAATTTATTAAGCAGAATCTCCTGCATCTAACAACATGCCGCTTGAGGTAATTGATAATGAAAAAAGAGCTTTAAAGCTTGAAAATCTGTTCGTCTCTACACCTTTACACGTGGATATGTTACCTGATATCACAAACAACGTGGTAGTGGACTCTATGTTCTTGGTTAATTCATTTAATAATATGATGGACCAAATGGTACAATTCATGAAAGTAGCAGACAAACGTAAATTTGAATCAAACTTTCCGATTATCAAGACGATGTTTGCTAATTGCGTCAAAGAGGTGGTAAACAAAGAGATTGGTGACACCAACATCAATGCTGCGTTCAAGGATTTACACAAGGAAATCAAGGAAATTAAATCAAAGGTCATGGAAATCAATAAACCCATTGAGAAGACAAATATGTCCTATGCTGAGGTTTTAAAAAAGAAGACAAAGAAACACTGTGTTTATATTAAACCGACAGAAGATCAAACTCTAGAAGATGTAGCTGCGGAAGTTACCAAAATTATCAATGAAGATAAAGGACTTCAGGTCCGTGATATTGTCAAAGCTGGTAAATCAATCAAGATAACATCTCCACAAGAAAATTTTACATCTAAAATTACCTCCATACACACCACTCTCGGAAATAAAGCCAACATCGAAGATGAAAAGAAGAAGGATCCAATGGTAAGAGTGATTGTTAGAAGTGACTCTGTTGAAGATGAGATTAGTTTTAAATATAGAAATGGATTTGATGAAAATGATGAAATTAAACAGGTCTTTAAGAAGGAATTTAAATCGAGAAAAGGTATTCCATTGACCAGGTTAGTCTACAGACTATCACCAGCTACCTACAGAAAGTTGAATATAAGTAAAGTTCTCTTCTTTAGTGGAGAATCGGCTAGAATTAAAAATCATTACATGGTTAATGTCTGTACCCGATGCTGGGAAGCAGGACACAAAAGAGGTAAATGTGAAAAAGAAGCCTTCATTCCCTCAGTGGAGTCAGGATGCAATATGTGTCAGAAACAGAGCAAACCTCATGATCACCCAACTTTCCACAAAAACTGTCCATTGCTGAATAAGCTATTTAACAAAGCTAGGAAAAATACACAATTAGATGTTTAGGTTACACAACCTAAACTGTGGTAAATCTCAAATCAAAACGACAGGAATTTTTAATTTAACAAGAAATGAATCTAACACAGTTTTTACCCTTCAAGAGTTTAATGCTTCAATATTAAACAATATCAAAATCACGAACAACTCTTTAAAAGTTTTCGAGAAAGGTTACACAGCAGTTGTTGCTGAATCTCACTCGAACCCAAAATTAATCAGACAAACCAATAACTTAACTTTAATTACATTAACTATTGATAGTCAAAGGCTTTTTATAGCCTCAGTTTACTTCCCGACTCCTACAACCTTTCCGACAACTAAGAAAATACTATCAGAAATGTACAAAGCAATAAGTATAGTTAAACACTTACCAGGAATAATATGTGGTGACATGAATTGCGAACATTCTGAATGGTCGCATGATACCAGAAATAGAGCTATTGCTTCCTCACAATTAATAGTTGATTACTTCACTGAGCTAGGTCTGAACTGTCCAATTGAACCTAACGCAGACAACTTTACTTACTCACAAAATAATCATAAAACATGGATTGATGCCATTTTTATCAAAGAAATAGAAATATCAGAGATCAATTATGAATTCCTATTCTCTAATAATGACCATAGATTGATTTCATCATTGATAAAAAATGTTAACAGAACTAATCCAAGTTTTGTCAAACAACAAACTGAAATGATCTCGATAGTAAATAGACAAACATTTACAGACAAGCTAATTAGTTCATTCCCTGATGAGGAATTATGGCAAAATGCCTTGAGTAGAGAAGATCTTGACAACAGAGTCACTGAACTCATGATCTCAACCATTAACATCCAAAATGAATCTTCGATAAAGAAAAGACCTCAAATAATCAAGCCTAAAAGACCTCCAATAACCAAAGTCCTCAAAGCTCTGAATAAAAGAAATCAAAAAGACAACTTCTCAGCTCGAACGGAAATCATTAACATCATCAAGAGACAACTTAAAGAAAATAATGAATCAACTCATAACACCCACTATCAACATGATCATCCGAAGATATGGACTCGCCTCAAATCGCTCCTAAAAGAGAGAATCAAAGAAACTCCTGAATTTGAGGAAAACAAGAAACAAAAAATTGACGAGTTTACAAACAAATCCAAGACCAATGAGTTGAGGGAAATACTAAAAGAAACGATCACTCTTCCTTCAATTGGTCTATCGCTTGACGAGGTAGAGTTCAATGAAGCGATCTCAAGAATTAACTCTCAAGCTGCTCATGGTATCGACTTTATGAATAAGGACACGTTATTACAATTATACAAAAAGAAGCCAACATCAGTGTTTAAGCTTTTTCAGAAAACCTTAAGTTTAGGACTTTTCCCAACTGCTTGGAAACTCTCGAGAGCAACAATCATTCCTAAATCAGATGGGGTAAGACCCCGAACTATTCAAATTCAAACAGTTTTCTCCAAACTCCTTGAAACTATCGTCCTGAGTAAATTAGAAGCAATCACACCAACATCATTCTTCCATAATCAGTATGCTTATCAAAGGAATAAAGGAACTACTGATTTACTTCTGAATATAAAAGATAGCCTGAAAAAATCTGAATATAGTCTTGCTCATAACCACCAATTTCTGGTCGCTGATGTTGAGTCTGCTTTCGCCACAATTAAACATAATCACATCATAAATGCGTTGTCTACGTTGTCCTGTCCTCTATCAATCATCTATCTCACTGTTTCCTTTCTGGCTGATCATAAAGTTGGCCTTCTGCAAAACGATGAAATTAGATGGAAGCAGATAACTGGAGGAGTACCAGAAGGTTCAGGCTTAGGTCCTGTACTTTATGCTTATGGTTTTCAACTAGCTTTAAATAACCTCCAAACAATTGGTAAAAGCGTCTCGATCAACCCAAAGCTCACTCATAGAACCAACAAAGATGCTAGGACTTTAGCTTATGCTGATGATCTTATTAATATCTCTTATACAAGATCACAACAAAGGAATAACATAATGAACGCTAGATTCAATTCTATGAAGCAAGTAATTAATAATCATCAACTGGAAATACTTCCTGCCAAATCAAAAGTAATTTGTAACCTTCCTGGTTCAACAAACACTCTGATCCCTCAGACGCACACTGCTAAAATCCTAGGTGTTCCAATATCTGCCAACCAACATCTTGTTAATTATGATGAATATCTCAATATACTGAAAGGAAAAATCGCTCATGTAATGAGTAAGAAAAACATCATCAGGTTGATGCCTAAGGAAACCCAAAACATCATCATCACGACTTTCATTAACTCACACTTCATCGGACACTCAGCTTTGATAGCTGATGATGTGATTAAGAATGCGACCTTATGTAAAAGATTTGAATATCTCTTCAGTGGACTCAACCGCTATTTAAACTCTTACCAACACTCGGAGAATCGAGAACTCATAGGTTATTTGACAATCAATGGTTGCTTTATTTCGCGTATACTCGAAACGGCAGTCAAAAAAGGAATCAAGGAAATGATCGACAGAGGTTCAACTTCACCTTTCTATCAGAGAATGATCGACTTGGATGTTAATTTAGCTCCTTCCATTACTAGTAATAGTGTTTGGCATGGAGTTAATGGAATGACAATACAAGCCGTTCATAAATTTATGACAGAGAGAATTCTCAAGAAAACAAAAGGCAGAATTGTGTACTTCTGGCCTCAAAAGTCTTTCAAAAAACTCGAAAAAATCGACTGGAAAGTTAAATTTCTCATAGGTGGATATGACTTTCTCTATGACTCGAGAGTAATCTGTACTTGTGGAACTGGTTCTGCAATTCCACAGCATGTTATTCAATATTGTCCACTATTTTCAAACTGGAAATACAATCTATCAATCGCTTTCCGCACCCCTGGTAAATTTGACTGGCTATTGACCAGAATTGAAACGCCAAGAGTTACCAAGCTAATTGAGGCAATGTTTAAATATATCCAAAGAATCAAAAATTGTAATATTATAAGTAACTCAGACTTTCGTAATAATCATTGACATCTTTCACCAAAATTATGCCCTTCTCCCCTCCACCCACCGCAAATTGTCTTTCAAAAGGAAACAATATGAGCTTCCCCTTAACATAGATCTCAAATGCTCAGCTTTTCCATCTCCTAATCAATGTCTATCAAAAACACTGAAAACTCCTTATGATGATTCAGTTCAATGTATACCCAATATGATACAATAATGTAGTTCGTGAAGAAGCGAACAACCCCCATGCATAAACGCATATTTAATTAACAATAATAAAGAGATTACAATGGTGTGCCATTTTTAAAATTCACTAGTCACTCAACTTGTTACAAGTTCGTGTTGTAAACAAAAAAATATTTCTTGTAGAAATATTTTTTGTTTGAAATATAGTTTGTTTTGATTTCTCGTTTAAGAAAATGATTGAATCTCTTCAGCCTTCCTACAACCACGATCTTCAATTACACCCTGTATACACTCATTGATACCGAGTGAGTTAGTGAATTTGTTATTATAAGAACATACAGCTTTCTGTTTCACCGATATCACAAAAACAATTTTACGCAAGTTAAGCAAATTAAGTAATTATACATCTTTTTTCTTCCATTTCTATAACAGATTTATTTATTCAATAAGATTGCGTCTTCATGGACTCAAATATAGAATCAATTTTGATAACTCCAGATGATATATCGGAGCATTGCATTGAAAATCTATCGGATGGAAACTATGATGATACCAATTTAAACGACTTGGATATAAATGCGAGCAAAAATGATGAGCTTGCAGAAAATCGAAGCGAGAACAATGATGGTTGCTCGAATGATCTATTCATGGAATGTGAGTCGATAGAAAATGAATTCCCCAGTATATCAGACGGATTTTACAAGATTGACAAAGACAATGAAGATAACAATTACGATATCAACAAGAGTTCAATCCAAAATGAGAAATCAAAAAATTCAAATGCTGAACCAACGAATACATCAGATGGAGATAATTTTGAAGAAATGTTTTCAATTGATGCTCGATATTCAGATGTTTTCGAACTGGCCTATAAGAAATTTAAAAAGTCCGACGATGGTCCTGCTTCCAATTCAACAAAGGTTCAGTTAGTTTCAGATAATTCCAAATTTAGTTTCAATTGCGAATCAAAGCAAACAAATCCAACTAATCAAAACAAATCAAATCAAACTGATGATAATACACCAAATAGACCTAAATTATTGGCCAAATTCAAGTATATCTCCGATTCTAAGCGAGTTGAATATTCAATATCATACAGGGAAGGTTCTGATAAAGCGAAAGAAACGTCCGCTGAAAAGTCGAGTTTTGTGCTTCCAGATAAATCAAAAGCAGACGAGTCTCAAAATGATAAAGAGTTAGAAAAAAACAATTCAATTAATACTAAGCGATGTGTGATAAAACTGAACATGGCAACACTAACAAATGCATTGGCTAAAATAATTGGACAAAGCATTCGCAAGCTGAATAAACGCAGTTTCCTCTCCATTAAACCCTTACCAGCTGTTTGGCCAAAAGGAAATATCATAGTAAAATGTTTATTAAAACTGGGTAAGTCTTAAATCAATGTTGTGTGTATTAAATAATTCAACTGTGCAATTTAATTTCATATTTTATCTTTTACACAGAAAACGTTATCACAGAAATCAAATCGGATGCTGATGCCATTGAATGGATGTTCAGACAGCGGTTAATTAAAAAGCCTGTATGCCAGACGTGTAATAATCAATTCATATATCAACCAAAATACACTTATACAAAATTTACTGAAATAATTTGGGTTTGTGGGTAAGTCTATTCAATTAAATTCATTGTAAACAACTTATGCATTTCTAATATTTTTTAACCAATTAATTTTCAGGTGTGGTAATTCAGGAGTTGTTGTACTTCACACAGTTTTGAGAAATTTCACATCGGCATGTAGACTGGTACATGCTATCTACTGCTGGGCAACTCGTGATGATAATGCTGAGAGTCTTCTAACCTTATTCAGCAAAGATAATATAAAAGATACATTTGCTGTGTATTCATCGTTACAATCTCTCTGTAACCGCATCTTAACGAGAGATAGAACGAAATTAGCATCATTCGATTCTTATCCTGTTGAAGTTGTCTCAGTTCAAATAGGCCAAACATTTATTCTTGCAGCTATGGAGAGCAAAACAAAAGCAGTTAGACTTCATGCTTTTTCAATAGATGAAATCCACTCAGCAGCTACTAAGGGCATCAATATATTTATTGAAAAAGTTCGTGAATGGGTTGCACTTCCATCAACCCTTCGAGTATTCGAAAAGAAATTCAATGGCCTAATCTCTCATGGTTATAATGTCAGCTTCCTCACTAAATCAGAATTTTGTAAATATGGATTCAAAACCAACGATGAAAATGCTGGTGGCTATATAATATCGCACTTGCAGAAAATGTTTAAAAATATCGATCTCAGCTCGTTAAGCGCAAATACAATGAATCTCCTGTTAAGTGAACTCGAATGGCGTGAAAAATATGGTTACGAGCCTTGCATTGCTTTCCGAAATATAATTACTCATATTGCTACTGATCCTATGTTTAAAAACTCTGTTATAGATCGTTCGTTGTCTGGTGCTCATCAAGCTAATGATAGAAAGAACTGCGAAGAATGGTTAATCAAAAACTGTAAAAGTTGTATGCACACTCAAGGCGATGAAATGGATAAAACAATAGTTTATTTTTTAAACTTTGGTAACCAACAAAACAGCGATACGAGACAGAATTCCAATGATAAAGTGGACGAATATTATGTTGATGAATATTTTTATGGCTATTGGTATCCTACAAATGACACACTAAGCGCTTCTGATTTTTACAAACCTAGTTTAGACATAATTTGTCATTTATGTCAGATGCATTTCAACAAAAGTAACATTGGTAAACACATGATTGAACACTTGGACGATGTCGAAGTCAATGGCAAACAAACACAGGCAGATCTAAGAATTAGATGTAATCATTGCCTGAAACTGTTCGGACCTAAAACATTACATTTACACAAAGAATTGGTATTTATATTTTGTCAACGCCTCTTGATTCAAGTCAAATAATTTTGTTTTATATTTACAGACGAGTAACAAATTACAACAATACGCCTGCAGGATTTGCTGTTTACCATTTACAAATCGCCTGTCGTTTATTGAGCACATGATTGAAACACACTGGCCAAAAGAAGCTCCTTATAGATGTAATGTTTGTAAATACCGATCATCATTTCAAAAAGATGTACTTGATCATTTCAGAAAGGTAACTGAAGATCATCAGAGTATTGAAATCAGAAACTTAAAAGAATCATTTTTAATCATACTTTTTATTTCATTCACAGGAGCATAGTTATTCTGAGGTAACGATTGCCATTTGTCCGATTTGTTTAGCCATCTTACGATGTGACAGTCCAAATAATCTTTCGAGAATTGTCCATGGTCACATGTCGCAACACTTCGAAGCGCTTTCTACATTTAGCTGTTCAAATTGTACATTGACATTTGCTTCGGATCATGATAGAAAATGTCACTTTTTAACTTGTCACTCAGACCCAACTAACAGTTATGGAACTGGTAAGTAAATTTGCTATCAAATTCTTAATATAATCAGCCATTTACATTTATATTTACAGAAGTCGTGTTTGAACCATACCGTTTACATGCCAAAGAGCAGATCTACAGTATAATCGCAACTCGCGATGAGCTTATGAAGTCGAAATTTTTAAAGAAATCGGATCCTTCAAGTCTACATAAAATTTTCATGCAGAAAGAAAATAAAAATGATCTCCACAAAAGGCTAAAAAAATTACATATAGGTTAGTTTGAAATCATTGTTTTAAATGATCAGATTAATTTACTTTTCTCTTATCCAGGTTCACGAAGATTGTCAGATTTGAAATGCATGGAGTGTGGTTTCAAAGTAACAGAGAATCACTTTTCACAAGCAGAAATATCTTGTACAATTTGCACTTTCAAGACTTATTGTTTGGCAAACGCCAAGAAACATCAACAAAATCGCCTGATTGAATTAAACAAATTCACTTGCAATTCTGATAACTTGTCTTGGACTTGTGAATGTGGTTTCATATCAAATGACAATAACGATTTAGGTAAGTCATTTTGATTCTTTTTGGTTTCATCCATTTTGATAACATTTGAAATTAATTTAACTGTTTATTTTTATCATTTTACAGCACATCATATGATAACAGCAAAACATTACACATGCCATTCAAATAAGCTTAACCATTCAGGAACAACTTGAAGGCTCCATCCGATTCATACACTTATTTTAAACTAAATCATGTCAATCAAATCAGCTTGAATTGAGCTGGTTGCTTTTATTCAATTAAAGGTCACAAATTACATTGGATAATTGGAAACGTCTTCACCCAAACAAGGCCAAAAATTTTTATATTTAGGATGTACATCTATTGATCATATTGATTTTTATTTTTTAATTTTCCATTACTTATTGGAAATACCAATTTTAATTTCCAATTCAATCCTATGTTCCATTCTGAAGTTCTAGCCGATATTTAATAATTTATTGTTATTGAAATTTCTACCCTGTAAATTGTAAATTTAAAAAACATCATGACAATGTCTTATTGCATTTATTAAATCTTTTATATCATTGCAAACTAAAATCAAAGTCAATTGCTATTTTGAATTCATCAAGTTTACTGTAGGGATCCTTTTAATCACCAGATGACACAATAATCACTCTTGCAACTTGCAAAAGCAAAAAATTTTTTTCCAATGGATTTGCTGTTAAAATTGTGTTTATGTTTTTCCTCTCACAATCTTCATCAGTTAATAGATAGTCTTTGATTTTTAATTGTCAATAACCAATTTGTTTTTAACTAACTTTATAAAATCCAATTGCCAAATGGATTAATTTCATCCTGAAAAGGTAAGTTCGTTTTTCTAAATCTATGGAGTTTGAAGCATTTATAGTGATTTCAGATCTAAGAATAAGAAAATAAACAGAGTCCCTCCAATTTTCATTGTAAACTTTCATTGATTTATATTTTCAATTTATACCAATTTGCCTTATTTTTCTTTATTATTTGTATTGTGATTAGCTTGCCCTCATTATATATTCATTAGCTAAGAATTCTCTGAATCAATATTTATATAATATTGTATGATGCAAACTTGTTTTTCTTCCTCTCTTGGTTGTCATTACCTTAGGGTTTGATTCTTGTTTTATCATTGGTTTTCACTTGCCTTTATTCTCTCATTAATATTTCTGAGTATTTGCTATCCTTAAGTCTTGAGCCAATTTTTCATTACTTTTATTCATCTCTTTTTCAGATTCTAACATTGAACATCCTACATTTGTACTTTTGAATGACACATCAACATGTAATGTTTTGCTATCAAGGTGATACCTAAATTTTTAAGGTAAGTGATGTTATCATTTTAATGTCAATTTCGTCTTATGCAGTTTCTTGTCTTGTTTTTCTCCTGATATCAAAAAGTGAATTGTATATAATAAGCGAATTATGATTTAATCCAAGATGCGCAAATGTTATCACTGCAAAACTGACGAGTGAGTTGATTTAAATCAAGATTGGTTCAAGATTAGTCAGTGTAGAGTCTGGTAAAAATGATTCAACTTAGCGTCCTATTTTATTTCAGAGATGAAACTTGAATTCCTTTTGTTGTATACAGTTGTTCCAAATTTTCAATACAACTAGCTCTAAATTTACCCAACTATTGTCAATAGCCTGAAAAGATTGGAATCCACTATTGGAGCAAAGAGCAACTGAATATACAAAATATATGAACTAACAAAATTGTCGGTGAATCATTTATTTTTATCATTGGATAGAATAGAATTATCAACATTTAATTTTATCTGGATCGTTGACTCATTTTAATCACTAAACAGTTAGTATTATCATTTCTAACTTACAATGTTATCATTTCAAATCACAATAAGGTAAAACTGGTAGCTCGAAAAATTGAGTAATGTCTTGCTAACTAATATTTAAATCTATAAAATACGGGTTGCTCTAAGTCAATAGATTCCAATATAATAGCCTTTTTTGTCTTATATTAAAACAATTACTCTTCCATTATTTTCCTGGTAATTCATTTTAGGGTGTAGCTAAATCATCTAGCGTTTTACCTATTCCAACTGTTGGTTTTTTGACAGATTGGAGTAAAAAAATAACTTCTCACTTGATCTGATTCAGATGTGATACAAAAATGATGCATAAAAAATCTCATTTTACTATGACTGTTCCGATTAATTTTATTCCTCATTATCTTGTTGTATTTTTGTCTGCATGTGAAATAACCTGAATAATTGAAGCTATTGAAGCTTACAAGTAAGTGAATTCAGTAGTCATACTGAAACTTGCATTAAAACGTTTTCCATTATTATATTGAAATGATTTATAACCATAATTGTCAATTTTCATCAGATGGCTTCTAACTTCCTTTCCAACATTCAACTGAAGATAAAATTTATAGCCATTAAGCCAATGCTTTCCATGTCTCTGTATACCAAACACGATATAACTAATGTCCAATCTATGCTAAATCCTATTAAAAAAAATGAATTGGTTGTTGAGGTATAGAAACATAAGTTAGATGTAACTCAAACCGAGCTTCAGTAACCTTCCGTAGTTATAAAATTCACTGAGAAAAATATGATTAAGACTTACACTCATGTGTTTACTCCAAGTCTGTGAATAAATTAACTCCCATGGTCATCTTTAACATTTGCTCATCAATTTGTGTTATCTTCCTATTTAGGCTTACAGTGAGAAACCTTTTGATTGTTTTTTCTCTCTACTTAACCCAGGAAATCAATTGATTCATTTTGGTATCCAAAAATTTGGGTCAACCTTTAATTGCTACTGAGAACCTTGAGGCTTCTTAATGAGATACAACTTTTTTTCAATTCATTCTTGATTTTATGCTTTCACTCTTGACAAATCATCATTTAGTATTTTTCCAATTGTCCTTATTGCTACTTTTGAATGCAGTTAAAAGAGATAATTTACTCTTTACATCCCTATTTTATTGTTGATATTGCTATTTTCAATCTCCTTTTCCTCTCACTGTGTTAACTTGGTATGACTAACTGTCATTTATCTATTAAATTACTTCATATTATTAACATTAATCCTGTATTTTTCTTTTCTCCTCTAGATTATATGATTGCGTCTACAGCATGGAAATTTAGACTTTTTTCTCAATCCATCAGGCTTGTTGCAATGACCTAACTAAATGTAATTATTTACTGAAACCTTTAATACCGGATTATTTGGTGCTTTTTCCGAATCATTGTGATACGTAATATTTATTAAGATGAACAATTGGCGAAATAACAAAAGGATAACATCAAACAAGCCAATCCATCAACAAAATGCAATTCAAACTCATCCCGAGTCTCACAATTCAACCTTCTATTCATTATCACAGAAATCAAATCACCATCATCCTTCAATTAATGAACAAAGTACTTTTGATCGATCCGTTTTAATGCCACTTGATCCGTCCATCATGTTGGCCACTTTTAAAAATCACTGGTACCAAACATCACACATCATGACCACTAAGACAGCAACCTCTAATGGATTCAATCCACAAGTGCCAAAATCAAAATTAATAACCTCAGATGATATATCAAGTGTTGTGAATAATATAGATCAAATGATAGCCTTGCTTCTTCGTGAAGCCAATAATTTCAAAAGCACTGAAACAAACAATGCCAATACAGGTTCCTTTCAACCTACAACAAATTCAATTTTAGGTATATTTACATTTATTTTGTATCCTTTCTCTATATCATCTAAACAAATACTTAATATTAATCTTAATTTTAATTTCTCTTCTCTTATTCAGATTACTTTTTAAAGGAAAAAATTTTAACAACCATTTTCAATTGGGGCCGGGACGTTGGAGAGTTTACCAACACTATGAAACTTGAGCAGCTTAAAATTTACGAACTTCTGATAACTCAATATAATAAAACTGATTGTATCTTTCAACCTTCAGTAATTAAACCATTACACAAGCTTCTGTCTACTTGCAGTAAAACCTGTCCTTTGGAAGTTGAAAAGAGGCTTGTTGTGCTGCTCAATACAATTTGTTCTTGCATTGGACAAAATAATCATTTATTGAAATTATTTTTTATTCCTGATGACGATCATCAAACCAAAACAAATGAAAATTGCACTGAAGTCAATAGTGATATTAAACCAGCCTATTTTCAAGATCGTAAAGAAGTGGAATCAAGATTTCTAGTGTAAATATCTCAATTTATATTTAATATCAAGCACTTAAAAATTCCAGAAAATAATTCTATATTTTTTCTATATTTTTCAGATTTTCACTTCTTTTGTCGTTTGTCCACCGTGAAGGTATTATTGGTCAACAAGCAAGAGAAGGCTTACTCCAGATTATGCCAATCTCTCAAACCAATGAAGCTCTTAGTCAATATATTGCCAACTATAGTAATCTTTGTCCAGTCATGGTTACCATTTTAAGTGGGCTATACTCATCTTTGCCCAGAAAATTGACTTCTCTTAACGATCGAATCCAAATTATTGAAGAAGATATTCATGAAAAGTTCGAACTTCAAATTTTCTTAAGTGCATTAGACTTCTGTAATGCAGTGGTACAAATGTCTCATCCCACGATCAAGAAACAAATGGTTGATCTTATCTTTCAAGGTTTCTTGGTGCCAGTCATTGGTCCAGCTCTACATGAGGTAAGTTGAAGAATTGAATCCAACGAGAGAAAGAAAGAAAGAAAGAAAGATAAAAAATAGGATGAAGAAATTTCAATGTTTCATTCATCCAATTAGCTTGGCTTTCAGTGCAAATAAACAAAATTATCATAGGCTTCCCAGCTTATAACCTTTATATAACTTTTTACAGGAAATGAATATACCTCTTGATATATTGGAGAACACATCAAAGCACTCGGTTTGTCTCGCTTTTTATATATTGTCGCTGCATGCCTGAGCTAATTTCATTTTTTCTCAATCCTTTTTCTTTTTATTTTATTCTTTACTTTCCATATCTCTACTTTTTACCCTTTTGCTTATTATTTATATTCCCTTTTTTTATTTGTTTCAATTTTATAAAATATATTCTAACTCTATTGTTTCAATTTAGGATACTGTTCAACAAATAATCACCACAACTGCATATCTTGAACTATGTTTGCGCCGAGTAACTGAGCCAGATTTGTTGAAAATATTTCTCAAATTTGTATGCGTTGAAAAATTTGATGAAAACCGTATTTTAAATACTCTAATTGCAAGGATTCAAGCTACAACCAAGGTTAGTTCACAACAGTTAATGCAAATAAACATTAAGTTAATGGTTCTCATATTTATTTTGTGTCTTTTCATTACAGTTGAGTCTCATAACTCTGGTATTGATCCGTACCATTATAGACCTTGATTGTGAAGATGTTATCCTTGAATTGTTACTAAGGTTAGTATAATAATTATTTCCCTCCCTTTAAAAAGAAAACAAACAAATTGTACTCAAATTTAATTTTTTCTTCTTCTTCTTCTACAGATATCTCATTGATTGTAAAAACATTTTTGATGACAAACACGATAATGACTGCGGATCGGATACGTCTTTGCAATTTTTAAACTCTGTAAAAAAGCTTTTCACCCTCGTGCCAACATTCAGTCAAGTATCACTTCGTTCATCGTTAAATGTTAACAATGATCCGTTATCATATCAAAATCAATATGAGCAAAAGGCAATTTCAACTCTCTCTCATGTTCAAACTGATTACTTTGCAAATTATTTCAATTACCTGGATGAAGCTCACACAGCAATATTAAGTTGCAAACAAAAAACCCATTCCTGGATCAGCAAATATGAAACAAAAAGCCTCAATGGTACAAATGACAGTCAAATTGTCTCGCCACCATCAGATTCTGGAATCTTTTTAACCACCAGTTCGTCATCTAACCTGGACAGCCAAAAGTTTGCCACCGATTGCAATGATCAATCACTATTCGAATCATGTCACAATAGTGAAGCCGAAATAATTGGACCTTTCCTTTCTAATCTTCTCTCTCGCCTATCACAACTACCATTTAATGATTTTCATGTCAATTTACAATTAACTGGACTGATTACTCGTCTCGCAACCTTTCCAGAATTTCACCTGAAATCTCTTTTTTTAAACTGTGACCTCAAACTGCATAGAAATGTTCGCAGTTTATTCTCTATTTTAAATGCTCTGAAGAAACAACTGGAAGAAATGTCAACGAAAATTGATGATTTTCACGAACAATATGTTAAAGAGAAACAAAATTTATCATTATCAACTCTACCCGGCAGAAGAAACGGCTCTGTTCTCAGTGAAGGATCAGATACACTCTCAACTAAATCAAATTCTGATAAAAAAGGTACAAAAATTTTTTATAGCTCAAATTTTCTATTATTAATTATTTATTTATCACAGCAGGTAAAAAAAGGCGAAGTTTCAAATCATTTTTGCCCTGGGTTAACAGTAATCCTAAACTTCAAGAGTGTCCATCCTTAGAGTCTCTTGACAATGGATATAAGTAAGTCTTGATTTTTGATTTTCTTTACTTGAGTAACTTCATTGAATGCTTTATCTTTACAGGTTCATCAATAAAAAAGTTTTTATTGAAGAAGACGAAGGAATTGATGGATCTTCTAAAGCATCTGAAAACCTACGAATCATTCATGCTGCCATTGTTTTTGAGGAATTCGTGAAAGAACTCGCTGCAATATCACTTGAGCATTATTTACTTTCCGACATAGATCCAGATCAATCTCATTATTATGAATTGATATCCCAAAACTATTTGATGAACTTTATATCTTGACTTAAGTCTCGTCAAACTAATCAATACATCGATCAAGCTGTAATTAGTAAATGATTTATCTGAGATTAAGATTAGGGCTAAACAGAATGTGAAACGCTCGACAAAATTTACAGATAGATTTGTAATGTAAATACAAAATTGTTTATAGCCATGTTTAAAATGTAAACTTATTTGATTGAAACATTCAAAAAATTAAACAAGTTTCTTTTACTAAGCCTATCAGCTTGTTATTAAATTTATTAACAGCACTTTATTTCATCAATTTTTAGTATTAAAAGCAAATCTAAAACAAACAAAACAGCGCTTCATACCAATAATTAAAAGAGCTTATTCCTAATCATTAGTTTAGTTATTAATAATACACAAAAAAAGATTCAAGTGCTTTGATTGATTGATCAAGACATTGGTTTGATTTTGTCATAATTTACATGTTGAATTTAATTTACATGTCAGATTTAAGTTTTTCATGTTGAATTGAATTGCACAATTGAGATCAAGCATTGAGTTGATATACTGTTTTGTATTAGTTGTAATGTAAGTTAATCACCATTATTTTCTGGCTATTATTATTGTTATTGTTAATAGTGAAAGGCTTTTAAGGTGAGATAAATTAATATGTTAACTTATTGATTTTCTTTCAAAGGACGATTCACAGTTCGATTCGAACTAATCATTGCCATCATAACATTATATTATAAGTTTAAGGTGAGGTTAAAGATTTAAAGGGATTAGGGTTGATTAGAAAGGATTAAAACTGTGAAAGAATAAAAAAAGAGATTCAAACGGATTTAACTTTTGTCTGACTGACTGGCAGTCACAGTTACAAACAGATTTTGCTAATTTCCTAGTCAAAAACACATTCTTGATTCTTTCATATCAGGGAATGTAACAATTTAAACAATCAAATCAAACTCTGCAAATAAACTGACGATGAGAAACTGAAAACTGACTCGATCAGCAATAACCAATTAGGAAGTGATGAAAGATATTGCAATGAAATACAAACAAATAATGGAACCATTAAGTCAACAATTAAACAACATTCAAACGAGTATCTGGTTATCTCTTAATGTAACAATTTGCAAATGTGATGAGATTCTAACTGTCTTGATGAAAGCTCTAAAAGAATAATTGCTTCGTTTGGATTTGTATTGTTAGTTGCTACTGTGGTGTAGTCCTAATGATTTTGTTCATTTAAGATCATAATCATTTTCATGAGATGCACCTTCGCCTTCACCTCGGTGTCCTAAGCTAGTTGCTTCTTTATTGGTAATCCCATTAGTATCATTCAGTTGCTGATTGTCTTTGGAATCAGCGCCATCAATGTTTTTATCTGGACCTTCTGGTTGAAAATTATTATCCTCGTCATGAGAGATCTCGACTTCAAAATTACAATCAGAATGTCCATTGGACTCAAAATCTGGTTCACAAACAACAACTGTTGGCGGGTCCGAATCCTAGGATAAAAGCAAAAATTAATATCAATTAGCACTAAAAATTCAAAAATTGTCTCTATTAAAGACTGAAGGGTTTAATTACCGGATTTGAATCCTCAGCTTGGTGAAGAGATTTTAAAAGAAATAAGAAACAAAATATTTTTGATAAATGTTTATGCATGTTGTTGAACGTTTAACATCAATAAAACCTTTAACAATTGCTCGAGTCTAATTACTCGTTTGATTTTATATTTTAATAATTCTTACCTTGATCATTAGTCTTTTTATTAGGTTTTGCAAGACTGAAATCAGCGTCAAATTCAACTCTTACTTCAATCCCAGATTCCTCTGCTGCTGTTACATTATCTTGTTCAATGTTGGCGTTAGGATTTTCATCGTTATTACCATTGGTTTCAGATGAATCTTTTTGTTGATCAGATGCTGAACCAGATTCATCAACATCTTCACCAAAAGTACCCCTTGATTCAATCTCAGGAGTTGGTTGGATGATTACTACTTGATGAGGTGTTAGATATGCAGGTTTTGGTGGTGCAAATGTTGGGGGAGGAGGACCTTCAGTTGGCATAGGAAGCTCATTCGAATCGACACTTTCACTTCCAGGACTTTCAGCTGAAAAAATGTTACAAAAATGAGTGTAAATTGACTTAAAAATGACAAGGGAGAAATAGGATTTTCATGATGTTTACCCTTGTAAGATTGCTCGTCTCCTTTGTCTTCATCTTCTTCATCTTCTTCTTCCTCTTCATATTCATCAGCATCGATCACTAACATTGATGGGAAATGACCTTTGACTCCATCCTTTTCCCCGAGCCACCAACCGTCTTCACTTTTTTCAATTACTATGAAAATATCACCTTCTTTGAATGATATTTCTTCTTCAGAAGTGGCAGTGTAATCATATAAAGCTTTAACATTCTGAATATGATCGGCATTTTCCTAGAAAATAAGAAGAGAAAGTTGAAAACGTCGTGTACAAATTGATTTCACATTGTATTTCAGCTTACAATTTGAGGTTTTGAATTGAAATCTTGGTCATCTTTTGAGCTATCTTGCGTTTCAACTGGAGCTGTTATTGTCGGCTCATTTTGTGAAACGGTCGAATTAAATGAGTCATTTGGTTCTACAATTGTATACCCATTTGCCTCAGGAGGAGGTGGAGGCAAATCATCATCAGCAAGCACAACGTAAGCAGCAGGAATATAACCGACTTGATCTGAAATCAAAAGGATGCATTAATATGGATGAATTTGAGTAATTTTTATTGAAATACCAACATTTATCGTTTTGAGCTGTAACCCAAGCTTCATCTGCTGCCGATAAAACAGTTAATATTTGATCAACTTCGAAACTCAGTTCATCTTGGTTTAGTGCTTCGTAAGGATATAAAGCGCGAACCCGTCTACCAACAAGCTGAGATCTATTTAAATTAAATTTAAAACATTTTCATCATTGATTGAACACTGTAAAAAAATAAGTGATATTGAAGTAAACTTACACATCAACAGTGACCGTATAATCAGCTTGCTCCTCGTAATTTACTGAATCATAATTGTTCTGTATTGAAGGATTGTCTGAAGATGAGATGGGAATAGATGATGATGTGACAGGGGGAGGTGGGGATGAAGACGAGGTATCATCAGTTGGATATGGTAAAACAGGCGCTGGTGATGTTGAAATGGATTCTTCTTGAGGTGGCTCAGGTTCAGCCCAGGCATCATTAGCATCATAATCACCCCAACCTGCATTGGTATCATATGTCTCATAACTATACGTTTGCTGTAATGGTTCCTTTTCAACTGGAGATTCAACTGGTTCTGGTTCAGAAGAGTATCTTTCATTTGGTTCTGGAGTTGGTTCTTGGCTATTGTATTCTTGTTGGTCATCAGAACTAAAAAAATCAGAAGAAGAAACATGTCATTAATACACCTTACAAGCCTTAATATGAGCTCAAAAATCAATCAATTTACAATGATTTATTTTCCATTGATGAAACTCTTCCTTCGCTTATATTGGTACTTCGAAGACTTGGTGTTCTACTCAATGGTTGAGCAACATCAACATCCAATGAAGTTTGTTTCATCTCAGATGCTATTTGAGATTCAATTGCTTCCAAATCTTCAATTGGCATTCCAGCTAAAAAACGATGATAATAAAATAATTAAACGAAAACCAATATAAATTTCGAGTTATTTGTCAACTTACCTTGTTTGATTGCTTTTAGACGAGCTTCAGCTTTACATCTACTAATGTCACATTTTCTCAATTGTTGTTTGATGTCATCAATACGTGTTTCAATTTCAACGACACCAATTCCAGTCACTTCGACAGTCTGGATCGATTAGTCAAAAAATAGATTAGTCAAAATGAACAAATGGTCAAATGGGCAAAGACTAAAGACTACACTTGACGGAATCGAAAGAAGCTGCCCACAAGAAAACCTTTACGCACCTTTTTACCAGTAGCCTGGTAGTTAAGACATTTTGTTAATTGTTGATTCAATTTATGAAGATTACGACATTCCTTGGTGAAACAGGACATCCATTTGGCAATTTCATGCTGAAGCGCAAGTTCAGCATTATGTTCAATCGAAACTGTTTGTATCTGATCTCCATCACAAGGCTCAAATTCAAACTGCAATGTATCTCTAAAAAAGCATAAAACAAAAAAGATCAATAATTGTTATTAGAATAAATGTAATAAATGAGCATAAAATAAATTGTAAATTATAAATACCTCAGACAATTAGATGCTTGCTCAGCCAAAAATGCTTTATCAGTCAGTTCAGCTGATGTAGACTCTAAAGCGGTAACTAAGCCAGTTAAAGCTTCACTGGCATTGGCTAAAGAAGTTGTTTCTGAATTCAATAGATTTAACATAAATCCTGTAAATAAATTAAATAATTGATAAAATAGCAATTAATAAAATATTCCCATCCATTAATTTACAATAATTGACCACATATTATCAATAAAAATCTCAAGTTACCTTTGCATTTGTCAAGAACATCATCCTCTAGGAATTGCATCAAATTGGGTAAATCAATTGAATAATAGTGCTCTAAATGAGCATTACCAGCAACTAAAGCTAAAATATATTCATTTCTCGCCTTGAAATTTCAAAAGAAACAGATTAGGTTAACATGATTGAATCAAAATATAGCTTAATTACCATTGTTGATTGTATATCACTAGCTTCCCGATGGGCTCCAATCTTCTCCTTTTTACTCTCTGAATGAGTAAATTTTGAAAATATCCCTCCTTTGCGCTTCTTAACCCTGTTTAATTTCAAAAATAGAGACACAATTAATAACTTGAAATCAGTATCACCAATCAAATCAACATTTACTTTTCTTCCTTGTCTCGAGCTTGCTTAGCAAGATGCTCTTCATCAAAATATAATTTACGATTCTTGTCAATCTCGACTGCCGAAGCAATCAGCTCTTCTTGTTGTTTCCTGAAACCCAATGAAATTGATCTCATTAATATAAATCTCCAATCATATAACTCATAATTACTTTAAATAATTATCAATTCCTTTCTTTCCAATCGACGATTTGTGGCTTTTGATGTGTTTCAGTGAATCGTAAACATTAGCAATCTGTTCAAATTGAGTTGCCCGAAATTTGGATAATTTTTCCTCTTCTTCCAGGTACAGTTGCCAAACTGAATAGATTGATCTACATTGGAAATATAAGCAAAATTAAATAGGCAATCAGCTTAAACTAGTTCTGGTTATATTTAAAAATATACTCACTTGAAATCTGAATCCTTTTCAACCTCAAATGATGGATATTTACGGGTTAAATGGCTTGTGCATAATTTGGTTAAAGATGAACAATAATCCTTCTCAATTGTACATTTAACTTTGAAAAAGGTTCTCACATCATCAATTAACTCCAATTCAGAAGCATGTTTCTGTGATAATCGAGTAGATTGCTCTTGAAAAATTGATTTACAGCCAGCAACCAGGGAAGCTGATTTACTGTGAACCATAAAAGATCCAACCCTATTTAATCCAGTTGAACCGGAGCTACTTGATTCACTTTGACCTTTAACACTCATTGTTTACCAATCTATAAATGGAACCCCTTCAACTCCAACTGATCTTAACCTTTATAAAATATTATGTCAAGGAATGACATATATATTGATGAGGAACATGGGATGGAGCTGAAACAAGGAGAAGTAAAGAGGAGGTAAATGAATGGGAAATATGAATTAGTCAACAGTAAACAATTAAGGTTGCTTCATTTGCTTTTTTACATTTTACACTGAATTAATTGGGTAACAATAGACTGGTTAACTCTATGGAAGAGCCAAATTTAAGACACTAAGCATAATATGTGAATATAAATGAAATTAAGAAGACACATGAAAATAATTCTGTTATTTTTTGTCTTTTTTTCCTCGAATGGAATGAGGATATTGATAAGAGGTTCAGAAGGGAGACTAAGGTAACTAGAAGTTTGGTGATTTCAATACACTGCGCTGATCACAATGAGTCTATGGAGAGCTGTTATCGATCGAGTAACTCAAGTCGAGATGTTGTTTTCAATTGAAATTACTAGATATGAAAATTAAATATAGAATTAGCATTTTCTTTGAGCGATTTTCATTTGAATATTTGTAATGGCGAAAGTTTGAAATGAAAAAATAATGTAAATTTGTTCATGTTTGTCAAATTAAATAATAAAAAGATGAAACAACCAAAGATCCTCTCGATCAAGCACATTATTTAGGGTTAACCGGCAATACTGGTGTTGGCTTATGAATTTGACAAAGATAATTTTGCTTATCAGAATGACAATTTCTTTGATGCATTTAAAATCAAAAATATTGCATATTGAGTATGCGATGACATACTTCTCAACGACATGAGAAATACTTTCACAGTTTGCAAATTTCACGGCAAATGATGAAAGCAAATTTAATCGAATGTCATGCATAGATTTTCGCTTCATTTGAATAGTTCGTCAATATGCCAATCATTTTGATATTGAAACTGTTCCCTTCACCCAATCGGGAAAATCAAGTTAATTATTAAGAAATAAAAATACAATTTTATAGAAAATTGAAGTCGTCGTGAAGATGGACTGTGTAGATAAGCAAATCAAGAATAGTCCGGAATATTTCTGCGTTCATTTTACTCAGAATAAACGCCGATTATATAATTTTAAAGACGTGTGAACAAGAATTTTTTTTGAGTTAGAGTTTAGCCTTTCTGGGTTTGCAGGAGCGTAAAAACTATGTCCATTAGTGCTATTAAAAAATTTGCATGATCGACAGTTAAATCTAATGATTGATCAAAGAATGATGAGTGTCGGTGATACCATTCTCGAAATAAAGTTTTGTGGTCAATAGCCGAAATCAAGAGAACTAACGATAAATTGAAGAAACTGTTAAAGTCAGGATGAAAGTCGACAACTTTTATCCCCTATTAATTAGTTTCAGCTAGTTAACTCTTACGGTCACAGAATTCGGTCGATTTAACTGACAATCGAATTGATCTGTTTTACAGAAAATAGAAAACGTTATTTCGTAAAATGAGTGCATTTACTGATTTGTCAACAAAATTTAGATTCTTCAAATGAGTTTCATCAAGAAATCTGCTTCCATAATTGAACAAACGGCAATCCAAAATTCAACTTTGACCTCCATTTTCTCGAAAGTTATTGATGAAAGAGATTTTTTAATAGCTTGAATGGATGCAGATTTTATGTTTCTACAAACTCCTAAAAATCCCAACTTTAAACTTAACTCTTTACTTGAAAATTTTAATGTTAATCTTATGCAACTGAAAGGTTATTGAAACAAAAATCTTATGAGCTAGAAGGATATTAATTATTAAATTTCAGATTTTCTTTGGTTTTAAGTCATATCATGTCATAGCCCATAACAAAATCTAATGATTGACTAAAGAATGATGAGTTTAGCTGAAACCATTCTCGAAATATCGAGGTTAAAAGTTTTTAAGAAAATGGCCGAAATCAAGAGAACTATCAATAAATTGAAAAAAGTGATTGAGTCCTGATTTGTGCCGACAATTTTTATCTACCAATAATAAGTTTCAGCTATCTAACATTTACTGTCGCAGAATGCGGCCAGTTCAACTGAAAATCGAAGTGATCTGTTTACAAAAAAAAAGAAAACTTCATTTCACTAAATAAGTGGATTTATTAATTGGTCATCAAAACTTACATCAGAGAAAATGAGCACCATTGAAAAATCTGGCTCCATGGCTGCACAAAACGCGATCGAAGTTTTAACTTTGACCTCAATTTTCTAGAAAACTGTCCATCGGATGAATTGTCTAATAGTATTAATGGACTTAGTTTTTATGTCTCTACAAACGCACCAAGTTTCAACTTTATACTCAAATGTTCGAGCTTCTGGCATTACTTTTTGCATAACGGTTGCAAGTTTAACCAGAAAATTGCTTTATTTACCAAGAAATGGGTTAAGATGAGTTTTGTTTGTTGAATAAGTTGTTGCTCGCACATTTACAACCCAAATATCATGACCCGAGTGCGCTATTGGAAATTTATTTGATTGAATTGGATTATTGATTAGTAAAGGATTAAATTGATGAAAGAAAAATGGTTGTATGTGATGCCATTTTTGAAATATCGATGCTCAAAGTTTTAAAAACAATGTCCAAAATCAAGAAAACTGTTCATAAATTGAAAAAAGTATTTGATGCATGATGTGTACAAACAAATTTTGTACACAAATAATAAGTTTAAGCTCTTTAACTCTTATGGTCACAGAATGCGATCGGTTTAAATAAAAATCGAACTTATCTGTTTTACAGAAAACAGAAAACTTTATTTCTAAAAATAAACACCTTTTCTGGTTGTCCATTGAAAATGTCAATAGAGAAATGAGTTTCATGAAAAAGTCTGCTTCCATAAGCGAACAAAAGGCGATCGAAGTTTCAATTTCGTGCTCCATTTTCTAGAACATTGTTGGTTCAAAGAATTTTTTAATAGCAACTATGGACGCAGTTTGCATGTCTCTACTCTCTATTACTACCTGTTTTTGCCCATTTGTGTCTATCTGCTATGTATTGAAATACTTACTCTAAACCTTGAAACGAGGTTGAATAATAAAAATGAGAAAGTAACCTTTGAATTGTTCATTGAAAAGCACAGAAGATAAATAAGCAAATTTCACTCGCTGTTGTCATCTCATAACAGAGTCATTCACTTAGCATCAACTGATGAATAATCATGGAAAAATTGATACTTTAATCATGATTATATTTGCTATTATAAGGTTATTCAACTGAATGGCATTGAACATTGAGACTTTTATGTGTATCACTGGAGCAAGTGAATAAGATAACTCGATGAAAATCATGATAAATCATAAATCATAAATCTATTCACCTGCATTAATATAAATTATTCCTGTTTTTGATTGAACAATTAAATCTTTTATACTAAATTAATTAAAATCAAACATAAAACTAAGCATTCTATTATGAAATGGAAATCTTATGAGCTAGAAGGATATTAATTATTAAATTTCAGATTTTCTTTGGTTTTAAGTCAAACCATGTCATAGCCCATAACAAAATCTAATGATTGACCAAAGAATGATGAATATATCTGTTACCATTCTCGTAATATCCAGGTTTAAAGTTTTTAGGTCAATGGCCGAAATCAAGCGAACTACCGTTAAATTGGAGAAACTGGTTGAGTCAGGATGAATGTCGACAATTTTTATCCATGAATTATAAGTTTCAGCTATCTAACACTCATGGCCACAGAATGCGTTCGGTTTAACTGAAAATCGAAGTGGTCTGTTTTACAAGAAATAGAAAACTTTATTTCACAAAATAAGTGCATTTAAGCTTACTAATTGGCCATCGAAAGTTACTTCAGTGAAATGAATATCATTAAGAAATCTGGCTCCATAGCTGCACAAAACGCGATCGAAGATTCAACTTTGACCTCAATTTTCTAGAAAACTATTGATTGGATGATTAATTTAATAGTACCAATAGCCTCAGTTTTTATGTCCCAATGAAACCACCCAGTCTCAACTGTAAACTCAAATGTTGGAGCTTTTGGCATTACTTTTTACATTACAATTGCAAGTTTAACCAGAAAATTGGTTTATTTACCAAGAAATGGGTTGAGATGAGTTAAGTTTGTTTAATAAGACGTTGCTTGCACATTTAAAACCCAAATATCATGGAGTAAATCCGTTCTTGGAAATTTATTTGATGGAATTGAATTATTAATTAGTAGAGGATCAAATTGGTGGAAGAATAATGGTTGTAGATGATGCCATTTACGAAATATGGAGGCTCAAAGTTTTAGGACCAATGTCCAAAATCAAGAAAGCTGTTGATAAATTGAAAAAAGTATTTAATCCATGATGTGTACCAACAAATTTTGGCAGCAAATAATAAGTATCAGCTCTTTAACTCTTACGGTCACAGAATGCGGTCGGTTTAACTAAAAATCGAACTTATCTGTTTTACAGAAAATAGAAAACTTTATTTCTGAAAATAAGCGCCTTTTCTGTTTGCCAGAAATCAAAGAAAATAAATAAATAAATTTATCACGACAATACTGAGAGTGCTCATGAAAATTTGGCAACTTTTGACGCATCTATTTTGGCTGTTTGTTCATCAGAGAAATGAGTTTCACAGAAAAGTCTGTTTTCATAAGCGAACAGAAGGTGATCGAGGTTTCAATTTTGTGCTCCATTTTCTAGAAAACTGTTGGTACCTATGGACGCAGTTTTTATGTCTCTACAAACTTACAGAATCTAAACTCAAAAGAAACATTGTCCATTCGTGTCAATCTGTTTCTATCTGTGATAATCTCGTTAATTTTGTCTTTTTACAACAACATCCCTTTGTTTCAACTTTAACTTAAACATTCAACCTGTTATTTTTGATCCTCTAACATGCTTGTATAACGACTGATGGGTGAATAACCTGAACTGGTTTTGCTTTAGCTGCAATAATACAATGTTAGAATGAGCGAAATTCAATCGAACTCTTAAAAGAAAGTTAATTGTCCAAATTCAAGTCCAGAGTCCATGATATGATCATATTCCAATAGATCCCTGCAAACAAAAAGGCAACTTCAAACATGTGACTGTGATATTGCTCATGAGACTGTTTCAAAAGAATGTTTCAAATTTCCATTCATCGATCATTTGCTGATGGATTAATAATGAAACTAATTACATTGAACAATTGTATTGATCAAAATTTGGTAAAAGAAAGTCCAAGCTCTCTTTACATGAATTGTGGCCTCATTGAATCTCTTGAATAATCTTGTATTTATTATCTTGACTTTGAAAGTGTAAACAAGTTAATAACTTTGTTTGGTTTGGAAGCTCTCATGAAAAGTTCATTGACTTGCTTATTATCACTCGTCCTTGTAACGATTATAATGTTTTACCTTGAATGAAAGTGCAATGTTCAAGTTCAATGAACGCATTTCTATGCAATAATAATTAATTATTAGTCTGCTATTAAAAGTCAAACTCGACTTATATTGACGTCAATAACTGATTTGAAACTAAGTCAAACCTCTAATCGAAACCTTGCTCACCCAAAAGGTACAAAAGTATTTAAATGTACCGGAGACTCGAGTAGTCTCAACTTGAACGTTACTCCTCTCACTTAATTCTAGTTTGATTATTATTAGTGAAAATCTAATTACAATTTAATTACCACAATGTATTCTGAATGGACTGTAAAAGTTAAATCAATCTGTCAAAGTCTTCTAAGTGGTCCATGGAAAAATTTGTCACTGGATGAAATCACTGTTGACCCAATAACAACTGGAAGATCAAACCGTTTGTTCATCTGTTCCCGTCCATTGGTAACCTCTTCAAATGGCCCAAAACCTTCAACAAACCATGAAGAGTCAATTTTTGAACAATTGAAAGACGAATATGGAGATGTTAAAGTGGTCGTTCGATTCTATGGCAGCGATTATACGGGAGAAGGAAATCGATATAAGTGTGTAACCGATGAAGAAGAACTTGAAATCTTGGCCATTCTTTCCTCAAAAGGTCTTAGTCCTCGTGTCTTAGTCCCATTTGCTGGTGGAAGAATCGATGAATATGTTGAATCAATCATTTTACCTCCAAATCGGTTGAGTCAACCCACTAACCTTATGATTGTTGCGCCCAAAATAGCTCAATATCATAGCTTACAATTTCGTTGCCAGCGAGATCACGATCTCGTACAAATTTATCGGGACAATACTGAGAAAGCCTGTGAAAAGTTGGAAACTTTTGATGAATCTATTTTTGCTGGTTGTTCGGACAATTCATTAGAGCTATTCAGAAAGGTTAAGACTTTCATTACCCAAAAGCTGGGATTTCGTATACTATCAAAGATGATTTCAACGCAACACAAGAGGGTTTTTAGTCACATGGACCTTATCAACTCCAATCTTTTATTTCCTCATCCTCATTTGCCGCACAATCCGGATGATTTGATGATAATTGATGTGGAAAACAGTCAAAATCAATTTCGAGGGATTGATTTGGGTAAATTTTTCGCTGAAATTTATCTTGCTGATGACACGAAAAATTTTTCTTCCTTCTATGATTCTGATATTCATATTTTTGTGGATTGCTATTTGAATCAATGGTTCAAAATTGCTGGTCAATTCAATGGCATTGATCCCGAGATCGATAACCATGATCATTTATTCCTTGAGATGCAACTTGGAATCTTGATGGCTATCACTTTTGTTGTACCCTGGAATGTATTGCATCCAAACTTTGACCGTCTCGACATGCTACAAAATTCAGTTTCACGGATCGATCTTTACACTCATTTTTGCGAACGATGGTCACACATTTTTTAAAAGACTAAAGCTTTTTTAATAAATGTTTGTTTCTTGAAATGCTGTAAACATAATAAAATAAAGGAATCAGAATGCTTACGATTTGTTTTGGTGTTATTTCAATTAATTTAGTATAAAAGATTTAATTGTTCAATCAAAAAACAAGAAAATATTAATGCAGGTGAATAGACGATGAGTTATCATGATTTCCATCGGTTTATCTTATTCACTTGCCCCAGTGATACACATAAAAGTTTCAATGTTCAATGCCATCGAGTTGAATAACCTTATAATAGCAAATATAATCATGATTAAAGTATCAATTTTTCCATGATTATTCATCATGTGATGCTAAGTGAATGACTCTGTTATGAGGTGACAACAGCGAGTGAAATGCTTATTATCTTGGATGCTTTTCAATGAACAATTCAATGATTACATTCATATTTTTATTGTTCAACCTCGTTGCTTCAATGTTAAGGGTAAATATTGTAATACAACTGTGTTACAATTTTAATACAATGTTTAAGTTAAAGGGTTGTTACTGAATAGATACAATTAGTACGATTGCCAAAGATAGACACAAATTGAAACAAATCGGCTAAAATGAATTTCTTTAGAGTTTAGATTCTGCAAGTTTGTAAAAACATAAAAACTGTTTCCATAAATGCTATTGTGAAATTTCTTGGACCATTAGTTTTCTAGAAAATCGAGCACAAAATTGAAACTTCGACCACCTTTTGTTCGCTTATGGAATCAGACCTTTTCATGAAACTCATATATCTGATGGCACTTTTAATGAACAACCAGAAAAGGTGTTTATTTTCAGAAATAAAGTTTTCTATTTTCTGTCAAACAGGTTACTTCGATTTTTAGTTAAACCGATCGCATTCTGTGAATATAAGAGTGAAAGTGCTCAAACCTATTATTTGTGGACAAAATTTGTTTGTACACATCATGCATTAAATACTTTTTGCAATTTATGAACAGCTTTCTTGATTTTGGACATTGTTTTTAAAACTTTGAGCCTCGATATTTCAAAAATGGCATCACATACAACCATTATTCTTTCATCAATTTAATCCTTTACTAATCAATAATCCAATTCAATTAAATAAATTTCCAAGAACGCACTCGGGTCATGATATTTGGGTTGTAAATGTACGAGCAACAACTTATTCAACAAACAAAACTCATCTTAACCTATTTCTTGGTAAATGAATCAATTTTCTGGTTGCACTTGCAACCGTTATGCAAAAAGTAATGCCGAAAGCTCCAACATTTGGGTAAAGAGTTGAAACTTGGTGGGTTTGTAGAGACATAAAAACTAAATCCATTAATACTATTAGACAATTCATCCGATGGACAGTTCTCTAGAAAATTGAGGTTAAAGTTGAATCTTCGATTGCGTTTTGTGCAGCTATGGAGCCAGATTTTTTGATGATACTCATTTCACTGAAGTAACTTTCGATGGCCAATTAGTAAATGCACTTATTTTGTGAAATAAAGTTTTCTATTTCTTGTAAAACAGATCAATTCGATTGTCAGTTAAATCGACCGAATTCTATGACCGTAAGTGTTAGATAGCTGAAACTTATTATTCATGGATAAAAATTGTCGACTATCATCCTGACTCAAACAGTTTCTTCAATTTAACGGTTGTTCGCTTGATTTCGGCCATTGACCTAAAAACTTTAAACCTCGATATTACGAGAATGGTAACAGATATATTCATCATTCTTGGATCAATCATAAGATTTTGTTATGGGCTATGAGATAATATGACTTAAAACCAAAGAAAATCGGACATTGAATAACTAACATCCTTCTAACTCATAAGATTTTTGTTTGAACAACCATTTAGCTTTATAAGATTTGCATTTAAATTTTTGAGTAAAGATTTAAGTTTAAAGTTGTGACTTTGTAGAGTTTGTAGAGACATGCAATCTGCATGCATAGGTGCTATTAAAACACCGATACAAATATAATGAGCCAAATGCGCTCTTGGAAATTTATTTGATCGGATTGGATTAATAGCTAGTAAAGAATCAAATCGGTGGGAGAATGATGATTGTAAGTGATGCCATTTTCGAAATATTGAGGCTCAAAGTCAAGGCATGGAAAAGTGAATTTGATGCATAATGTAAACCAACAATTTTTACGGGAAAATATTAAGTTTCAGCTCTTTAACTGAATGCGATCGGTTTAGCTAAAAATCGAAGTGATCGGTTTTACAGAAAATAGAAAACTTTATTTCTGAAAATAAGTGCCTTTTCTGGTTGCCCATTAAAAGTGCCATCAGATATATGAGTTTCATGAAAAGGTCTGATTCCATAAGCGAACAAAAGGTGATCGAAGTTTCAATTTTGTGCTCCATTTTCTAGAAAACTGTTGGTTCAAGAAATTTTTTAATAGCACCTATGGACGCAGTTTTCATTTCTGTACAAACTTGAAAACTTGAATCTAAACTCCAAAGAAATTCATTACTTCCCGTTTTTGCCCATTTGTGTCTGTCTTTAGCAATCGTACTAATTGTGTCTTTTTAGCAACAACCCTTCGTTTCAACTTCAATTTAAACACTCAAACTGTTATTCTTGATTAACCAACATGCTTTTTAAGCTTTGTATAACGGCTCATGGTTGAATAACTGAAACTGATTTTGGTTTAAATACATTAATACAATGTTAAAATTTGAATGAGCTAAAATTTAATCGAACTCTTAACTCGACAGAAAGTTTCTTGTCCAAAGACAAGTCCAGAGCTAAAGGATATTCCAGGAGATCCCTGAAAACAAGCAGTCCCCAATCTTCAAACGTGTGACTGTGATATTGATCATGACTCATGATTCATGAGACTGTTTCGAAAGAATGTTTCAAATTTAAATTAATCGATCATTTGCTAATGGATTAACTTGAATGGAAGTCAATTGCATTGAACAATTGTATTGATCGGAATGTGGTAAAAGAAAGTCCCAGGTCTCGTTACATGTATTGTGGCCTCATTGAATCTCTTGATCTATTATTTATTATCTTGACTTTGAAAGTGTAAACAAGTTAATAACTTTGTTTGGTTTGAAAGCTCTCATGATAAGTTCATTGACTTGCTTATTATCACTCGTCCTTGTAACGATTATAATGTTTTACCTTGAATGAAAGTGCAATGTATCTACATATCGTGATAATCCTTTACTTTCACCGAGAAAATTGTTCAGTCTAGATTGTGTTATGAAACAAGCACTTCTTTTTGTCAAGTTCAATGAACGCATTTCTATGCAATAATAAATAAATTATTAGTCTGATATAAAAGTGAAACTCGACTTTTATTGACGTCAATAACTGATTTGAAACTAAGTCAAACCTCTAATCGAAACCTTGCTCACCCAAAAGGTACAAAAGTATTTAAATGAACCGGAGACTCGAGTAGTCGCAACTTGATCGTTGCTTCTCTCACTTAATTAAAGTTTGATTATTATTAGTGAAAATCTAATTACAACTACAATTTAATTACCACAATGTATTCTGAATGGACTGTAAAAGCTAAATCAATCTGTCAAAGTCTTCTAAGCGGTCCATGGAAAAATTTGTCACTGGATGAAATCACTGTTGACCCAATAACAACTGGAAGATCAAACCGTTTGTTCATCTGTTCCCGTCCATTGGTAACCTCTTTAAATGGCCCAAAACCTTCAAAAAGCCATGAAGAGTCAATTTTTGAACAATTGAAAGACGAATATGGAGATGTTAAAGTGGTCGTTCGATTCTATGGCAGCGATTATACGGGAGAAGGAAATCGATATAAGTGTGTAACCGATGAAGAAGAACTTGAAATCTTGGCCATTCTTTCCTCAAAAGGTCTTAGTCCTCGTGTCTTAGTCCCGTTTACTGGTGGAAGAATCGATGAATATGTTGAATCAATCATTTTACCTCCAAATCGGTTGAGTCAACCCACTAACCTTATGATTGTTGCGCCCAAAATAGCTCAATATCATAGCTTACAATTTCGGTGTCAACGAGATCACGATCTCGTACAAATTTATCGGGACAATACTGAGAAAGCTTGTGAAAAGTTGGAAACTTTTGATGAATCTATTTTTGCTGGTTGTTCGGACAATTCATTAGAGCTATTCAGAAAGGTTAAGACTTTCATTACCCAAAAGCTGGGATTTCGTATACTATCAAAGATGATTTCAACGCAACACAAGAGGGTTTTTAGTCACATGGACCTTATCAACTCCAATCTTTTATTTCCTCATCCTCATTTGCCGCACAATCCGGATGATTTGATGATAATTGATGTGGAAAACAGTCAAAATCAATTTCGAGGGATCGATTTGGGTAAATTTTTCTGTGAACTTTATCTTGCTGATGAAACGAAAAAATTTTCTTCATTCTATGATTCTGATATTCATATTTTCGTTGATTGCTATTTGAATCAATGGTTCAAAATTGCTAGTCAATTCAATGGCATTGATCCCGAAATCGATAACCATGAACATTTATTTCTTGAGATGCAACTTGGAATCTTGATGGCTTTGACTTTTGTCATACCCTGGAATGTATTGCATCCAAACTTTGACAGTCTCGACATGCTACAAAATTCAGTTTCACGGATTGATCTGTACACTCATTTTTGTGAACGATGGTCACAAATTTTGTAAAAGGCTAAAGCTTTAATGGAAGCTAAACCTTTTTTAATAAATGTTTGTGTCTCGAAAAGCTGTAAACATAATGAAATAGAAGGAATCAGAATGCTTAATTTTATATTTTATTTTAATTAATTTAGTATAAAAGATTTAATTGTTCGATCAAAAACAGGAATAATTTATATTAATGCAGGGGAATAGACGATGAGTTATCGTGATTTCCATCGAGTTATCTTATTCACTTGCCCCAGTGATACATATAAAAGCTTCAATGTTCAATGCCATTGAGTTGAATAACCTTATAATAGCAAATATAATCATGATTAAAGTATCAATTTTTCCATGATTATTCATCATGTGATGCTAAGTGGATGACTCTGTTATGAGATGACAACAGCGAGTGAAATTTGCTTATTTATCTTCTATGCTTTTCAATGAACAATTCAATGATTACTTGCTCATTTTTATTATTCAACCTCGTTTCAAGGTTTAGAGTAAGTATTGTAATACAACTGGATGATTATGTTATTTCATTATGTTAGCCTTGGAATTTCATGAGAGTTTTATGATCGATGATGATCGATCTTTAAATCTTAACCAGTTCATGTTATTCACCCATCAGTCGATATACAAGCATGTTAGAGGATCAAAAATAAGAGTTTGAATGTCCATAGATGCTACTAAAAAATTTCATGGACCATTAGTTTTCTAGAAAATGGAGCACGAAATTGAAACTTCGATCACCTTTTGTTCGCTTATGGAAGCAGACTTTTTCATGAAACTCATTTCTCTATTGACATTTTTAATGAACAACCAGAAAAGGTGTTTATTTTCAGAAATAAAGTTTTCTATTTTCTGTGAAACAGGTTACTTCGATTTTTAGTTGAACCGATCGCATTCTTTGGCTGTAAGAGTGAAAGAGCTCAAACTTATCATTTGTGGACAAAATTTGTTTGTATACATCATGCATCAAATACTTTTTTCAATTTATGAACAGTTTTCTTGATTTTGGACATTGTTTTTAAAACTTTGAGCCTCGATATTTCAAAAATGGCATCACATACAACCATTATTCTTTCATCAATTTAATCCTTTACTAATCAATAATCCAATTCAATTAAATAAATTTCCAAGAACGCACTCGGGTCATGATATTTGGGTTGTAAATGTACGAGCAACAACTTATTCAACAAACAAAACTCATCTTAACCTATTTCTTGGTAAATGAATCAATTTTCTGGTTGCACTTGCAACCGTTATGCAAAAAGTAATGCCAAAAGCTCCAACATTTGGGTAAAGAGTTGAAACTTGGTGGGTTTGTAGAGACATAAAAACTAAATCCATTAATACTATTAGACAATTCATCCGATGGACAGTTCTCTAGAAAATTGAGGTCAAAGTTAAAACTTCGATCGCGTTTTGTGCAGCCATGGAGCCAGATTTTTTAATGATACTCATTTTCTCTGATGTAAGTTTCGATGACCAATTAATAAATCCACTTATTTTGTGAAATGAAGTTTTCTTTTTTTTGTAAAACAGATCACTTCGATTGTCAGTTAAACGAACCGAATTCTGTGACCGTAAGTGTTAGATAGCTGAAACTTATTATTGGTAGATAAAAATTGTCGGCACAAATCAGGACGCAATCACTTTTTTTAATTTATCGATAGTTCTCTTGATTTCGGCCATTTTCTTACAAACTTTTAACCTCGATATTTCAAGAATGGTATCAGCTATCCTCATCATTCTTTGGTCAATCATTAGATTTTGTGATGGGCTATGACATAGTTAAACTTAAAACCAAAGAAAATCTGACATTTAATAATTAATATCCTTCTAGCTCATAAGATTTTTGTTTTAATAACCTTTCAGTTGCATAAGATTAACATTAAAATTTTCAAGTTAGGACTTTGTGGGGTTTGTAGAAGCATAAAATCTGCGTCCATAGGTGCTTTTAAAAAATCTCACCCATCAAAATTTTCCAATTTCCATTTTTAATTAAACCAATTCTATCTCATAATTTGGGATATTCATTAGTTGCCACAACTTGAAGCTTAGTATTCTAAATTAAACATTCCAAATTCTACATTGTTGTTAATTAAAATGAACTGGATAATTGTAATGAAATAAAACGAATCTTTTTTATTTGAAAAAATTACAATTATAATTTATAACTTAAAACGATTCTTAAAAAGCTAAATCATGCCACGACCGGCAAAAAGTGCTCGTACAACCAAAGACAGAGCCCGAGCAATTGGATTCCCAAAAAAGTCACCTTCATTGGAATCTACTTCTTCAATTGGTCCACCCGGTCGACCCGGTCGACGTGATATACCATTTGAGCCACCAGCCTTTGGACCAAATTTATTTGATTGTTGTGCCACATTGATTTACTGTCCACGACACAATAACTTTGGTTTAACCAGGATTGGTGAAGGAAAAGGAATGTGGTTACCTTATGTACCTCTTAGACCTTCAGATGGTTGGTATGCCGCTTGTGTTTCCCGTTTAAAGCAAGTGCTTTCAACCGGTACAGGACCGAAGCAATATCTTTCCTTCTCCCAACCAGAATTGATACATATTTTTCGCCTTCAAGTTCCAGACTTTTGCCAATTCGTTACTAGAGTTACTTTCTTATCTCAATTGACTCATGAAGAAAAAAGTTCAGGCAATTGTTGCCAACCAAACAAGACTCTACATTGGTTTTCAGCTGATGATGTTATCAATCAAAATGTTGCTGATCTTTGGGGTCCAGAACCTTGCGTTTTTGGTGAAGCTTTCCTTCACAATGCCATTGAAAAAGGAGCTTATACTGAATACACGATGAGAGATGCTATGCGTTACATGACACGAGATCCACCAAAAACGTTTCAAGATGAAATGTTGAAATCAGCCAATTTTGCGGACAAAGATATCAATCGACTTTACTCTGAATTCATTCAACACTGTTATCCCTCACAGTACATGGTCTTCCCTTCATTTGTTGATTACATGTCTCGTATTGGTTGGCCAGCTGCTGATCGAGACTTGGAAAATGTTTACCGTGCTTTTGGCTTCAACCACATGTCCTATTTATCTTTTCACGAGTTTCTTCTCGGTCTTGCAGCAATGGACAAGCAAACCCATCATGGAGGTCACCCAGGAGAGTTGAGATGTGGTTATATCTTTCGTTATTATGATACCAACAATGATGGAGTTTTGGATAATATTGAAATGGCCAGAATGATTTATGATATTTTACGTTTGAAAAACAAACCCCATGATGATGACTCGGTGGAAAAGGAAATGGTTAAAAATTATCAGGCCTTGGGTGTTAACCTAAATGATCCATCACCTGTTGTCACTGACACTCAACTATTACGAGCCATTGGTACCATGTCTTTCCGAGGAACATCAGCTCTATTTCGTGCTCCATTCCCAATCTTGACAACCATTTCAGCGAAACGCTGTTACGAGTCTCTCACTCATATACAAGGAGTTGGTGGTGAACAAGAGCTTAAAGTTTGCAGAAGACTCAAAGGCATTTGTTCGAATTGTAAAAACAAAAAATTCACAATTGCTGTCCATTGTGCTCGAGTAGCTCCAGAAGGAAATATTGTTGAGGTACAAGAGGTTTTACCCGAAGAAATTGCCCAAACACCCAAAGATCGACGAGCAATGTCATTGATTGCATTTAGTGTTGAAAATGTGGCCAACCGAATGATTGAATGGCTTCGTGATTACTCTGAAGTTGCCAATTTGGGTAATTTTAAACGATCTTTTGGTACCAGACGTAAACCAGGAGAGAAACAGAAAGCTGGAAATTATTGGATTACCAGTGATAGAACAGCTTTGGCCAATGCGATAATTAAACTGTGTGCTGACATGGAAAATATCTTTAAACGAGAAGCTAGATGTATTAAAATTAATAGTCCTGTATATGTTCTTGGTGATACTCATGGTAATTTGAGAGATATCATGATTTATGAAAGAATCCTTTGGAGAAAAGCTCCCAACTGTGTATCTGCTAGTTACCTATTTCTTGGTGATTTTGTTGATCGAGGTGAATATGGATTGGAATGTATTCTTTACCTTTTCTCTTGTAAAATATTGTCACCTGAAAAATTTTGGCTTATCCGTGGTAACCATGAACTACGATCCATCCAAGCAGTGTTTACCTTTCAACGTGAATGTGCCGATAAATTTGGGAAAAACTTGGGCAACTCCATTTGGGATGCTATTAATCGAGCCTTTGACGTGATGCCTATATGTGCAGTTGTTGATGAATCCATTTTCTGTGCTCATGGTGGAATACCTACTTCGGTCACTAAAATTGAGGATCTTCAAAACATACCCACTCCACTGGCTGAACCCGAGTCACAGTCACCGCCTGCTTGGGAAATACTTTGGAATGATCCAGTGTCTGGAAATGAATTTGATGAATATGCGGACATGTTGCGGTTACAATCAGGATCCAATGCATTCAACAGTTTACAAGGGTTTTTACCCAACACTAAGCGAGGAACAGCTTACTATTTTAATGAAGAGGCTGTTAATAAGTTTCTTCAAGTCAACGGTTTAACTCACATTATTAGAGCTCATGAGGTTATTCCAGCTGGTTATCGATTTCACATGGGTGGTAAAGTAATAACTATCTTTTCTTCATCACACTATTGTGGTGGAATGAACGAATCAGCTTGTGTTTTTATTGAAGCAGAAAAGTTGAGGATATTACGTTTAGATACAAGCTGTTGAGATTAAAATTGAATTTTATTTAGTCCTCCTTGTTTAACATTAAATATGTATTTTCTTAGTAAACTTTCAAGTTAATTACTTTATTGTAATTATTAATAATGATTAACAAAATCATAATTTGAATTATTTTCTTATAAAATTGTCACCAAATAGGTAAGAGTTCATGATAGATATCTTTAGTTAATGAAAACTCGAATTGCATGATCGATCGTTGGAAACTGATAAGGTCTGGAAATGTTAATTACTAAATAAAATATAAGTTATTAGTTGATTATAACTAATCAAATCAACTTTCTAAAGTTTGCTAACGGTCAATTTAAAGCGATTAATCGCTTAAACAATCGATAGGTATCGATTATCTCGATATTATCGTACATTTTAATATAGTATTTTAAATATTAATCGTGCTGTCCAAGTTTTACTAAATTGCGTATTATGTTTGCTGTGAAATTGTTAACACATAGAAAAGTTTTCTCATCATTTAGTCTTCGCTTCGCTCAGGCTAATTATGTATAATGGTGCGTTTGAAGTAGAACCTGATGCTTCTGGCTTTTGTGAATCACCTGATGCTAATGAAACACATGATATACCCGATATAAATGAGTTACCACCTTCAGTTCCCTCCTGTTATATCATAAACCAGGCTTATCAAAATGAACTTGAAATTTTTAAAGAGGATCTGGAAAGGAAGCTGATCGAGAATAGAGCTTTGCAAGAGAAACTTTATAATGAAGAACCAGCCATCAGTGATGTTGCCCATCCAAATTCAGCACTCAAATTCTTAGTACCCTATTTTCGTGACAGAAAAGGTTTCAAACCTGAGGATAACGATGATACAAAAAGTAGGAAACTTTCGGGTGCCATAAATTTTTTCTATAGACGCAAGAAAAAACCATGGAATGATCAAGATATAAATAATTTGAGGTCAGCTGTTGAAAGCTGTGTTCGCAGAAAAACTTTGGAACCTTACACTAGGAAACAAGATTCTTTACTTGCTGAAATAGATGTAAGTATTTTCTGGTTAAATTCTGAATATTATTAAACTAAACTAATGCATTCGTTATTTTTATGACTTTGATTTTGATACTTTTAGCAATTAGAAGCCATTGGAGCTGATCAAGATACATTGGAAGAAAAAATTGAAAAACTGGAAAATGTTAGAAATGAAATTAACGAAATCTCTGAATTACCAGTAACGTTTTTTTATCCGCCTCCAGATAAAAGTGATGATATTGACTGGTTATGGGTTTCAAGCCAGTGTTCAGCGCTATATAATGAATTCGATTGTGAAATTAAATGGTCAAATTATTTACACCCTGAAATAAATCATGAGAAATGGACTTCAGAAGAAGAAAGTAAACTGAAACAACTCTGTAAAAAGATACATACCGATTGGGATATGGTTGCTGTGAATTTAGGAACAAAAAGAACTGCATGGGAATGTTTTGAAAAGTATCAATCCCACTTCAATGAGAGGATCGTACGATCTGGGCAATTCACTTATGAAGAGAACTGTTTATTGAAAAAGTTAGTGGATAGACTTTCAATTGGAGATTACATACCTTGGCATCAAGTTGCATATTTTATGACACAACGTTCACTAGCACAGATAAAGCATTTCTGGAATAAAATAAATTGTAGTAGAAGAGGAGCAAAATGGAATGAACTGGAAGATAAAGTTTTGCTAGCTGCTGTTGAAAAACATGGAACTCGTAATTGGAAGCACGTAGCTTATTTCATCCCAGGAAGAAGCAATAGACAATGTAGAGAACGGTACATGATGCGATTAGGAATAAAAGATCGTAAACTTGCTGATTGGACTTTTAACGAAGACTGTAAATTAATTCAAATTGCTCCTAATTTAAAGTTTCGATGGATTGAAATGATGGCGCATATACTTAAAAGAAATGCCCGCCAAATAGCGGCACGATATGATACTCTTGAAAGATGTCGAATCGCCAATGATTTACGTTATTATAAAGATTTACAAGATTTGGTGCCGCGTAAAAAATCATCAAAAAGTAATAATTTTATCATTCCTGAGTTGCAACTAGAGGAAGGTCAAACTATCGACGATTTTTTGCGTTCCGGTAAAAAAGAATTGGAAATAAATCTGAAGAATAGTAATTATCGACCAAAAATTAGTAGACTTGGAAATGGAGGGAGACCGAAAAGGGCTGAAAGGGATGAGATTGTTGAACAAGAACTTGTCCACCGATTTAGTTTTTATTCTCTCATTGGTAAACTCAACCCTCAAGTCAAAAGATTGGGTATGCAAAAGATTAAATTGTCTGATCAATTATATGAATTTGTTTTTTAACTTTTTTATTGTTATCTTTTTTTATTTACAGATCGTGCTAGTCAAGAAGCAATTGTGCTGGATGTTTTAAATTCATTATTACAAGATTATTTTTCTGGCAAATTACCTGAAGAACCTCATCTTTTGGTACAAATTGTATCTGCTGTACTCAAAAAACAAGTGATTGGATTAAACCCTGATAAACTTGGTTATTGTCCACCAATTTTCCCGCCCAACCTGGTTACAACAAATTCTTACCAGTGCCTTTTATTTATGAAGCAACATTTAATAAAACAATTAGAGGGAAAAACCATTGATACTAGTCAGCACGAGTGGCACCCAAATTATCGTGCACTTTTAGGCTTTCTCGTTTCTGTTTATTATTGGCCTTGCTTTCTTTCAACTCAACCACCAGAATCAACTCAACCTCCCAAAAATCAACTGGATAATATGCAGCTATTATCTGAGCTTTCAACAATTTCATCAAATTCATCAACTTCATCAACATCATCAGCATCATTCTCATCAACGAAAAAACATTCTAAACGAAGGAAAAAATCTCAATCACCAAATATAGATTATCTTAATGAAGCAAGAGAGAAACAACGATATATATTTGCACTTTATCAAGGATATCTCGAATCCAAAGCGAGACAAGAAGTTAACCCACAATCTAATGCAATTTAAATTGTATGTTTTTATACCAAATTATGTTATATAAGAGTTAAATAAATAATGAAAGATATTGAAAAAGATTAAATTTGCAATTTGTCATTTGCATTAATCAAAATCTAAATTGCAAAATGTACATTTCTTATGCATACAATTGTCTATTGTCTGTACCCTTTTACTTTATAGTTTATATTATATTTATGATAAACATAATTTTAGCTAATTATCTGGGTAGGATTTTTTAACTAATTATTTGAACTTTGACTGACTGTGAGAAAGGATGATTGTTGCTTAAGCAATTTTTCTTGCTTAAGAGCAGGAGTGATCGTTATAATCAGCTTTAGATCTAGATGAGGTTATTTTTTAACTCACTTTCACTAGACCTGGATACATTTCTTCAAGCCTTTTCTAGGTTTGCTTTTCTATTTGGCAGTTTACTAATTAATCTGGATTATTAAAAGGTTTAAATTGCTAAGGAGTTTAAATATGAAAATGTAAAAGGTATATAAAAGAGACAGATGGCAGCAGTACCCTCAGTAAAAGAACATGCGTAAAATGCTTGTAAATTTGTTTCTACATGCTTATTGTAATACATTATCAAAGTGTCTAATTTAATATCTGTTTTGATTACTATTTATTAATTGTTCATCATCCTAGTTGTATACTTTGTGAAATAGACAAATTCTCTGTAGTACCCTTAATAGGTTTTGTTGAAATTGGTTACAATTTTAAGAGAACCTCATCATGCCAAGAAGCGGAGGAGGTGATGGGATAGCAAATAAATCACTGTTTATAAAGAACCTCTCTGAGGATATTAGGTGAGTCCTTTCTGTTTAAAACAGCATGGCTATCATTGGACATTACTTTGAACAACTAAGCGTTCATTTTAAAATGAATTGCTGAATGTCTCATGTTTTGTTCACTTGGTAGCCTTAATTGAGATACCAATGAATCTCATTTGAATATTGTTTAATTTTTTACTGTCTTTGTGTTATAATTATCTAGATCAAATGATTTAAAGAACATTTTTGGTAAATATGGTAAAATAGCTGATGTTTACATCCCGGTCGACTACTACAACAGGAAACCTAGAGGATTTGCCTATGTTCAATTTGAAAGTTTGCGGGATGCTAAAGACGCCGTCAGGGATCTACAACATCTTACTTTTCATGGACGTGAGCTGACTGTCGAATTTGCCCAAGGAGATCGAAAGAGTAAGTCATCCAAAGATGGTTTGATTCAAAGGGAACTTTTAAACAAGACTGTGATCCACAATCCACAAATCCACATTGTTTTACAAAATTTTAAAGAACCGAAAGAAGTTGGTTGAAAGATTTACTCTTCGTTCGATTCCTATTTAATCAAAGTATTATCAAGTTATTGACCTGAATTCATTCACATTGAACATCATTTTCTTTTGTCAATTCTTGAATTGCGCATTGCTAATCCAGCTCCGTCAGAGATGCGATACAAAGAAAGACGAACACCGAACGAGCGTGGGGATAGCAGACACAATGGTTACAGAAGAAGGTCTAGAGAACGTTGCAGGAGTCGCTCAAGAAGCAGATCTCGAGGTCGATCACGGGAAAGAAGGTAAGCTATAATTTTATTGAACCTTTGAATTCTTTGAATATATTAATCTTAACAATAATTTACATCTGTATTTTCTGTATTTTTCATCTTAGGTTTAGTCGAAGTCCAATTCGTCGTCACTCTAGACCGTCACGTCGCTCTCGCTCATTATCAAGGTCACGTCCAAAACATGGTTCTGGTAGCCTTCATCATAACGATCGATACATACACCGGCCTCGTCAAATCTCCCCTATTTGAACTCATTAAAAGTCATTAGCATCTCCCAGTCAGTCTTCATCACTTATTGCTTATATTTTCATCATAAAATCCGTTCAACGATTTAATTCAAGAATTCATGATTTAATACTTTGATTGTCACCAACCACTAGAATTGTATTAAAAAATGGAGGAAAAAAGATAAAGAAATATTTATCGGACAAAGTTATAACCTCAGTAAGTTGATTAGTTATTTGGTAAATCCTTACAAACTAAAAATAAATGAAAGGAACATGCGTGCGTGTTAAAGTGAGGAAGACAAACTGATGAACAAATGCTGAAGACGAAAATGATGACATTTATAATGAAATGGATGATCTTATGGTAGCAATGGTTAAATAGTGAAGAAACGAAATAGAGCGATACAAAGAATTTGTCATTCACTGTTGATACTTAGAAAATTGAAAAAAACTGTGTCTAATCGAGCAGTTCGCATTATTGCATGCACATTTCATTTTTCATCTTCCCTCCTTCTTCATCCTCCTCCTCGTCTTCACACTGTCACCATCATTATCTTCATCACCATTCTCACATCTTTTAAACTAATGATGGGAGACCCTCGGAATGAGTTTGACTTGGAAGAAGAGAGAAAAGAGGGACAAAATCGATGACAATATCAAATTGGTAGGAGGCTGTGAAGGAGTTTCTCAAGATGATTATTATCAACTTTTCTTCCTTTTTTCGTTGACAATTTAGGGTTAAAGACTGAAAAAAGGATTTAAAATAAGGTGGAGATTGAGACTAATTAAATAAACATCAGCAACTGTCAGGTTCAATCCTTTGTTTGCTCAATTATTATCAATGTTACTGAAATGTATTAGTTAATTTTGCCAAATTCATTTGATAAACACATTCTTACTGCGACAGTTGTCAGTCGTTTATTATTTTTTTTTGTGTTTCTTTATTTTATTGTTCATCTATTTCATCTAAACGGATTCAAGTATTTTATAAACATTGTTCGTCTTCGTTCTCTTTTTCATCTTTCCAAATTCTGTATGAACATCCAAATTAATGAAGTTGAGAATATCAAATTGATAGTTAAAAAATTGTAATATCTTGTGTTATATTGTTTTGGCTTCTATATGGGAACTTCAGAAAACATGGATAATCAAAATATGGATGACAGCAATCATGTTAAGGGTATAAACGACCTGAGTTGGAAGGTTAAAGAAAACATTGTTATATCAGGTATTTCTGGACGTTATCCAGACTCAGATGATATTGAAAAGTTTTGGTCAAATCTCATGAATGGGGTTCCTCTTTATACAGCTGATGATCGACGATGGCCAATAGGTGAGTTAATTTTTACTTAAAAATTAGTAAATTATTTGGCCATCTTTTGTTTCCAAATAGCCAATGGTTTTATAAAACTTGAGTCTTAGCCAGTCTTTTTGCAATACATTTGAAAATTGATTCAGATTGGTTTGATTGCCATCAGCAGTTGGTGGTTTCACTAATTTTGATGCCGATTGGCTTGCTAATTGAGCTTATAATTGAATAGCAGTTAAGGTAACCACCAGATAAGATCAATTGATTTTGTATCAATCAGTCGACTTGTAACCACAATTTTAGCATTTCATGATTAGATCGCTTTCTTGAAAGATTAAATCAAAGCCAGAAGTGTTAATTAGCGATACATACAATTAAAATCGTGAGAAAATCGATTAGTATTTAAATCTAATTTGTCTAAATCTTTAAGATGTTAAACACTCATTTTTAAGTTGTTATTATCCCTAAACCGAATTGTGTAAGATTAAGATAAGATTTTAAACAATTATGATTATAATCATCCAACCTTTAGTTTAGGATTTGAAGGTGAAGAATGAATAATCTAAACCATTTACTGTTAACTAGCCATTAGTAATGATAGTTGATAGTTGATTACTGATAGTCAGACTAACAATTAACTATTGTAAGTTAATATAAGAAATGAATATCTGAGCCTTTGCTTAAAATTGAAAAGCAAGTTTATTAGTTTGTAATATTTTGAATTATTAGGAATGTAAAAATAAAACAAGTTGAATTGTTAGAGGAAATGGTTAGAAGGAGATTAATTAACATGAATGAGTAAACAAATTGTCAAAGGAAATTAGTGAAATTAACTGATGAGTGAAGACAATTTTCTGGTAACAAAGGTAAGTTACAGTAAACTGAAATGACGGAGATGAGGAGATAATTTTAGTAGAAGCAAAAGCTGTCATAATCAATAGAATGCTCATATTTACAGTAAATCATGGTTTTAATTCATGATCAATATGTACACTTACAGAGCCTTTATGTATCATGAAACAGAAATAATTCACGAAACATGTTAATGATTAGTGTGTTTGCTGAGTTTACACACACACGTTTTACACTGATAACGATCCTAATTGCAATGTATTTAAAAAGGATTGGTGAATGATTAAATTTTTATTCCGTTGACAAGTCTTTTATGATGATGGCTTGAAGGTGAGAGGGAACGAGCCGAGAATAAGATGAGTCGAGATGAAGATATTGAACCATTTTTCTTCTTCATTGGTGCTTAGCAGCTCTTTGCTTGGCTAATTTTTTTAAATTTTTTTACAATTCATTGATCACCACATCTTATTGTAATGAAGATGAAGCAGGTAAAGTCATGTCTTTGGCAAGAAGAAGATGAATAAGAGCTGAAATGAGTAAGCAATCAGTTTTAAGTATTAATACATTTTCACTCTAATAGTTGATCAAAAGTAAAATATCTTTTATTTTAAGAATCAATTTGATAAGTTTGTGATTATCAAATTATTGTCAAATCTCTTCATTAGATTTCGAAACATTTCGCATTTCCAGCCAATTTAATTATACCGATTTGGTTTGCCACTCACCATTCAATATAAATTGAAACGAATCATGAAGCTAACAATCCAAATCTGAAACAAAAGCGGGAAAATGTTATGAAATTGCAAACATGAACCTTGTTGATCTAAGCTTAGCATATAAACAATTGGTCATTAATTATTTTAATACAACAGTTTATTGAACCGCTTCAAATATTCGGATCGCTTCATGAGATTCAATTGCTTTATTCATCGATATTTTGTCTCAATTTTACAGTTATGTCAAAGTGGCTTTTGATTGTCCTTACGGATCTTTCAATCCTAAAGCCATGGAAGAAACGACAAGAGCTTCCAATCATTAAATTGTTTCCAAAGCGAGTGATTCCAGTAAATTTTAACACCCGGATGAAAAAACCAAGAACAAACTTCTCGTTATTATTGCCATCTTGTTGATTGCTTTTAGATTTTTAATGTTATTTATAAACCAATTCTTCCAACTTGTTATTTTTTAAGCAGAAATGATAAAACTTTAGTTCCAAAAGAGAAATGAAAATGCCATTGAAACTTTTCTAGAAAATAAAGTGCAAGAATTCAATAAATCAAATCATCGAGTTATTTCTAGATATTTTGCAGTTTATGAAGGTGTTGAGTTTGAATTGTTAAGCAACATGATCTTGTTGATTCATGACTAAATTCACTACCTTCTGAGATTTTCATGGGCATAGAGAACTGTCTTTGATCTTCTTGACATAGTCGTTAAAATCACTGCTTACATTGTAAGGTTCATTTTAAAGTTATGAACTGCTGAACTTGGGACATTTTATTGTCAAAAGTTGCGATAACACTAATGAAGTCAACTTAGTCGCGAGAAATTAAGTTATCATTAAGTTCAACTGAATCAAGTTGTAGGATCGAAGAAAATCGAAAAGTAATGATGACTGTAATCACAATTATTAGAAGTAGAAAGAATTGAAGAGTTAATTCTTGATTATTTTAATGTTTCCCGTTCTGATTGCAAGTGGAGAGACTAAAAATTTTGGTTGAAAATAATAACAGACATACAGTTCATTGACATTTCCTTGCTTTTCAATCCTTCTAAATTGTTATTCAAAAACTGAAAAGAATTAACATTAAAATAAATAGTCTAACCAATGGATAGCGCAATTTTAATCATTAAATTATGATTAAATTGCGACAAAACATAATTAAGGTTAACTTGAGAAATCAAATTACAGAAAACAAAGTCAAAACCAAACATTAAAGTCTTGTGAAGATGAATTATACGCTTAATCTGTACAATTGTGGGTTAATCTATTGAAACACCAATTTGCAAATAACGATGTCATCAATAATTAGTAAAATAATAACCAATTAACCATAAATTGCTGATTAAACTCAAAAAATCACAAAAAATAGTTCAAAATTAAAATCAAACGTTACTGCAAATGTTGAAAAAAGATTTGTATAAATGAAGACTTATTCAAAGCTTATTCTTGTGATTTACAATTTATGTAATTATTTCTTGAATATCTTGGATTTGATTTAATGATTATTGTTAAATATTCAGTTTACAATGTATCATTTCCAATATTAATCTGGTTATTAATGTAAGACTGTGAATAACAAGTGTTTCATTACTCTCATGAGGCAGGATCAATAGGATGAAATATAAATCATCAGAAGCACTCTCTTGCTCATACAATGTTAAGATTAAGTTCTAATTGGTTGACGAACCATTAAACATTCAAGTTGATTGGCATCACTGATTTCATATGCTACAGTTTTCGTAATATTCATCTTCCTACTTCTCAATCTCATTATCAATCACAGCTTATTCTCATCATCACATTTTATTTTCATTATCCCGACCTTAAGTCACCTTTTTCAAAACAAATGAGCTCAAGAACAAAATGTTTTCATTATTCAATCTTTTCTTTTGGATTCAATTTCAATCATGATTTACCATGATCTCCCATAACTTCAACTATATTTAGTTGATTGCTCTCACCATTCTCATATAATAACGCATATCACAACAAGTTGATTAACTTATTCTAATGCAAAATAATCATTAACACGGCTCGGTATTGAATTTGAGTTCATCTTCAAGTTTTACTCGAACAATAATTTTGTGCAATTGCATTATCACTTTGCATTGAATTGTTACCACAATTTGTGATGAACTCTTGGTCCAAGTCTGTTGATGATTTGTGTCTCAATTTGATTACAAATGATTAGCTGAATACAATGACCCGTTTCTTTACAATTCAACAGTAAATAATGCAAAAAATTAATTTGTTCAGAAGCAAAAACTCATCTTAAGATTATACTTAATTTATTCAGATTTTTTCAATTTGAATTACAACTCTTTGAAAATTCATTGAAATGTCTGGAATCTGCAATATAATCACTTCCTCCGCATAATAAATGATTAACAATTTTAATCTATTGACGTATATTCCAAAATGAGTTGGCTAAATCTTTAAATCTTTAAAATTCTGATGAAGTTGCACTGATTGTTAGTTGCGTCTTTTAGGATAATCTAGCTCTTTTCATGCATAAGATACCAATCCTTTTATTGTTTGGGCCAATTTAATTTTAATTGACGATTAAAAATGGAATCGGTTTATTGTAATTGAATTATATTTTTATTCAATTCAATTACTTCTACAGGTTATCTTGGAACACCTAAAAGAGCTGGAAAAATCAATGATATATCCAAGATGGATGCCGAATTTTTCGGAATACCTGACAAAGATGCTCATCTTATGGATCCTCAAATAAGGATTTTTCATGAAGCTGTTTATGAAGCAATTTGGGATGCTGGTACGTTAAACGATTTTTACGATAATTAGATAACAAAATATCACATCTATTACAAGACAGATCATTGTCTATTAAGCATTTTGAACAGCAAATATATTTTACAGAGTTTACAAAAAATTATTGTGAATTAAGCACATTTGAATCAACAAGATTTTAATGCTCATCTTTTTATCGTTTTTCAGGTATAAATCCAGATGATCTCCGTGGTAGTCGTACTGGAGTATTTTTTGGCTTATGTTATGATGATTCCACTCAAGCTATAACTCAAGATGAATCCTTGGCTCATTCTTACATTCAATGGTCCACCTCTCGAGTTTCTTATGCTCTCGATCTTCGAGGTCCAGTTGCTCAAGTTGATTCCGCTTGTGCATCGAGTTTCTCTGCTTTCTGTGCCGCCTTGTCCTCCATGAAAGCAGGTGATTGTGATAGCTGTATTGTTGGTGGTGTAACTGTGCAATTGCGTCCCTCAATATCTCAATGTTTCCGTGCACTTAGTATGTTATCCGATGACGGTATCCCTAAATGTTTGGATGCCAAAGTAGATGGTTACTGTCGAGCTGAAGCTGTAGTTGCTATCTTTTTACAACGAGAACCTGAAGCTCGTCGAATCTATGCAAAAGTATTAAATTGTCGAACTAATTGTGATGGATTTAAGCCTGAAGGAATTACTTTCCCTCGATTCAAGCTCCAGCATTCTTTAATGAAACAAGTCTATGAAGAAGCTCATATCAATACTGATGATGTTGAATACATTGAAGCTCATATGACTGGTACACCAGCAGGTGATCCTATTGAATCGGAGGCTATCTTATCAGGTTTAAGATCAAAATCAACGAAACCTATTCTTTTCGGTTGCCTTAAATCAAATATGGGTCATACTGAAGGAGCATCCGCACTTTGTTCAATTTCAAAGGTTGCCAAAATATTTCAAACGGGATGGATTCCTCCTAATCTTAACTTTACCGAACCAAACCCTAATATTCCTGGTCTTTCAAAGGGAATCATCATTCCAGTATTGAAGCAAACACCATTCAATGGAGACATTATTGGTGTAAATTCATTTGGCTTTGGTGGAGTCAATGTTCATGCTGTTTTAACCGCTAACAAGAAACGGCTTACACCTGAATCTTACCTTATTGATTCACCCATTCCGCGTTTGGTCAATCTTTGCAATCGAACCTCTCAAGGAGTACAATTTATGTTTTCTACGTTAAGTGAAAAATTGGACAAAAAGACATTGAACCGGGAATATTTGACTCTACTTAACAATTTATCTTACGCAGAGCCTAAACGAGGTCTTAACCATCGAGGTTATGCTGTAATTGAAAACGGTGAAATTGTTCGTAAATCAAACAAAAAAGTTGAAGCAAAACAACCTTTATGGTTTATCTTTTCACCTCTTGGTTCTCAATGGAATGGTATGGGAAAATCATTGATGAAACTTCCAGTTTTTGCTTCCAAAATGGATAAATTGGCCGAAGTTTTGAAACCCTTTGGAATCGATCTGAAATCGCTCATATGTGATTCAGAGAATAAGGAAATCTTCGAATCAGTTGTTCATGCTATGGCTTCTATTGTTTCTATTCAAATTGGTCTTGTTGATGTTTTACGTTTCCTGAATATTGAACCTGATGGTATTTTGGGTTATTCATTTGGTGAGATAGCCTCTGGATATGCTGATGGATGTTTAACTGATGAACAAGCTGTTTTGATTGCCTACTGGGTTGCAAAAACGGTACTCGCAAGCCAAACTGGACCTGGAAGAATGGTAAATCTAGGTTTAACATGGGAAGAAGCTCTAAAAGTGTGTCCAACAGGCATTGAACCAGGTTGTTCCAACACCAAAAATAATACAACAGTTTCTGGTGATGCATCAGTTTTTCCTGGTTTCCTTGAAGATTTAAAGTCTCAAGGTGTACCCATAGTTGAAGTTGAATCATGTCAAACTGCTTTCCATTCATCATTTATTGCATCAAGTTATGATGGGTTAATTGAACATTTCAGCAAAATAATAACCGAACCTAAACTACGTTCTCATCGCTGGATTTCTTCATCAGTTCCTGACGAGGAAGCTACACAAGATCGATATCGTTATTGTACTCCACATTATTACGCTCATGCTGCTATTAATCAGATTCGATTTTATGAAAAAATCAAGGTGTTACCCAGAAACAGTTGTTTCCTTGAGATCGCACCAAATGCCACTTTATTGCCTTTAATAAGAGAAACCATCGGTTCTGAAGGATCTTACGTCCGATTGTCTGACAAATCATCACAAGGATTAATTCCTCTTCTCTCTGGACTTGGTGATCTTTATAAATCAGGATTAAACCCAGCAATTGAAAAGCTATATCCTTCAATTGAGTATCCTGTCTCGCGAGAAGTTGAACCTTTGTCTCATCTATTAAAATGGGATCACTCTAAATCCTATTTGGTTGCCAAGTATCCAGAATATCAAACCAGTGGTGCGGTCAACGTTCGATATTCTTTCGATCTTAATAACCCATCAGATAAATACTTAGCTGGTCATACAATCGATGGACGTATTTTGTTTCCAGCTACTGGTTATATGTATATTGTTTGGCGTCAATTGTCTCGAATCAAGGCCAAGGAATCAATCATTGAATTGTTGAATGTTAAACTTCATCGAGCTACTTTACTTAGTCGGGGAAATGCAGTTCAATTTACTATTCTATTGAACGAAAAAGTTGGAAAATTCGCCATTGTTGAATCAGAATCTGTCGCTTGCTCTGGTGAATATCGTATTGGCTCGAAACATTGTCAGACTAATTACACAGAAATGGGAAAAGTAGAGACTTCCCCAGATGCTGTCACTATTGACGGCAAATCAATTTACAAGGAATTGAGAGTTCGAGGCTACGATTATGGGTCAACATTTCAAGGTGTAGTTGAAGCCATGTCTGATGGTAGTTGCGGTAAAATCCGTCGTCTTGAGCATTTTATATCTTTAGCTGATTGTATTCTTCATTGTGCTATCTTGGCTAATCCTATCCGTGAACTTTTCTTGCCAACATTTTTTGAGTACATACGTTATGATCCAGAAAAGTTATTCAAAGCTTTTGAAACCAACGCAGATTCCATGAAAACAGTTTATTTTGATCGTCATTGTAATGTCATTTCAACTGAAGGACTTGTTATTAAAGGAATGGTTGGTAACACGGCTCCAAGAAAAGTCAACAATCAACAAGTAACCCTTGAATCGTACGATTTCCAGCCTTACGATGGTTCATATGTTGCTCCAATTAAAGATGCTAATCTAAATGAGTACATTGATTTGTGTGATACACTTTGGGGTAACTTGATTGAAGCAAACTCAAAATCCATTCCCACAGATGTAAATGACCGAATTCAATCGCTGGTTGAATCTGATCCCAATAAAAATGGTTTATTGACTGTTCTTAATCAACTTGCTTCTGAAAAGGAGCAACAAAATGACCAAGTTGAACAATTCAAGAATGTAATCAACAAACATATTACATCAAATATTGATAAATTATCATCAGATAAATTGTTGAATAATCCTGATTTGGCCGGTATATTGCGATTCCATATGGGAATTGTTGAAGAAAACGTTTCTGCTACAGTTATTAACATGGTTGAAGTAAATTTGAGTCAAAATGCAATTTACTCCATTTTATTGGAAACATTACCTATTTTAATGAATCGTGGAGTTAATTACACAATTGTAACACCTAATAATGACGGTTCAAACTTTAGACGAACCCAACAAAAGATTCACTATTGGTCACCTTCTAGTGGACTTCCAGAGCTTCCATCAGCTGAGGTCATACTTTACGTTGAACCTTCCTGTGATCTTTTACACGCATCATTAGAGCAAATTGATCCAATCAACTCTGTTGAATTGTTTAACAAATTTGCTGAAAATTTAGCTCCACAAGGATTCGCTTTGATTCTTACTCGAAGTCAAATTTATCCTCTGGAAGAAAAAATAACCAAATATTCAGGTCAAAAAGAAAGTGAATGGTCAACATCGGATGCTACAAAATACAAGGATATACTTGAAGAGACAGGATTTACTTTGATTGCTTCCCGGTGTGCAGATTCAGGCTGGAAATCTTTGTTAATTAGGAAAAAATTGTGCAATCAAGAGTTGAAAACTCGAGTAATAGACACTTCAATTCATCAGTTTGATTGGGTTGATACATTAAAGACCCACTTAGAAGATCCACATTATAACCGTGTCTGGCTTCGATCCAACTCACGATTAACTGGTCTTGTTGGTATGGTTAATTGTATTCGACGTGAACCAATTGGATCTAAATTGAGATGTTTAATTACTGAAGAGAGCTCTGAAGAAACTGAAAAACTTTTTGAGAGTTATGGTTTGACTGAAAAAGATTTGGTGATGAACATTTTCGATGGATCTTCACTGGGCTCTTATCGTCATACATTAATGGATTCCAAAGACAAATATATTAGCGCCAATTATTCTTATGCCGATTTCACTATTAGGGGTGATTTATCATCTATTCGTTGGTTGCAATCTCCAATGAATTTTTGCAAAACTATCGCACCAGAAATGAGAGGTTTACCACTGCATAAGATAAATATTTATTATGCAGCAATCAATTTCAAAGATGTAATGGTTGCTTCAGGTCGTATACCTACCAATGCCTATCCTCACACATTGAGTAAATTTGGTTTAGGTTTTGAAGTATCTGGTATCCTTGAATCGGGTCAACGTATTGCTGGAATGACCTCTGGCTCAGGAATTTGTGACACCATTTCTGATGTTACTTGTAGCTTTATTGTCAAAGTTCCTGATTCATGGTCTCTTCGTGATGCAGCCGGAGTACCAATTATTTATTACACCGCTGTTTATGCTCTCATCATTCGTGGTCGTTTGACTCAAGGTGAAAGAGTTTTGATTCACGCTGGAACCGGCGGTGTGGGTCAAGCAGCAATCAACATTGCTCTTGGTATGGGATGCGAAGTTTTCACTTCAGTTGGAACACCAGAAAAGAGAGAATATATCAAAAAATTGTTCCCTGCTTTAGATGACAGACATATTTGCCATTCTAGAAATACTTCCTTTGAAGAGCAAATTCTCAAAGAAACCAACGGAGATGGTGTTGATGTTATTCTTAATTCTCTTGCTGAAGATAAATTCCTTGCTTCTATGCGTGTTCTTGCTGAAAATGGACGTTTCATTGAGATTGGTAAATACGATATTATCCAAAACAATACAATTGGTAAGTTTTAACTTAACTATAATACAAACTAGCATTAGTTTATCCATTATTATCCATACACATCCTAAATTATTTTATCTTTTCATTTAACTCTCGTTTCAGACCCCGCACTCTTAGCCGGCAATAAAACTTATCACGTTGTCTGCCTTGCTCATCTTCAAGACAATGCTTTCTCTGGCTGTGTTAGAGCCCGTGAAACAGCAGAAACATGTCGACGATGGGTTGAAGAAGGTTTAACTAATGGCACAGTCCGACCTATCGACACAACCGTATTTGAAAGAGATCAAGTTGAAGAAGCGTTGAGATACATGGCTGCTGGTAAACATACTGGAAAGGTTTTAATTAAAATTAGAGATGAACCCACAGAGCCTGTTCCATTGGTTAAATCTTATCCATGTTTGGCACAAGTTCATTTCGATCACGAGAAAACATACATAATCACTGGAGGATTAGGTGGAGTTGGTCTTGAAATGGCTAATTGGATGGTTTCTCGAGGAGCTGCTAAATTAGTAATGACGTCTCGTTCAGGTGCCGTTACTGGCTATCAAAAAATGTGTATTCAACGATTGAAACAATCTATTCCATACTCATTTGGAAAAGTTGTTGTCTCAACTAATACTGCTTTAACTGAAGATTCTGCACGAGCTTTATTCGCCGAAGCAAGTGTACTTGGACCCATTGGGGGTATTTTTAACCTGGCTATGGTCTTAGCTGATGCTCTCTTTGAAAATCAAACGGTTGAAGCTTTTGAACGTGTTTGTGCACCAAAGGTCCAAGCAACACTTTTACTTGACTCACTGTCTCGACAAATTTGTCCTGATTTGGATTATTTTGTTTGCTTTTCATCAGCTGCTGCTGGTAAAGGTAACGCCGGTCAATCTAATTATGGATTTGCTAATTCGTTTATGGAAAGAGTTTGTGAAGATCGTCGAGCTGCTGGTCATCATGGTTTAGCCATTCAATGGGGAGCCATTGGTGACGTTGGTGTAGTGGCTGAACATTTGGGTGGCAATGATGTTATAATTGGTGGTACTTTACCACAACGAATACCCTCTGTAATGTCAACTATGGACACCTTTTTAACTTCATCGCATACAACTTGTTCATCTATTGTTATCGCTGACTCTAAACGTGCTGGAAGTGGTGTTAAAGAATCGCCGTTCAAAATGATTTGTCACATTCTTGGTGTTAAAGATCCTTCAACTCTTGACCCATCTACAACTCTTGGTGAACTTGGAATGGACTCTCTGATGGCTGTCGAAATTAAACAAGCTCTTGAACGTGATTATGATTCTATTCTATCTGCTCAAGAGATTCGTAATCTTAAGATTAAAGATATCAAGGAACTCAGTCTTTCAAAAGGAGCAAAAGCTTCAGAGACTAATAATGAATCTGATAAACTTGAAGAAACAAATCTTCTTACCGAAGTCTACCAAGAACCCGACTCACTGTTTACCACTATATCGTCTCACAATGGTAAAGCTGTATTCTTCTTCCCGCCCATTGAGGGTAATTTCAATTTGATGCTTCCGTTGACTCGAGTTCTCTCAAGACCAATCATTGGTATCAATTGGACTAAAGATTTGGATACATTTGAAACCATTCAAGAAGCAGCTAATTTCTATGCCGATAAATTATTGGAAAGTTATCCAACTGATGAAACATTTGATTTTGTTGGTTACTCTTTCGGTTCGCTTCTAGCTCTTGAAGTTTCCTTGCAATTAACTGTTCGACGAGGTCAGTCAATTATCAATCGATTGGTCTTGTTGGATGGAGCTCCTGATTATCTTCGTTCTCAATTAGATGAGATGATTGATAAATATGGTTCTATGGACGAAAGTTTAGCTCAAGCTGAAACTCTGATTAACTATGCAGCTTCTGTTATTCCCTCGGATGAGCTTAATAAATTCAAGGAGAAGTTGTTCCGTTTAGAATCACAAGGTGAAAGAATCAAATTAATGGAAGTTCTTCTTGGTCAACATTTCTCTTCAGGATCCAAAAAAGATTCACTAATTTTGGCTACTGATAGACACTTCCGTAAAATGAAAATGGCGCACACTTACAGACCTTCGGGTACTCTTGAAGCATCCATTAATCTTATAAGAGCGGCAAACAAATTCACTACTGCTTCGTTTGAAGAAGATTATGGTCTATCAAAGGTAATTATTTTTTAATTATACTCACTTTTTCTGCGAAAATTTTGACTAATCAATAATTTTTGTTTGTTCCAGCTCTCGTCAAATAAAATACAAATAAATATCGTTGATGGTGATCATCGCAGCTTCTTAAGTCACAATTCCAACGAGGTTGGAATCCTGATGGACAATTTCCTTACTTACGTTTTTGCTTAACGTTTCTTTATTATAAATAAGATAAATTCAATTTCAAACAAATTATATTTTTTGTAGTGGTTTGTAGTGTTCGTATTAAATCACCTGTTGAAAATCACTCGCCTTTATAGTTTGGACTCCTTTTTTCCAGAAAAGATTTCATTCCTTCAACTCGGTCTTTGGTCCAAATAATTTGATCATATGCAGCTTTTTCAAATGCCATCCCAGAATGTATATCAACTGTGATCCCTTTCGTTAACGCAAATTTAGCCCACCTGACTCCTAATGGACCCGAACTGCAAATATCCTTAGCCAAACCAACTGATCGATTGAAAGCGGCTTCTTTATCTTCTTTATCTTCATCCGATGTCAAATAGTCGACTAATCCTATCGAATGTGCTTCTTCTGCAGAAACTTTTCTTCCAGTGAAAATCAAATCTTTTGCTTTTGATAAACCAATCAATCTAGGTAATCGCTGCGTTCCCCCAGCTCCGGGCAAAATTCCTAATTTAGTTTCAACAAGGCCTAATTTAGCTCTCAAAGATGCTACTCTCAGGTCACAGGCCAAAGCAAACTCTAAACCACCTCCAAAAGCTGCACCGTCAATAGCGGCTATGGTTGGGAACGGCAATTCGGACAGGTTGTTAGCAAGATTTCTTAGTCTTTCTGTAAATAGATAAGATATGCAACAGGTGTGACATTGAACAAGATTAAATTCAATACTTTGCTTTAACCGGGTATTCGACAGTAGATAAAAAAAAGGTGAATTACCTACGAAAGGCCCAACATCATGGTTATCCATTTCAAATCTTTCTTTAAGATCAGCTCCAGCACAAAAAACACCATCGACCTGACTTCTGAGGATTAAACACCTGACTGATCGATCACTTTTCAAAGATGACAAGCTTTGCTCCATGAGAGAAATCATAGCTTCACTCAATGCATTACGTTTCTTCCCGTGGTTCAATGATAAGACAAACAGTCCAGTTACGTCTTGCGAGGTTTGCACTTTCACTATCTCATCAGATTTTTCAAAAAAATCTTCTCGCTTAACAGCAAGAGAACGGAACGGGACCGAAACAGGTTTGATTGGATGAAACAATGGGGAAAAAATCCTGAAAATCATTTTAGTTTCGTATAACAAACAATAGGCAACTTGGATATTCTGTGAGAAAATGTAAACAAATTTTTTGATGAGAAAAAGTTGAAAAAAATTAAAGAAAAATTAAAAGGGTTATTAGTGGCTCCATCGCGTTCGAGCCCTTTTCCCTATCCTTATCTCAAAAAGATAGTTAACATTGCATGATACCTCTTGTTATACTCTTTGTATTTACCTGGATTTACCTCACCACAGAATAATACAGATGATGATAATCAGCCAACCTTTGGACTTTTCATCGAATCAAGATTTATCTATTATCTAGAGATAAAAACACTTGATCTACAAAGATGATAGTCAAATACTTGCAAGAGTGAATAAACTTGTTCAGTGAAAGATTGACTTACATTAACAAATTATTAACTCGTGAAAAAGTTCAACATTTTAGTTTTTAATAATTTTTAAACTCAAGTGAAATAGCAAAACAACATTTCATTAAGGATTTAAAACTGTGATAAATAGGCAAAGCGTGTTGGTATTTTACAGGTAAGGGAATTTTTCTTTATTGCAATGTGGGGAATCATCAGGTGAAGTATTTAGTACCATTTGTGTCAAGCTAATTGTGTAAAGGATAATTTCTGCAATTGCTAGCTGTCTTTGTGTCATTAAAAAGATAAGAAACTTTTCAGTCCGTTCTTACATCTTGTATTGAGGTTTTGAAAGGTAAGAATATTTATATGTTTGTCAATTGACATCAGAGAAGCCTTTCGTATTGGAATTAAATTTGACAAAAATCAATCTTCGGTTTAGATTCACAACTGTACTTGTCCAGGAACGGTTAATAGTTTCTATAATCGTCATTTATCGATTCATTGAGCCAACATTAAAAAGACTTGAACAAAATCATTTTATATCAACTGTAATCACATGACATATCACATGACTTAACATTTTTGTTTGTAAACAAGTAGACTGACAGACTTAAGTTCACCTGGCCTCATTACTGTCTTTTATGCGTCTCTTATTATTTTTAATTTTCCTCTAATTATTGAGTGTGATTATTGACATATTTTGATTTACTTCAAGTTGAAGCTTTCTCAACCTTATTTTATACTCGAACTATTTTATCTCATTTCAGTTCCTCATAAGACTGCGTAACATGTCTACCATGATGTCAGTGAGATTTCTAAGGCATTTTAATGTCTTAAAATCAACCAAAATTGTGTACCCTCATGTGCGATTGATGTCCGCTCAGGCTCAACCATTGGAACAAAAGAAGGAAGAAGTGAAAAAGGAAAGGCCTCCAGAAACTAATTCATTTATTATGAGTATGTTTTCTGGACAAGCTAAAGTGAATCAAGTATTTCCTTATCCTGATGTTTTGACTGATGATCAATTGGAAACCTTGAATATGGTCCGTGAACCCAGTTTGAAGCTTTTCAATGAACTTCACGACCCATTAACTGCTGAGGAAAACGGTAAAGCAGAGGATAAAACCATGCAAATGCTTAAAGAGATGGGTTCATTTGGTATTATGGTTCCGACACAATATGAAGGCGCTGGTATGAATAACACTCAATATGCTGTTTTGGCTGAAATTATGGGTCAAAGTGATTTAGGATTAGCTATTACATTAGGTGCTCACCAGTCAATTGGTTATAAGGGTATTGTGCTTTATGGTAATGAAAAACAGAAAGACAAATATCTCCCTGATTTAGCAACAGGTAGAAAAACTGCATGTTTCTGCTTAACTGAACCTAGTTCTGGTTCAGATGCCGGTTCCATAAAATCTAGAGCTGTTCTCTCTCACGATGGGTCTCATTATATACTCAACGGAAGCAAGATTTGGATATCTAACGGTGGTTTCGCTGATGTTTTTACTGTGTTTGCCAAAACTCCAGTTATAACATCAAGTGGGGAGGAAAAAGAAAAGGTTACAGCATTCATCGTTGAGAGAGCATTCGGAGGAGTAACTAATGGTCCACCTGAAATGAAGATGGGAATCAAAACATCAAATACCGCTCAGGTTTATTTTGAAAATGTCAAAATTCCAGTAGAGAATGTGCTTGGCGAAGTTGGCAATGGTTTTAAAGTTGCTATGAATATTTTGAATAGTGGACGATTTGGAATGGGTGCATTGTTGAATGGAACCATGAAATTTTGTATTGCTAAAGCAACTGATTTCGCAAATAATCGAGTACAATTTGGAGATAAAATTGCCAGTTTTGGAACCATTCAAGAGAAGATTGCAAGAATGGCATTAGCCCAATATATAAATGAATCGATGACTTACATGGTTGCTGGTAACATGGATAAAGGATCAACAGAATTCCATTTAGAAGCAGCCATTTCAAAAGTTTTTGCCTCAGAAGCTGCTTGGTTTGTTTGCGATGAAACTATTCAGATTTTAGGAGGCATGGGCTACATGAGAGAAACTGGTGTTGAAAAGATAATGAGAGATCTTCGTATTTTCCGTATATTCGAAGGAACAAATGATATCCTCAGATTGTTTGTAGCCTTAACTGGAATTCAAAATGCTGGTTATCACTTGAAAGAATTACAAAAGGCTATAAAAAATCCTGTTGCTAACTTGGGAATGATTTTCGACGTATCAACTAAAAGAGTATTCCGGGCTGTTGGATTGAGTTCAGGACCATCTCTTACTGAATTTGTCTCACCTGAATTGGCTCCTTCAGCTGCTTTGGTATCAAAATCAGTGACAAACTTTGGAGCAACTGTTGAGCATCTTTTAATCAAATACAACAAGAAAATTATTCACGAGCAATTTTTACTCAATCGCTTAGCTAACTCAGCGATCGACATTTATTCAATGATTGTTACCCTTTCAAGAGCCACTCGCTCAGTCCAGAAAAATTTCCCATCTGCACCTCATGAAGTAAATATGGTTAAAGTGATTTGTAATGAAGCAGCATCTCGAGTTCATCAAAACCTTGCTGCTTGTCGAAGTTCTGAAAAGTTAACCGACTTTAATAATCTAAAGAAAATTTCAGATTCTATTTTTGTTAACAACGGAGTTTGGCATCGCCACCCTATCGAACGAGATTAAAAAAAGATATTCCGATCAAAGCAAAAAATTGTAAAACTTTTATGATATTTATGATAAATTGTTTATACTCTTGCCGTAAAAACCTGCTTAATGCTTTATGAAACTTTCTATCTTGTAGATTTTATTTCAACTGATAAGCGGTAAACAACAGTCAAAAGTTGGTACAAACAAATCTGACTGACTCAAATTAAAAAATAACGTCGGTTTTTACTCAACCTAAAGAAAATTTTCATGAATTATTCATTACTGACTATTGCAAATCGTGTTTAAAACTTCAAAATTTACTATTGATAACAGACATACTATTGATAACAGTTAAGTCTGAGTTTACATATGACTGAAAATTTATCAAGCATTAAAGTTACACGATAAGATGAATTTGATAAAAAGATCAATAACTGTACAATAGCGATCGAAGTTTGAGACTTTATTTTCATTTTCTTAAGACTTACAAGATCATCAAATATTAACTTTTAATGTAAAGTTTGTTAGGTTTGATTTTAGTTTCAATTAATTAATGAAAATAATTTTCAGCAAATTAGGCTATTTAACATCATTTACAATGACTTCATCACAATACGACCAGAATTCGAAAGAATTTTTATTTGCATAGAGATTGGAAGCGATTTCATTTCCTTTGATGGTGGGTTCCTCTCGAGCTTTTCTTTTATTACTTCCTGGATCATCAGTAGTTCACAATTATATACATGATTTGAAATGGAGTAATTGTATCAACTTACTTATTTCGATGGTATCCTGTGTTATACTTGAGCCCACGTCTGATGGTGTTTCGTTTAATAACTTTATTATTTCATCAGCTCGGTCCTTGAATACCGATGGTGAGGATTCTGGTGTTATTTGGGTTGATTTATCCATCTATCCAATGACTTAAAACCTGACACAATTATTAACATTAAATTATATTATTAAACTTTAGTATTATTAATTAAACAAATTAAATACTTTGAACTGGACTCACATAATCAGACGATGCAAACTTTTTACAGTTTTACCTAGAGGGAGCTCGTTAAAGACTAGAGGATATGTGCGATTTTCAATTTTTACTGAGATCGATTTTCGATTTTTAAAAGCACAATGATATCAGAAAAAATTCCCAAAAAAATTTAATTTCTTGATTTTTTCAAAAAAAGTATCAGCGGATCTACAGAAGTGTCTCCTGGCTCGAAAGGACGTGTTTTTAAGGAGAGCGATGAATTTTTGTGCGAGAAAAATCGATGAGATCGATCTTAAAATCGGATCGGAACATCCCTTAAAGGAGGGGACAAAATCACGCCATTTGGATGAGAGAAATAGAGTTGTATTGCTTTCCATAATATGACAATGAAATGACAATTAACTGTGCAACTAGCTTGTTAGATTGTGCCATTTGATTGTTGATTTTTGTATTTAGTTAATAAATATTAAATTGAAACCCTCCAACCTGCGTTTACCATTTACATTAGATTTTTGTAAACATTATTTTTGTTTTTTTGGTGAAAAGAAAAGTGTTTTAAGTTTTGGGTTTGCCAACAGTTGATATTATTAATCATGGTTCTTTTTGTTGTCTCTTTGTCTAAAGTTGCTTCACCAGCAATAATTAATGGTGAAGGCCAATTCTTTGCTCGTCATCTGTCCAGTATGCCATCAACTCATTATTTTTGGAGAAATCCAACTGAAAAGGTTAGTTAATCAAAGACAAAATACTCAAGTGTAAATGCTACTCCAATGGAATTCTTTTTGATAATAATGGATCATCATAATCCAAACTAACCCTCTTGAATGGTGATGATGGTTAGTTGAATTTTGTTGGTGTTATTGTTTGACGAATACTCAACAGAAAGGCGGTAACAAAAAGTTCGATATTTTGATTATGTTGAGCTACCTTATCCTGATATTTGTCCAAAAAGTTTATTTCCTTTTATTTATTTCTCTCTGGCAATTGTTTCTAAAGCTTAGTCATTCCACTTGACTCCTATCTTAATGATATTAATTCTGGTCTTCATGTTCACTTTCCTTTTGTTATCGATGATTTCCTACAAAAATTACGATTCTTAGAAAGAGTTTAAAGCTCGCAGACAGCTGTTGAATACTTTACGCTGGCATGGGACATCAGGCGCATCTAAAGTGATTTCTCCTACCGCAATTAAAAATATCACTATCCAAACTTGTGGTCCATTGTATGAGGAATGGAGAGAAACAAGGAAAGCTTATGCTGGTGCGCCTAAAGAAGGTTTATCTTTTAATGTTGAGTATGTGGATACCAAAGAGTATGTCGCAAATGATAAAGCCCCAGTAATTCTAACCCTTCATGGATCTCCTGGTTCACATCAAGACTTTCATCCATTGATTAATCATCTAGCGCCTAAAGGAGTTCGTATCATCGCCCCGAATTGGCCAGGTATTTTTATTCTTTGCATCAATTTTTCTGTTTTCTTGAAGTACTCTCAAGGCTAATCACATTATAATTTACCTTCTCCAGTATATTCTGCCATTGATCGAACAAAATATTTCCGCCATTCGTCTCATGAAAAAAGAGAATATCTAAAAGATTTCCTAAAAGCAATTGACATTGACAGGTATTTGAAATTTTCCATCCTTTTTACGTGTAGTCAAACTGTCATCCGTCTATATCTTTTATTTTCATAGGTTGGATATGCTAGTAACTCATAGTAGTGCCGTGTTTCCTGCCCTTGATATGTGCATTAATGAACGATTCCCTGTTAATTCTTATACACTAATCAATCCAGCTGGACATAGAAAAATAATTGGCATGAAGCCTGCTTGGTTTATCGATAATCTCATTCGATTCACTCTTAATCCTACTGGCCGGGCTATTTTCCGTAAACTTGGTAAATATGTTTTCGCATTGAAAGGAGTTCCAGTTCGTACTGACTCTTTGGATGATGTTATACACGCTGGTACTGTAATGTTTCTCTCAGAATCAGAAAGAGTAAGTTTATGATTTAATTTTTTTACTAATAAAACTTTATTCACCTTGACCAATTAATATTAACGAATATTTTAAAACTCATTTTCATACATTTAGTTTACTATCTTAATTTTATCTTATTTTCCTTATACCTGTTTCTATTTTCTCCTTGATCCTATTAATTATGATTACCATTCTAATCTTCCTTTCTATCGGTTTTCTTTTCTTCTTATTTCAGTTGTCTGGATTCTTGGAGACCTTAAGGCAACAAAAACCAAATCTTTTGTACATATACAGTGAGAACGATAAATTGGTGGAGAAACAAATTTTCTATGAAATGGCTCAAATACTTGATGCCAAGGAATCTCAATATTCAAAATATGATGCCGAAGGAAATTGTATCGTCCGAGGTCAGTTTACTTTTGTTTATCATCTTCACGTTACCATAATCTTTTTCTCAATCGGTACTTACAATTGAAATCGGAAATTCACCAATTCGGGACAATTTATTTATCTATTGAATGCTTAATCGGTGAAATGCAAACATTGAAATCGATGTATTTCATGAATAGAAAAGATACATTTCACTTGAAGTGTTATACAATTTTTACTGTAATAATCTTTAATAGAATCGATGACTGTAAAGTTAATTCATGCTATCAGTATCGTCAATGAAAGTATCATAAACTTCAACATGAATTATCTCAACACAAAGTGCCTGATAATCAAATTTAATAGAGTGATCATTTAACTTCCTATTTAGTCCAATGAAGTTGTCACTTCGTGTGGTTCGATTTTGTTGTTGCATTCAAGATTATCATTTTTAGAACTTTGTCCTCTGTGCATATGAAAATCAGTGGTGTTCATGATTTTCTAATCAGGATCTAACATTTCTTGATTATAAGATTTCAACCGTTCAATTCAATGATCGTGTCATATAAATGACTCATATCTCTGCACATCATCCTCTTGGCAACAACTTCAATCAAAGCAATTACATTGTTATAAAAAATGATTCACTATCTTACAAATCTTTTTTTCTCTGAATAATTTCAGGTTCTCAGGATGATTGGATGAAGATTATCCAGTTCGCAAAAGGTGGACACTATGCATTCCTTAAATTTTCAAACATTGTTAATCCAGCAGTTGAAGAACTCTTGGACCAAGTAACTCGACATAAGAAGCAAGTTGATCTTGAAGTTAACTCAATTGGACACCAATCCAAACAAGCATTGGAATTTAATAATCACAGCTCCGAAAAGCAAGAAGAACAAGAGAAGCTCGTTCGCAAAATGCGATTTTAAAGAACTCAAATATCACTAGCGTTTCGACAGCTACTATTAATTGTTATTGGACTTATTTTTGCCACAACAAAAGCTTTCAACTGCAAATCGTTTTAAATTGGTGATTGTAATATTAGCTGTTTTTGTCCTACTCGAGACTATGTATGTCAATTTGACAGACTGTCATTGATTGTTTCAAAGCTGTTTCTTTCTTTGTATCCATTTATCTACCTGTCCATGACCAATTTTTGTCGATTTACTGATTGTTAAAATTATTGTTCAATATAATCTACTGATTAATGTTATAAATTGCCTAGTTTCTTCAACATAAACTTTTATAAAATAGAAAGACAAAGACGGAACTCAATCAACTTTGACAACATATTTGGTTGAAAAAAATGAATGAAACTTTAATTTTAATAAATGATCATTATAATTTATTGGTAACTGTTTGGTTTTTTAAAATTAAATTTGAAGTAAATTATGTTTTACATTATCTCAAGCTAAAAGTATGATCGTTCGGTTGACCAACTGAAGTATCTAATACAATGTATCTGTCAGGTAATGAAATGAAAAATCCATTGTCTAGCTCAATTCAAATTCATTTCAAATTGTTTACTTCATTTTATATTAAATCTGTTTTATATAAAGATCATCTTTATGACAATCAAATTTAAAATATGGGAAACGAAGCCAGTGAAGTCAAATTAAATCTAGGTAACTATTTAAGAGACAATGACAACTGTTTCGTCAAAATTTGAAGAGTACATTTAAAGTACATGTAATTATAAATTTAAATAACTAATCTCACAAAATTTGTTATTGAGAAAAAGCGTTTCTCATCAAGTTAGTTTGATTTTCGTATCCTTCTTTGCCTTCATCAGCTGAATATCAATTGAAATATCGACGTAATTTCATTAGTTATATTTTGAGACAGAATGTAGTATCATGTCAGCTGCATGATTTAATATGAATGATAATTTATTGGATTGAGATGAGAACTTTTTCAAAGAGAAAAGTGCCGCGTTCTCAAATATTATTTATTTGCACTATCAAAAACTTTGTTTTGAATATTAAATTATTACAATGACTATAGGCATGATGTGTAACTAATTAACAAATCTGGCAATGAAGAACAGCAATGACTTTTTCACGTGACATCAACTGTAATTTATGCCAAACTAGCAAGAGATAATTCACAAAATTTGTACTTGTTAGCCATGAAATTACAAATGATGTTAACAGTCGATGAAGTCTAATGACCAATACACCAATGCCAGTTCACTCTTTTTTATCCTTTACAGTCTCAGCAGATTGGTCAGTTTTATCGGATTTTTCTGTAGACTTGGCCGTTAACTCTTCCGTAGGTATATCCAACATTTTTCGTAACATATCAGCAATTTTGGCATTTTTATCTTTCTTAACTTTGGCCTTAGATTTCAAACGTTCTTCTTCTTCTTTTTTAGCTAATGCTTCTTGGAACCTTGGATCTGATCTTTCGATATTAAATCCGAGGTATTCTCTAACTTCTGCAACTAACTTTTCACTACGTTTCTTGGCTTCTTCTTCCTCTGCCTGTTTAATTGCTCTCTTTTCGTGGAAAGCAGCAATTTGTTCCTCTCTTTTTGCAAGACCAGCAGTTATTGAATCTTCAGTTTCTTTCTTTAAGTTAGCGATTCTTTGTTTCTCCAATTCATTATCCTTCAAAAGTTTTTCCAATGAAGGGTAGAAAGTTTTCTCGAACTTGTCACGAAAGTCCAATTCTTCCCTGTTGGGCCAACAAACACCCGGCTTGAGTCCACTATCTTTACCATATTGTGCATAGAAACTCCTGACATGTTCCCGTTTATATTCTCTCAACTGATCAAACTTAACAGGCGCTGAAAGTTGTCTCCTTTCTAACGCCTTTAATTCATCATCTAAACCCGAACGATCACAAATCTTAGATATTTGTTCCTCACTTAAGTCTTGCCATGGTGATTTAGCTTCAACTTCTATCGGTTGCAGTGCCAAGTCTTCTTCCGGCTGAGACTTTCTGAATGGGTTTTTGATAGGCCAAAAAGATGCCAAACTACGACTGACTGTTATCTAGATTATAAAATTTTTCAATCAGAAATATGATACAATTTGAAAGAGAAAAAAAACAAACCTGAGATGTAACCGATACCAATTTAGGTGAAGAAACAGAAAGTAAACTCATTTTGAGGAAAAATACAAACAGATTAAATGAACTGTTCAAGTTAATTAATAAATTTACAATGAATTTGGATAAAAAATGAATTAAATTAAAGTTTAAATCGGTAATAATAATCAAAACACTTCATATATTCACTATTCATCAATTACACTCATGCACCATATGTTTACATTCTCATCACATCAACTCTGTAATAAACCAATAGGGAAAATAGCGGTTATTATAAACTCTCAAAAGAGTTGACCATTAAATTTTCATCATCGTATTGATAATTTATTGATGAAAATTTCCAATGAAGCTTGATAGTCATTAGTTAATTTAATATTGAAATAATTATCTCAATTAGATCAAATAAAAAGCTTAACCACACATTTTCACATATTGTACCTTAAGTTAGAAACACTACCACGGTGCTTGATTGTGCGGAAACACGGTAATATTAAGTGCAACGTTCTTAATTATCTGCATTGATAAGCAGCTCAATTTTAATAGAGCTTAGAGTAACAGTTTATTCAGTAGAATCAGTTATCTTTCTGATAGTCAATCAGTGATTGTGGACAAATATACATGGTGTGAAGCAATATTGAATATGGCATATTCATCCCATTTGTTAATCATAAGTTCAGGATAAGTAATGATTTTATTGCAAATTATTCAAAAGATTGAATGATATTCATACATTGCACAAGTAAACTGACCATTATTGAAGTCTTCAATGGTAATAATTTTAGTCATAATTGAAAACGGTTTCATGAATCGACTCAAAATTTTTAATTTAGATAAACTAAGAAAGCTGCTTTGACACCTGAAAAAGGGTGTCTCTAGGTCTAGCTATTCTAATATTAATAGCTAATAATATGCTCATTATTTTCAAAAGATTGTGTGAATAAATCTTGTTTGTTTTCCGATTGTCCAATATTAAAGCTTAACTAAAAATAATATCGAGATCGATTCCACCAAGAGCATAACTCATTGCATGAATTTCCTTAATTTGTTCAGAAAGATAAAAACTTATTTCAAGAAAGAAACGAGCTTCGATGTTATTCATTTCTCGTAAGAAATTGGCTAAACTTATGTAATCATAAGACGGCTTAATATTAGGCGACAGGTGATATCCAAAGTACAAAGGTAAAGTACAATAAGCGACACATCAAATGATGCTACTTAATTGATTAACTTCAACAATAAATGATGCAGATGATGATAATCAGCCAACCTTTGGATTTTTTATCGAATCAAGATGAATCTATTTTACAGATAACCAGTTCATATAAATAAAATAAAAAGACATTTGATTCACAGATATGAAAACAAAATACTTGCAAGAGTAAATAAACTTGTTAATAAACTTGTTCAGTGAAACTAGTCGAGATTCAAACAAATTATTTGCTTGTAACAAAATTCAACTTTTTATAATATAATAGTTTCTTATAGTTTTTAACTTTAGTGTAATAAAAAAAACATTTCATCGAGAACTCGTTTCCATTCCATAGGTAAGGGAGTTTTGCATTATTGAAATGTGTGATCATTGGGTGAATTATTATGTGTCGAATGTGTCAAGTTAATTGTGGAAAGGATAATTTGCTTAATTGCTAACTGTCTTTGTGTCGTTAAAAAGATTAGAAACTGTTCTTACATCGACAAGTTTTGAAAGGTAAGAATATTTAGATGCTTGTTTGTCAATTCATATCAAGAAGCCTTTCGTATTGGAATTTGATTTGACAAAAATCAATTTTTGGTTCAGATTCAAAACTGTACTTGTCCAGGAACCGTTAATAGTTTGTTAAATTGTCATCTATCGATTCATTGAGCCAAAATTAAAAGACTGGAACATCATTTTGTACCAACTTTGGTCACATGACACATCACATGACTCGTTTTTGTTTGTAAACAAGTCAACTGACTTTTAAGTGCAACTGGCCTCATTACTGTCTTTTATGTCTCTTTTTTTCATTTCCTAAGATTATTGACGTATTTTCATTTATTTCAAGTTAAAGTTTCCTCAATTTTATTCTACTTTTTGGTTTTTTGTTTTTTCAGTTTCACATTTGGATCTGTCAAGATGTCTACTATGATGTCAGTGAGATTTCTTAGACATTTTAATGTCTTAAAATCAACCAAACTTGTTTACCCTCATATGAGATTGATGTCCGCTCAGGCTCAACCCTTGGAACAAGTGAAGGAAGAAAAAAGTAACAAGCGAGAAGTAAAGAAAGAAAAACTTCCAGAAACTAATTCATTTATTATGAGTATTTTTTCTGGACAAGCCAATGTAAATCAAGTATTTCCTTATCCTGATGTTTTAACTGAAGATCAAGTGGAAACCTTAAATATGGTCCGTGAACCCACTTTGAAACTTTTCAATGAAATGCACGACCCATTAGTTGCCGAGCTAAACGGTAAAGCAGATGATAAAACTATACAAATGCTCAAAGATATGGGTTCTTTTGGTCTTATGGTTCCTACAAAATATGAAGGCGCTGGCTTGAACAACACTCAATATGCTACCTTGGCTGAACTTAGTGGTCAAAGTGATTTAGGATTAGCTGTTACATTGGGTGCTCATCAGTCAATTGGCTACAAGGGTATTTTGCTCTTTGGTAATGAAAAACAGAAAGACAAATATCTCCCTGATTTAGCAACAGGTAGGAAAACTGCATGTTTCTGCTTAACTGAACCAAGTGCTGGTTCAGATGCCGGTTCTCTCAGATGTAAAGCTGTTCTTTCTCCGGATGGATCTCATTATATACTCAATGGAAGCAAGATTTGGATTTCCAATGGTGGTCTTGCTGATATCTTCACTGTATTTGCCAGAACTCCAGTTATAACATCAAGCGGAGAGGAAAAAGAAAAGGTTACAGCATTTATTGTTGAGAGAGCATTTGGAGGAGTAACTAGTGGCCCAGATGAAAAAAAGATGGGAATCAAAACATCAAATACCGCTCATGTTTATTTTGAAAATGTTAAAATTCCAGTAGAGAATGTGCTTGGTGAAATTGGTAATGGATTCAAAATTGCTATGAATGTTTTGAATAGTGGACGGTTTGGAATGGGTGCATCGATGAGTGGAACCATGAAACTTTGTATTGCCAAAGCAACTGATTTTGCAAACAACCGAATACAATTTGGAGATAAAATTGCCAGTTTTGGAACTATTCAAGAAAAGATTGCAAGAATGGCATTAGCTCAATATATAACTGAATCGATGACTTACATGGTCGCTGGTAACATGGATAAAGGATCAACAGAATTTCAATTAGAAGCAGCTATTTCAAAAGTCTTTGGATCTGAAGCTGCTTGGTTTGTTTGTGATGAAACTATTCAAATTTTAGGAGGTTCGGGTTACATGAGAGAAACTGGTGTTGAAAAGATAATGAGAGATCTTCGTATTTTCCGTATATTTGAAGGAACAAATGATATCCTTAGATTGTTTGTTGCCTTAACTGGAATTCAAAATGCTGGTTCTCATTTGAAAGAATTACAAAAAGCTATGAAAAATCCTGTTGCCAACTTGGGAATGATTTTTGATGAATCAACTAAAAGAGTTTTCCGGGCTGTAGGATTAAGTTCAGGACCATCTCTTACTGAATTTGTTTCACCTGAATTGGCTCCTTCAGCTGCTTTGGTATCCAAATCAGTGACAAACTTCGGAGCAACTGTTGAGCATCTTTTATTCAAGTACAACAAGAAAATTATTCACGAGCAATTTTTACTCAATCGCTTAGCTAACTCAGCAATTGACATTTATTCAATGATTGTTACCCTTTCAAGAGCCACTCGCTCAGTCCAGAAAAATTTCCCATCTGCACAGCATGAAGTAAACATGGTCAAAGTAATTTGTAATGAAGCATCATCTCGAGTTCATCAAAATCTTGTCGCCTGTCGAAGCTCTGAAAAGTTAAATGACTTGAAAAACCTGAAGAAAATTTCAGAGTCGCTTTTTGTTAACAATGGAGTTTCTCATCGCCACCCTATCGAACGAGATTAACAAAAGAGTTTCTATTTAAACTGAAAAATTTTCGAAATTTTAAATTATATATAAATTTTTGTACCGACAGTTTTCGAGAAAACGAGGTCAAAGCACAAACTTTCCTATGTTTAATAATTCATATTTTTTCATAGATCTCATTTTTCTGATGTAAAATTTTTATTCCAACCAGAAAATTTACTCATTCCGGGAAATAAAATTTCAATTTCCTCTACAACAGATCACTTCGACTTTCGTTAAACCTCGAGCTTCGAGTGACGGTACGATTCAAAGAGCTAAACTTTTTACGTCGATAAAAATGGTAGGTACACATCAACGATTGGACACATTTTTTCAATTTATCAACAGTTCTCTTGATATGCATTGATTTCCGTTGATGTCTCTTGCGAAAATTTGTTCAGTTTTCCTATCGATATGCTATTATTATTTTATTATTGTATTCAAAAGATTATTGAATAATATATGCTCATTTTTTTTCAAATGATCGGATAAAAAATGTTGGGGAATGATGGGGAAGTATGAAAACATGGATAAGTCCAATGTCTAATTGTGTTAATTGTGTCTTATTAGTAACAACCCAGAAACAGCATGTCTAGAGCATGATAAAAGAAAGGTCCAAATAAAATCTTATTGACTTTCAAAAAACTCAGTCTCAACTCACTACAAAGGTTTCTGCTCTAAACTGCATTGCTTCATATCGTAATCAGACTCAAAAGAGTATTTCCCAGATTTTCTAAATAATAATTCTTCATTTCAAGTGATCTGATTTATAATTTATGTGTAATGCTTTGTGCATTATTTAATGATCACCTCTTCAGCCCTTTTTGATGAATGTTTTGAATGTACCGCTTAAGATAATTTTTAATTTTATTTACGCAATTTTAATGAACTCATTACCTCATACATTTCAAATTGATTTTGACAATGCTTTTTCATTTGCTAACTGCTTTTTACTCTTTCTAACAAATTTTAATTTATTCATCGTTTTTATCATTTGATTTTCTGTTGTGACAATTTATTCATTATTTGCGTTTAAGCACTTCGATGGGACAAAAGAGATCAAAACTTGAGCTTAACAAAGTTGTTCGTGAACCAACGAAACTTTGTATTTCTAACTCATTGGTATCCAACAATGTTGCTGCCATTGAAGAAAGGATAACCAATAAAGAGAATGAAAATGTTTCTTCTCTCAATCTTCAGAATCATCTTAAAAAAGGCTTGAATACCTATGCATCGACATCGAAATCGTCAGTACCAGCATCCATCCAAAGCAATACCACCTGTAAACCCAGTGATTTTCAGCTGTATCTGGGGACCATTTTGAAAAAGCTACAAACCAAAGATGATTCCGATTTTTTTGCAACACCAGTTACAGACGAGATCGCTCCACTTTACTCAACCGTTATTTCTCACCCAATGGATTTTAGTACAATGAAAAGGAAAATCAATCAAAATCTTTACAAAACAATAGAATCTTTCCAGAATGATGTTAAGCTCATCTGTGAAAATGCCATGCTTTACAACGCGCCTTATACTGTTTATTATAAAAAGGCGGAAAGATTGTGGCGTCATGCTGAACAAAAAATTTTCACCAAAAAAGCTCTCATCAAGTTAGCTCGTCGATATCGCGGTCTAAACGCAGCTATTGAATATGAATTGAAAAATAAATCGAATGGTGGAGTTTTGAGTGCTGAATGTGCTGACAAAAACATCGCCATTGAATCAGTCGAAACGCATCGTAAATTGATTGAAAGTCAACATGACTGTGATATGGCAGAGGATACAACTATGGATATCTCACCGATTCAATCATCAACATGTATCGAAAACTTGCAGTGCAGCTGTTTGAATACACTAAAACCTGCTGATAAAGAGAATACCGAATTGAGTAAAAGTGAAACAACCAATAAAGAAGATTTGACTGCTGAACAAATTTTAGCCCATGTGGATAAAGCAGCAAAAAAACTTACCAATCGAGTAAAATATAAAGGATCCCATTTAAGTATCTTACGTCCAAAGAATGATGGAACCACGACATTGAAGATAATTAGTGAAGTAAAAGAGAAACCAGTAACGTTGGGAAGTTTGGTTGGTCCTTTATCCGATGGTCTTTTTGATTTACCGCCCTACAAAGAACCTGAAGAAAATCTCGTTAACCTGATTGACTCTGTCCCTACAGAACCTTTCTCGTCATTTCTACCCTCATGGGACTCAAGCTATGCTACCCTCAGTCAAGAAGAAACTCGAACATTGATAGAAGCTTTTGGAGATGATGATGTTTGTTTTCAATATACACATAGTATTTTATCGTTTTCTGATGGCAATGATTTAGCCATGAACATGGCTGACCGGATAATTAAAACTCTTACTGATAAACAAGGCAAAGAGCTCGAGGAACTAGCTCTAGAGTTCAATATAGATGAAGAAAATTTAGAGGAAAATGAAAATGAAAGCAAAGATGAAGGCGAAACGGAAAAAGAAACAATTTACGAAATAGAAGCCATTGATATAAGTTCCGATGATGATGAACCTCAAGTTCTAAGCTCTCAATTCATATCGAATCCATTGAATGAGCATCAACCAATCAATATGCAACCCTCGACGTCTTGTGTACAGCCAATATCGCTGTCAAATGATGAAATGGAACTGACTGAGCTTGTTAATGATGAAACAACAATTTTATCCGATTCACAAGATCATGAAACTTCGACAAGACCAGATTGTATGCTTCTTGAAGATATCATAAGAGACTTAGAAATTGGCAATTAAATCAAACAATTATTGAATCTCATAATTTAACATCAATATTATCATATTCATCTCCATAAGATTTCTTGATCTGTACATTTGAAATCACAAAACTCAATTTTAAACAAATTTTAATTCTTTTCACACCCAGCTGACAGTCTGCCGACTCAAAAACATGAAAAATAATTTCATAATTTTCTGTGATAATAAAAAAGTGTTTTCATTTCTTTCCAAGCTTTGATTGTCTTTATTTACCTGAATTTCACCTTTATCTATCATCAGCTTATGTATTGTTTAAACATGAACTTCCTATCATACTGTATTTTTTATTAGTAAACTTTACCGACTTCAATTTCTGAATTTCGGATTCTAGTTATGAACTACAATTTACTTGCCATTAGAATGTAATCATTCTATAACAATAATGCTTGGTCCAAGTCTTCTTACAATCTGAAAATAAGTTCAAGAATAATTATTCTTACTCTAAAAAGTTCCAGGTTCAATGAAGGTTAGTGAATTTTTTGTTTAATTGTTAGCAAGTTCAAAACTGGCGGTGAAATTTTGCAACTTGCAGCACAATACAGTTAAGATAACTGAGTCATCCTGTAGATGGCATGAGTTTTTTTGGAAAGGCCTATTCGTACAAAAAACTTGTACGAATAGGCTTTTTGACTACAGTCACCATTGAGATAATGCACCGCACTGGGAATAGCTTATTTTCACTATTCTTCGGGCAGCGTAATTCATGATTTTCAATCTTCCTTATTAGATCAAATTTAACCTTAAATTTTGCTTTAATCTGATTTTGCGAGTTTTTGGATTAAAATTTCACGTAAGAAAATTGAATTAAGTCAATTGATAATTAAAGAAATCGAATCAAAATTTGACGAAATTCAAAAGTAGATATAACTCCTCCTCAATAGGGACCATTGAAAAAATGAGTGCATTATCTCAATGGTGACTGTATTTGTACAAATGCGAATTTCAACGCCATCTCTTGTGTAATTCAAACACTAAGCTTGATTTCAAAAGGTTAACAATCATAAGGATGAGCTAAACTTTAATTTAATCGAGTTAAGGACAGTCCAGTGGACAGAGAGTAGGTTAATACGCTAAGCTTTTTGAAAGGATTGAGGGTTCAAAGCTGGTCTGATAATTATTTTATGCCAATGGCTAAATCAAAAGAACGGTCGATAAATTGAAAAGTGCTTAATTTTTTGCTTCGATTGCCTTTCATAAATGAACAAAAGGCAATCGAAGTTCAACTTTGACCTCGATTTCCTCAGAAACTATCTACCAGAGGAATCTTTAAACTGCACAAATGAACTCAGTTCTCATGTCCCTACAAAAGAGTCTAAATGTGAAAGAAACTAATTTTTACCCGTTTTTTGCCCATTTCTGTCAATTTGTGCATAAATGTGGTAATTAGTCCCTACAAATCCACAAAGTCTCAAATCTTAATCTAAATAATCAAGTTTTTGACACTATTCCATAGAGTTTAAACAGACGCGCCGTACTCTTAAGCCAAATAAAAGTCTACTACATATCCAAGGATGAGAATCTTATCAGATATTTTTTTGTACGAATAGGGCTTACCAGTTTTTTTATATGTAAACAAATGTTTGCTGCCGATTTAAATCATCTGCCTGAGATTAGTGTCATTAGTGACTATCAAACTATGCCATTACTTATCTTGATATTAGTTACTCTTGTGTTTCAGTAGATTATATATTATAATTTATCATTGTACTTACATTAAATCGCTTTCAAATGGTGCTATTATTGTGATTAGTTTATATTTACCTTTTTTAATTGTTAATCTTTACTATGAGTTCAAAGTTAAATGGATGACCTGTAAAAAAATATCATCTTGCTTTAATCGATAGGCTTAATAGATTTGAAAATAAATATCTATCAAATTTAGACAATGGATGAAGATATCTATCATCATACCGAGGAAGATGAAAAGAGTCAAGAGTTAACGATAAATGCCATCACTTTGAACTGTTGGGGATTGCTGTTCTTCTCAAAACATCGACTCCAGCGTATACAATCTATTGCTGATTATTTGGCTGAACAAAAATATGATATTGTTTTCCTCCAAGAAGTGTGGGTCAAATCTGATTTTGAATTGATTCGTCAGCAAACCTCTTCTTTCTACAAATTTGCCTACCTTTTTCCAACAAAGAGTATTCTTGGAACCAGTGGTTTAGCAATTCTATCCAAATGGAGTCCAACTCACATTTCATTCATGCCATTCACTGTTAATGGATCTCCTTTTCGTCCTTGGCATGGTGATTGGTTTACCGGAAAAGGTACTGCTTATATTCGAGTTGATTTACAAGATATGAGAATCCATCTTTTCTGTACTCACATGCATGCCCAGTATTGTGACAATGAAGCCATAAGTGATCAATATTCAATTCATAGGATTTGTCAATCCTACCAATTGGGTAAATTTATCAATATGACAAAAGATTTAGTCCATGATACTGGTAAATCTAGTGAATTATTCATTCTTGCCGGTGATCTTAATACTAGTCCTGGAGAATTTCCATTCAAATTGTTGGAATCTATCACTGGACTTCATGATATTTGTCATTCCGTTTCCAACGAAAGTGAAGATGGCACTGTGAAGCGTCGGACAGATTTGGTTACTTGTGGACATTCCGAGAACAGCTACACTGAACCTTTCCCCAAAGGTCAGAGTAAAGATGATAAGAATAGACACAAAATACAAACAAACGCGGGTAAACAAATTGATTTTCTATTGTATAAATTAGTCAATCGACGTGTCTGTGATAGAAACTTGGAAACCAGTGAAATAAAATCTTCTAATCAAAATTTCGTAACATGTGTCGCTGAGAAGCTTCCATGTTTAACTAAAGATCCTAAAACTGGACTTTCTTTCAGTGATCATCAACCGGTTGCAGCGCGATTCAAAATTACGAGACAAACTAACCAACATAAAGCTCAAGAAAATGGTGATGCTGGCTATTATAGTAACAGTAATATAAATTTAAAAAGATCCAATTTCGAGGTAGTTGACTCAAATGGATTTATGAATTTTTCAAGTGACTCCGAGAAATGTCAAAGTGTTGGTGGAACAAGTCTACAGAAAGCTGCTAAATTAATACGATGTTACATCAATGAGAATGAATCTTCAAAGCACAAGTTAACTTATTTCCTGGCTTTTTTTTGTGTTGCCTTCATTTTAGCTTTGACCATGGCCAACTTTTATCATGGTTTCATGAATTCGCTGTTGTTGGTAATCTCTTGTACTCTTTTAACTGTTATATTTGTTTTTATTTTCCTAGTTATTGAGTTTGTCTATAGATTTGAACAACACGGGATATGCAGTATAATTGAAGAAATGAATTGCTCTTTATCAACATCAACCCCTTCATCTGTCAACGATCTACAATTATAAAGATTGACAGATGGTGAAAAAAATAGTCTCACTCAACCTTCTTACGAAAATTTGCTCCGATATTTGCACAACTACTCAGGCTCAAACATCTATATCACTGATACACACCATTCAACTGCCTTAAAGGATAAAGACAGATTCTCCATTTTAAGTAACAATGATAAAGTAAATCAATTCAATTCAGATAAATTGAGAAACATAATTTCTCAATACATCTTCGATCAAAATAACTTTATGACACGGCATGTCTATTTCATCAATGGATTAACACCTACAGCGCTTTCTCATTTCTTCGCCTTTTTCCTTTCCAAGCAATTAGACCAATTCCAATTTAGTTGCAAACAATCTACTAATTTTATTCCCATCCTGATGTATACAGCTTCGATCAATGGCAGAAGTATATTTTGTTTAAACGTTTTTTTTCTCATAGAGCCTGACAACCTTTACATTGTCACTATTGCCCATTCACCTTTCAAGCAAACAAAAAAGTGAGATGGAAAAATGAATGAATACAATTATCTGGGTTTCGCAAATTCTGAAAGACGATATCAATGTTTCCCTGGAGCCTGGTGGTTGTTGAATTCCTCCTATCTTTACCTTCATTAAATGCAATTGACTTTTATTGCAGCAATATATAGTAACCTAAAAGACTTGCAATGTCACAATTTTGTGTTTCAATCTTCAATAAATAAATCAAAACAATTTGATTGAAAAATTGTCAACTTTTATTTTCATCTACCCTTTATCAAGTTAATAAAATTGAGGTTCCGAATCAAATCATTATTATTCACAATTAGTAAAAATACAATATAAAAAATAGTCGAGGAAATTTTCCGGTTGTGTAGATGAACCATAATCAACCATTAACAGCTGATTAACCAACAGTATCCTTTGAACCGTAAACAATATTTTTAATTCATGGGCTTTTATAAAACGAGGGGCAACAATACATTATACAATATACAATTCAACACAAATTATTGAAGTAAATTAAGCGAAATTAATTATAGTCATTGTTTCAAAATGTCTAAATTGTGAAGACGTATTTATCTTATAAAGACAAAATTGATGTTAAAAGCAAAATAAACAGTACAACATATTTATTGGAATAGTCCGCAATATTTGTATCACTATCAAGTTAACTGATTGCTGATGAGCAATTTAAAAAACTTAGATAACAATAATTAAAGGAAACTTGGCGGATTCACAAATTACAACAGTCGATTGAAAAAAATTAACCAATGGAAATGAGTAACTGGACAAAAAGACTAACCAATCAGTTATTTGAAGAGTCAAGTTAAATTTAGCTCAAATGAAGATGAATATCAAAGTAAACTCATTATTGAACAACCTTTGTTCATCATTGTTTGATCATATATCATCTCTTTCACCTTTACACAACCATCAGCATCATCTAAATCCAGAATAATTGTTTATTTTACTTTCAAAAATCCGATTAATTTACCTAAAACTGTTACTATTAATTTACGATGTACTTGGGGTGTTCACATAACGAAGCAACAGTCAAAGGATAAATTATTGAAACAACCAAAGCCTCTCTCATTTTCATCTGTATCTAAACTTAAACCAAAACTATAGGATAATTGTGGTAACCAATTAAGGATTAAACGAAAGTCAATCAAGTAAAAATTTGCTTCTCTCTGTTTAATTTAAATTATGAGTAACTCAGGCAATGAAAATGAAAGTGATAATGAGACAACCACGGTTGACAACACTGATCCTGATGAGGGAAGACCATCAAGTCCAGAGTCTAGCAGTGACGATCTGCTTCAAGTATCAATTAATTTTGACAATTTGTGCTCCATTTGTTTAAATGAAGTTTCAGTGACCAGTTATGCCGATGGGTGTCTTCACAAATTTTGTGGTCGATGTATTTTTGAATGGGCTCGTAGAAGTCAACTTTGTCCCATCTGCCGTACCTTTTTTGCCAATATAATAACAAATGTGCTTTCCGATACAGACTATGAGGTGATCCCGTTGGAGGAAAGGAGAGCTTCTGTGTTTAATTTTATCCGAGATTCATGGTGGACAAACAACAATAGAAACCAACCATCAAATCGAAACATTTTTGCTGTTCGCCAATTTTCAAGACAACCTCATAACCAGCGTAACCAACAACCTCACCCACAAATGGTTCAGCAACCACAAACAGCCTATCAAGAGGAACAACAAGAGCCACAACCAAGAGGTCAACAATCACAACCAGAGATGGAATTGACTCCAGTTATTCGTGGTATGGATAACCTGTACATTGAGAACCGAAGACCTCGTCGACCATCAGCTTGTGCTCCATCACCTGTTGCCCATCCTCGAATAATTTGGGCTTCAAATCGGTACAATCGTAACCCCAATAGACCTCCAAACAACCGACAAGCTCCACGTCATCGTTCGAACCCTCCATCAACCTCATCGCCACCGCCACCACCTCCCCCAGCACATCAATCCCGAGGCAATTCAACTCATTCCTACCCAACATCTCGCGCTCCTTTCCCAGCACCCAATCCTCATTTAACTTCCCAAACTGGCTCAACCTTTCAAAATAATAATAATAATAATGCTCATCACAGACGAAACCAGGGACAATCAAATCGATCTTACAATGATAGAGGTCATTATAGGATGGTCCAAAGTGCATATGTTCCATATGTTCAGCAAAATTACAATAATCACAATTTTAACAATAACATTAACTATCACCGTTCCCGGAGTATTCCTAATAACATCCATTCATTTCCTCAAAGGCCACTTCGACCTTTGGTCGGTGTTCGTCAAGAAAACATATCATCATCATCATCGACAACATTAAATAACAATCAAAACAACACACGACCAAACCATCGATTCAACAATGACGAAATGAATTGAAAGTTTGAGCAAATGAACATTTTAGTTTGGAGTAATCAATTTTTAAATATCAAAAGTATAAATTCATCCATTTTTATTTTAAAATAACAATAAATATCAAACAGAATTCAACAGATTTTAAACATTTTTTTTATAACTTTTCATTTCATGGGATAACAGAGAGCAAATGAAGCTATGGTGATAAAATTGATTGAATTTCCATCAATCATTCATGAGCAGCTCGAGAATGAATTAAATCAACAGACCAGAAGTAGATTATCTTATTATACAATACGATTGGAATTACAACTTTATCTCTTTCTGGTCTACTCCTAAGGCAGTGAGCAATGCATTCATCATACAGGTTCGTTGTTTTTTGTCTTTTGTTTTAAGGAATCGGACTAAAACATTTCTTACGTAGGTTAGATTAGGTTTGGTTGTATCGTCACTTTGTACTTGTTGAAGCTGCTGTTCCAAGCGAGTAACTTTACTCTGAAGCCTGTGAAATAAAACAAACAGAACGTTATTTGTCAGTGAATTTATGCAAGGTTATGTGAAATCTTGAATAAGCAACTCACTTGAATGTATCAACATTGTACTTCCACCGAAGCTCTCGAAGAGCACATTCATTTTCTCGAGCTGCAAGACGAGTTTCAACAAGTTCAATTTCTTTACGAGCCAACTCATTAACATAGAATAATGAGACAGAATTACTTGGCATTTCCTGGTTAACCATGCTTACGGAATTTAGCGAAGGTCTAACACTAGAGACTTCAAAACGACTATCACTATCACCTAGATTGAAATCATTGTCTGTGAAAACGGTTTCAGAAACGCTTGCTCGGGAACCATGAGAACCACGTCGACTATCATTTGATTTTTCAATTTCTACTTCCCTGTGAGTTGGTAAGACAATAGCACATTCAGTTTTCCTTTGTTTCCCATGATTAGAATTCATTAATTCCAGGTTTGTTTGTGTTTCTTGATCACGTGAAGTTGATTGAACACTAAAATTTTCAAGATTAAGATAAATAAACAAGAAGATGCATGAGAAAATGTTCAAGAACAGACACAATGAAAAATCTTACATTTCTGGTTCTTCCCTTGTTTCTGGCTGTTCAGCAATTGTTTGAGTCCATTTGTTATTCAGTTTACGAACTTCATTAACATCACCAACAATTCTACGATCAAGCTCGTTTATTTTAACCTCATCATCGCATGTTTCAGATTTCCCAATCGCTTCTTGAGCAGACAATTGTCGAGTCAATTCATCACATTTTTGCTTAAGCTTTTCAATTAACGCCTGGTTCTTGATATTTTCAGATTCATATTTTCCACAAATCGAGCTCAATTCATTGAGACTATCTTCCAAAGTAGCTAAACGTTTCTCCTCTTCTTCTCCTCGTTTAGCAAACAATTCTTTTGAGGCCTCCAAATTTTGAAGAATAACATTCTTCTCGCTGAGTACAGTTTTATAAGCTCGAACACAGTCTCTTAGTCTCAATTCAACAGTAGCCAATTTATCTTTCTGTTTGTTAACAATACTTTCAAGTTTTTCACAGTGTGCACAGTTTGATGAGGTATTGGTTGACATATTTTATAATTAGTTTACGGTAGCGAAATGATTTCATAAAGCAACTTTTTTATCCACATTCAAGTTCAAACAGCAAAATTAAAGGGACAAGTTGAATACTGATGTAGGAACTATATCACATATGTTTCAATTTAACAGACTAATTTGAATGAGTTAGTTTATTTTTCGGAAAATAGTCAGAAATCGAAAAATATTTTTCTGATTAAAATCCACATAATGTACAGAATTAAAGCTTCAAATACAGAAGATAACAATTTGTAAACAAGAAGCTATAGTCAATAATATTTTGGAGTCCAAAATTTGGACGATAACTACAGCTCCATCTTTTTACGAAAAACTGTAATTTGTATAGCTTCCAATCTGTGATAATAGATGGCAAACATTATTCAAACTCCAATAAAATTTCCAGGTTTATTCAGGTTTAGGTTTTGATTAACTTTAACAATAATGTCAATTAAAGATAATCAATGTTTCAAGCTATTTAATATTTCAACATGTTTAAGAAAATGTTTGATTTCTCTCTTTTCTAGTTGGTCAAGAGAGTTGACGGAGTTGATCAAACACGTTGATAAAGTATCGATCAAAGATCTAATGTTGATAAAATTTTAATTTGGTTCTTGAGTAACTCAATTTTTAGCTTGATCTGCAAATGAATAAAAGAAGAAATTGATGTTCGAACAAGATTTAAATTTTATGAAATTCATTCAAAGAATTCGTTTTACATTCATTTATCTTTTGAGAATGCACAACAATGAACATAGATTAATAAAAATTTTAGACATTTTTGAACAAAGTTATGAAATGAGCAACATTTGACTAACCATATACAATTAGCACTAACAATGAGTGAGATTGTAGTCACAATATTAGGTAATGTAAGCACAGAAAGACAAGAATTATGATTAAGACTAGAAATTAATGATGAGCTCTCGATGAGCAAAAGAGATCGTCAGAATGCATTCATATGGAAGAAGATTCTGTCATATTTTGAGCCAGTGGAGCATTTAGCGGGCCAATCATCATAAAATATTGGATCAGATTAGTCCTGGTCGATATACGAATAAAACTGCAGTTTAAGCGAATGCCAAGAGTAATCTGGTTGGTATAATTTTGGTGGAAATGCATTTTACTGGTTGTAATAGATTTGAATCAAGTTAAATATTGATGGAAACAAATTGATGGTGTTTACGAAAAAGAAATTACATTCTTAATTATGCTTCTTCCTCAACAATTTAGTTTGAAAAAATAGGGTAGTTTTCCTGTTTTCTTTTGCCAAAAATAATCATAAACAGCTTTCAAAGCAATGAGAATAGTCAAAACCGCACAAATTCCGCTAAGTATATCTAGAAAATGTAATGGCACATTAGATTGAGGGCATATTTCGGAAATGGGCAATTGATGAATTGGCAATCTTTCTTTATTCCGTGTTATGAAAAAATCCATCCTGTTATTAGAGTTGGTGCAATATACTTTGTTTATATCTGAAACCTTTTCGTGGTGCTTTTGAAGCCACTTTTGAAATGTTAGAGTATTACAGTCACATGTCCATGGATTTTCGGAGAGGTTGATTTTGAGAAGGTGAGAAAATTGTTCCAAGATATGTATGGGCACTTCTTTCATTTGATTCCGCTGAAGATTTATGGACAATAGATTTCTCAATATTTTGCTTATCTCAAGATCTTGCAGGCCACTAATTTCATTGTTATCCAAATAAACAGCGCGAACAGTTGACCAGGATGAACTGTCGGCTGCCGACAGGTAAAAACTGCGAAGACGATTACCATTTAATTGAACTATTCGTGCTCCAAGAGGTAGATTTTTCGGAAGAGATGTCAAATCACGGTAGCTACAGTTAACCATGAGAAGATCTTTCTTGATCATAAAACAATCACATTGGTGACAAATGGAAGTTTGCTTAACAGAGTAAGCTTGTTCGACAGTCATTTCTTTCCATTTAACAGGCTCAGAACAGAGGATATCCCACGGTTGTCTAATCATGTTGGTCCCTTGTTTGGTTGGATCTCGATTTGAGTAAATTAATCCACCTAACTTGACAATTGATGGGTTATTACAATCTAATGGGTTGTCATGTATGTACAAACTGAACAATTTGTTTGGTTTCAATTGGTCCAATCCATCCATGCTTTTCAGAAAATTCGATGAGACATCAAATTTTTCTAGAAGTGGAAAATTTCTAAGGGCATCATTCAAACTTATGTAAGTTAAACGATTGTGACTTAAGTTTAAAAATGTTAAAGAAGGTAGCGAAACCCAGATAACGCTGACAATCAGGTTACTTGAAAGGTCTAATTCTTTTAGATTGGATAATTTGGTGAAAAAACGTAAATCAACCAAAGTTAGGCCATTCCATGATAGATGAAGCAATTCCAGTGACGCAAAAACTTCTTCGTAGGAGCCATTAGTTAACCAAGCCACAATTTGATCGATTGTTTCAGAAGACTCGTTCACCTGTAATGCCAATTTTGAATTATCTTGAGTCTTTGAGGTCTGGTTTATGGCATTAGTTATTATCTCCAAATAGCCAACATGGCTACAGCTTATATTTACTGGATTTGAATAGAAACACCAACAAGAACCTTTATCAGGTTCAAATGGATCACTTGAACATAAATCACCATAATTTCCGTTGGTACCCTAGTTAAGTGATGAAACCAAAGATGAAAAGAGCAAAGTTTTAGTGAAATATACATCAACAAAAATTAAACGGTATATTTTGATATACACATGTACAGTTTTTTACTGGAAATTTAATTTGCTTACCTTTTCAACGAGCGATGAAGCCAAAACATAATCGATGGAATAAAAGATGGAGGGTAAAATCAAAAGGAGACAAGTTTTGAGTATTCGAGCTACCATTGAGTCAATATTATTTTTCCGGAATCAGGTTGAGAAATAAGTTTGTTTTTAGGTTCAATCAACCAAAGGAATGGCAAAAGTAAACAAAGACTTTAAGATAAGCACAGTTATAATATTTGAACATTAAAGCAACAGGTTGTTACAGCGAAAGTAAAGATGATGAAGAGATGTACCTCTTATCCGAGGTTTATCTCTGATCATTATATGATCACTATATATTCTATGGTTTTTCCTCAACACGTATTTAAATGATGATAATCAGGTATGCTTAATTAAGAAGGTTTAAAAACCACTATGAAATAAATACCAACTGGGCAACAAGTGCAACGCGAAATTACACCACAATATGCTCCACAGTAATAATCCACTTGGAAGTTCAACACATGATAATCATATTATAAAAGAAACACAATTGATATTTAACCAGTTAGTTAAATATAGTAAATATAGCATTTAATTGAAGATGATATTGGCTGTTATTTTTACAAGGTTGTTTCACCATAGATGAGATATACAGGAAAACAGTTATAGCTGCGTGATTAACATGGGATGTTCAAGTTGCTTATCTTATGGTAATAGAAAGACTAACTATAGACACTTTGTTTACATACTTAATCTGATTTGCTTGCGAAATGTGTTTAGACCAAAAGATCAAACAATATTTAATAATAAAATTAAATAAATAAGACTATTCATAATGTTAATAATGAACATAGAAGAAAAAACTTGTTGCTTCAAATGAAAACAACCTTCACTTTTTTGTCTCAAAAAATTGATCGATGGTGAGAATGATCTTGAAGAAACAGCTTTAGTTAATGATGTTGTCCTTAAGAGAAACCAAGAAAAAGTACAATTAGAATGAGTTGAAACCTTGTTTGAATAGTTTTAATTGTAAATCGAAGGTGAAACAACACCTAGGACCATTTTCAATCATTGAACTAGTGCAGTTATTATACATTAATTTCATAAAAGGTAATAAAAAACTCAAGACAAATTGAAGTTTGAATATCCCGGGTTTTATTTACATTAGGTTGAATTTACTCTTTGGGTAAAACTCACTAGGTTAACATGTGATTAGTGTTGTTTTTGCATCTTTTAACAATTATTATTATTAGTTATCAACCTGCCTATTTCCCCGGTGAAATGATCAAGAATAGTTTACGTTTGATGGCTCAATTGCGGACAATCAAGACACCTCCAATGGCATTCAATTCTACTTACGCTCTGATGTATAAAAATTACGGTGATCCATTGGAAGTTGTTGAAAAAGTTGATGTAACCAGTTCTGTTTCGTTAGACAAACCTTTAGAACCTAATCAGGTATTGATTCAATATATTGCTTCAACAATAAATCCATCTGATATTAATACTATCCAAGGAACCTATGCAATCAAACCCAGTTTACCAGCTGTTGGGGGTAATGAAGGTGTTGCCAAAGTCCTTAAGACAGGATCACAAGTAACTAATTTAAAGCCTGAAGATTGGGTTATACCTGCTAGACCTGGTTCAGGTACATGGCGAACTCATGCAATAACATCTGAAGGTGATCTGATGTTGATAGACAATGAATTAGACTTGCCTGCTGCAGTTCAGTTGAATGTTAATCCACCTACTGCTTACAGGATGCTCAAAGACTATGGCAATTTAAAACCCGGTGATTGTGTTATTCAAAATGGTAGTAATTCAGCTGTTGGTCTTCTAGTCATTCAATTATGTAAAATTTGGGGTTATAAAACTATTAATGTTGTTCGGGCTCGACCAGATCCTAAAGAGACGGAAAAACTGTTCAACTCATTAAAAGATTTAGGAGCCGATCATGTTGTAACTGAAGATGATTTAAGAAACCGCGAGGTGATGGATAAAATTTGGTCAAGTGGAACTCCTAAACCAATCCTTGCTCTTAATTGCATCAGCGGGGAAAATGCTACCAACTGTTTCCGTTATTTGGGTGACAATGGAGTAATGGTGACTTATGGTGCAATGTCCAAAAAACCACTAACCCTTCCAGCAGGTCCATTTATTTTTAAACATCTTATAAGTACTGGATTTTGGGTTACAAAGTGGAAGAAAGAACATGCTGGTAAACCTGAATATACAGAAATGACACAAAATTTAGTCAATCTTTTCAAAGAAGGAAAATTACAAGCACCGAAGGTGATACCTTTCAAGTTTGAAGATTACAAAGAAGCTATACGGAAAGCTACTGCACCTTACGTCGAAGGAAAAGTCATTCTTACACCTTGAAATGTGATAAAATAGAGGTTTCTGAAAATTTATGTTTTTATGTTCTATACCAATAATATTAGATGTTAATTAATAAATTTTTAACTAGGAAATTCTTCCATTTAATTATTTCAACTGAACTACTAGAGTTATCAGAATAAATTCAATTAAAGATCAGACTAAAAGCTACATTATCTAAGGTTTGAGAGTAATACATTTCGAGAAGAAATATTATGTTTACATGTTGTTTGAGATAACAATTTTAAATAACAATCAATATCCAATGTTTATTACTAATGTGAATCCTTTATTAACAACTCTATTGACCTTAAAATCCCTCTCTTTGACATTGAAAATTCATTTAAACTCTAGTATCATTGAAATCGTTAATGATTTTTAGAATAGTGGCCTTAATCGTTTGTTGATTACAAATTATCATGAAAAACCTAGGCAATTGTCTTGAAATCTTGTTTGCCTATCTCCATGGTTTTCACTTTATTTTCAACTCTCTTCCATATAGTGTTGCAAAATATTGAAAAAAGTTATTTATCGATAGGAAAAATATTGTTTGAGTACTTATCGATACTTATTGATGATATTGTTATTGAAAAATATCGTTAAATATTGAAAAATATTGCAATATATTGTTATTTTCATAGAATTTAATATGAAAAAATAGGTAAGATTAGATTATTAGATTTCTATTGACTGAATTGCAGATTGAAAACTTAATCAGAGAACCAGGCAGTGAGCTTAGAAACATTAGTTTATTAACATTAACCTGTGCATTCTTCATTAATTATTGACTCGCTTCAGAAAAAAACATTTTATTGTAGCTGGACGTAAGATTTTTTGATAATATTAGTTATCGATAGTATTGTCGGACTTAGGCAATTGTCTTGAAATCTTGTTTGCCTATCTCCATGGTTTTCACTTTATTTTCAACTCTCTTCCATACTCTCTCTTTAATATTGAAGGTTATTTTTTCATCTTTGCTTATAATTTGCTCATTTTTTATTTACATGTTTAGATCATCTTTTGGTTTTGTATTTACCAATTTAAATTTGTTCAACCGATTAACAATGCCATCTTTAATCAATTCATCAAGACACTCATCAGCATTACAACCTTCACAGGAATCGGTAGCTGCTACATCTATACACGCGGCTGGGATAACCGAAGTTCATAACGTTCCAATCAGTGTAATTATCCGGCCGATTCCTCCTGTTCTGGATGAAAACAAGGTTCAAAGTTTGATGAACACATTAAAGGTAATTACATAAACCATAGGTTAAAGAAGCAAATGACTGTTAACAGCCAGAATAAAGGTTACAAGAATCACCTAATCCATTACTGTTGGTGTCTGTGTTGTTACGCCTTCTCTTGACAATGTACATTACAATGTAATCGTTAGGCCTTCTGTTTATAAATTGTATGAATCTTTTTCTTTTGATTTAACAGGAAACTGAAGAGGATAAAGTGCCACCAATCGATGTACTTTGGATTAAAGGATCTGAAGGTGGCAATTATTTCTACAGTTTTGGTGGCTGCCATCGATTCGAGGCTCATTGCAGATTACATTCACCTACAATTAAATGTAAATTGGTTCCGTCAACCATCGACGATTTGCGTATTTACCTAGGATCTTCAACTCCAGACCTTAAATAATTCACCTCAAACTATGCATCGTTAATGTTGGACATTTTTATTTTTTTAGTGGACACAACAGTGCAATTGAATCAACTTACCTGTTAATTGCCGAATACAAGTTTATTTTTGAGAACCAGCTCATGTTAACGTTATTTTATTATTTTTTGTTTCTAAATTTCTCTAACTGTATTACATTGCTTTCTAGCAAATGATTTTGTTTGTTAATGTTAAATAATCCTCCAGACACAGAATAGTAAACATTGCCTTTTCGCGATTATTCAAAACAAATCAATTCTCAGGCTCATGATGAATTTTTGTTTTTTTCCAAGCTAGCCTAACCATTAGATTTATGGATAATCAATAACAGCATTGATTGAATGAATGTTCATTTTAAATAACTGAAAAGATTCATTGTTAATGAGAAAATAAAAGCAGGAGTGATTCACTGTTTAGCTTGAAAATATTCAATATGTTTCCACCTTATATTCAGAAATATTAAAAACTACGTTAATTACTCCAAACTAATTGTCTATTTCTAATGATTTTTTGTTTTCACGTAAGTAAAGTTCACTAGATACAATAACATGCTCAACAAATATACTTACGAGTACTCCAAAAGCACAAGCTCAACCAAATATTAAATAATGATAATGAACAGGTAATAAATATTGCATGTTTTTATTGAGTTATACTCATATGTTACTTTTGAAAGTTTTGAAGGTAAGAATGTCAAAATCAGATAGTTTTTATAATAATGCTGTTTATTTTATATTGTTTATGTACTACTTTGTTGCTTGATAAGAATAGTCTGCATCTCTTCAGAGTAAATTAATCGCCTCGAGTTTGTTGTACTCTAATGTTATGAGCTGTTTCCGTCTTCCATTTAGCTTTTAACAATATCACGATCATATCTTTAACATTACTATTGCATCTCATTTCAATATTCATTTAGACTAACAGTTAAAATGTAATCATAAAAACATTAGCCGTTCAAGCAGCCTAATGATTCTACTTCTTCCAAGATTATTTATTTTTCAAGATTTGAGGTCGACAAAATTTTCAGACTCAATGATGAAGTTGATTGAATTTGCTTCAATGTTACATATTTTATTTCAATATATATACCGTTATTATAATACAAACCGACCATTAGTGTAGATATTAAAAAAGTTGGTTTAATTTATATATTTTAAAATAAAATGTATTTTCTATGTAAAATTGATTGAAGGTTAAAATTCACTTTATGAAGTTTGCTGAGTTGGTTGTGTTCAAAAGTTGTGATTATGTTCAATTTATTTAATGTATGTTTATATCCAAGCTATGCTTAGTATTTTTAGTTAGGTGGCAATTTGATGATTGATTTGGAATGGGGAAATCTGTCGTTTCTTTGTTGCTATTACAGTCAATTTTATATGAAAGTAAACATGGTTCCATGAAATTCCAAATGCAATTTTGAACACTTTCTTGTAATAATCGTTTATTTGGACTGAACTCAATATTACTAACAAAATAATGTCCACTGACTTTGTGCATTGAAGGTTCAACTGCTAAATAAACTGGTCCTATCGCACCAGTTTCTAGGGAAACACCTCGAAATGCTTGTTGAAATCGATTGCTGAATCTAGTTGTCCACGATGATCCTTTACCAACTATGTCAGTTTTCACACAACCAGGATGGACAGAATTGATTGTTATGTTTGTATCCTTCAAGAGACTAGCCATTTTCAACACGAATCCATTCAGGGCAAATTTGGTCATGGCGTAGTTGAGAATAGCATCATAATCAGGTGAAGATGGAACAAAAAGATCGGTGTTGAAAGAAAATGGAATCAAATTGAATTCTGAAGAGATCATGATAACTCGAGCACCAAATGTTGATTTAGATAGTAAAGGAATCAAGTTATAAGTTAATAAACAAGGGGCTAAAAAATTCACTTGACATGTTTCTTCAAATCCATCGGCTGTTATTGTTTTATCCTTTGCCCCAAACATGCCAGCATTGTTTATTAAAATATCCAATGAATCCAGAGTCGAATACAAATGAGAGCAAGCATCATTGATAGACGTAAATGATTTTAGATCTAATTTCAAAGGAACCAAACGATCATCAGATCTTCCATTAGATATTTCTGAACAAGCTTTCAATGCTGCTTCTGTATTGCGGCATGCAAGGATCACTTTAGCACCACGTTTATATAAATCAGAAGCAATCTGTTTACCGATCCCTCTATTAGCACCAGTTACTAGTATTACTTTACCATCCAAACGAATCGATGGGTCAGTTTTTTTTCTTTTGAACCAGCAATAAATATCTTGGTAAAGAAAGATGAGAAACAAACAAGGAAAGCGAAAAATGTAAACAAGTCGTTCTTTTAAGGGCAACGACATTTTCACGGTGAGGTTTGATGGCGAGACATTAAAATGAAGCTTCAGTTGTGGATCAGTAAACTAATTTAAACAAAACAGCTGGGACAGTGTTACAATTATCTTAAATAAAGAAAAAGAAACCAAACGATTTGAACTAGACCAGCCAAAAGATATTGTCGATGAATGGAAACAATTTTAAGGATTGAAGACACAAGTTTACAGCGTTTTCAGATGATTATGTAAATCAACAGTAAGCACTAATAGTTAAGATGATGGACTTTCACTAAAATGACACATATTGTTTAGTTGGAAAATGGAATGGTGACAGTTGTACACAAATGTACAACGAAAGCACTTGATGTTTAAAAGAGAATAGCAAAAAATGAAACTCTTAATGGCAAAGAGTAAAGTAAGTTGTTTAATGGTCTCTTTGTTGTTCCTTCAACTGTTCAGGGAAATGAATAGATGATAATTTCATATGATCTAAAGATGATGGTTTTAATAATGGAAATGTAAAAGGTCATAAAAATGCGACGAAAACACAATTAGGAAGCAGACGCTATGTACAGGCACAGTGTGAAAGTACAGGCATAAAAAGGTTGGTTGAAGTGAAAGTGACTACCAAATGACTATCAAGTTCAAACTGCAAAGTTGCTTTATAAAATAGACTTAAGAAATTAATTTTTGTCTTAAGATGGCGTTTTCTGGATAAAAAAGGTTTGCTAATTGACAATTATGAGAAACAATTGTATGCCTGTAAATGGATAAATGGCTTAACTCGAAGGCACTTATTTAGAGATGAATTTCAACTCAAAAGTATCGCTACCAACATCGCTATCAACAAAATGACTCTTTAATAGACGTCCATAGATTACTTGCAAGAAGCATTTGAACAAACATGTTATTTCGTAAACCTTTTGACTCATACATAATGTTTCTTGAATATTTCAAGGTTTTCATCGGTGATTGAAAGGCTAATTGAGATGATTAAAAAAGTAAAGATAGTTTCACTGAAATGATTAACAGTTTCCACAAAAAAGCATAATAATGAGAATTAATTTCAGGGGAAATAATTGTTTTTTAAATTTCTGAACAGAGTCAGTTGATGAAGATGAGGTTTCCACATATTCATTATGGTAATCAACTTTGGTTTCTGGTTATTCTGGTTTCACTCAATAAAATCTGGTTAATTAGACAATTGACATTCACTTTTTATTTACTCATCGTTACTCAACCAAATTGGCCTTCAGTTCAAATCAAAACATCTTAGGAAACGTAAATTGTGAATAATAGGAAACCAGAAAAGTATTGGACGAGTTGGTTAATCAGTCACATTATCCTGATTAAGTAAAATTATTAAGTTTAGTAACAATTAAACATTTTGATTGGTATTGTTAGGTTGAGCTTAAACAATGTATTTCACGTTAATAATGTTCAGCAATTATAGTATTCAGTTAGTCTGTTAAATTGTTTCATACTGTTCACTTTTAACCTTATTCAATATTCAATAAATACACTTGTTTAATAACTCAGAATCGGTAATAATCAACTGGTTATGGGCTCAGCTACGAGAGCAGATTCTGGTTACGGCTCAACAAGCCTTATTGAAAGATTTGAAGGTAAAGATTTTTCTACTTGGAAGTTCAAAATGATGAATTACTTGAAACGAGATGGTCTTTGGGATGTTATTAGTGGAACCAATGAAACTGATAGTCCTTTTCAACAAAAGATATACAAGCGTCAAGACGAAAAAGCGCTTGGTTTGATATGTTGTTGTGTTGACTCAAAATATGTCGTTTTGATCAAAAAGGCTAAGACTGCAAAGGAAGTTTGGAAAATACTGGAATCAACTTTTGAACGACATGATTTGTCTAAAAAGCTTGCCGTAAAACAGAAGTTAGCTAATTTGCGGATAAAAACTGGACAGTCAATGATTGACTATATTACTGAGATGGAAAAGCTTTGGTCTGAATTGGCACATTGTGGTGATAATATTAGTGACAATGACAAAGTTATTGAGTTATTGAGTAAATTACCAAATGAGTACAAACATTTCGTCTCAGCAGTCAGGGTTATTCTCGATAAGATTCAATTTGATGATTTGGTAGCTCGGTTGTTACAAGAAGAGGAAACATTCAAGGGACAAACACATGTTGAAACAGCTCTTATTGTAAAAGGTAAAGGTAAACCAAAAGGTAAAAAATGGTTTACTTGTTATAGCTGTGGTGAAAAAGGTCATTTCAAACGTGATTGCCCTAAAATACAATCAAAAGATGGTTTTGGTAAGCCAAAAACAGTACCAAAAGATATTGATAAGCCATACGTAAAACAGAATAAGATTACTGAGGACAAAGCATTGACACTTGTTAGTGATTTTAATAGCAACGGTAAATGGTTCATTGATTCTGGAGCGACGAATCACATGTGTTTTCGTCGTAATTGGTTCAAAAACTTTGAAGAAATCACTGACAAACGAGTCAAACAGGGCGATCTTACTAATCTTGATGTTAAAGGTATTGGTGAAATTGATATTCTATCGAGTTTTGGCGTGCAATTTACATTGAAAAACGTATATTACGTCCCTAAACTGCATCTAAATCTCATGTCAGTGGGTCAAGCAGAAGACTCAGGAGCTGAAATGCACATAAAGAATGGAAAATGTAAAATTTATCTTAATGATGAATGCATTGCTCAAGGTGAAAGAGAAGGTAGACTTTACCTATTACAATGTGAAGTTTACAATGAAAATGATGCAGTATTAATGGTTGATCATGAAGACAAAAAGGAAGATATTAACCTTTGGCATCTTCGTTATGGGCATATTAATTATGATAACTTGAACTCAATGGTCAGAAACAGTTCAATTGATGGTATTAACTTGAAGGGTGAAAAGTCATCAATATGTAAAGGTTGCTTGAAAGGTAAAATGGTAAAAAGTAGCAAAAAGGCAAGATCACATGTCAAGACTGAATCTGTTTTAGATCTGATTCATTCTGATATTTGTGGACCAATACGAACTAAGTCATTTACTGGTTTACGTTACTTTGTAACATTTATCGATGATTGGTCGAACTGGGTAAAAGTTATTCCAATCAAGGAACGGGATAAAGTATTTGAACAATATCAGGAATACGAAGCAGAAGTTACTAACTTATTTGGTAAATCAATTAAAATATTGCGCACTGATAATGCTAAAGAGTATTTATCAACAGAATTTGTGAATTATTTGAAAAATAAAGGCACAAAACATGAAACATCTATTGCTTACCTTCATGAGCAAAATGGAGTGGCAGAAAGGATGAATCGTACACTGAGAGAAATGGCTTGTTCAATGCTGCACCAAGCTGAATTACCATTAACCTATTGGGCCGAAGCTATTGTAACTGCTGGATATATTCGCAATCGTTGTTCATCAAAAGTGATTTACAATCTAACTCCATTTGAAAGATGGAAAGGAAGGAAACCAAATGTTCAACACTTCAGAGTTTTCGGTTCAAAAGCTTTTGCACTATTACCTCAAGAGAAGAGGTCGAAGATTGAATCTAAGGTATTGGAAGCAATCTTCACGGGTTATTGTGCCAACAAAAAGGCTTATCGTTTAATCAATCCAGTTAACAAAAAGGTAATTTATTCAAGGGACGTTAAGTTTGATGAATTGGCTATATTGAATAAACAAAATGAATCGATTGTCAATGAAATTACATTGATTGACGATGTAACTGAAACAGACCAAAACATTGAGACAGAAGATGATGATCATGTTTGTTTAACCGTCAATAATGAACCTGAATCATATGATGAAGCAATTTCATGTTATGATGCAAATGAATGGTTGAAAGCTATTCATGAAGAGTATCAATCATTACTTAATGCCAACACTTGGATATTAGTAAAGCGACCAAGCGATTGTAATGTTGTTAAAAACCGATGGGTTTTTAAGATCAAAGACAATTTTGATGGTAAAAGGTTCAAAGCAAGACTAGTTGCAAAAGGATTTACACAAGAGAAGGGAAAAGATTACACTGATACTTTTGCTCCGGTAGCAAAGTTCACTACTTTGCGTTTTCTCATTTCCTTGAGTGTTGAGAATGGTTATTATGTCAATCAATTAGATGTAAAAACAGCATATCTCAATGGTAAACTATCGGAAACGATATATATGGAACAACCAGAGGGTTTTGTCAATGATACTAACTTAGTGTGTAAGCTTCAGCGAAGTCTTTATGGTCTTAAACAGTCAGGTCGAGCTTGGAATCTTTTATTTAACGATTTTATGGTAAAGATTGGTTTCATAAGGTTGATGTCTGACAATTGTTTGTATTACAAAGGTGAAGGAGATAAGCAAATGTATTGTCTAATTTACGTTGATGATTTATTGTTATTCGGTAAATCGATTGAACGCATGAAATTTGTGAAAAAGCAAATGTGTGAACAATTCGAAATGAAAGATATTGGTATAATTAAGTCATTTCTAGGAATTGAGTTCAAATTTTCTGATGATAACACGATAATTCAACTAAGTCAATCAAATTACATTGAAAATATTTTGCACCGATATAACATGTACGAATGTAAGCCATGTACGTTATTTAAAAGGGACCATCAATTACCGTTTAACAATGAGTAAAAATCAAAATAATTGTGTTTTAGTTGGTTATTCAGACGCCGACTTTGCATCGTCATCAATTGATAGACGCAGCATAAGTGGTTCGGCGATATTTTCTTATGGTAATCTAATTTCATGGAATAGCAAGAAGCAAACAACAGTTTCTCTGTCTACAGCGGAAGCTGAATATGTAGCCTTAGTTAACTGTGCAAAAGAAGTTATTTGGTTACGGCAATTGATTCATGAATTAGGAATATCACTATCAGAACCAACAACTATTCATGAAGATAATCAATCCGCAATTGCTTTAAGCAAAGATCCAGTATCTCAGTCAAGGTCAAAACACATTGACATTAAATATCATTTCATACGAGAGAAGGTAAAAGATCAAATCATCAAAGTACAGTATCTATCAACAAGAGACATGATAGCGGACATCATGACCAAAGCCTTACCAAAGGATCAGTTTCAAATTCTGCGGTCCAAGCTATTCATCAATGATAATGTGGTCTGAGTGGGAGAGTTGGTTAATCAGTCACATTATCCTGATTAAGTAAAATTATTAAGTTTAGTAACAATTAAACATTTTGATTGGTATTGTTAGGTTGAGCTTAAACAATGTATTTCACGTTAATAATGTTCAGCAATTATAGTATTCAGTTAGTCTGTTAAATTGTTTCATACTGTTCACTTTTAACCTTATTCAATATTCAATAAATACACTTGTTTAATAACTCAGAATCGGTAATAATCAACTGGACGAAACATTGTTTTACAGTAAGAAAATAATCAAAAAATGATTCAAAATAAAGTTCACTTAATATTGGGATTCAAGTAATCGAAGGGTAATCAACCTTGGTTCACCAAAAAGACATGATTTTTACCTTGAAAACATTTTATTGAAATCAAATTGACAGCCATTTTACAGATGAATTTTGATTAATCTCAATCCAGAAACTTATCAAAATTGAACAATCGAAACAATAAGATTATTCTCAATGAAAATGAAAACTTCATCTCCATCATTTCAATCAATTTTAATCCCTTTTGATTGAATCAGTTCATTTGATGCTGAAACTATAAAAGATCGTAAGATCAACTCAGATATTAAACTAATTTTCAACGATTAAATGTCAATGAATAAACCGAATGGACTGAACATTTGCCAGAGAATCAGAAGGATTCATAAAGAGATTGTCCGTTCTGATTAGCAATCCATGGGAAAACATGCAACGAAACAAATTCTGAAAACGTATTCTAATTGAGTGAGGAGACGAGACCAGATTATTCACGTTGATAGCGTTAATTGACTTTTATTTATGTTGAAATTTTTCATTTGGTTCAGTCAAGAAGTTAGATTCAATGTATTGGCAAACGCAAGTGTTTGATGCGTTCAGAACTTGAGAAATAATTGTTCTTTTTTCGTTGCTCATGTTCAGAGATATTCATCAAAATAGTGTTTGGCTCTAAAGATAAATTGAATTAGAAAATTTGACTAATTAATCAATCAAAGATTTAATCAGTGCAGAATCATTGAAGACTGACATTCAATGATCTGCTAAACATGATATCGATTTGATTAATTTTCTCACTCTTGCACTCGCCATATCTGATCAATCAACACCCGATGTAGATATGTTTAATTGAGAAACCCATTTTTATTAATTATATAATGATGTGTCATATATTGCCGTAAATGATGGTCAAAGGTTTTAGGCACTTAATTATCTGAAATTCATAAATCAATTTATCTTTTGAACAAAACACTATTTTGATGAATATCTATGAAAACATATTGAAACAGATAAACAAATAGGGTTCTGTAGATGATTAAAGATAATTTGAGCACTTAAAAATGATTATGGAAATGCACATCTTCCATTGCAAGCGATATTGACTTGAAAAAAAATGAAACCTTGTGACAAAGGGACAAAGGTAAAAATAATACCATTAAGAGTGTCTAATTAAATTAACAAATCAAATGTATATAAAGTTGACGGTTTGCTAAAGGAAAACATATTCTGATTTGATTTATCAGCAATAACAAGTGAAATATTTCAATTCTGTGAACAGTTTAACAATTGAAAACCATTCAAAATGTTGATTTTTATGTTAACCGTCACTTTGTTTGCTAATGTTTTCCTTGTTTCATCCCATTCCGAAAGATCCATTGAAATAGCCAATCATGATGCTACAGTGATCGACTGTGCTCGATACAAGAGAGAAGCCAATCAACATAAATGTGTCATCACTCCATTCACAACTGAAGGTCCATACTTTTTACCCGATGACTATGAACGCTCAGACATTACTGATGGCTATACTGGAGTCAACTTGAATTTAACTCTTCTATTAACCAATGCTAAGGATTGTTCACCTTTATCCAACTATTATGTTCATATTTGGAACGCTAATGCTTTGGGTCACTATTCAGGTGTACAAGAGTTTAACTTTTTTGATCATCCAACCTTCCGTCCAAAACCAATTAACAATTTAAGGTTTCTTAGAGGTTACCAGATAACCAATGAAGAAGGTTTAGTAAACTTTAATACAATCATTCCTGGTTGGTACTTTGGTCGTTGTCTGCATATTCATGTTGAAATTTATGACAAAAATACCACAGATGGACATGCAATCAGTTACATTGGACAGCTTTACTTTAACCGAGAGATGCCTGCAGCATTGAGACTGATCGATCCTTATTCACAAAATAACAATGAATTGACATTGAATGAACAAGATGTTATCTACCCCTTGTCTAGAGGATCTGACACAACATTAGAGTTGATTCCAGAAGGCAATGGTTTCCGTGCATCTTATGTTTTGTCAATTGATCCAACTGTTAAAATTGAAAATACTTACGAACAATTTTTATATGATGACGCTTTCAAAGCACTTAATCGTACATCTACTGAACATTAATTGATGTTCTCAATACTAATACTGAAAAACAAAATAAAGCACGAAATAAATATCTAAATAATATTTAAAACATATTTAATTATCAATTTTCTTACTCTATTTGGTTTGCTACCTTCACCATTATTGGAACCATTCGCATCAGTAAAACTTATTGTGACGTAAAAAATGGTTTATTGATGGATTGCAAGTATATGTAAAACTGTGTCTTTCAAGTGAAGTGTAAAGAGTTAGGTGAAAAAATATGGAACCACAGCGATACAAAATAACCAAAGTTTCAAATTTTAACCCAATTTTGCAAAATTATCCATCAGAGAAACTTTTTAACCAAACAAATGGAATCAACTTTTTCGCTCTAAAACCAACAATGAATCAACTCTCAACAAGAATGGGAATTTTGCAAGTTTGCTTGAATAATGACTTTTTGCATCCCAAAATGATTATTAAAGCCACAAGAGCCAAATATTTCAAATTTAGTATTTCTTATCATGACGATAATTTTAAATCGTTAATTTGTGTCTATTACAAGTCGATTGATTGTGTCCTAGTCAGGCAAAAGAAAATTCATAACCAGTCATTGCGCCGAAATGATGACTGAACGCAAAAGTTATAAACGAAATTATACGACAAAATGATGACCATGTTTCGACTACAGCAATAAATATTGAAACATATTCACGAAAAATATTACGAGAATTAATTTGGTTTTGGATTGATATTTCTAATGAAATTTAATCTGAATTTCGGATCACTTATTTAAAGTACAGTTCATTTTACTTTGCCCATTTTGCCTTCTTTTTCCTCTAATTGGACTCTTATTTTAATAACAATGTTGTGCTATGTAAAAACATATTTATATTAACAGTATATTTTATTATCATATAATGATGTCTGCTTATTAATTCCTGTATATAACGGTCAAGAGGCTCATATGCAATACTAGCAACGTTGAGTGATTAGCCTAAATTTATCAATTCAATTCATCTCTAGAACAAAGGACAATTTAGAAGATTATCTTTGAAAAACATTTAACTCTAATTGAAACAATACAAAATCACACAATAGGATTATGTAGATGATTAACGATAAATCGATAAAATTGAGTACTTGAAAGTAGTCAAAATGATTACGAAATGAATATCTTTAGCTGAATGCGACATCGAAAAAACAAAACCTTGTGACAAAGTGACAAAGGTGACAAAAGGGACAATAATGGCACACAAATCGGACAATAATACCTTTAAGAGTGAACTAGCACTACGAACTAGAGCTGCAGATCAATGTATATAAAGCTGACGGTTTTTTAAAGCAAAACATATTCCAATTTGATTTATCAGCAATAACAAGTGAATTATTTCATTTCTGTGAACCATCTAAACCCTTGAAACCATTAAAAATGTTGATTTTTATGTTAACTGTGACTTTGTTTGCTAATGTTGTCCTTGTTTCATCCCATTCCGAAAGATCCATTGAAATATTGAATCATGATGCTACAGTGATCGACTGTGCTCGATACAAGAGAGAAGCCAATCAACATAAATGTGTCATCACTCCATTCACAACTGAAGGCCCATACTTTTTACCCGATGACTATGAACGCTCAGACATTACTGATGGCTATACTGGAGTCAACTTGAATCTAACTCTTCTATTAACCAATGCTAAGGATTGTTCACCTTTATCCAACTATTATGTTCATATTTGGAACGCTAATGCCATGGGTCACTATTCAGGGGTAAAAGAGTTTAACTTTTTTGATCATCCAACCTTCCGTCCAAAACCAATCAACAATTTAAGGTTTCTTAGAGGTTACCAAATAACCAATGAAGATGGTTTAGTAAACTTCAATACAATCATTCCTGGTTGGTACTTTGGTCGTTGTATTCATATTCATGTTGAAATTTATGACAAAAATACCACAGACGGACATGCAGTCAGTTACATTGGACAGCTTTACTTTAACCGAGAGATGCCTGCAGCATTGAAACTGATCGATCCTTATTCACAAAATAACAATGAATTGACATTAAATGATCAAGATATTGTCTTCGCCTTGTCTAGAGGATCCGACACAATATTAGAGTTGATTCCAGAAGGTAATGGTTACAGTGCATCTTATGTTTTGTCAATTGATCCAACTGTTAAAGTTGAAAATAGCGTCCTTCCATTCGAAGATCCACGAAATGTTTCATTTATTGAGCATTGATTGATATTCTCCATCCAAATACTCTAAAACAAAATAAAGCATGAAATAAATTAAACTTAAATCGCAATTGATTTGATCGGTCGAATAGTCTCTAAGCTTAATGGACAAAACTTACAAATCTTAGCTTGCAAATAAAGATATTCACAAATCAAACATCTTTCAATAGTTTATTAATCACATTTTTTCGTATCTCTTTAGCAAAAATTGCATTCATTATAATTTGTATAATTTTTTGGAATTGTTTTCGGAGATGTTTCGTTTTATCATAGCAAAAGTAAGCATTACCTTTCGCTTTCATCAATTTTTAGCTAAAATCGTTCTTTAAATACATTGTACTTTTTGCTGGATCAATTTTAAAACTACATAATAATAACTGATTTCAGCAAATTGAAAATAAATTTAGCTAAGCGAAAAAAAACAGAGAAAACAAACATTTGGTGAGAACAATTTGATTAAAATTGAGCTTGTAAAACAGTGGACAAATATGATCCATTTAGAGTAAATTTGAATTGATTGTTATCTTTACATGCATATGTATAAATAATGGAGATGATTAAAATGAGATGGACATCTTTATTTAATCCAAATACTTGGAATCCATTGAGGTTCTCTTTCCAGGGAATTGATTTCTCTCAATAATTCTTGATAAGCTGATTCAATATCATTCACTACAAGAACTTTGTCAAAATGATGGCCAAAACGGACTTCAATATCACGGGCTTCGTCAATGATTGCTTGTAACTCATTCAATGGTAGATTATTGCCTTCCTCTTGACCTCTGTAAGTTGAAGCTATTACTCGTTTCAATGTCTCAATATTGGTCGGTGGAGCCACAAAAACGATATAAGGCTTAAGCTTGGCACCTAAAAGATGAACAAAAAATAATGTAATTAGTAAATGATATTAAACAATTGAATAAGTAAATGGTAAATAATCATTTCTCGACAACAAATAACGAAACAATTTAAAGATTCAAACAAAAAATCAATAAATGGTTGAATCGAATTTACGACTTGTGAAGTCTTGAAGGTTCAAAGTAATTTGGTATAAAAGCATACAAGACAAATTAAATTAAATATTGCAAAAGTTTTCTCGTTTATTTCCATTACATTTTGTTTTATGTTTTAATGTGCTCTTTTTATTTCATCAACAACCAGATTTGCTCCTTTTTTCAACGAAAATGCTATTCGAGAAGAAAATATAAATATTTTTGTTACTTTCTTATTTCTCTCACAATAAATCCTCTTCTCCTACATGATTGGGTAAACAGTAATGTTGAATCAATCATCATAATGACTCTCAACTGACCATTGTCAATGAAAATTGGACCTGGAAACAAAGAGTATAACTCTTTGCCTGGAAAGCAGTTTTTGATGCGTTAAGTATCTGCACATCAAATAGTTATGATTGACTTTGGAGACGATTTCGGCTCAGGTGTATAATTATGAATTTAAGTTGAGTTATTCACAATAGAAAACGAAAAAGTGATAAATTATCAATTTTAAATAATATCCGTTATTTTATCAAAGCTTCATTAAAACAGAAAGCATTAATTTGAACCTTCGAGCTGCTTTAAATGATTAGATAGAAAAATCTTAATATTTATTCCCATTTGAAATGAACAAGTTAGAAATGGTTGGACAATTCAAGCTCAGAATGACCTTTCAATATCACTTGTTTTAAAAGCTTTTAATCCACCCAATTGTCTTGTATTGTGGTCACTTGTAACATTTTAGAGTTACTTTAAGGCCGAGGTTTATGCTGATCGATTTGTGGTTGAAACCAAAAAGATATCGATTGATGATTTAAAAATTTGTTACGAATCCACAAAATCTGTTTTTGTAAAACCTCATGAAAACACGAAATTTATACACAATAGCAGCATAAAAAGTTTTGATTATTATCCAATTATTGATCCAATTAGATTGATATTGAATGCTTTACCGAGGCAGATCAGAGACAATGCAAACACAAGTGTAAACAATGTCCAAGCTCCCATCCTGTTTCAACTGCATGACTGATCCTAGCCATTCGTGCGCTTTTAAGGAACATGACATCCTAAACAAGGAAAAGGACGAAATCAAATCATTAATCATAGTAAATTATCAGATTTATCAGATAATATCTGATCAATGAATATACTCACAATTAGGATGGAAGCGGCCAATAACACAGCTTTAATATTAACATCTAAATTCATTGGGAATGAGGAGCTGAAGTGAACAACATCGGCAAATTGTTCTTGCAATGCCACTGCCCTTAGCGCAGAAACATTGCCAACTTCAGTTTTACCATCACTTGATAATATTTGGAATTTTGTTACAATCTGATTGATGTATGGTCCTTTGATCAGTAAAACAGTTTTCCCAGTTGCATCACAGATTCTGAATTTAGATACAAAAAGACTCCATGATTGCTTGATGAAACCACATAAATTACCAGAAGCTGTAACTTCAACACTTTGAAGGCAACAGGGACACCAACAAGATTGACATCTTAAAGGTCTGGATAAAGCAAAAGGAAGAAGCGATTAAATCAATGACATTTAATTCAATCATTCAATAGTCCAACATTTCTGTCTGGACAAGCCTAATGTCTTCAATGGCTATCAATTCAAGTAGATTCAAAAAAAGGTGAGAGAATGAAAATATCTGATAGTCTGGAGTAAAGGCAAAGTTCATATTGTAATATAATTATCTTAATCGAAAAAATTGCAAAGAACTGAGCTGAATGGAAAGGAAATTATAAAAACACGAATACAATTGTTACTGATCTGTCTTGATAATTGATTCAAAGCATCTGAAATCATATTGAAACAAGAAAAACCGCCCAAGCTTTACAAACGTATTGAATAACGAGATGTTTTTCAAAAAAAAGTAAAAGCAATTTACCGATGGAAATGAAGAACTTCACGCTTCTGAAAATCGAGAACTCTTATATCGAATGGTCTGGTAATGTTACAACAAATCAGACAGCATTTATCGTAATCTGAAGAAGGGACAAAAAACGATGAGAAATGGCTTTACAATGTAATTTGCTTTGAATCTTACCTTCAACTGCAGTATAAACCTTCTGGGCCGAATCGTTTTTAATATGATAAGTGTTGTTCGACTCACGACGATTTTCATCCTTGACGACATAAAATTTATCAAGTTTAGTTAAATACTCCAAACCTGGTGGACAATTTGATGCCAGTGGCAATGGCATCCAATTATCTATGAAAATAATGAGTAGCAATAATTAAATATGCTATTAGATTGTGGAGTTGGATTGAAATCCTTAGTAAAATTAGAGCTTACCTTCAGTTTTGCTTGGTTTAGCATCTGAATTTTGTTCCTTGAGCTGAAGAGAAGGGTTTTTGGCTCCATCATAGGCATGTAATGGATCATCTGATAATAAATCCGTAGTTGACATGTTTTTATTGGCCTGTTGGTTCAATTCAACCTGAAACTTGAACAATTCAGACAATTGAATAAAATTGAGTTACGATTATGAAAAATTAGTTGAAAGCTATCTTGACTGATGAAGTTAACGTTTTCTTATAACCAACTCCGCTTTAGACTAGTAATATATTGTAATACAATATCTAATCTACAATCTGCATTATCCTGGCTATGATTAATCAGAAAGCAGTTCCAGGGAAAATGAATAATTCAAAGATAACTATTGTTTTGGTTTAAGCGCAAAATGATGAATAAGATCGAGCCTACGACAGTTTTTACCACTGAAGAAAGCAACTAACCTGAATCACAAAAATTGGGTGAACTGGTAAAATTTCACGACAATATGCCAAAAAACCCTTCATGTTTCTTAAATATTTGGTCGCACCTAATTTTCAACATTCACACGAACATAAATATCCAGAACCAATTTGCGATGAAAACAATGTTCCATGTTCTATTTATTGAATTTCTATCAAATAAAATTAGTCTTATTGAAATTGGTCCTAGATATTCGCAGGCTTCCCTCTTTGATCCAATCTATCATCGGTTGGTGCCTCAAATGATAATTTTTGTCATCTAATAGAACCTTGAGTTACAATATCGATCGAAACTGATTTCAAAAATGAATGCTATTATTTTGCTAATCTTAATGGATTCTGACACATTGACAATTATCGTAGAGGCGTTATATTTTCAATATTTCATAACTTTCCTTACCAATTACAAGCATCTTATTAATATTTTATTATTTTTTGCCTTTTTTCAATATTACAAATAATTCTGTCTCTTTACAGGATCGCATGTTCTTCGAAAACATGATATAGACCGGGAATGTTTGATTATGATACATGAAAGGTACAATTTTAGATTAAACGACTTTTCTTAAGGCAGATCAATTGAAAGGCAATCTAAAATCTTGCTACCAATTAAAGCACATCATTGTTTAAGCACCATCATTGTATTGTTAAACCACAAAATCAGTTTTTGTAAAACCTCATGAAAACACGAAACTTATACACAATGGCAGCATGAAAAGTGTTGATTATTATCCAATTATTGATCCAATCAGATTAGTGAAAAAATGAAAACAGTTCGAGTCAAACAAATGACCATTTATCAGCATTTGGTCAATCTTGAAAATTTCAAACATCAATACTCCGATACATCGATATTGATCAGTTTTCCTAAGAATTTCTTTAGAATTATTCTCTTAAGTCAGATCAATTAATTACTAGGTGAAACACATGGCTAAACAATATCCAAGTTCCCAACCCACAGAAAACGCACTTCTGAAATCACTGTTAGTCCTGGGTGCTCTTTTATAGTACAAGCAATCCTAAACACCAAAAAGGACGAAATCAAAACATTAATCATACCAAATAATCAGATAATATCTGATCAATGAATGTACTTACAATTAGGATGAAAGCGGCCAATAATACAGCTTTAATATTAACATCTAAATCCATTGGAAATGAAATGCTAAAGTTTTTTTGTGATTTCACTGCCCTTAGCGCAGTAACTTTCCCAAATACAGTTTTACCATCACTTGATAATACTTTGAATTGGTTTAAAAGGTAATGGTCAGATGGCCCTTGGATCAGTAAAACAGTTTTCCCAGTAGCATCACAGAGTCTGAATTTAGTCTTACGAAGACTCCAAGTTTGTTTAATAAAACCACATACGACACCAGAAGCTGTCACTTGCACATGTTGAAGGCAACACGGGCACCAACAAGATTGACATCCTAAAGGTCTGCATAAAGAATGAAAAAAAAGACAATTAAGTCAATGTATTAAATTCAATCATCACACGTTTTTATTCTGGACAATGCCTTCAATGGTTATCAATTTGTTCAAGTAGATCAAAAAAAGAAATGAAAATATCTGAAAGTCTGCTGTAACTTCAAAGTTCATATTGTAATACAATTATCTTAATCTGCTTGCCAATTGATAATTGTCAAGGAAGATAATTGATGAATCTATTAATAATATTGGTTTAAAGCATCAATAATGATATTGAAATCAGGAAAAACAACTAAGCTATACAGGAACATTGAATAACAAGATGTTTTTGACAAAAAAAAGAAAAAACGCTTTACCGATGAAAATGAAGAACTTCGCGTTCCTGGAAATCGAGAACTCTTATATCGAATGGTCTGGTAGTGTTACAACAAATCAGACAGCATTTGTCGTAATCTAAGTAGCGAAGAAGAGACACAAAACGATGAGAAATGGCCTTAATTTGCTTTGTATCTTACCTTCAACTGCAGTATAAACCTTCTGGGCCGAATCGTTTCTAATAAGATAAGTGTTCTTCGACTCACGACGATTTTCATCCTTAGCGGCATAAAATTTATCGATTTTAGTTAAATACTCCAATCCTGGTGGACAATTTGATGCCAGTGGCAATGGCATCCAATTATCTTTGAAAACAATGAATGACAATGATTAAATATGCTATTAGATTGTGGAGTCAAATTGAAATCCTTAGTAAAATTAAAGCTTACCTTCAGTGTTGCTTGGTTTAGCATCTAAATTTTGATCTTTGAGCTGAAGAGAAGGGTTTTTGGCTCCATCATAGGCATTTAATGGGTTATCTGGTACTGAACTTGACATGTTTTGTTTACTGCAATTCAACTTGAAACTCAATGAGTTTTAAACATCGAATTGCAAAGATTTACTATTATGGAAATACAATAAATTAATTAAAGCTATATGGCGAAGTTAAACACTTCTCATAAATACTCCACTTTAGACTAGTGACTATATATTACAATAAAAAATCTAATCCAGCATCTCGTATCACTCTGATAAATATCAGAAATCAGTTACAGGAAAATGACGTTTCAATGATGATTGAAACGTCATGATTGATGTACACAGCCACAAATGAAGCCTAAATTAGTCTTGAATAGCAAAAAAGCCTCGTTAAATGTTTGTCCGATTCTAATTTCCAGCGTTTACACAAACAATAATATTCAGAATCACTTTGCGTTAAAAACAAATGTTCATTTCATTGTAACGCAATTGAAAAAATGTCAATTTATTTAAAAGTTAAACAAGGTGTGGCATTGAATTACTCATGTAACACAAGTAATGTTTTAAGGTTTAATTTGGATCTTCAAAATACATAAAATCCTGTAAAATCAAGAAAAAAGCATAAAGAAAATAATTGAAATCATTGAAATCATATTGACTGGGGAAAAAATACTTACAATTAAGAAACAAGCTCCCAATAATAGAGCTTTAATTTTAACATCTAAATCCATAGGAAATGAAATACCAAAATGATCAGCGTCGGTGAATAATTCTCGAGCCAAACCAGACCATTGTTTAGTAATGCAACCGACTTCACTTTCACCATCTCTTGTTAATACTTTAAATTTAACATCACGGCAACAAGAAAAGATGCAAAATGGCCCTTTAATCCGGAAAATTGTTTCACCAGAAGAATCACAAACTTTGAATTTAGGCTTGCAAAGACTCCAAGTTTGTTTAATGTAACCACAAACGATACCAGAAGCAGTAACTTGCATACTTTGGAGACAACAAGGGAAACAACAGTCTTGGCATTTCAATGGCCTGAAATATAAAGAAGACTCAGTAAGTGATGAATCGATGAAAGATTAATGAACAATCAAATGTGCATATACATGCTTCAATCAATACGAATCATGCTAAGAAAAGCAACATATTATAATATATTACCGGTAGAGATGCATAACTTCTTGTCCCTCGGAATCGATAATTTTCATATTGAATGGTCTAATTGTTCCACAGCAAAACCTGGTACAAAAAGTGGTATCTAATGGGTAAAGTGAGAAGTACAATTAGTTGAAAGGTTATTTGCGATATCAACATCTTACCTTCAATAGCATTGAATATTTTCTGGCCCATTATGTTTTTAATATGATATCTGTTTCTCATCTCACAACCGGTTAAAACTTCGCAACATTCAACTTTCTGTTGAACAAGAATTTGATCAATTTGAGTCAAGTACTCTAATCCTGGTGGATTAAAAGGTACTGGACGGCCTGGCATCCATTCATCTGAAAAACACCATGAGAATATAAGACAACAATTAGATTTACTCAGAGAAAAAGACATTTAGGTATTTGGGTTTACCAGGCTTGGTCGATGGCTGTCTTGCTCCATCGTAAAGCTGAGGATGAAATGGTTGCATCAAGTGTGAACCTGGTTGAGTGAGGATCATATCAAACAATGATGTTTCGAGTGGAGGGTCAACAAGATCTCCTGTAGGGTCTTGGATTGAATTTGGAGTGGACATGTTTAATCAAATCACTTAATTAAACTTAACACAACTTGTTTTAACAAGTAAATGAGAGGTTAAACACAGATCAGACATGAAAAGTTTCCCATCGTATCCCATCTTTAAAAATGGTTGTTTGACTGAATAGGCACAGAATAGTGGCGCCTATCAAAGAGTAGAGCAACCCTTTTTCAATGCCTTTCCTCTTTATTTTTCATTATAGAATCTCTTATGAATTTCAAGCCAAGATCCATAGATCAAGATTTATGCATCCTACATCGTATTTTTGCACACAGTTTTGCTTGAATAAAAGCTTGTAACAGAGCTTGTGGCTTTGTGTTAAGACACATAGTAAACAACCACAAAATAGAGTCCATTTAATGGATACATTTGGAAATGATTTAACTATTTGCTTGATGCCATTATTTTGAACCTTTCAATATTTGATTGTGTGAAATTGTGTTCACATCCAATCGCTTTTTAACCTGAAGAATCTTCTTGATAAGCATTGGTGAATACTTCTCGAGCTAAACCAGATTATTGCTTAGTTTTATGGTCTTTTACTCTTTGATAGGCTTTGATACTCTTTCGATGCAACCATTTTTAAAGATGCACTTGTTCGCACTAGTTGTAAAAAGTTTTTGATCGTTTATGTGCACCAACAGTTTTTATCAACGTTTCAGATTTCAAACTCTAACGATCACAGAATGCCGAAGACTTAACTGAAAATCGATACTGGTCTATTTTACAGAAAAAAGAAAATTTTGAAGTTGAATATTGAAAAGTCCCAAAATTAAAAGAAAAAATGAATTCCAAGTTTCTTTTAAATCCTTTATTGATGGTTACAAAGTAGTTTGACAAATGAAAATTACGATAAGAAATGGCAATGAGAGATGAATCTCTTTTCAAAACTGCAATAAGATCTCTAGTTAAAACGTTTAAAATATCAAATAAATCGAATCCTGTAAAATGAAGAAGAAAAGCATAAAGTAAATAATTTTTTTCATTTAAATGATATTGACTAGGAAAAAGATACTTACAATTAATAAACAGGCTCCCAATAATACAGCTTTAATCTTAACATCTAAATCCATTGGAAATGAAATGCCGTATTGGTTAATGTCGTTGCATAATTCAGATAAACCGGACAATTTTCTAGTAATGCTACCAATTTCACTATTACCATCTCTTGTTAATACTTTGAATTTAACATCTTGGCAGAAGGTACAGGTGATACCTGGCCCTTTAATTCGTAAAATTGTTTCACCAGTAGAATCACAAACTTTGAATTTAGGTTGCCAAAGACTCCAAGTTTGTTCAATAAAACCACAAACGACACCAGTAGACTATAAGCAGCCCACTCTGGCCCACCGTTCTGGCCCACTTGGACTTTACCCTAGGGTAAAGTTCGATGTGAACCAGAACGTTGGGCCAGAGAAGGCTGCTTTGAAAGAGGAGAAAGAGGAAAAGAAAGCAAATGCGAAAGAGGATGAAATTGAAGATGTAGGTGAAGGACTTTACATAATTTCATCCTCTTTCTTGCTCTTTCTTTTTCTCTTTCTCTATTTTTTCTCCTTTTCTTCATCTTTTCCTTTCCTTTTCTTCATCTTTTCCTTTCCTTTTCTTCATCTTTTCCTTTCCTTTTACCCATCTTTCCCCTTTTCTTTCCTTTTCTTTCTTCTTCTTACCTTTTCTTCTTCTTACCTCTTCTTCTTCTTGCTTTTTCTTCTTCTTCTTCTTGCTTTTTCTTCTTCTTCTTGCTTTTTCTTCTTCTTCTTGCTTTTTCTTCTTCTTCTTCTTGCTTTTTCTTCTTCTTCTTCTTGTTTTTTCTTCTTCTTCTTCTTCTTGCTTTTTCTTCGTCTTCTTCTTGCTTTTACTTCTTCTTCTTCTTCTTCTTCTTCTTGGTTTCTTCTTCTTCTTCTTCTTCTTCTTGCTTTTTCTTCTTCTTCTTCTTACCTTTTCTTCTTCTTCTTCTTCTTACCTCTTCTTCTTCTTGCTTTTTCTTCTTCTTCTTGCTTCTTCTTCTTCTCGCTCTTTCTTCTTCTTTTTATTGCTTTTTCTTCTCCTTCTTCCTCTTGCTTTTTCTTCTTACCTTCTTGTTCTTGCCTCTTCTTCTTAATGCTTTTTTCATCTTCATCTTTCTTCTCTTTCCCACTCTTTTACATCAAATTGTCTCATCTTTTTACTCTTTACTCTTGCTCTTCTCTTCTCTTTTTCTTCGCCTTTTCGCTTCTCATCAGTTATCTTCTCTTACCTTTTTCTCACCTTCTCTTCAATCTTCTGATCAAACTTTTTCAAACTTTTTAGGCAACTTTTGTAAACTTTTTACTCAACTTTTTTCCAGCTTTTTCATTCAACTTTAACGCACTTTTTACCAATCTTTGCACACATTTTTTTGACCCGAATCTGCAGCAAATTTTTAAACAAACTTAGCTAAACTTTGCAAACATTTTGCACTCAAATTTTTTCAATTCCAAACGTTATTTTTATTGCAAAAAGGCACAAAAAGTTGCAGATAATGGCAATAATGAGTTACATTTTGCACTTAAAAGTTAGATTACTGCTTTTTAGTAGCAGATATGAAATCATCAATAAGTTTAATGATTTCATCACGATCGACAGATCGAACATATCCTTTTTTATTCTCCACCAGAAAAGCTCTGATCCAACGAGCTCGCTGCAATAAGGAACCTCTTAGTCCAACGCCACTGTTAATAAGGGAAAGGTTATTAGCTTTGAGTAAATCTTTTCAAAACAAAGTAAACTTACATTTCTGTGCCTTTTCGCAGCGCAGCATAGCTTTGAGTACACGCCATAACTGGTGTTGTTGAAGTATAGTCCAAGGGTGTTACATCATTTTCTTGTACAACAGCTTGTATACGGTGGTAAAGCTCATGCCGAACAACTGGACAACACTTGTAACAACACTTATTACGACAACATCCATTCGATTCAACCAAAACAAAAGATGAGGGAGCACTTGCATTTGTTTGTTGCTGAACTTGTTGAGGTCGAACTAATGACGGTGATGGAGATGTCAATAACTGACTCAAAGATTGAGGTCTGTTGTTTGCTGCTGGTGGTGGTGGCGATGGTCGAACAAGAAAAGGATTTAGTATCGGTGGTAGTTGAATAGTAACTCTTGGCGTTGATGCACTGCTTACAACAGGTGTTGATGGACGGGTCGCAAATGGTGTCGTGCGAGGCATAAGTGGAGGTGGAGGAGGGGTTGAGGTGACTTCAAACTCATGTTTGATTTCCATTTTAAACTTAGAACTCAAAAAAAGTATTGTACTTATTGTAGAAAAGTGATGCTAGTGAAGTTGAACAACAAACTGAGACAAATATTGTGATGACCGAATCAATTTTTCGCTTTTTTTTGCGTCACTGTGAGGGAGCAGTACTGCCATTTCACTGCCATTTGGTTATTAGCAGTATTGTCGGTCAAGTTAAAGGCAATGTGATACAAGGTTGCAATTGCATTCAGTGCAAAAGCAATTAACTTTAACTGTAAACAACTCAAAGGGCGAAAAAACTTAATTAACAACGAAATTCAATTTACCTCGGGTTACACTTTTATTGATTAATCCGCATAATATTACGAGTTAAAGCAAGTAAGAATGATGAATAATGATGTACATGATTTGTTCAGTTGTAATAAACACATATAATAATTATGGCTACTCTTAATCAGTATTATTCAGCTTTTACGCTATTTTTGAGCTGCATTGAATGGCTTCATGTATACCAATTACTTAGTGTATTGCAATAGCTTGTTCGAGAGATCATTTTACAGAGCGTACAACAATATATTAATCATAAAGATCGCATGACAAATTCATGAGAAAATCCAGGATAAGCAAATGTAAAGCTTTAATACTGACTTAAATTGATGCAGTTAGTGTCCGACAACTACATGTACGATTTCGATGAAAGATATATATTTCGAAAGAGCGCAAAAAGTTGTACAATAGTTATTCATTCGATTTTGCAAAAAGTTGCTGGACAATGGACAATATAGGTCAACATTTACCTAAAATATCACTTTTTTGACCAACTTTGATACACTTTTTCTCGGTAACTATTCATCACAGAGGGATGATTTAGATATTACTTTTTAGCTCTAATTAAGACGAATCTGCAGATATATTACACATGTAAATCACACAATTGTAGCCTAAACAGTAATTGACACAATTTTACCAATTTTACTATATGTTAACCTATGGAGGTAAAGTGAATGTTTAATGATAGTTTTATCCATTTTCACCGAATGAAATATCACTTGTAATACATTATTCTTTAGCTTATTGCGTCTAGTTTTCATGCATAAAGTTAAATTATAAAATATTAATCCAACCAAGTATTGAAGCAATCTTTAAATAGAGTCCGAAAATGAAAAAAAAAGTTTTTTTTAGCTATGCTAATGCCTTCTCTTGAGGATAAAAAAGACTAAAATTGCGTGCATTTTTTGCGTAAATTCATCTTATTTTTATATAAACTAATTCTTTGTTTCATTGAATTCACTATTGTTCATAACAATCAACATGGAAGGCAAGATGACGTTTTACTTTTATTGAAATATGATCGATTAGGATCTTATTACCACTGTGATTGAGTGTAATTTCACACACATTATCGTGTTACAATCTTAATTAAAGTTAAATAAGATACACACATATCATTTTCTTACATCCTGTTTAATGATTTTCATATTGAATTACATGATGTTCATCGCATATGAAACCTAATTAAAGTAAAGCACATTACTTGTATTAAAAAAGTGATGCTACGTAAGCAATCAATGTAATGTGATAGGCTGAACAAGTGAATTAAACGTTAACATGATCATATTACTGATTGTTTTTCCACGAAAAGATGTGAGCAAAGGAGATGATCATAGCACAACTCACGGTGAAAAAGAGTATAAAAGACGAGATCAACAGAACGAAATTCATCACAATCAATCTTCCTCTCAATTGTAAGTTTTAGTACAAGACTCAATTGATGAAGAAATGCTTTGCTGATTTTACCCTCTCTCTCCTTGTATTCTTTCTTGTTCATGTTCATACCAGCTAACAGCATGAGTTCAAACGTAAGGAAAAAAATTGAATCTTAACTTTTCCTTTTTTTATATTTGAATCATTATCATTACATTTCTATTGTTTTTTCTTTGTTTTACACCATTCAGGTACAGTTTATACCTTTGGAGCCCAAAGAGGATTTATCTGATCCTAGAAGTTTTCCCATGAGTTTATTTGATATTTTAATTCATCCTTTAGATTTGCCTGTTCCTAAATATAGATTGACTAAGAACCAAAAAGCTGCTCTTAGACGAAAGAAAAGATTAGCTGATATTAAAGCCAGACCTGACGGTGACTTTGGAAAAAACATAACAAGAGTCAAAATGGCAAGAAAAGGATATGCTAGAGCTAATAAAATGAATAGAATAGCCAATCGTATTTCGCAAATCAAAATTAATAATGTCACTGATTTTAACGATAATTATGCTTTGTATGAAAAATTTCGAGATAAAGCTAAAATTGAAAGAATTATAGCTAAGAAAAATGAAGAACTTTCAAAAATAAAATAAATGAAAACAATAATTTGTAATGATAATAATTCAATATATTTACTTATTCTCAATAAAAATTTTATTTCAATCACTCTTTGTTGTTCCTTTCAATAGAAATTCACCTGCACTTACTGTCCATTTTCGAGCAATACGGTTGAAGAACTTTTTGAGCATAACTGTCCTGGATACGACGCAGAAGTTTCTATTCATATTCCTGAGGTAGAAATTGCGAGTGAAAATCTTACATTCGACATCCCGCATTATTCCTGTATATTTTGTGACTTTGTTGCCATTGACAATGAAACTCTTCGAGGACACAGATGTGAACAGATGAATGAGTGGGAGACATAGAGATGATTTTCAA